TCAGCAAGCTCTTGATACTGGCAGACAAAAGCTGGAGAAGGACATGAAGAATATTATCCAGCTTGCCAGTTGGAAAGACACAAACATTGACGCGTTGAGGCAGAGCGCCAAGGCCTCTCACCGCAAGCTTTTCAGAGTTGTTCGCAAGTTCAGAGCTGTTCTCTCACAACCCGCCCAGAGCATTGTCTCGGCAGGCTTGCCTGATATTGCCTTCTCAGAGACACCAACGGCTGCTGGTCTTCGCAAGACTGAAGTCCCTGTCGATCCCAAGGCTTCTGCTTTGTGCACCGAAGTAGTGCCCAAGTGGAACGAACGACCTGCTCGTTTCAAGAACACTGCTACTACTCTAACAGTCATGCAATCTAAGGGCACTATCAAGTCCGAGCACATTGACTGCGCTGCTGAAATCAACACCTGGCTCTCCGATACTGAATCGATTGCTGCTCAGCTTCGCAAAGCCACCCCAACTACATTGACAGAAGAGAACACCGAGACTGTCAAGCATCTCAAGAATCGCAAGCGTAAACTCTTCGCCGACGTACTCAAGGAGCTCAGAAACATGGGCTTCAAGAGCAACATGACCGGTGATGTGTTGGCTAGACAAGACTCTTTGCAAGCTGTGTTGGCTGCCATTCCCGTCATGGACAAAGACCTAGCGGAGAACTATCTGCATCGTCTGTTGTACCTCATGCCTCTTGTCAGGGAAGCTGCCAGAGAACACTCGGACGACTTGACCGGTGCTGAAATCGCAAGGTCAGTGGCACTCTGCGAAAGTATGCTGCAGGTGCTCATCCAGCAGAGAAACGTCCTCGGATCTGTTACAGAGGGCCAAAAGACTTTGGAGACTTTGCTCAACCAAGCTGAGAGTCTTTGGGGTAATGGCAAGCTTGAGCTTAGTGGCAAGAAGAAGCAGAGCTACGATATTGTTACTGCAATCGCTTGTTTGCCTGTGATGATCAAGTCAGCTGCACGCATTGTTGCTTCTCAGGCTGAGCTTGGCAAGCTTGACTGCGGCAATATTGTGAAAACATTGGGACAATGGGCTGTCAAATTCGAGAGTTTCAAGACACAGTGGCAGAGCCTTGCCGTACTGCCTGATGGAGTCACCAGTGATCATCACGTCAAGATTATCGAGGAGGGCAAGATCGCTATGCAAGAGCTGCACACTGAGCTCGCTGCCTGCATTGAAAAACACCCTTACCTTGGAGCTACTCTTCGCCAGCTTCAGCATTGGACAGTTGCCAATGACAGCACTTCGAAGTCGAAGAAGATCTCGAGAAACACTTCTCTCAAGATCGATGAGTTCGGACAGGCTGCCTGTGACTTGGTCGACTCCATTCTTGGTTCTGTCCAAGACCTTGAGAAACCACTCAGTCAACTTCCCGTGTCTGCTGAAGATCCCAACTGGCTCCTGCACGAGAGCCAGAACTTATCTCTCGCTGTCAAGACTCTTCGCCTTCCTCACGTTACGACTCGCATGCAAGAGCTTATGCTGCAGGTGCCGCAGCTGAATTCCAACCTCGACGTTGCTGCTGCTGTCGTTCACTCCTTCGTTCCGTTCATCGCTCAGTTCAACAATCTTGCGCTGTACCTTTCTTCACGTCTGGAAAACCTTCATGCAGCTCTGAGTCAGATGTCTTTCCGCCTCGCCAAGATTTTCGTCCAATTGTCTAAGGAGGGCTTCTGCACGCCTCCCGAGAAGTCAAACGATCAAAACAAGGGCGACGACAAGCTCGAAGGCGGAACTGGCCTGGGCTCTGGAGAAGGCGCCGAAGATATTTCGAAGGACATCGAAGACGATGAGGACCTTGGTGAACTTGCGGCAGAGAAGGATGATCGTGACGACAAAGATGAAATCGAAGATGAAAAGGACGCTGTTGACATGGGCGATCAAGAGATGGAAGGTCAAATGGGTGATGCCGAGGAAAAAGATGACGAAGAAGGAAGCGACAAGGAAGATGAAGGTGAAGATGAAATGGACGACGAAGTCGGCGATGTCGATGACCTTGGTCCTTCTACCGTCGATGAGAAGATGTGGGATGATGGCGGGAAGGACGAAGACAACAAGGACAAGGAAGGTGAGAACAACGCCGGCACCGAGGACCAGAATGAGATGACTGCTGCCGATGGTGAAGAGAAGGAACAAAAGGAGAAGAAGGAAAACGACGATGATGCCGAGGAAGAGGAGGATGAAGGCGAACAGCAAGGCGCGGACGAGACTGAGAACGGCCCACCCGAGGATATTGAAAAGACCGACCCTCACTTGCAGGAGCAGGACAACCTTGATCTGCCTGATGATATCGACATGGACGGCAAGTCTGAAGATGGCGATGAATCGGGCATGGAAGACATGGGTGACATTGATCCCATGGACGAGGACCTGCCTGAACCCGAAGGCGAACAAGAAGGCGAAGTCGAGGACCCAAGCAAGGAAGAAGACGTCTCGCCTGATGACGAGATTCCTGCAGACCTTGATGCTCAACAAGACGAGGCCGACGAAAACGCCGATGAGGATGGCCAAGACAAGACCAACGAAGCTGGCGAAGACGCGGAGAAGCCTGAAGAGGATCAGGAAGTCGAAGAGGATCAAGACATGCTTCAAGACAACCGCAAGGATGACACCAACGCTGCTGATGAGATTGCGCCTAGCGAAGCACAAGGTGCTGGCCTCGATGACCAGCAACCTCAAGACGACAACAAGGACAATGATGCAGGTGCTGCTCAACGCGAGTCTGGCGAGCAAGGCGCTCAGCAGGAGCAGCAACAGCAAGCAGGTGCCGAAGGTGAACGAGGCGTTGCCGAGAACTCTGCCGCCGCCGCAAATGAGGAGAAGACAGAAGACAAACAAGAGTCTCTCCCTTACAAGAAAATTGGCGATGCACTTGAGAAGTGGTACAAGCAGCAGAAGCAGATCCAGGATGCTCAAGCCGACAAGGAGGAACGCAAAGAACAACCTCCTACCGATGTCGATATGGACGATGCTGAGTTCGAGCATTTGCAGAACGAAGCAGAGGAGTCTGATGCTCAGGCTCTTGGTGCCGCCAATGAGGATCAAGCCAAGGCTATTGACGAAGAAGCCGGTGTCTCGACCAATGACAAGGAGCAGAGAGATGACTTCATGCCTGAAGATGAGGAAGAGGGCGAAGCTTATCGTCCTGACGAAGACGTCGACATGGGTGATCGCGAAGAGGAAGATGACAAGCAAAACCCAGAAGGCGGTGCTGACAATGTTCCCAACGCTTTTGTTGGTGAAGCCCAATCTCGCGAAGACGCTGTCGACCAAGACGGCCCTGAAGCTCAAGAAGACAACGATGATTCGATCGAAGAAGTTGACCATCAACTCGAGTCTGCCCATATCTCTTCCATGGCCGATCTGCCTACTCTGTCCCTCGACGACGCAAGAGCATTGTACAACACCCACGAGTCCTCAACCCGCAACCTCTCGCTACTTCTGGCTGAGCATCTTCGCCTCCTGCTCACGCCCACTCACGCCACAAAGATGCGCGGCGACTACCGTACTGGTAAGCGTTTGAACATCAAGCGTATCATCCCTTACATCGCTTCCTCGTACCGCCGCGACAAGATTTGGATGCGTCGCTCTGTGCCATCCAAGCGCCAATACCAGATCATGCTCGCCATCGATGACTCGCAATCAATGTCCGAAGGTGGCGCCCAGACCCTCGCTTTCGACACCATGGCTTTGCTAGCTCGTGCCCTCTCCATCCTCGAAGCAGGCGAGTTGTGTATCCTCGGCTTCGGCGAGAACGTCAGCGTCAAACTTCCTTTCGAAACTCCATTCACCTCTGAAGCTGGCGCCAATGTTATCAGGGGCTTCAACTTTGAGCAGACAAGAACAAACGTCAAGACTTTGGTGCAAAAGTCGTTGGATCTATTCAGAGCTGCTAGAGTCAGAGCTCAAGGTGCAAGTTCGGAGCTGTGGCAGTTGCAATTGATTGTTTCAGACGGTGTTTGTGAGGATCACGCGGGTATTCGCTCGCTCGTCAGACAAGCCCATGAGGAACGCATCATGATGGTGTTTGTCATTGTCGATGCCACCGCTACTGCACCCTCAGTCTCTGGCGCTCCATCTGGAACAGCTACACCCTCTACCAACCCACCTGCTCCTGCAGCCGCTCCCGCAAACAAGAAAAAGCCCTCCTCGATCCTCGACCTGCAAACCGCAGAATTCGTCAAGGATCCCGTTACTGGAGAGATGAGTGTCAGAACTGTTAAATATCTGGATTCTTTCCCCTTCGGATATTATCTGGTGGTTAGAGATGTTAGGGAGTTGCCTGGTGTGCTTGCAGGTGCGCTGAGACAGTGGTTCGCTGAGGTTGTTGAGACGCAGGGGTAAGATAGATGGAAAGTGATATGGAGTTTTCGGGATATTGGCGTAATGGAGTGAAATTTTTGCATACTTGGAGTTTAGCGTTCTAATGATAGTGGTTTTTCTTGATCATTGTGCATTTGTGTCTGATTGTGAGCATTGCGTCAGGGGTATACCTCCGCAAGTCATCAGTCCTTCTACTATGCTACATAAACAGCTGACAACTCCTTCGACTTTGGCCATTATGTCTGTCATCGTGGCATCGGGCACGAATCACTCCCAGATCATCTTTCTCAAAGACCTGGCGCAGCACTGCGTGCCTCTAAAATCAAAACCATACGAAAAAAAGAGAGGCGCTAGTGACAACACAATCGGACGCGAACTGATAGGAGGATGCAAAAAAGTGAGCAAAACGTACAGCAGCAGGGATTCCCACGTGGTCATCCACCGTAGTACCAATCTGCCGTTCAACTGCTTATGTATGGCAGAGCGGACGGGATGCCCAGTTTTCAGCTGACTGTGGCCGTACGTGCTAAGCAATCGTTTCCAAATCAATATCATGAGCCAGAAAGAGGCGAAAAGAAAGCTTCACTAGGACGCAATCGTAAGATCTGGAGTAAGCCAACAACATAGTTGAGACGACAAAAACGTGAACAACGAGCCCTTACACCTATCAAGAACTTCTCTTACCCATCGGTTCGAATGGGAATGCAGCAGCTACCAAAGCCATGACAATGTACAACGCAGCACAAATGTAGATGGGGACAGGAGTGCTGGTGTTGGCATAGCTGTGATATCGTTAGCATTGGTATTTGGGCTGATATTGAGATTGGACTTACGTGGCGACGACTGCACTGATGATGCCCATGACTCTGTTACATGCAATAGCAATACCATTCCCAGTTCCGCGGTGAGCGGAGGGCAATACCTCGGGAGTGTAGGCATAGAGTGTAGCATAGTAAATGTTCTGAAAATAGTCAGTTTCAATGCGAGGACGACAATAGGGTCAGAACGTATACTTACCAAACAAAAGCTGATACAGCAAGTAAACGCAAGATTCTGAGCATTATTACGGACTTGAGTGTACGCAAAGAAGAAAGCCATAGTGATAAGAGCACCAACAATCATAGTTCCTCTTCTGCCCCAAAAGATTTTGCTCCTGCACATATATCCTGCCAAGATTGGAGAAGGAATGGAGCAGAGATTGGCAATGGCATAGTTGCGCCAATAGACGGATTGAGATTGTTCACCAAACTCTGCGCCGCGAGTGGCCAAGTAGGTGGGCAGGAAGACGTTGTAAAGAGGGTAGGCAAGACCAATGAGGAGCCAGGAGAACCAGATCAGAGATGTTGAGAGCCCCATACGTTTGGTTGCGAAGAGACCGCGACAGTGGACGATGGTTTCCATGGGCGAAAATCTCGATCTCGCATGTGAAGTAGACGTCGCTTGACTGTCACCACATGCCTCGAGCTGCTCTAGTGTCAAGCTGCAAGGACGGTTGTATTTGTTAGCAATAAAATGAAGAGTGTCAAACACTTCAGCATCCTTGCCTTCACCGATCAGAAACTTCGGTGTTTCTCTAAGCTTAATAACGAGAATCCGGGCAAGAGACATGACCAAGACAAGGGAGCCATCGGCAAACCAGACGTAGCGCCAGCCCATGTTGTTCGCACGAGTGCATGTCGCAGCGGTCGCACAAGAGTAGTTTGGAAGAAAAGCCCAAGAGAATAACCCAGCAACTAGTTGTCCAACACCCCACCAAGCAGCTAAGGCAGTGATCAACCATTGACTCTGACTAGGGAGGTATTCGAGGAAGACAGCCGTGTCAAGTACAAGATTGCCACCACTGCCAAAAGCAGATAAGCAGATGAACAGACCGAGGACAACCCAGTTTGGAGAACCACCTGCAACGATGGCGAAGACGGAAGAGATCATAAGAGAGAAGTTGAAAGCGAATTTGCGGCCAATGACATCTGCTGACAGGCCCCAGAAGAGGGCGCCGACCAACATGCCAACATACGCGGCGATGGTGAGACCTGAGAATTGGTTAGAACCTTTTGAGCACCCTGGAAATCTTTGACTCACCTTTAGGAAACGATGGTTGAAACTCTTTAGCGGCATACGAGGCAATGTTTCCTTGTACCAATAGAAGCAAACTGTCGACTGCGTAACTGTGTTGATGGAAACACGATGTCAGCTGTTCCGTGTATCCAAGCTGGGCAACGACATAGGCATGCGGCAGACACGCTGACCGAGATGTCACACTATGAGTATGTGCGTGTCACATGGGGTTGGTAGCCTGGAGTTTCTAATATGACAAGATCGTAGTAAAAACTGTCCCAAAGACGACACTCACCCAAAACCATTGAGAACAAACAGCTTCCAGTGGTAGCCCGTGAAGCCAATTTCATCAATGGCATTGTTCACCAAGTGCATCTTTGCGTTAAGGATCGAGTCGACATGTTCGGAACCAAGGATTTCACCTTTGCCTAAGGAAAGTATCTCGTCGTCGCTTTGGGGATTGATAGGATGAGGCTGAGCATTGACGTGTTTGGTTGCTTTGGTATCATCGAACAGAGGGGCCATGATGCTGTGGACGGCTATACGACAAGCGGGGTAGAAGTTGCGAACGGACAGCGATTGCCAGGCACGATTTGAAGAGTTCAATGTATAGAAATCTCTGTACGATTTGTAGGGCGATATGCTACGGACACGGTGTGCAGTAAGTATATCAAGTGTTCAGAGGATCAAAGTCTGTGAATATGATTGAGATAACAAGAAGTCATCTTCAAAATTGGCCCAATAGAAGAACACCCACGCGGTCCCTCCAAGAGTCGTGCATTGGCGACAAGGATAGTCTTGCCCGAGTCTAACCGGATTTGGTATGATGCAGTGCCTGATCAAGGAAATGCTACCACGTGCTTGCCCGCAAATTCAACCAGGAACTTTGTCCTTTATACCATCTCTATTTCTCTAGTCAATCATATACCAATTTACCACAAAAATGTTTGGAATGTCTCATTGTGAAACAGCTCACATTTTATATTGACCATCAGAGAATATCAAGACGATAGGCAACTAGGATTGCTGTCTGTGTCAACGTGTCCAGTACAAGTTGAGAAGGCGATTAAGCGGTCAAGCTGAGTGAGCAGATGTAGGCGTCTTTGACATGGAAGACCTGAATGAGACCAGAGAGGAGGCCCTAGGTCTGTGGCTGTCTACGTCGACTAACTCATCAAGTATCACGACAGGATAGCATTGCAGGTGAGTCTCGTGTTCGATGCATACAGCTATGATTCGCTCGTGTGCCTTGCATATGCACAATGAAGCTGTCTGCTGGGCGCAATTTTCGAGATTAAATCATTGACAAGAACTTTCTACTCCGTCCAACGATGATCTGTTGGCGGAATATGCAGTGATCATTCCAAAGCAAACTGCGACAGCTTGGTATCTTGGCTGCAGTGCTCCGTTTCTATTTTGCGACCGAAGTACGACGTATACAGCAAGCCGGCGTTTGGACTATATGTTGCCATTGGAAAAGTGCTGCATGCCATGGCTCGACAATTTCACCCAAAGACAGATGAAATATTGTGTCGTCTCATGGTTCGACATGATATATGTCGCATGCGCCTTCCGTTCGATGGCCGCTTCAATACCTGGTTCCTCCTCAGCATTCATCGCTGTCTATCGACTTGATTTGACATGATAATGTACAGACCCCTTGTCTTTGCACTCTTTGCAAGTGTAAAGGCAGTATTCGCTGCTTGTTCTGGCCCTCTAGTCATTGACAACTTTTCAAAGTGGTCGTCCAATTCAAACAACCTGAATGATTGGGTTAGCGGTACGTTCTAAGTGTATTTCGTTGTCATATACTTTGTCCCTCTTTCACCTCGCATCCAACCTCTCCCATTTCTCACCATTTGCTGATCGACATAGATGATGGCTCGATGACTTCAGCCAGCGCTGCTAATGGCAAGTTGTCTGTGGTTCCCAATGCCGACTCTTACTTCTACGAGACATTCCCATGTCAGACCGCCTTGTCTGATGGCTACAACGCTATCACCTTTTCTGTCAAAGGCCCTGTTAGTGGATCGTTCACGCTCGAAATCCAGACAAAGAGTGCATGTTCCGCCGATGCCTACCAGAGCCACTTCTACACTGTGTCCGACCTGACAGGTACCACACAGACCATCACTGTAACGCTGTCTTCGTTCCCCGGTGCCAACTTCAACGCTATCACGAGCTTTGTTTGGAGTGATTTCTCAAGCTTGTCTACCACCTGGGAGTTCGGCCAAATCCAGTTTGCATGTAATACTAGCTCTGGCCCTACATCAAGACCTAGCGGCGTGACCTCCCGGGTCATTTCTTCTTCGACTTCATCTAGCAAAGCTTCTGCACCCACTGGTCAATGTGCAGATCTTCTGATCGATGACTGGACTTCGCAGTCTCGTTTGACTTTTCTGTACTACAACGCCATGCTAAACCCAAGCTCGGACGATGGAACCATGGCATCTGTTGTTGTTGACTCGACGAAGAACAGAGTGACATACAGTCCTAAGGATGGAAGTAGCTACTTCTATACACAGCTTGGCTGTACTGATGCTAGGAACCGCTTTGGTGGTATCTCAATGAGGCTCAGTGCTCCTGCAGGTACGAGTCTGTCTGTTGAGCTTGATTCTGGATGCAATGGCGAGAGCGACAAGCAGTCGACTCTTTCGAGTAGCGAACTTGGATGGACATTTGACGGAAACGAGAAATTGTACAACATTGCTTTCGACAGGTTTGACGGTCTTGACATCTCAAAGATCGCAACATTGCTGTTCTCCCAGCTGACGTCGCCTGTCACTTTCGGTCCCATGGCTCTTTACTGCGGGGGCACTCCCACAGAGTACATTCCCGATGACTCTGACGCTCCTGTAGCTTCTACCTCGACGGTTCCAGCGCCATCCGCCACGGCATCTGCACTTGTCATTGATACATTTAGCAGCCAAGACAGCAATACACTTGGCAGTTGGCACGGTGCTGACGAAGGCATGACCTTGAGTTGGGGTACCAACAAGCTGACCATACAATCAAACGACGCAGACTACGCCTTCTACACTCAACTGTCGGGCAGTTGCCGCGACATGACAATGTATGATGGTAGCTATCTCCACATCGCATACACTGGCTCCGATGCCTTTACTATTGCTCTGCAGCAACACAATTCTGATTGCGATGAAACCATAGCGCCCTATCCGGAGACATGGGATTCTCTTGAGGCTGCTCGTTATGCCACTGCTACCGACATATACATCCCAATGAACCACTTCAACGTCAACAGAGGTCGTGCCATTGGCTTTGCTTTCAAAGGATTTTACAAGGCTGATCCCGTCACTCTAAGCAAAATTGAGATAGTCAAATCTGTTCCGGCAAACTTCAAAGTCCCCAACAAGCTTCCTTCTGGAAACCTGATCTTTGCGTGCAAACGACCAAACAGTTTCGCCTTTGCTATCGATGACGGTTCACCCGAGTATGCGCAGGAAGTGCTCAGCATAATCAAAGAGGAAGACATCAAGGTCACCTTCTTCACTGTTGGCGCACCACTTCTGGATCCTAGCACAAATCTCTCTAATGTGTATAATGAGATGGTGTCTGCAGGTCACCAGATTGCTTTACATTCTTATACGCACCCCAAGATGGAAGGTCTACCAGACTACGCAGCCATCGATTGGGAGTACAATCAAGACATTGCAGCTGTCAAACAAGTATTGCCTCGCGTAGGCAATACACGCTACTTCCGTCCTCCATTCGGTACCGAAGGCGCGCGTATGCGACAGCGTTTAGCCGTAGCCACTGGCTCTGACGAGCCATATATCGTCAACTGGAGCGTTGACGTCGAGGACTGGCTTTGGGCTGAGACAGACACACCTAAAAAGCAACTCGATGCATTCAAGCGTGATGTCGACAAAGGAGGCAATCTCGTTGTCATGCATTACTTGTATCCGAGTACTGTTGGTTACCTTCGCCAGTTCATACAGATAGCCAAAGCGACGGGCAAGCAGTTGATGCGTGTTGACCAGTGTATGGAGGATCCGGATGCACCTCCGTTGTGAGGGGGATCTATTCAAGATAGCTATTTTTAACCTGACCATCGATCCCCTAATCTCTGTGACTGCATCACCTGCCCCTACTTCTTCTTCCTTCTCAGGCTTTTGAAAGGATTGCCATACTGTTCAATATCATGCCCAAAATAATTCCACTTGCTTGTACTTCCAGTCATCCGAGCAAGCTTCCCCTTGTAAGTAGGATCCTCATCATAGTCTTCCACTTTCTTCGGATGTGTAGTGTGCATTTTATCTGTACGTGGATCTGATGGTGCAAACATGGCGCGAACGGCTGCGGCATTAGGTCCACTAGAGCCGGAAGCAGTGGGAACGTGTGCAGGAGCCCTTGGATTCCTGGTAAATTTCGGTTGGCCGGAAGGTGAGTTGTTGTTGCTGTATGTAGGTGGTCGATCAGAGCCTTCGTTGTATGACGGGAGTGTGGTTGCTGTGCTTTGCAGGCTACTCTTTGTGGGAACTGACGTTCGTCGCTTGAGTCTTGAAGCTGTGTCTTCCTCGTCTGTGCTGCACTTTTCTTCAGGTCCACCTCTATCGACTGTCGGTCCTGATAGACTGGTGTGATTGCTCATGACAAGAGTTCAGAAGTATTGTTCCATTGGAGACTTGTTAATGTCAGTTTGAAGAATCCGATGAGCATTCCTGAAAACAACAAACAATAAATCAGATTTCCTGACTGTGTTACTGTCTCTTCGTTGGATGTGAAGTAAAAAGACTCGACACCAAACTTCGAAGAAAGATATGACTTTGAAGAATGGTAGCAGATTAGGCACACGCAGCATTTTGAAGATCAGTGAATGATCGTTGTCGGGCAACATATATAGCAGAGGATGTTGCATCACTCCTTGGCACCTTCCAACCACGGGAATAAGAGGATCCTGGGCAGACTCGAAGGATGAAAGTCCCGCTGAAGTAAGTGGAGGCCGGCCTTGGCAGTGACAGAGTGCCAAGGTCAACCATGACATGGTAGTTGAGCTCAGGGTCGTCGGCACAAAGATTACAATACTGTTATATACTCTTCATCATCGACAGACGCACCGCAGGGGTATTGCAGACCACACTGCTCTACTCTGAACACGGACGAGATTCACCTGTGCATGGCAGGGCAAACTTGATGAGTATCGAGTATCACAGTCTAACATCGAGGTTTCTCACAAATCTGCCGTCCACCATCAGGACGTAGACCTTCACCAACTGTCTATCAGACGAAAGGGTAGGTGGAAGCCACAATGAACGAAGAAGAGTTCAAGGATAGATGTCGACTTCACGCCAGCCGGCCCATCTTCGGTATTAATATATGATATATACGAGATGAGAACACCTCGCGGTTTCTTCCTACATATACACCATATCGATTATGGCAAATACTCCCTTTATAACTGGCCATCTGGCCCATGATCTACTACATACTCTCGCAGATCTTGACAAAGGAGATAAACTCCTTGGAATCAGCTCACTTCTCGGAACCTCTGTTTCAACGACTGAAACTACTGTGAAGCATCCAAAAGGGCTTGTGGCAGTGATTTTGTTGCAATGGCTGGTTGTGTACTTGGTAAATATTCGTGGTCGAAGAGGAGAGTAAACGCAAAGACATCTAACACAACTTAGGTTCGCCACTTAATCCTCCGAACAGCAGGAACCTTGATGGTAGAAACAAAAACACGATACCATCATGATCGAGACTCCTCTAGGCTTTTCAACCACACCAATCTAGGATACCTTCGCCACGCCCTTGCTTCTCCTAGAAGATTACGTAGAGACATCATTCTGGGTTTCACCTACAACACACTCTTCTTGCTTCTCAGCAACTTGGTCTCTAGTTTCTCATCTTCGGCCAGCTGGGAGATACTCTCTCAAATCATCGTGGGTCTGCTTTTAGCAAACCTGCATCTACGCTGGACTTGCACCATTCTCTCTGCCAAGAAGCCCTTGAGGACGGGGACGATATCGCTTCCGAGGAGAGAGTTGATACTGCCAACGATGGTGGATGTTCTTGCTCAGCAAGTGACGGCGAGATTACCTGTGTATATCAGCAAAACGATCTCTGGACTTGCCTTGGACAGGCTCGAAGGCATTGCTGTTGCAGATGCTATTATTCTGATCACGGCTTTTGGGTTACGATTGCTTGTTCTGTATCCTGCTTTCGCTGCTCGTGTCTACAAGGAAATTCGGCAGCTAGATACGAAAAGAACAACGGATAGTGTTTCTGCCAATAGAGAAAGAACTTCGGGATTTGGAGCAAAGGTATATGGCGAGACCGTAAGGTTTTGCTTCAGAAAAACTGCGCTTGGATTTGTGCTTTTACATTTGCAAATGGTTTTGGTGCTTGTGGTGTTTGAGCTAGTAATGAGTCCTGTTCTTTATAGAGTGGTCTTTTGAGTTGATGGTTTGTGTAATCGACAAGACGTTAGTCAACAATTATATGGAAGCTTGGTTAGATCAAAGCCCTAGCTTGACCAAGGGTACAAGCATTGACCGGAAGACAAAATCAAATTATTGAAATATGGTCCGCGTATATACAAAAAGCGAGATTTCTAGTCGTCTAGTGACAAGCAAGTACAAGAGAATATTGAAATCGGCGCCTCTGTCCAAGACAACCAGTCGCGGGACAGGTGCAGTCTTCCCAGCCCAATTCCAGACATTAAGCATTAGAAACAAACAATACGAGACCATGAACCAGCATCTCAAAAACGCAACAAAAGCGTCTACACGCCAGAATCATCAACATAAATCCCCTTCTCCTTAGCCCATGGACGCCAGCTATCACAGACATCGTTCAAGAAGCAAGTATCAGTGACAGTATCCTTGATCAGCTCTTGGCCTTCAATGAACTGCAGAGCAAAGCCCATAGCCACATGCCAACCGATATGACAATGCATAAGCCAGACACCAGGATTATCGGTGAAGAAAGCAACGACAAGATGACCGCCTTGCCCTGTAGGGCCATCACCGGGCATAAAGGCCACATCACGGCGAGGAGGATTGTCGAGGTTGAGAGTGGTTCCGCTACCATAGTTTCCATATCCCGAGCCGAGAATGTAAATGTCGTGCCCGTGCAAGTGAATCTGTGAAGCGAAGAATTAGCAAGATATCGAATGGTGTTTGTGCATTCGGTTTACGCACCGGATGGCCGAGTGGCACGGCAGACTCAATGATCACGTAGACCCATTCTCCAAGAGAAGTAGAGATAGCGAGATCGCCTGAGTAGGTAGGAATGGTATCGTTGTTGATAATGCTGTAGAGGGTAGCATCACCCCAGTTGGCTTGGAAGGTTGTTCCATCGAGGTACCAACGATAGAGGTTGATGCCGTTGGAGTTGGAAACAGCAACATCGTGTTGAACAGTCTGGTGAGGGGAGCTGACAGATTTCTTGAGCACGGGAACCAAGCTGGCAAGAGGCTCGTCTTCGCAAGTACCAAGGATACCGCCGGCACCGTTGTCTTTGCGAGGGTATGTATGAGCAGTCGAGTTGGGAGTGACGCCAGCGCTGCCTTCGTAATGGATGATACCTCGAATATCGTCAGAGTTGGTGGTAGTAGCACATGCGTTCTGGTTGTCGAATCTCAAGAAGTAGTCGCCTACTGGCTGGTCGGCCTCGACGATGATCTCGTAACGCTGACCAATGTTTATGGACAAGACCGTGGTCTCGTACGGCACGATTGGGACAAAGTCAGCAGCAATGACTGTGAATTTGTGCCCGTCGATGTAGAACTTATAAGTTGACTGGATTGCACTGTTGAGGAGCTGGAAAAGATATTTCTTGCCAGGCACGAACTGGGTTGGGACAGTGTATCGCTGACCTGTAGGTTCGCCAGTCTTGGCAAGGGGATTGATGTTCATAGCATTGATCAAGCCAGTGTCCATGGTTCTGACACCAGCAACTTGTGCGTCGTTGTACATGTCATCAACAGGAATGTGAGACCAATCGCCGACGATAAGGTGACCAGCATCCACATCATAATCAGCTGACTTGGGGCCATGAATGTACATGGGACCGAAGAGCCCCTCGTAAGCCTGGAGAGTTAAGTGACTGTGATACCAGGAGAAACCATAGCTCTCTGCAATCCACCTGTAGGTCATGCTCTGACCAGGAGGAAGAGCGCACTGAGTTATGCCAACAACACCATCCATCTCGTTTGTGTAGTTCTGTCGAATTCCATGGAAATGGATGCTGGTGCCATTGCGAGTCATAGAGTTGGTGACATGGAAAACGACTTCATCGCCCCATGAGGCTTCCAGAAGTGGACCAGGAAATTGTCCGTTGACACAGAGTGCTTTGCGACTAACGCCATCAGGTGCAACCTCGCACTCAGTCAAATCGATGCTAAACTCAACAGTGTTGCAAGTCTTGGGTACGACAGCATAAGAATCATCGTTGATTGTAAGACCGCAGTACTTGTCAGTTCCAGGCTGTCCCTCGCAGCGAACACACGTAGCGGTAGAAGTTGGCTTCCTTGAGCAGGCAGTGGTGTTCGTGGCAACAGGATGACCAGATGAGATGCCACCCCAGTTGTTGAAATCCCAGGTAGATGTAGTGTTCGGATACCTTCCAGTCGAAGTAGATATGTTAGTTGAAGGACCAGTGACGATAGGCGCTGTTGTCAAAGGTGCGCTGATAGTGGAGTTAGACGAGCGTGTGAGGATGGTCGAGGTAATGCTTGACGTAAGGTTGTAGCTGGTGGTGAGAGAGGCTGAGGAGTTCAGGGCAGAGCTGCTGCTGCTGGTGGTAATGACGACTGAGCTGGAGGTGCCTGTACCAGTGGGTCCAACAGGTAAAGCACTTGTAGTGCCGTTTTCATAAGGTGCACCACTGGTCGTGCTCGACGAAATGCCGCTTGAACCGCCTGTGCCGATAGGGCTGATGATGACGGTTGTGGTGGTGATGGCTGAAGTTGAGACGCCAGTGCCAGTAGGCCTCATGGAGAAATCGCTGGTCGTTCCATTACCATAGAAACCGCCACTGGTGGTAGATGAAGAAATGCCGCTCGAAGGGCCTGTACCGTTGGGTGGTGTGATTACCGATGTTGACGAGATAAGACTGCTTGTGGAGTTTACTGGAACAGTTGAGCTGGAAGAGCGCTCAGTGGCAATAGGAGCGGTTGTGTTCGAGGTTGAGATACTGCTAGTCAACGTCACTGATGACGAAACAGTCGTTGAAGAAGTGGTGCTGTTTGTGGTAGGGATTTTTGAGCTAGTCGAGGATGTGGAAGATATTTTCAAGGAGCTGGTCGAAGACACTGTGGATGTGGTCAAAGAGATTTTGCTGGAGCTGCTTGAAGTGGTCGAAGGAGCAACACTGCTGCTGCTCGAGCTCTTGGGTGCATCCTTAATCTTGCGTGCACCTCTGATACCTTTGTTCGTCGTGCGATTCACAAGCTTGTTCTTCATGTAACAGGCGGTTCCAGACATGCTGATATCGATGCAACCCTCAGTAGCGTCGCAAGCGTTGACACAGTCGGCGATTCTGTTGCTGGCGATGTTGACAGACTTCAAGTCACCACCAGCGTAGTCAACAAAGCATTCGATAAGAAAAGTAGCACCGCTGTCAGCGACGAAGACCGTATTGTTTGCGGCAGGACATGCTGGACTAGTCGAGGTAGGAAGCGCTGAGGATGAAGAGCTGGTGGAAGAAGAGTTCGAGTATGAGACAGTCAAAGAGCTCGTCAAGGATGTCGACGATGCAGATGACCCAGATGTGGTGGAAGTGGTTGATGGAATGTTGGAGGTAGAGTTCGCAGCCTTGCCGACGAAGATGGCACCTCTGACGCTAGAATTCTTCACCGGTGTTCCGGCCTTGCTCTTCATGTAGCAAGCAGTACCAGACATTGCAATAGCTTTGCAGCCTTCAGTGGCATCACACTCGGCAAGACAATCCGCAATCTTGTTCGAGCTGATCCAAACCATTTTCAGATCATTACCAGCATAGTCAAGATAGCAGGTGATCTTGTACTGACTTCCAGTCTCGGATGTGTAGATTGTGTCATTTGATTTGGGACAAGTTGGGTTCGGATCAGCTCTGGAGACCAGGTTGCTCCAAGGCCATCCGCCATCGCATGAACCATTTTCTTCCTGGCAGCCTGCACCACAAAACCTGGCATCACCGCCACTGTGAAGTATCAGCAAGTGATCGTTGGAGAATCGGATCGTGTTATACATACCACCAGTTGTTCTTTCCGCAGCAGTCGCCAAACTTTGAGCCTTTGCATGTCACATCATGACCGCACATACCATTCTGGCTGACGAGCTTGCCCTTGTAGGTAGGGATGCAAGCACCGAACTGCTTCTGACAACCTATACCACAGAAGAAGAAGCCTTCACCACAAACCCCAGTTTTTGAACAACAATCGCCGAGGTATGAGTTCAAGCATGTCTGACCAGTGGCGCCACCGCACTTTCCGTCTTCACTAACAGCAAGCCCATTCATTTCGTGGGATGTGCTGGGAGCAGCGAGTACTCCGACTGCGCAGAGCAGTGCGGAGATTGTGTAGAAGCGCATCGATGGGGACGTAGGGAGTAAAACGAGAGAATGGATGAGAAGACGAGGATATCAGAGATACTAGGCGTGGTCAGACTAAACGATCGAAGCCTTGATCCCGTTGCCTGCTGGAGGATATAGTAAAGATGCCAGGTTGCTGAGCAGGAGAAGAGATTGCACAGATACTTATATGACCTACCCTGAGTATGTTCTCCGAATGGATCAATATCTGGTCCCCAATGGGAAACCATAGCCCTGGTACTTCAGGCCGCATCCTGGGCATCCTGTACAGATTTGGTCGCAAGAAACATGGCGTCCACCATGGCGTACCGAGAAAGGGCATGCTCGCAACAAAAGTGTTGCAGGAAGCCGGTACCAAGCACTCGGCGTCAGCAAAGAATAGGTAGATGGCGTGCGGAAGTGCATTCAAAGTCCGAAAAACTAAAGGTGTCCGGACGACGGCTCAGACGCAAAGGACCTGCATGTATACTGATGTACGACCATGTCGGAGTTTTTTGAACCAATGGAAAACGCAGGTGAATCAAGCAGGTACAATGGAACACAAACCTAATCTAAACTCAACATGTTGAGAATAGTGATCTTCCCTTGCCTCTGCCACGATGATAGCATTATCTTGATAGACCTGTTATGTGATCTCTCAAGTCTCTCACACAAAGATTGGCATTGCAAAGACAAGAAGTACGGCTCTCCGCTCGGGAAGGCGCAGAAAAAGTATCTCTTGGAAGATCCAAGCTGCACCAGCAAGTCCAAGAAATTTCCAAGATGAAGTGGAAACAGATGCAGAATGCTAGCTTAGGCTTGGCTCGATGCTGTCCGTTTACGGTATAGCGTGGATGCATGGCGTGAGCGGACGTGCTTCCCATGGTTACCTCTCGTGGTGCCCACATACAAACATCTCGTCGTCAGGCACAAATATGGAGGCTGTCGAAGGTGTCCGTGGTAGATTTGCGGAAGGAAGCTGCTTGTGGAAAGTGCCTGGAAGCCTGATCGATCACATCTCGTCGTGAGCGAGGGAACAGCATGCAGCTCATATCGTCGACGCTGCGCTGCGTATATTGCCGGTGTTGCTTGACATGCGTCTGTAAAGTGTTTTGCTGCTGATCGCTCACCGGTCCAAGAGATTGTTATGAAGAGACGGCACTCTTAAGCTTTGCTGTGCATATTCAAGGAATTATTCCAGGGCTGTATGGTATCTGCCGAATAATGCAAAAGCAGACGGGTGCTACAGTACGTCTCCTTCGACCAACGACATACGTTACCAAAATCACTGTCACATCTGCTCACACATGGTTAAAGTCTTTGGATCACACCTGCGTTGGCATCAAGAGCAGTCAGGATGATATCGATGTGAAAAGGATCAAGCGACTGAGCCCCACATCTCATCGCTTTCGCAGATATTGTCCGCAACCAATCAGTACGACTGCCATGGCAAGTGTATCATGCACTTGCCTGCATGGATGAGATCCCAACCAAGAATAGCAGTTCGGAGAATTTCTGGCTGCTTGCTCTGGCTTGCAGTTCGACAGCTGAATCATGCCGCATTTTGCTGACAGCAGAGGCGAATACGACCCTATCACTTTTGTCGCTGGGGTAGGATTTATTGTGCATTGCGCTATTGGACGAAGTGTATCAGGAGACTGCTTGCGTCAAGCGAGTCTGGCTTATTTACCATATCGATATCCCTGTTCATTGCGGCTCTGCGGTTACCCATTGAGCTGCATTCGAGTTTCTGACATTGGTGCGATTCGATATTTTGATCTCACTGTCAATGCATCTATCATGCGACCAGCGTGTGTTGACTATATCTATTAAGGTCAATGGTCTAAGCTGTAAACATGCGCCAGTGTGGAAGAATGACAAGAAGTGGTGGTTATCAAGGTCAGGGTGAGGGCAAAGGAAGATGGAGCTTTCCCCACAAGACGGGCCGAGAAGCGCGTCACCAGCTGGACAAGAAAGGTGGAAAGGGGACAACATTTAACAATTTTATTAGCATCAATTGCGACGAATTTGCAGGCGCAATAGACTAACAACACGAAGATATGGGTGGCCGATTATAACATTGAACTCAAGGACAACGACAACAATGAAGACGGCTAAGCGCATTGCGCTCGCCCTCTCGAATATCTTGATACCCATTGCGGTACTCGTTTTCGCAACGGGCTTCTTTCCCTATAAACCCTTCCTGTCTGGTCTGGCCACTTTTGAGGAAGTCGAGAATGAAGAGCTGGGACTTGGTTTGCTTAAGGGCAATGACCGGCCGCAGCGAATCTTTGACAAGGTTATCTTCATGACCGTCGACGCATTGAGGAGGTGTGTACGTTCCCCTACGCCTACACAGTCAAGAGCAGGTCGCTGATGGTCAGCCAGTGATTTCGTCTATGGCCATGGATCAGGCTTCACCTTTACCCAAGAACTCATCCGCTCTGGCGCCGCGCTGCCTTTTACCGCACATGCCACTCCGCCCACCATCACCATGCCCAGAGTCAAGGCACTAACCACTGGCTCGGTACCTTCGTTCCTCGACGTCATTCTCAACTTTGCCGAAAGCGACACCACTTCTTCTCTGGCCACTCAAGATACATGGCTGGCTCAAGCAAAAGCCAATCTCAACAGTGGGAACCTCATCTTCTACGGAGACGACACCTGGTTAAAGCTGTTCCCCAACTTCTTCGCCCGACACGATGGCACCAGCTCTTTCTTCGTCTCAGATTTCACAGAGGTCGACAACAACGTTACCCGGCATGTCCCAAGAGAACTGGAGCAACCTGACTGGGATGTCATGATTATGCATTATCTCGGGCTGGATCACATCGGTCACAAGGCCGGGCCCCTGAGTCTCAACATGCTGCCAAAACAGAAAGAGATGGATGGCATTGTCAAGAAGATATACGAGGCCATGGAACTCAACACCCACCTCGATGATACCTTGCTCGTTGTGGCTGGCGACCACGGCATGAACTCTGGTGGAAACCACGGAGGTTCTGCCCCTGGTGAGACCGAGCCCGCTCTCGTCTTCATTTCACCAAAGTTCATGGATCTGGACAAGTCAGCCTATTCCGCTCCCACTGATCCCAAAGAAGGAACCGAGTTCGAGTTCTACCGCAAGGTTGCTCAGAACGATGTCGTGCCTACGCTTTCCGCTCTTTTGGGCATTCCTATCCCTCGCAATAACCTTGGAATCATCCTGCCCGAGATGCTTGGCTTCTGGAACGCCAAGGTCAGCAGTGCAGGCTTGAACATCGCAGCCGAGTTGCTCTACAGGAATGCCTTACAGATGCTGAGCATCATCAAGGCTAAATTCGGTGACTCTGACGCCTGGAAGTACGATCCGAAAGTTCAAGGCTCTGTCCAAATGGACTGTCAAGATTTTGAAGATGAGCAAAGACTCAAGTGTCGCTGGATCTTGGTCAGAGACGCCCTGTCTCGTAGTATGCAACCAGGAGAGCTTGTGGCTTCTGTCGCGCATTTGAATGAGGCAAGTACAGCGGGTGTGTATATCATATGACTTGTGCTGACGCCTTTTCAGTTCCTCAAAGATGCCCAGGACGTCTTAAGTACTACAGCAAGTAGCTATAACGTCGATCGCTTGATCGCTGGTGCTGCTATTGCAGCCGTCTCTCTTGTTTTGGCTATCTTCTCAAAACAGCATGTCTGGCCACCAACATCTGCTGGTCTGGGCTTCACTTCGATCACCATCCTCTACGGCGTTCTGATGTTTGCCACTAGTTACGTCGAAGAAGAGCAACACTTCTGGTACTGGGCTACAGCGGCTTGGATGGCCTATCTCTATGCCGCAAAGTATGTACGATCCTTACGATCAGCAAAACGTCAGCTGACACATCCTTCCTCAGAACCAAAGTCATTGGACTTCAGACATCGGTGGTCTTCTCCGCTTTTGTCCTCCTCGCGCTTCATCGTCTATCAACACGCTGGAACCAGACTGGTCAAAAACATGCTGGCGAACCCGACGTCGCTCACACGTTCTTCCCTAACCACCACATCATCCTATGGACGCTGATCATCACGGCTTACATTCAACTAGCCTTCCGCATTGGACGACGTACTTTTGCTGACATCCTGGCTCCTGAGTTCGCAACCATTTCTGCCATCTCCCTGGTCTTGCCTTCGTTTGTCTTCAAGCTCAACTTCACTCAAGCCGATGCGCCAGAACTGGTTGGTAGCCTCGCCGAAACTATCAGAGAGTGGACTTCAGAGCTGGATCTTGTCACCCAAGCCAGGACCGCTTTTGTAGGAATGGCTATTGCCACTCTTGTTGTTCTCGTTATGGTCGTCCTAGGATACGGACGCGACGATGAAGCAGTAAAGAGAGGTGCCAGCGGGTTCACAGAATCTCGTCTTACATCTCGCCTTCACGATCTTCTTACGCTCTTCCTCATTACTCAAACACGCGCTCAAAACATCCCACTCTTCATGTTCTTTGACTTGCAGGCTCAAATTCTCTTCCATCTACTCTCGCGACCAACCGTACCCATCGCCACCAATTCTCATACATACACCAAACCTCTGCCGGTGCTTTCTACCACGATTACTATCCTTCTTATGGCGCATACTTCTTTCTTTGCACTCGGAAACTCCAACGCTATTTCTAGTATTGATCTCAGCAATGCGTACAATGGTGTAAGCGGCTACAATGTCGTTGCTGTTGGTGTCCTTCTCTTCGCGTCAAATTGGGCAGGTCCGATATACTGGAGCACTTGCGCGGCTGTACTCTTTACCCTACCTTCCATCGAACAAGAAGAAGCAGCCCTCGATCGTCTCGAAAAAGCAGCCGAAAGACAACGAACCCTAGGCAACAAAAAATGGATCCACGAGGAACGAGAACTTTTGCGTCAACAAGCTACAAACGTATCTGCCCCCACATCCAAGCAAGAGAAAAATGACACAGACATCTGGCATGAACATATCAGTATTATGTCTGTCTTCATCTCTGCGAGCTTGGTGGCTGTGATGGTGGCATGTACTGTTCTGAGGACGCATTTGTTTATTTGGACGGTGTTTAGTCCAAAGTATCTTTACGCTATGGCTTGGGCTGTTGCGTGGCATTTGATTGTTAACATTGGGATTGGAGGGTTGCTGTGGAGTGTTAGATAAGAGTGTAGATAGATCTTGTGAGTATGAGAAGGAGTAGGGAAAGGGTTGTTTATCAAGTTACAGTCTCCTAGCTGCAATTGGTCATTTAATATCCATCCTCTGCCTTCTACCGAAAAACAAGTTGGGATATGGTGACCATAAAAACATGAATGACTTCTTTCCAGGCAAATCGACCAAGTATCCATTTCTCATCACGCAAAACCCAAACCTCAAACATGTCGAAGTCAAAGCTCATCTCACCCTTACCACAAGGATCAAATGTCAACAAAGACGGAGCTACAGTTAATGGAAAACGTATATCTAAGTATGCTTGCACCACTTCTCCTCAACAACTATGGTGTAAACACCATCAAAACCTCCATCGTCTCTGTGATAAAGGGTTCACGCCGAGGAGCCTCAAGGCTGGAAATATGGTCTCGAAAACTCAGGAGACGAAACATTGGTATGGAACAGGTGAAAAGAGTGTTCTGACGGGTTTAGCTGTTTGGGTTCGGTGCAACGACACGCGGAGAAAAGGTCACTGATGAAGGGTTCGAGAAAGTATTGGGAACTTTTGAAGGGAAAGAAAGTCTGATATTTTCTGAGGAGCTACGGAGCGTACATTCTGGTTGGCAAAGCTAGGTTCATAGTAAAGTGATGGCAGTATCGAGTTGTCGGTTGCGCTCGTCGCCATTTTGAAGGAGCACACATCAGATCCGGTAAGCTTCAGATGAAGATCAGTATTGCTCGGTCCACATGGTATGTTAGAGCAAGCTCACATTAAGAATTTCTTCAAAGGCTTTTGGTCCACGGGTGACAGCAGCAGAGCTGGCTAGCATATCACTTGTTGGTGCAGGAACGGGTTTTGACCTCATTGACAGACACGGTTGTCTCCGACTTCTCCACCTCGAGATCTTCGACTGACTCCTGCGAGTCTCTGCTAGACTCCTCGAGTTCTTTGCGAGCCTTGACCTCTTCGAGGTGTTCGCGGAGTGGCTTGGACGAATAAGTGACATTGATGCGCAGTTCCAGGTCGGTAAGACTGTTTCGTCCAAGTAGACCGAAGAAGGCTCGATCGTTTGCATGGTAGGAAACTGCTCGTCTCTTTTGGCTGTCACGGAGGTTGTAGCTCATCGACATATTGACACTGTAGTCGTCTTTTTCAACATAGCCAATGGAACGATAGACCCCAGTGATACGTTTCCAAACCTCGGTCTCCACATCTCGCCATTTGGAATTGGGAGACAATGACAAGGCAGTCGGATTTTTGTAAAGCTCGGTTTCGTAGTGGCTTACTCCGTATTCGTTCTCCCTGATGGTGTCGTACAAGACGATGATAACGTCGTACGATTTGTTCTTGCGACCCCAAAACGGCATGGTTGTTCAGTAAATGAGAAGGATGGTTTGTACAACAATGCTGGGAATCAGCGACTTTTTGAACTAGGTGACACCCCACCCCGTCTGCTAAACCCTCTCAGGTGTACACACACAAGGTTTGTTGTGGGTATCAGATGAGCCTCATACAGCCTCACCATATTGATAACAATGGTTGTTGTGGGGACCCAATCAAGCTTCAAGGTGTATGCTGAGCTCAGAGTTCTGTGGAGTTCCAAATTCATAAGGGTGATCAGCTCTAGCAGGCAAGGAGCCTTATCTGTTCAATATTTCGTGATGATATCTGTTGCAACATTGGTCTGCTGCCATGTGGGGGACGAGGTTCCACCTCAGAGTCTGAAGCTTCCAAGGTTGCTGTTCAGAGAATTGGTACATTGTGTTACTTAGATTGGGTGCAAGAGCTGCTTGTTTCTCCAGAGCATGTCATTGTTGGAAAGTATGTTCGAACAACATCTGCTGATTGAGAGAGTTGTAGAATGTTTGTGCCTGTGCGGACCAGAAGGTTTTCATGGGCTCGCAACACGAAAATGTCGATATCGGCCAGTGCTAAGAATCTCTGGCACAGCAATATACATGAGGAGTTCTGCAGTGATATATTTAAGCTTCTTGGATGGTCGTTGATGCAGAGTATGAAGTCGCAAATCGAAGGCAGAGAGCCATGGAAACCTTCTGGTCGGCACTTTGGCGGCAAGATTTGCCGAACCGTCAACGACAGGGCGTGGCATCATTATCTCTCTTCGATTGAGTGATTCTTTCCTTTTCTGTTATTTTTTTCTTGACATTGGAGAGGGTAGGAAGTATTCTGATTTGAGTTTGTCGAAACCATGGTAAGTTGAGCTTTTTATCTCTCAATGACCAATTCCCAGCCGACATTCGATCACCATAAGAAACGCAATATCAAGGCGACAATGTGTTCTTAAAAGGATAAAGTGATTAATGAGAGTGCTTATGATAAACGCATGATTCCTGCACCATAATTACCTCAATTGGAAGAAATCAGTTCATGCTAATCATGGCCACAGGCTGCTTCCACAAGAACATATCTTGCGTTCCAGCACAATGCAAAGTTGTACTCTCTTGCAACAGCAGTCCGATCAATACGTTCAGCGACTTCACTAGAAGAGGCCAATCAATCTCTGTTCAAGCAAATCACCGATGACGACCATGTGGTTGTCACTGAGCAAACAATCTTCCACCCTCAAGGTGGTGGTCAGCCCTCCGACGTAGGCATCATGAAGACATCGAACAGCATTTTCAATGTCAGCGCTGTTCGCATGGATGCTGTTTCCAATGGACAAGTTCTGCATTTTGGACGTTTCGAGTCTGGAAACAGCGCATTTGCTGAAGGAGAAACCGTCACTCAGGAGATTGATACTGAGAAGCGCCTGCTCTACTCAAGGCTACACACAGCAGGACACGTACTCGGAGCTGCAACTAGAAAACTACTTGAGAAGGAGATCGAAGGATTCGATGAACTGAAGGCATCGCACTTCCCTGACGCTGCATCTTGCGAGTTCCAAGGGTCAATTGAGGGCAAGTGGAAAGATGCAATTCAGAAAAAGGTTGACGAATATATCGATAGTGACATGCCGGTGGAGATTGAATGGTGGGACGAGGAGGATTTCAAAAAGAATGGTCTTGAAAGACTTATCACCGACAACCCCAATGTTGCAGCAGGCGAGAAATTCAGAGTTGTCAAGATTGTTGGAGCAGATACTTATCCTTGTGGTGGCACTCATGTCGACAGCACAGCGGCTTGTGGCAAGACAACAGTCAGGAAGATCAGCAGGAGCAAGGGAACAAGCAGAGTTTCATATGCTGTTGCATAGATGAAAAAGAGATATAGATATGGACGCAACATTGGAATAGCAGAGCTTCATGAAAAACCTGCCATTGGGTCAACATCCAGCTGTTCTTGTCTTCTGCACAACAGTGGAATCCTTGTCTCTATCCAAAACAGCTACGAGCAGGACTGTCTTCGTTGCAAGGCGTAGACCGAACAGCCCAACAGTGACTAAAACTTCTCGGTTACGGTGTCGAAGGAAGATCAGACCTTGTACGGTGTTCAAGGCAGCGGCAACAATTCGAGACTCCCGTAGCTTGTCCATGCCGTACTCTGTCTTGTCCGTATCTTGTCTATGGTGTAGTCTGCCCGGTAACGGTGACCGGCATCGGTGCGAGGTATGCCGTAGTACATGAAACTTTAGCCGCAACGGCGAATCTCGAATGACGTAGCTGTTTACGACCTTCCCTTTTGGTTAGGCGATATGGTCAGAGATGACCAGATTTTGGATTCAAGTCGGAATTTGCTGCTCACCAAGCATCAGCAGGAGCTCTCAGATTTCCAAGCATGCTTAGTCGCCATATCAGCACTCCGATTGCGCAATTGGCACTGCACCCTAACCATCACTCATTTCACTGCGTTGAAACAAAGGACAGATTGGTAAGCGATCGTGCACGCCCCGGCCCTCCGGCAAAACCATCGCCTCACCGTTTTCTCCCAACTTCTATAGCCTGCTTAATAAAGCAGTGAAGTGCCTGACTAGAATAATTATGAATATAAGTAGGTGCCGCGTAAAACATACATCAAGTCTCCTCGTGTCTACACCTCAATTGCAGCATTTCCAGCGAACATCACTTTTTTCCTTTCGGCTTATCAACACATACAAAATGGCTGGCAAGCTTTTCCAACCTCTTCAAATCGGCAAGGCCAAGTTGTCAAACCGTCTGGCTATGGCTCCTTTGACTCGTTTCCGCGCCGATGATGACCACGTTCAACTTCCCTTCGTCAAGGAGTACTACTCTCAGCGTGCTTGCGTTCCTGGAACTCTTTTGATCACTGAGGCAACTCCCATCTCCGCTCGCGCTGGTGGCTACAACAACGTTCCTGGAATCTACACCGATGCCCAGATCAAGGCCTGGAAGGAGATTGTCGATGCTGTCCACGCCAAGGGTGGTGTTATCTACATGCAGCTGTGGGCTCTTGGCCGTGCTGCTGACCCTAGCGTTCTCAAGAAGGATGGCTACGATTTCTGCTCTTCCTCTGACATTCCTATGAGCGACAACTCGCCTAAGCCCCGTCCTCTTACTGAGGAGGAGATTCAGATCTTCATCAAGGATTACGCCAACGCTGCCAAGAACGCTGTTGAGGGTGCAGGATTCGACGGAGTTGAGATTCACGGTGCAAACGGCTACCTGATCGATCAGTTCACTCAGGATGTCTGCAACAAGCGTACCGACAAGTGGGGCGGCAGCATCGAGAACCGTACTCGCTTCGCTCTTGAAGTCACTAAGGCTGTTGTTAATGCCGTTGGTGCCGACAAGACTGGTATCAGATTGTCTCCATGGTCTCCTTTCCAGAGCATGAAGATGGACGATCCTATCCCTACTTTCACCTACCTCATCAACGGCCTCAAGGAGCACAAGCTCGCCTACCTCCACTTGGTCGAGTCTAGAATCCAGGGCAATGCTGATGTTGAGTCGACCGAGAAGATCAACTTTGCCGTTGATGCTTGGGGCAACACCTCTCCCATCCTCATTGCTGGTGGTTTCCGTGCTGACAGCGCCCGTCGCGCTGCCGATGAGGAATACGCAGACAAGGATATTATGGTCGTCTTTGGCAGATACTTCATCTCCACTCCTGACCTTGTCTACCGCATCAAGGAGAACATCCCTCTTGCCGACTACGACCGTGACACCTTCTACGCCGCCAAGAGCGAGAAGGGTTACACCGACTACCCCTTCAGCGAGCAGTTCCAGAAGGAGGCCAAGCTCTAAACATACCGTTTCATGTTTTTAATTCCCCGAGATACCACTAGACATTTTGATAGAGTCTAGATTACCATAAATGTTCATGAATAGACGACATTACTTTGCTACAATCACTTTTGCTCTATGTTTGATAGACTTCAGCCCACTGATCGATAGTCATAACAGGATTGCGATTAACTGGGGCGCTGTGTAGAGGTCCGCTACGTACGTTCTTAGGCACACGATACACACGAAGACGGAATAGTACATGCGGAGAGACACTGTTTCATCTGCTCTTCCTAAGTACACCTCCAGTGTCAAGCGGTAATGTATCTTTACGTCAACAGCAAATAAGTCGATGCTCCCACACTTCTCTAGCTCACATCAGCTCTCTGTCTGCTAATCGGGATCCATATTCGATTACCGCATTCTTATAATCATATGTTTGTTTGATCTCTTCCTTGACCCAGCTCCTGGTCAGCGGATGCCAGGCCAGTATCCTGCCTATGACGAAAGCCTGTCGGAGGGTTAACATGATGTTCGTGTGATACCAGTCTTTGTTTGTCTTGATCCGAAGAAGGACACAACATACCAAAGCCAGGTCGAATCCTTTGGCAATCTCCATCTGCCAGCTCGAAAATTTGGACTGAGGTCCAACTTTGAACCTCGTGGCTCTTGCAACAAGGACACCATTCACAGTAACATGATACTGGTCCAGATCGATCCTTGGTTGATGTATGTGTATGTTGACCAGCCTTCCGTCCCCAGCCAGATTTTCGACACTCAAGTCAATTCCTGTACTCCATGATTTGCTCGATGAAGAGTCGGAAGAGCCAATGAGTCTGTAGCCAGTACCATCAGGCACGTGAATCTGCCACTTGCATCCTTTTCCCAAGTCGCCGATACCTTTGTGAAATTTTAGACGAAAGACGGCATTGCCTTGAATGTCTTTAACGGAGAGCTCTGGTCGCCACCAGGAACTTTTGCCAAGTGTGAACAATTTAATTCCGGATCCCGTCGAAGAGTAGAGGCCTGGAGTTACAACGCTTGCCTCCTATTTGCCAGCGTCTAGCTCTTCGTTCAGGAGAGTGAGAAGGATTGTCGATGCTTCAGTTGCCAGGCACGAAGATAAGACCCCGATGGGTGACGAGAGAGGGTTGAGAGTTGTAGAGGCCATAGTTTATAGGGTCTGGTAGATAGAGGAGAGAGCGTGTATAGGATATGGATGAATAATCAAGCGATACAGGTGCTCGATGAATGATGTGGTGGTGGTTGGCAGGGAAAGATGGTTGTGTTATTCATGAAATTGAAAGTCTGGAAGTGTCTATGATTCGGCTTCGAAGGTAAGCACGAAGGACCTCGTCACACGTGTAGCATCAACCACAATTGCTGGAAACAGCGCTCATTCACAGAAAGCGATCATCTCAATGACTCGCAATAGACACTTTCCTAACTTGAGGATGATGGTGTATTCTGCTGACTGCACTTGTCCCAGCCTACTTCATATGCCGTCTTTTCCTGCTGGATAGAGTTGCCGGCATGACAATGCCTCTTGATGTGGTTACTCTATGGAATCAGAGTTCCGCTCTGTTCCCTGTTGTCACTCTGAGCCACCCGACAGAGCACGTCGCCCAGAGATGCCGCGCGGCTTGGCAGGCAATCCTCCTTTCGTCTGCTTGATGAGCCAAAGAATAAATTGGTCGTGATCGATCTTAGCCCTGCTCATTGCAGCCCTGAGGAGGCTTTCATCAACCCTCCTTTCTCCTACGACCCGCTTTGTATTTCAACGCCGTTGCTTGTGATATTGCTTTGCGACATTTAGACTTCATGTTTCCTCACATGACGCGGTCATGACTTCGACAGCCCATCCTTCCGCCCGCTACTCGTACCATTCTTCCCAATGGCATCCTAATAACCCACCCCTTATTGATCGCGTTGTGAATAACTGGCACCGCCAAGAGGAGAAACGCTCAGAAAGATCGCATTACTACTCGGACTCGGACGAAGACGACGACGACCGTGAACTTACCCATTGTTGCGATCTCGACTCAGACGCCTCGTTCATCAACCTCTGTCATGCTTTCTGCGCAAACCGCAAAGTCCGCCGCGCAATGTTCTTGATCGCAGTCGCCTTCCTCGCTCTTTACTTCCTGTTCAATGGCCTCCTCCTTCCGGCATGGCGAGAACGACAGGCTATAGAAGAAGGTCTCGACAATCCCGAATCCTTTGGTCATCAGGTTCCCGATCCGTTCAGTGGCATTACACAATTACAACAAATACCACACAAATATGTGCCCGGTGGTGCATCCGATCCGGATGGCAAGAGACGTCTAATTTTCATTGGCGACATACACGGCTGCAAGAACGAACTTCTTGAACTGTTGAAGGTTGTCGGATTCAACAAGGAAATGGACAAGATTATTGCGACTGGCGATGTCATCGCAAAAGGGCCTGACTCTCCTGGTGTCATAGACACGCTAATGTCTCTTGATGCTCTATCCGTGCGTGGTAATCACGAAGACCGTGTCTTGTTGGCTGCCAATGCGCGAACCACCGCCGAAAGTCCTGCCGAAAGCAATGACGAGTCCTCCACAGATGTCTCGGCTGCGTCAAGAGGTGCTGGACTCAAAGGAGAGGCTCTTCTTGACTACCTCAAACCGCGCCATCTCAAGTGGCTTCGTTCGCTCCCACTGATCATTCATATTCCTGCACTTGCTCCACCAAAGCGTCCTGCTCCAACGACTTCTGTCGCAGACACTCTCAGTAAGAAGAAGCCAAAGAAGACTTTCCAGATCTTAGATGATATCAATATCGTACATGCTGGCCTCGTCCCGTCTGTGCCTCTCCTTCGACAAGATCCCTTTTCTGTCATGAACATGAGATCCATGTCACCAACCAACCATGTGCCTAGCGAGAACCGCAAGAGAGGCATCCCATGGGAACGTGTCTGGGGATGGTACAACGACCGCATTGCACGCACTCACTCAACGTTCATGTCTTGGCTGTTCGGTTTTACTACCGAGTCTTCAGAAGCCAGTGAATGGTGGAAATCATGGCATGGCATGCACAGCAGCAGAGACGATGATGGGGAAGCACAAACATTGATCAAACATTCGAAACCATCTGTTGTCGTGTATGGCCATGACAGTCCTCGTGGCCTGAATCTACACAGATGGAGCAAGGGCCTTGACAGTGGCTGTGTCAATGGCGATCAGCTCTCTGCCATGGTCCTGAACGCCTGGGGCCAAGCAGAGATTGTCCAGGTAGACTGCAAGCACCGCAAATGAGTGCTTCACAAAAATCTGCAACAATTGGAGTTTTGGGAAACCATACTTGAGCATTTTCATACATACACAGCATCGGGATGGCGTTTCTGAGCGATTTAGATTTTTTTCTTCTTTTTTTTTTCTTCTCGTAGATGAGCCACGAAACATCTATACATATATAACTTTCTTTCATCACTGTCGAGGCTATTTCTGTTCTCGTTGCGAGTACCTTGTTATCTAACAGCTCGGTCCTTATGTGCACCGAAGAGTCAAAATGGGTCGCCGATGTTTGAGAGCAAGCAGCAAAGCGCTAGTCTCTTATCACTTCTCAGCCATGAGATGATGTTGCATCTGGAAAGCCTTTTGCTCTTGCTGCTACCATAATGAGGGGTCAACAGTTCTTTCTCTCACGGGCGGCAGATTTGAAGTACATGTTACATGGTATAAGGTATACCTCGATGAACAATGGTAGGCAATTGGTTTAAGGAATTGATTCGGGAGATTTACAGAGATGCAGATGCCCCCTGCATTCCTCGAGACAGACAAAGGGAGGCGCGACAGAAAGTGACCATTGTCAAGCATGAACAGCAAAAGACAATTCTATTCTGACCGCTCAAACCTACACTCTCACAGATACGGTACACAATAGATAATTTCAACTTTTTTTGTGATCATTTTTGTCCTTTTTATCTGTGTGTCTTCCTTCTTTCCGGGTTTGCCGTTCTATACATCGCAAGAGAAGAAAACCCCGATGGTGCTTTAGACCCTTTTCGATACCATATGCATTTGTCTCTGCCAAAGGCGCCATGCAAAAAAAAAACTCGTTTCTAAGCACCCTGATCCATGCCCACGCGATGCCGAAATGGAAGAATGGCTGCTGCTGAAAAAAAGAAAACGAAAATGAGAAAATGAGAAAATCGACATGAAGAGAGACAAGGAAAACGCTCAATGGTATCTTTTGTGTGAAGAAAAACATGAAGATGTGTTCCTGTGCTTCCCGCTCTTTTTTTGCTCCGATTTGTTGCACAATCCATATGGTGCGCTTTCTCCCTTTGTCGCTTATATTCATATTTTTGTGGCCTTTCAAAACATGAAACAAAATCCAGATATGTGAAACAGTGCTTCCTTTCGATCATGCAGATAGTTTTCATCATCTGCCTCCAGCAAAACGTCAAAGCGATAATGGCAAGCAGAAACCTGGGCCGGGTATCCAATCATCCAGGTCCACTGCAATCCAGCCGCTCGCTTATCCGCCCTTTCTATCGGCTTCGTTGGCAGGCAAGGGCTCTCCACCGCCAGTCTTGGGTGCATGTGAACCTTTGGACGCTGTGTTGGATTTGCTCTTCTTATGTCCCTTTCTTGCTGGAGCTTGCTGCCAAGAATTGTTGGTGTTGTTCGAAGGAGTTTGATGTTTACCACCGTCGCCGCGGTTCGAGTTCCCGTTCTGAGACTTTGAGGCCGCTTCTGCGTGCTTGCCATTGACGATCTGAACGTTTTGCGCAAGTTTGTGGTGAGGTCCAGGTTTGGAGGACTCGGCTGCTCTACCAAGGGCGGGTGATGGCGTACGTATCTCAGCAACGGGCGAGAGAAGCGGTCCTGTAATCGCGTGAATAGAAGCAGCTTGCGTGACATCGCTAAGGCTGGATGGAGCAGCGTGGTTTGTATCTTGGGCTCGCGAGACGGATGCAGCATGGTTCGAGATTCCTTGAGGGTCAGGGGCGTTTTGTCTCCAGACAGGTGTCGGAACATTTTGGGCTACATGAGCTGGCAACGAAGGCTCGGCTGTGTGCCCATTCGTACGATTGGCGAAATGTCTAGGGGCGGCTTCAGCTGTGTCATGCTGCTTACCATTGGTATGAAACATGGACGCATCCAAGGACATCTGTTGGATCTGCTCAGTTGGGACCAAATCGGGAGTGGCATCACTGGTCTTCTGAGGCATTGGAGTTGAGGCTATCGTCATAGACGGCTGTCGTTGTCTCGCGCTTGCCATGTTGGATCCATTCACGATAACGGGTCCCTGGTTATCATTGAGCCTGGGTTGGACCGGCATGGTTTGAAGTGGCTGTGGGGAGAAAGGTTGAGAACCAGCAATTGGGTGCGCAGACGCCGAGCTTGAGTGGCGACGACCACCAGCAAACGGTGAAGGCGAACGGGACAGATGACGCATACCATCAGAAACAGGCATTCCAAGCTCAGGAGATATGCGTCTGTCAGGTAGCGGAGCAATGTCTCTTAGCTGAGGAACTTGTACCAAGTTGCTACTCTGGAACTGAGGAATAAGCTGGGGAGACTGCCCGACGTAGTAGCCGACATATTCCTTAGGCATGGCGGTCTCGGTAGGGAAGACGCCATTGGCTTGTCTTACTGAACCATTTGGCTGCATCTGGGGGAATTGCTGCACTGATCGTGACAACATATATGGGGTGGCGATAGCGCCAGACACATCGTAGCCTGGGTGAGCAAGACCTTGTAGAGTCAACGGGTTGGGGTAGGAGCGTCCAGGCTGAGACTGTGAACGAGCCGAGGCGTTAGTTGTGCCTTCCGTGATAGACCCGCGATGTACCCCTCTGCGCAAAGTAGGGGTTGCGCTCTGGAGTGAAGGAGAAGAAGGGCCAACAATGGTGTCCTCAGTGTTTCTTGATTGAGACAATGGTGAGGGCGGAGGATATCTTGCGGGATAGTGATATAGGTAGCCAGGCAAAAGTGGTGGTGCTGTCGTAGGCGAATTGTCGAAAGTCCTTGCATTGTGCGGACTTGGGATAGTGTTCGCAAATTGTCGGGAACGAGGTGAGGTACCTAGATCAATTCCACGAGCTTGCGCCTGGACCTGAACTTGTTGCAACTGGGCCTGTGTTTGCTGTTGTTGTAGAAGCTGATTCCTCAAAGCTTCCTGCTGGGCTTGTAAGAAGCGATACTGCTTGTAGAGTTGGTTATGCAGCTGATCAGTCGATATGGATGTGGTTGAGAAGTAATCTGCAGGGTTAGGGATCCCGACCGGCGGGCTCATAACGTATGGCATCCTTTGGTTACCATAAGCTGTTCCACTCGAAGATCTACGACCATTTCGCTGATTAGACGCATTGCGGTTGTTCCTTGCGCCATTCCCGTTTCCTCGTCCTTGGTTATTCCCATTGTTCGGCCGTCCAGACTGGGAAGCACTTCGTGTGAGGATAGGTTTAGGCTTAGGTGTCGGCCTTTGGAAGATGTTCTTTTCAACCACCGGCCACTCGAACTGCGCGCAACATTCTTCAAGACCAGAGCCATCCTTCAACAGATCAAATGCTCTTCGGATCTCCTTGTGTATGCCCGTGAAAGCGTAGAGGTCAGCAGAATTTCCAAGATTCCGTTGCGTGTTGAATGGCTCCTCGACGCAAAGGCGATTGTGCGACTCCTTCTCCATGTGGTTGCTTGTGTCCCATCCCTTCTCTTTGCGTGGAAGCGGCTTCCCTTCCTTCACTGAGACCACATGCTCTCCATAGTCGAAGACATAGCCGTAGTATCGAAAGAAGTGAAACATGAGCTGACCCAAGCTTTCAGAATTGCCTTTTCCATAACCACGCAGCTCTTCTAGGTTATCGGCAAATGCTGAAGGCTGGCCGTTGACTTGGATGGAGCGAGAACCGGGCATCTTCTGGAGGGAGGGGAGGATAGGCGGGTCGCGGGTCTGCAAGAAATTGAGAATCATGCATATCCATGTGTAGGAACTAATAGTGCCTCCAAAGGCTGCGAGAAGTAATTAGCGTACAGGCTTTAACCAGCCAAGGCAGGGGCGCGCACCAGCATCGTTCAATATTCTCCTTTTCGTCCAGTACTTGATGATCTTAGCAAGCGGCCGTACTCGCTCGTCGATCTGGACATATGTCTTAATCATGCGCGTGTTCTCGAGAGCCAGTGGGTTGTTGACGTTGAGATCGCACGCGAGTTGCAGTTCCGGATCCCACATCTTGACAATCGGAACCTTTGCGCCTGCTCTGCAGACAACGTTTTGCATGCCATCTGCCAAAGGTAAGCTTGAGCGTACGACGACAAAAAAAAATTGCCCAGAACTACTTACGTCGATGCAGAACAGCAGCCAAGGTGTGCATGGACTCGAGCGCTTTCAAAGGTGTGGTTACACAAACATCAACTGCGAGCAACAATCAGCACATGACGATCAGAGCCGAGCATGAATATGCGCACCATCAGAGTCGTTCGAGCTGAGCAGGTTCCCTGAGGATCCAAACACATTGACTCTTATCTCATTGCCGGGCCATTCTCCGTTCAAGATATCCTCTAATTTCTGGACGAGTTTCCGTCTTCTTTCTTCGCTCTCTTCTGTCGGCAATAATCGATCATAGAGCTCTCTCATGTCGCCACTCAATTTTTCATCCTGCTCTGGATCGAGAGCCACCTTGGGCTCTTCTGTCGGCGGCGGTAACGGAACATCGCCACCTTCAAGGTATGGGATTCGTCGTGTTCTGTACTCAGGGCCGGCCTCGAATCTACAAAACTCTTGCGTCGGTTTCGCTGCGATCGGAGTACCGGTAGACCCGGGGACTGCTGAGTGAGGAGAGTTGTGTCCTAGCGTCTTGCTGGGAGAAGGCGATCGCGAACGGAACCGAAGGTCTCGCGGATGTTGATGCGGCGTGGAGGGTACGGAATTTGATTGCTGGGAATTTGTCGAACGTCTTTGGGCGAACGAAGCAGCTGCCATGTTTGAGGTATGACTAGACGTCATGAAGATGTTCCAACGTGGTTGGCCTTGCAGGTAATCCTCATGCTCGAACTTCGGAAGACTTGATCGATATGCCGCGGGGGTGTTGCTGGCACGGCGACAGCAGACAGGGATCGAATGTGTCGGCAGACCAGCTGAGCCCAGGAGAGGTGGTCAGAACGTATGCGAGAATATTCGAGAGGGTTGCAGGTGCGTGAGCGATCTGGTCGACGGAGGCGCTTGTGGCACACCCGGTCCAATGTCCTTGGATTCCCTTTGTCTCTTTCAAACACGGGCTTCTGCGGGCGCTGGTTTTGAGAAATGCAGGAACAAGAGCAAACGACTATGAACACCAGAGAGTCGATGGACAGGCGGAGCAAACCAGGAAGTGGCGGCCGAGTTGGGCGTTGTGAATGGGGAAGGCAGGATGGGTAAAGTGTTTCCTTGTCTTTGCTTTGTGTGCTTCTAGACGAGAGAATGATGGAGAAGACGTCGGGATCGTCTCTTATGCAACCCCCTGCTTTACACTGCGCAGTTTCTGGCAGCAATCGACCGGGTATTGCAACGACTGATACGCTGCTTCTTTGCGCTTGTTTAGAAGACCAAGATGCACCTATTCACTTGTTTCTCTCGCTCTGTTCATTCACAGGCCCTGAAACATCATCATCGGAAGGCGCTTGGGCCTCCTCTCCTACTCGACTCGCATAAATCAGTCATTGAATTTCCATGTATTTGTGACCTTGACCCGATTTCTTTTTTTCAACAAACGGCAATCAGTTCCGAGCCATTCGTGTCCTCTGTTTCGGTTAACTTATCTTGTGCCTCGGCCGTCTTCTCGTGCATCTCCTGATCGGTTAGCAGCAGTCTCGGGTTAGGAAGCAAGGCTGAATGACCGAGGCCTCTTACCAAAAATGCTGCACTCGTGTAAGACAAAGAAATGGAAGCCAATACACCATCCGAGAGCACCGAAATACGAAAGACTCGAATTTTGCTATCCAGCCTGGGCCTATCATGTTCGCAATCACACCGTTCTGCACAATAGATGCTACATTGAACTTGTAACTCGCGCGCTTGCCGAAACTTATCAATTCAACTACTGTGATTAACCTCTAGATTCTGCACAAAGCCTGGAGACCCTCCTTTGTCTTGGAATTATATTCCTTGACCAAACCTGCGATTTGCTTAAACTCTGGAACCGAAGCATCGCCCATGCATTCGTAGAGCCACGACTCGCTAGTGGTGACAATTGCGCCCTCAGCTCTCAATCTTGCCAATGCGATTGGGACTTCCTCCTTGTTGCAGCTGCTGACAGCATCGGCAATAATGTAAACCTTGTGTCCTTCCCTAAGCAGGTCAAGTGTCGTCTGTGTAACGCAGATGTGGCTCTCGATACCAACAATGATGACCTCTCTTTTCTCACCACCGAGCTTCTTGAAAGCGTCGCGTATCTCAGGCACAAACATTGAGAAAGCACTCTTGTCAACATGGGCATGGGTCTGTATGCCTCCTGGACTGTCCAGACCGAGCTCACTGCATGTCTCTCCCAGTTTAGCGCGCAGTTGAGTTGTTGCAAAAACAGGAATGTCGAGTATCTGGCAAGCCTTGAGTAGCTTCTGAGTCGTGCTGATCACACGTCCGTACTCGTAGATGGCCGAGCGAAACTTCTCTTGAAGATCGCATATGCTGTCCGCAAGGTGAGCGATAGATCACTAGAGTATGATCAAGCAACATTGATGGTCTTACAAGAGAGCGGGTTTGACTGTATAATTGTTAGTCTAGATGCATACTGCTAGTTGGACACATGTTGTAAGTACCAAGTCTTCGGGTGGCAGCCATGTTTGAACGCCCTGTTTGGTATCGATGTAGACTCAATCAATTCTTTGAACAAGTTATCTATCACTTGATATGCGATACTGTTTGTCTGTTCGGTAGAATGACCACCTCCACTTCCCTTTGACCCGGCAGGTCATCCCGTCATGTCTCCCCCACAATCAGGGCCGAAGCCGCTTCTGGCCAGCCTCACCCTGCACAAGGGACGTTTGATTTGCGGGAGGCTTCTGGTCCCTGACTCCTTGTCAACACATAACATAAAGTCAACCTGAAACAAATGCTTGAAATTAGAATAACTACAGTCCGTACGAGATCGATTGTCACGCTGTCAAGAATTCAGAAACCAGAAGGCCAGGTTGGCATTGATGAAGATTCAATTCAAAGGGCTTGCTCAAAAGTCAAGTCCAGCAGTAATAAGCATAAGCTCTCAGGTATCTCTCAGGTCGTGACGGTCATGGGAAACCGCATGATTGTATCTCAAAGTGCTCTTCTCCATATGCACCGATGTCCGGCGCTACTTCTACTTCTGCATCATAAGTTGGACGAACTCGTTGTCTGGCGGATAAAGTCAGCGCAGTCCATTCACGGCCGATATAACAATGTAGACTTACAGTCGATTCTGCCGTCGCCGTCCTGGTCGGCCTCTCTGATCATCTCATCGACCTCGTCGTCAGTCAACTTCTCGCCGATCGAGGTCATGACATGGCGAAGCTCAGCGGCCGAGATAAAACCGTTGTTGTCGCGGTCAAAGACCTTGAAGGCCTCTCTGATCTCCTCCTCGGAGTCCGTGTCCTTCATCTTGCGGGCCATCATGGTCAGGAACTCTGTTGGGGGATAGACGTCAGCTTCCTGGTTTGCACGAGAGCAGTTCAGGATGGGGCTGAGACTAACCAGGGAAGTCGATAGTTCCGTTGTTGTCAGCGTCCACCTCGTTGATCATGTCCTGGAGCTCCGACTCGCTAGGGTTCTGGCCGAGAGAGCGCATGACGGTGCCCAACTCCTTGGTGGTGATCTGACCTGTGCGGTTTTGTTAATACGGCTTGTCCTGGTGCGGTGGGTACTCGTGTCGATAGATGGGATTGGAGAGAGGTGAATAGGAAGCTGAAGAGACGTACCATCGCCATCCTTGTCCTGTGAGAGGGTTAGTATGGCTGCGACAAGTTGGGTGCCTAGACGCGCAAAGCGCAGGGAGGATGGAAGGTAGGCAGCGGAGACTTACAAAGAGAGAGAAGGCTTCCTTGAATTCAGAGACTTGCTCTTCGGTCAGCGAGTCGGCCTGTGGGTGGTGTCAGCAAGTGCAATGGCGGTAGAGGGCATCAGCAGCAAGCGCCTCCTGAGCATGGCGGGGCTGATTGAGCGACAAGGGGTGAGGCTACCATTTTTGCGATATGAGTTGTGGACGAGAGTGTATCGAAAGGTGGATAGAGGAGAAGCTGGCGTTTCGGATGGGTATGCGACTAGACCAGAATGCAAGAAACGGGAGTGTTGTGTTGTCGGGAGAGGAGGAGGCAGAATGCTTGATTCGGCCTGTTTCACAGTTGCTGGGCGGGAGCTGCTCTGTGCCTCCGCCGTGCTTGATTGCCCACGTCAGCAACCACCTTGACCCTGTCCCCAAGCATCTACAAGTTCCAACCCAGATGCGAAAGTGACACAACACCAAAGTTTCCCATGCCGCCGTCTCTTGTTCCATGTTGATCCAAAGTCTTCTCATAACCGCGCATCATGTGGCGCGATAGAACCAACCTGTACTGCATCCCAAAGCAACAATCCACTACTGCTCCAAACTGACCATGTCTCCCTGCCTAGCTTCATTTCATATCGCCAGTCCTATTCGCATCATCCTACCACCAAAAAGTCTCGAATCGCAGGAGGCTTCGCAGACAATGCCGCTGAATCTGAAGAAACCAGAGGACTCATGTCCGCTGGTGCTTTCGACGATGGAGATGCCGTGATTGAAATGGACCGTCTACCTCCGCGCTGGCTCGACGTCCAAGACCAAGTCACCGAATGGTTGGAGAACATCACAAAGCAAATCAAAAAGTTGGACCAGTTGTGCCAGAAGCACGTGCTACCAGGCTTCGACGATGAGCAGGTCAAAAAGAGGGAAGAGCGCGAGATCGAGTCTATGACCCAGGAGATTACAAGAGGCTTCCAGACCTGTCAACGCGCTATTCGCCGTATCGACAATATGGTCAAAGAGTCGCAGCAAACCGGAAGTCTAAGTCGAGGGGAGGAGACCATGGCACAGAACCTCAAAGTCTCGCTGGCTACGAGGGTAGGAGACAGCAGCGCATTGTTCCGCAAGAAGCAGTCTGCCTACCTCAAGAGTATGTCTCGTACCCTACTTTCAAAACATCTAGTCGTTGTGACTAACGACTACTGCAGAACTACGCGCACTCGGCGGCATGAACTCACCTCTCGATCGAGCCACTTCCCCTGTTCAGAATCCCTACACTGATCCCTCCCTGATGGACTCCGAGATCGATCGCAGCTCAGCACAAACCACACTCTTACAAACCAAACAAAAGCAACGCTCTGCCGGCTTGCATGATTCGACCATTGCCCAGCGAGAGCGCGAAATCGAAGACATCGCACAAGGCATCATCGACTTGTCCAACATCTTCCAGGAGCTGCAAACCATGGTCATTGACCAAGGCAGCATGTTGGACCGTATCGATTACAATGTTGAGAACATGGCAACAGAAGTCAAACAAGCCGAGAAGGAATTGAAGGTCGCTACCGGTTACCAGAAGAAATCGACAAAGCGAAAGATCATCTTGCTGCTGATCCTCATAATCGCTGGTATGTTCATCTTGTTGATGATCAAACCCAAGAGTCGCAGTGCCCCTGCACCAACTCCTCCGCCGGCACCTGTTGCGCCAGCAGAACCTCCTGTCCAGCCTCCCAAACCGCCACCACGACGGAACGTGGTCTTGGACGAGCTTATAGGCACGAGCAAGGATTGGCGAAGGCGGAAGCGAACGATTAATGAGTTTGTGAGTTTTTAAAGATTAATAATGCTATACATTTCATTGCGGCCCATCATTATTGCAACTTGGTCATTCACGGCTTTTTGTACGTCCAGAACCCCATTAGGCCTGCTTTCGGAAGTCATCTGCCTTCTGAACACACTGCCTTGCCATCTCGGTCTGTTCATCCGTTTGACAGATGAGGACTCTGTGCTTGGATCCAGATTTCGTGATGTCCACCACTTGCTTGTCATCAGGTTTCTTGTTCTTCTCCTGGTCAAGTTCAAAGCCAAGACAACCCAGTTGCTCGACCACACGAGAACGTAGCTCAACTCCCTTTTCTCCAATACCACCAGCAAAGACCAGGGCATCCAGCTTGCCTCCCATCTTAACGTAGTAACCGCCCACAAAGTTCAGAATCTTGTCGACGAACAGGTTGAAGGCGAGTTGACAATCTTTGTCACCTTGCTCTGCTTTTGAGCTGATGACACCAAAGTCAGTGGTTCCAGCAATTGCACTCCAACCACTCTTCTTGTTGAGGATCTCTTCAGCCTCGGTGATGTGCAGCTCCTTAGTGCTGCTGCGACTGGGCTTTCCAGCTGTGTGGGTAAAGTGGAAGATTAGACTGGGGTCGACAGAGCCTGATCTGGTTGCACCAGGAAGACCAGCCAAGGGGGTCAAGCCCATGGTAGTATCGAAGGATTTTCCATCGACGATGGCACAGGCAGAGGCACCACTGCCAAGGTGAAGAGCGATGATGTTGAGAGAGTCGGCGGGTTTGTTCAGAGACTCTGCCACTGATCTGGTGATGAACGCATATGAGAGACCATGGAAGCCGTACTTGCGAAGCTTGTTGGTCTTTGCTCGCTTTTGGTCAATGGGGTATGTGCGGATGTGTTCTGGGATCTGAGATATGCCATGTCAGATTGGGTTCTTGTTCTCTTTGCATGTCGCACTTACAGAAGAGTGGAACGCCGAGTCGAAGAAAGCAATGTTGGTTGCTGCGGGCAGTTGTTCGTGGACAGCTTTGACAATAGTCAAGGCACCTGCGTTGTGGCTTGAATGCTGATTAGCTGTGATCAGGAATCGAGCTTCAAAGACTTACAGAGGCGCCAGATCAGAGAGTTCTTCGATCTGATGATAGGTCTCCCTATCAATTCTCGTAGGCTTGTCAAACTCTCCTCCATGAACTACTCTATGGCATGCAAACTCAATATCCTCCTTGTTCTTGAGTTCAGGCAGACCATCATCGTTCAAGAGGTGCTCAAGGATGTATTTGAAAGCATCTTCTTGAGAACTGGCACCTTCAATCTTCTGATCCTTGACTTTGTGGTCTCCGCGTTTGTATGTGAGTGTTGAGGGAGGTGCAGTCAATCCAGCAACGGACACTTCAGCAAGCTGAGATGGCTCGGTGTCCTTGGAAGTTCCCTTGAAGACTGAGACTTTGACGGACGAAGAGCCGGCGTTGATAGCTAGGATGACTTTGGACATTTTGATCTTCCTTAACTGAAAGCAAGGTTGTTCTGTTGAGCTTCTGAAAGATGCCCTTTTGTGACAGGGAACATGACGCAATGCGAGGTTGATCATCCCACTCCGGACTTGCCGAAGCATGTGAACATGACTTCAAGCTGGTCCCGACACCCTGGCTTGTATCCATAACAGACCTCAGAATAAAAGGTCAAGCAGTTCTTGTTGAGCATCAAATACGCCTCCGTGAGCGGGCGTAGACAAGAAGCTGTAAAATTGATTGAAATAACCGTAGACACAACATCGGCGGTCCTTCGTGCTCTTACTCAATCGAAAGCTTCGAAAGAAAAGGTTGCCAAAATCCACAGACGAATCACCAATACCAGCGTAACCGCCTGAGGTCCACTGACGAGTAGTGTCGCTGTTGCCAATGTCACGACAGTCAAAACATTGTGCATTTCAACAGCTGTTTTGGCTTAAGTCTATACATCAATGGTAGGCTTGCTCCCGAATGGGAACTGGTATGACATGGTCTTGAACAGCACGCCAACTAGTTGTCATGTCAGACTGCAAACGTGCATGACGTGCGGACTACTGCTAGGTGGTAGAACAGCTGACAGTTGCATCTTGTTTTCGTTTCGTGCGTTTCGAGACTGTTAAGCTTGATCTCTGCCAAGGGCACAAAAGAGCCGACTTTGCTGCCAAGAATGTGTTGCCCTATCGCTTTGTCGCTATCGATATGGTCCGATCGCATGGACTGTTACGGCCCGAGGTCGAGCAGCGGAGAAAGAAGATGTAAAATCTGTTGCTACGATGTGTTATATGAATTCAGAAGGGTACCTGCCTTAGCTTTGACACGACAGCGCGCTTGCGGAATGATAGTTTCAGCTTCACGAAGATCATCATGTGTCTATATTATGAGTAGTTTTTTCTGACTACAGGCGTCGACCTCGCACGACAGCGGGTGAGAAGCGGCAAGCAGTCGGCTATCTATACGACTTCATCAAAGGAGATACCTGCTGGCTTGTTGGGCTTGATAGGCCAAGCCTCATCCTTACCTTCCAGGTCAAGGGGTTGTCGAGAACCAGATATTGCGGGGATTTAAAGTTGAAGCTAGCGCAGTCGAGGGGTTCGACAGAATAACAGAAGCAAGATAGAAGGACATGTTCAGAGAAGAGAGCAGCTGTCAATCAAGCGATACAGGTCTTGGTCGATGCAGGCCAAGTGGGAATCAAGCAGGAGAGCAAGTGGCATGCAGCTGAGATTAGATGCGACATGGATAAGAGATGAGGCATTGGCGCAACACGTCGAATCAAGTTTAATGAGGCTGGACTAAGAAAAGTTAGTGGCTTTCCGTCTTCTGGGGGTGCCGCGTGCTCGTCTCGGACTCGAGACGGCCTGAATCTCATCACATGTTGCAGATGTCATTGATGGTTGCAAGTGGATAGCATCAGGTCGAAGAAGAGAAACGTTTGCCAGTTGCACAGGCGATGCAGAAGCGAAGAAAGGGAAGGACACGGCAACAGGTCGTGAGATAACGGGTCTACTGGCGTTGGCCGGGCTGCCACGAGCTGTGGGTTGGTCGTTGGTGTGGAGAGGGGACAAGAAGTAGAAGATGGAAAGCTACGGTGGTTAGGCCCTGCCTCGATTGCGCGCCACAACTTAGCCCCCCTCTCTATTGTCCCATTCGATCCCACGAACGACGTGCTGGTTGCGCCGTGTCTTGCGACGACGTCTGCTGCGTTTTCTCCTTCTGCCGTCTGCTGCTCACCAGGCTTTTCTCTTTTACCCATCCGCGTGTCCCTCCTGCTGCGCCTCCATTCTCCTTTAGTCTTGCCTCGCATCGCTCGAGTGCAAAGAACACACTCGCTCTGGAGCAGAACCGCATTTCCACACACACAAACACATTACCATAATACTGCCATCGCTGTCGTGTCGTATACGCCCACGCCAGACGAGACCACGTCCTAAGCCGCTCATCATGGTGCGGCCAGCGACTCCGCTTTCTGTTCTATTCTTCATCGCCTTCGTTTTGCTGTTGCTGAGCACGCTTTCTACGCCCATTATCCAAGCCATTCCCCTGGCCCAATTCGATGGTGTCGACTTTGGAGTCTTTGGTTATTGTCAGAATGGAAAATGCAGTTCCTTGAGGGTTGGTTACGACACAGGTACGCTACATCTGTCAGGGCACGCCGATCACCTTTCTGACTCGTCTTGTAGACAAACTATTCTCAGCCGCCGACAACAATGAATTCTCTCTACCGTCGAGTACTCGAGCCTCGCTCTCGTCCATTCTCATCGTCCATCCTGTCGCAGCTTTCTTGACCCTCATTTGCTTCGCCCTGGCTGTCGCAGCCCACTTCCACTCGCCGGCCCACTCTCCTCGCTATCTTCTGGCTCTGCTCATCCTGACATTCCCCACACTCCTTGTTGCTCTCTTAGCTTTCCTGGTCGACATTCTCTTGTTCGTTCCGCATATGCAGTGGGGAGGATGGATTGTTCTGGCAGCTACCATCCTCATTATTGCTTCCGGTGTCGTTACTTGCGCTATGAGAAGGACTCTGGTATCAAGAAAGGCTCGCAAGAAGCGCATTGCTGAGAATGCTGAGATGAACGGCGCCAACTACTACAACAACATGCAGAGTGAGCGCCTCATGGCTGATGAGCTACCTAGAGCGGATAGCCCCCCACCCATGGATGGCACTTTCGATAACGCCAAAGGACCTCAATTTGCAGCCTTCGAGACCAAGAGCAATGAGAGGAGAAGTGACGATCGCGCACCACTCAACCCTAGAGCGCCGTCTGTGACCAGCAACAATACTGCTCCTAGTGCGCGCCCCATGGATGACGATCTTCCTCCCATGCCTGCTCAACCCGCAGACCCTTACAACTCTCAGCAGAATGGCAACCCTCCCATAATGTTGATGCGTCAAACTTCTGATGGCTCACACGTTCCTCAAGACCCAAACCGCATGGGACCCCCACCTCCTGGCTACGGACGAGGCAGAGGCGGCGGCTACCCTGCTCGTGGAGGTTACGGCCCCCCTAGGGGTGGATTTGCACCACGAGGCTCCTTCGGTCCTGGTCCAAGAGGTGGTTATGGTCCTGGCAGAGGCGGCCCGCAGGGTATGAGAGGCCCTCCTCCTCCTGGCTGGAACGGTCCACAAGGCAGAGGAATGGGTCCTGGTCCTGGTCCTGGCTTTGGCCCTGGCCCCGGCCCAATGATGGGTCGCGGTCAGCGTAACCCTCCTCCAGGCTACAGCAACGACCCTCTTCCCCCTCCTGGTGTTGGTCCTTTCCCACGTAGAAATGGCTCTCCCGAAGAACCTGCCAATGGCGAGATCATCGGTCAGGCCATCGAAATGGACGAAAGAACCGGAAGTCCTGCAATCCAGTCGCCTGTCCGATACGAACATGACGTGCCTGGTATGATTGGTGCAGCTCAGCCGATGCCGCGCCCTCGCAGAGACATCACTCCAGTCAATCAGAGACAGCCAAGTGGAGGTGAACCTGTCACTCCATCAAGCATCTATTCGGAATCAACATATGTGCAACCACGAGTCGGATGGGATGCACCTCCTGTTCCTAGACATGCCCCTGCACCAGCGGCTCAGATGAATGCTGCACCTCCTCTCTCACCTATCCAGGCTTCTCCAACATCTCGTCATAGACGCGCTGGTTCTGAGTCTTACTATGAAGATGTCGATCCTCGCTTTGCTGCCGCTGATGAGTCGTCTATGGTCGGTGCTCCGATCCCGACAACTTTGACTCCTGGTCCTCAGATCCCTACTGTGCGCCACCCTACGCCCGAACGCCTGCAAATTGGTCAGAACCATGAAGGGCCATCTCTGGAGAGGGACAGCTCGTATGAGAACATCGAGGGTGCATTGTCTCCTGCCATGTCTGACACCAGTAACTTCACGTCGGTAAGTCAGCGTGGTGTCAACCCGAACTGGCGTCCGCCACCAGGTTATGGCCCTGGACCAGCGATGAGCCTACCACAGCAACGCAGGAACGAACAGAATGACATGATTCTTGGACAGAATCCAGACTTCATGTTGCCTGGCATGCGCGGTGCAGCTCGAGGCGGTCGCGGCAGAGGCATGCCACGTCCTAACCCCACCGGACTGACTCCTCCTGGCCGTTACCCGAGTGCGATGTAAGGCCGTTGATGCCAAATAATGTTTATGTACTTTTACCTTTCTGGTGGATAGGGCTGGTCTTTATTTCGATTCTAGACGAACGCATCTTTTTACGTGGCGCTTGATGAATTGGCGGCGAGAAGGCGTTTTGAAAACAAGCCATTCTGCTTTTTTATAGTATAGCATGTTCGGTTCGCTCACGGCACAAAAGTACATGTATCGGTGACGCATTGGACGACTGAATGATATATAGATGTCAGAGAATTCAGACACATGATTCAAGAAATTGTACCACAATTGACCGAGACTCGCGTATGACCGTGAACACTGCATGTACAATGCCCACTGGAGGGTGGAGGGTGGAGATGATCTTGGCTGTAGTCTAAACTTGGGCTCTAAAGAAGATTGTGTGTTAAGCAGTAAATCTTGATCAATTACCGTACCAATCACCATTTCCTCGAAGTGCGAGCCTTCTTGCTAGGTTGATGAAAAGTGAAAGGACAACACGAATTGATGGTTATGCAAGCAAGCGATGGAAGTGTTCTAGAATTGGCGGGACTGTATTTTTTGGTGTAAGGCGATCAAATATACGTCGAGCCTCAGAGTTTGTGTGTCGCTTGCTGAAAAGAACATCAAGAGCAGCAAGATACTCGAGCTGTTATCTATGTTCGAAAAGTGAATGGTCAAGGAAGGAGCGATGGTCAAGCGGAGCGGCAAATCCCCGGCCGCACCCACCTTGCCAAGACGTGAAGCGGTCCGCGACGCACCAGACAGAATTCGCAAAGCCCACCTGAGATTTCTCGAACAGACAGCGACACGACCGACCCTCTCACAGCCAGCCGCACAGTCGATACTTCAAAATGAGTTAGTCGCCGCCCGTATACTCTCGTCAGAGCGATGGAATCTGGATAACTAACATCTGCGCGCAGCCAAGGGTACTGGATCTTTCGGCAAGCGCCACAACAAGACGCACGTTCTGTGCAGACGCTGCGGTATGCACTCCCACCACCTCTACGACCGACGACGACGAACGCTCTCGATCAATCTCCTGGATCCGAAATGCTGACGGACCATCGAATACAGGCTCCCGCTCTCTCCACGTCCAGAAGCACACTTGCTCCAACTGCGGCTACCCTAGCGCTAGCATCAGAAAGTGTACGTTCCGATCCTATACATACTCCTCCAACACGATCACTATACCTCCGACACTGCCATCATGGCCTACGAACAACCGATCGACATTTCCCGACACATGAACACCCGCACCCGAACCACTACACATTCCTCCTCTCAAACATAAGAACATTACATCTGACATGAAGCAACACAGTCAACTGGGGCGAGAAGGCCAAGAGAAGAAAGACCACCGGTACCGGCCGCATGCGCTCATTGAAGCTCGTCTCCCGCAAGTTCAGCAACGGCTTCCGCAACGGCACCCCCAAGGGCGCCCGTGGCCCCCAGAACGCCTCCGCCTAAACGATGACTTCTCCTTGAAAGAAAAAGGATGGGGTTGATCAAATCATCTGAATGACACAAAAACGCGCGTTGTTGCTTAGGTTCAGGCATTGATTCAGGGGAGTTTCTTCTTTTATCGGCATTAGGGCAATGAGATTATTTTGCACAAACCATAATGTGGATGCTTTCTCCCAACTGGTCATGGTCTTTAGCCTGTGGCTGCCCGCCGTGGAGAGGGGAAAAAAGAGAATATGAAGAGAAATGACAAAACTTCATCTGGCTGTCCAAAACAACGAAAAGACAAGAGAGAGCGTGCTGGAAAAGTGGCTCTCGTCTACGAGCCCTTTTGCCAGGCAAAGTCGTATGAACTGTTCCGAAAATGACCTGCTTTTGTTTCCTTGCTCGTTCGCATGACTTTTAGTGTGATCATCTTGAGTACTGGACTACCATCACGACCTTGACTACTTGCATGCCGACCTTGGTGCACATGACTTGAGTTCAGACATGCCCCCAATGTCGACATACTCTTTCTACTATCTTTAGGTCACAACCACCCTAAGCCCTTCACACTGTGCTTATAAGAGATTGAAAGACATCAACTTTTAACAATATGTGCTGTATATGTCTGAAAAACCAACATGATAAGAACAAACATCATAAGTATCGTGAAGCCCATCATCATCTCATCCATTCATATCTCATCGCCCCCATCATCTCTCATCCTTCCCTCTCCCACTCACTCATACCTTACAAATCTCAAACATGAACTCTCTGAAGTCACCTTTTGTGGCATCCTCAACAGCTTGGTCGAGTTCCTTGTGATACTTCTCGACATATTCGCGCTTGACACGAGCTAAATGTGCTTGGTCCCAGTGCACGCGGATGAGTCTGGAGATGAGGAGTTCGTAGCGGAGTTCTTCGGTGTGGTTGTGGGTGCTAATGTCGGAGATGGCGTGGTGCAGGAGGAGGGCGTCTCGTGCTGGGCGGTTGATTGCTCCGTTGAGGACGTGGGTGCTTACTTCTCCCTGTAATCAGATCTGATCAGTATTGTTGCCAATGTTACGGTAACGTCTGATGGGACATGAGTGTCGAAAGGAGAGACTTACCACAAGATTATTGCTCTTCTTCAATGCCTCCCTCGCGAAATTGACACCGAAACGACGTTCATATGCCTTCAACACCTCTCGCAAGTGTGCATCGCTCCTTCTAACCACAATCTCCAACATGGTGCTTTCTCCGCCTTCCTTGGCTATCAAGCACCTGTTCAACACATCCACATCCTTGTCAACATATTGCCTCGGGTACACCTCATTTTCCTCTTGTCTCCTAGCTTCCAGTGCAGTCAAGACGGCAACACTGAACTTATTTGGCTTAAGTTCCTTTTCCATACACCGGATCAAATCATCATTGTACCGTTTATCCTTGAAGGACTCTGTGATTTGTCGTATTTCGGCATTACTGCGTCCCATCAAGCTTTCAATCAGTAACTCGCGTCTACTGCTGTGGGACTGATACCAAAAATTTGCCCAATAGCCTTCGCTCTCATATCTTCCCAACGCACACACATAAACTGCTTTTCCAAAGTTGCCGGAGAGTTTGAGTTTCATGTGTTTGGCAATGTTGATGCCTCTGCCTTGAACTTTGACATGTTTCTTGTACTCCTTTCGCAGTTCGAGAATTTGGTCGTGGGTTAGTTTGGGAAGGATTGTGCAGATTGTGTCGACGTCGATTCTGTGGTGCGAGATTGCTTCGTTGAGGGCTAGAGCGTCTTTTTCTGCGTCGTAGAGTCTGGCTCGCTTTTTGGGTTCTGCGCTGGAGAAGTCGATTTTGGAGGTGCTGCTTCTGGAGCGTCTGTGGTGTTTGCTGTCGGAGGATGGACCGGGTGAGAGTGAGGATAACTTGTCGAGATCACTGTCTGAAGATAATCTCATTGGTGCTATCATGGGAGATACGGATTGATAGGTTCCTCGATATGCTTCTAGCAAGGGACTGGGTGGAGGTAATGTCCCAGCTGAGTCTGGTCTGTTGCCACTGACTGACAGACGGTCCATACGCACATTCAGACCGAGATTGGCCTGTTTGGAGATACCAGGAGTCACATCGACAGTCTGAGCCTTGAGGGATATTTGAGATTGCTTTCCAGCAGTCGGACTGTACGTTTGAGTCTCATAGCGTGCTGATGGCTGATCAGGTCTAGTCTGCGAATATTGATATTGCTGAGACTGTCCAGAAGGAGGTTTAGAAGTCGTATACTGGGGCTCCTGATAACTGCCAGACGGAGGATAATGATAAGAGGTAGTGGTATAGCCCGCTGGCGAAGATGCCCGCTGACTACTCACACTACTCCCACGACCCCTTCTAGATTCCGGCAATGGCAGAGTCCCATACGCCAGATCGGCATCATCATCGTGTGCGTCCCTAGACGCAACATACCCCGGTCGTTCATGCGGTGGAAGATCCTTGTAGTCGCCCATATCAATGTCATGTGGTACAGTGGGGTAAGGCAGTTGTCCCACAACAGGATAAGGAAGATGTTGTCCATCGCTACGCAACCCACTTCCGGAGTTGACAATATATCCGTCGTCAAAGTCACCGGGCATGGGAGGCATGGTCACCACCGGTGCGATGTGACGTGGTACTGAAGCTGGAGTGTTGGCGTAGACATACTCGGCAGGCCTGTCTGGAGTGATGTTATGCGTTTTTCTCACATTGCTGTGTGAACGCGATCTGTCACGTCGCGAGTGCGATTTGGACCTCGAGCGCGACGAGCGATGGTCTTCTGGTCGTAGAGACATGCTTATCTCCAGGAGAGTCTCAGATTCCAAGTCAGATGTCGTTGGAATCTATCCACGAGAAAGTGAACTCCAGATCCGACACCAATACAGAGACCAAAATCGGCGCCAATCTACTATTGCTCTACTGCATCTTTGTCATACTCACATAGGATCTGTTGAGCGATGTGGTTAGTGCGGGGAGGCGGTGAAGGATCGCAAGCGCCTTGGAAGTTCGCTTGCGAGATGAACACAGATTGGTCATACGACCAGAATATAAACCAACTAATTCGTGAGCTATTGGATTTGAGCATCAGCACATTAAATGAGAGAGGCCATGGTGTTCAATTAGAAAGTGGGTTGTCATCAATTAGAGTATTATTGTACAGGGTAGTAAAATCTTCGTCGCCATCCCCCAGTCGTAATCATGAAAGGACGTGATAAGAAAACGCGAAAAACAAAGCTGAGCATGCAAGCATGCTTTTGGGTATCCCAAATGGACGGCTACTAGTAATCAAGAATTATAGGAACCATCTTGGAAGCGTTTGAGCGTCCAAATAAAGCAGGGTGCTGGTGATTATGCACTTCTGATTTAGACAGTCTCGGCGGTCTGGCCGTCGGTAGTAGCGGCAGCGGTGTTGTTGTTGTTGGTGTTGGGGTGGACGTTGGGGCCAGGAGCGCCGACCTTGTCCTTAACAGCGGGGTCCTTCTCGTCGTAGTCGTGGATGTAAAGACCAAGGCGAGCAGGGTCGATGCCACGGTGACCCCAGATAAGGAGAGCACCGAAGACGGGCTTAGCGAACAGGTCGAGGATACCGTAGAAGATGGCCTCAGAGTCAGGGGAGATGACGTTGCCACCCTCGCAGAGACCCCAGGCAACGGGGTACAAGATCCAGAGGAAAGTGGTGAGCGAGCCGCACATGGTGAAGACCTTGCCAACATCGCTGCCGAGAGCGCTGGCGTGACGGCGAGCCTCCCAGACAAGAACCCAGACGACGTAGAAGAGAGCAGCGCAGCCGAAGGCGAAGTAACCCCACTTGTAAGAGCTGCGGACGAGAGCACCAACGAGACCAGTGACAATCATAACCTCATCGACCAAGACGACGAAGAGGAGAGTGGGCCAAGGCATGGCGGCTGTCAACAGGAGATCCATCAGGAGGAGAGGAGTGGTGATGAACCAGTCGATGTAGCGGACGTAGAAGATCTCACGGTTGACACCGCGAACGACGGGGTCGCTGCGCATGAACTCAACATCGATAGGGGTCCAGCCGAGGTTGGAAGCCATGGAGAAGTAAGCAATAGCGGCAACCATAGTGATAGCAGCGGTGATGTAGTGGAAGATACGGTGCTGGCGAGGCTTGGTAATGCCCAGACCGAGGAAGACGAAGGTGCAAGTAGTCATGACAGCGCAGACAGTCCAGTACCAATCAGAACCGCGGACGGTGATGGCAATGTCGACGGTCTTGCCGTTGACAGTGTTGCCTGCAAATTTGGTAAGCGTGCTGTGCATAGTGATGGTAAGAGATAGCAAATTTACCATTGACGTTGAGGGCGTCGTTTCTCTTGGAGAGGTAGTCCATCGTGAGTGGTATGGGATGGGATGAGGCAAACAATGCTGCAGTGAGGATGATTGTAGATGAATGGTTGATGGCGAGGGAAGTTGTGGTTTATAACCGTGGTGCAAGGAATGCGCGGAAGTATGCGGTCAGGCCAAAACAGATTGGCATCAGACTATGACGAGATTGAGGGAAGCAGCGCTTCACTTCTGGATCGACGACCCTTTCTTGTCCCCGTCACTGCTTACCTCGAAACACCAACGGACCACCATCCCCAAAATGATCTACGGGTAGTAGCACAGGCCCAACGCGCCACGCCATCAACATATCACTATTGCACTGCAGGGCCCTTCACACCGCGGATTTTGAACAAGCATAGCGTTCCGAATTGACCGAGAGCATAACACCACTGCCGTCACAAGAAACCGTGCAAAGTAGTCGCTATCGAACCCATCATGAATCGAAGCCAACCACCCACGTACGTAAAATGTCTCTGACATCATCGTCATCAGCGGCTCTGGGGTCCGGTCGATCGCGACCTCGCGACGCCATCAAGCCACCAAGCAGTCCAAGCCCTTTCCGCAACCCGATCGTGAAAAGCTTGAATCAACTTCGGGGATCAAACTCAAATAACAAGCCAACCCATCATGGTGTCCGGCATCGAAAAAACAACTGTCTATCGTTCTTGCTTTCCTGACCCTTTTTTAGACTTTAGCAGACGTTGTCATTGTTTTCCCTTGGAAAGTCAGCTATGACGTGACTCTCTTTCAACTTCCCTGTATCGCGCGGTGTCGTGACAACCGTACCTGTATGCAGATGCATGTGAAAAGAAGAGGTGCAAATTGGCGGTCGGGGTAACATGACATGGTTCGTGTCAATCAATCGAACCTGATCACAAGGTGTACGTACCCTTCATAGCAGCAATCGATTATTCATTTCTGTAGACCATGTCTGATTATTCATATCTCATTAATTCGACGACGACCATCAAGATAATCGGCGCATCAAACAAGAAAAGTTGGGTTCCGAGAATCAACAACATGATATCAAGGGTAGTCCGCCATGGGCCGAAAATGCCGAGGAAGGTGTATGGGAGCAAATAAGAATATGTTCGCTACTAGTTGCTGTTATTGCACATGCATGTGTCACACCCATGCGAAGGGTCTCACTGCATGGAAAGCAGGTTCACCACGGCGCGAGATCGTAAATCCGTGAGTCGTGACCTCCCATAAATCCGGCATCCTGCGGGAATCATTTCCAGCTCACCTGATTCGGGTTGCGATCAAGTAATTATTATGTAGGTTATTTCCAAGAGAGAAAACGGCCATATCAGGGCCCAGGGATCGAAGAACAGTGGCTTGAATGGTAAAATATTATTACAAAGTCTATTCATTTAAGAAACATAAGGGTTCTCTGTGAGTCAAGGCTTAACTTTGCTTTCCCAGAGAGATACCGAGAGCAAGAATGAGCAGTGCAAAGAGCATGTAGACAATCCACTCAAGCGTCAAAGTAGTCTGCACTTGATCAAGGATGCCAGTTCGCTCAATCTTCGATGGCCCGGTCTGCCACGGAATCTCTACGCCGAGATCCTGACAGACCTGTTCCGCAACCAACCGACCTCCGGCTAGCACGATGGGTACTCCTGTGCCAGGATGAGCGCTGGCGCCAACCATGTAGAGACGCTCAATGCTACCTCCACTGAAGAGAAGCTCGCCAATTCTTCCCAGGATGCCGCCGCCGAAGCGGCCGTCTAGCCAACCACCTCGTCTTGCACGCGTTGCCGGTCTGAATGACAACACATTGAAGAATGAATGCGACAATCCTAGAATAGCTCCACGGTCAAGATTGAAAGTTTCACGCCATGTGATGGGGTCATTGGTAATCTCGTGAACAATCAGGGGAGCGATATCAACGCCTGTACGTTTGGCGATGGTGGAAAGAATCGTCTTGCGTGCGAGTTCGATCATCTTTGGCCAATCCTGGGTTTCGGCTGGTTTGATGCCCTGAGCGGACTTGGAGTTTGCCATCTTCCCGTTGGCGTTACTCTGTTGAATTTCCTTGTCTGTAGCTGTTGTAGCATTGGTAATTTTCTCATGTTCTCCAAGGAGATGTCCGACCGGCACCAGTACCACAAGTGTTTCCTTGCCTTCAGGGGCAGCTGTTGGGTCAGGACGACTAGGAATGTTGACGTAGAAACTGGGTTCATTCGGAATCAGGTTCTTTTTGAAGATGGAATCGAAGCTCTCCTTGTATTCATCAGCCAGGAAAATGTTATGGGCGTTGAGTTCTGGTAGCTTGCGATCCAAGGCCCAGTAAAAGGAAATGCTACTGCAAGATGTTTCGCGATTGGCCAATGATTCTGCGTAAGGTGTCGGAGGTAAGAAGTTGTTGTATGCATAGACTAGATCAGTGTTGTTCACCACAACATCAGCAGTCAGAGTTTCGCCATTGGCAAGAACAACTCCAGTAGCCCGACGACCGTCAGGAGAGAGAGTGATTTTGGAAATAGGGGTCGAAAGTCTGTAGGTTACGCCTAGACGTTCGCCGACCTTGACCAGAGCCTCAACCACCTGCGCAAAGTGTCGTTAGCATGGAGATTCCAACCCGACCTGCTTTGTTGTATTCACCTTGTGGAAGCCTCCAATCGGATACCAGATTCCCTCAGTCAGCTCTGTGTATTGTAGGAGACTGTATGTTCCAGGAGCATCGAATGGACTCATGCCCATGTACATGCTCGCAAAGGTGAAGACGCGGCGTAACCTCTCAGTCCAGAAATACTTGGAAGCACGACCATAGATACTTTCGAAAGGATGCAGTTCGAAGACGCGACCGAGGAAACTAGGTCGCAGCATGGAGGTGATGCTGGTGAAGTTGCGCGACAGGACATGCTCGACGCTGAGTTCGTAGTGGTTGTGAGCTTCCCGAAGAAAGTTAAGGTATCTTGAGTATCCATCTTTGCCCTCCCATTTCTCGATCTGCTCCTTCATCAAAACCAGATCGGTCGAGAGCTGGAACTTCTCGCCGTCGCCAAACCACATGTTGTAATTTGGTTCGCATTTGACTATGTGTACTCCTTCGGCTTCCAGACTTGTGTCGAGGTCGGCGAAGGTCTTGTGGAACAGGCGGGGGAGGAGAAGCAGAGATGGGCCTTGGTCGAAGCGCTGGGTTGTTGTCAGTCTCGGACAGATCCAATGGAATAAGATGCGTCGTGTTACACACCCAGCCTTCATGATGTAAAAGAGAGCAGCGACCTCCGGTAAAGTCGTTCTTCTCTAGTACAGTGACCTTGAAGCCTGCCTTGGCCAGTCGCGCGGCCGTCGAGACTCCTCCAGCTCCAGCGCCTGTAGTGCAACCTGTCAGCGTCTTGTGGTCGTTGGCGGCGGCGTCTCATAGTACACACCTACGACAATGGCCGTCTTTTGATTGGTAGCTCCGCCCATGGTTGAATTCAAGAGTCGACCAGCCTAGCGCAAAGAACTGGGCAGGTAGCAGCAAGCGGCTACATGTTGTAAAGCAGATAATGTCCAAGCATTCGACATGGCGTTTTGCCGTCCAAGTCCGGGCAAGCCATTGACACTTGCTCGTGCTTCACATGCAACTTGGCAGCCGACCCCACTGTCACGCTACGGCCCGAGCGTGCTCCACCGATCCATATCAAAACTGTATCACAACTTGCCAGCCACCATCTTGGTCAGACCATCGTAACGTGATTGAGCAGAAATTACATTACGCGTATCGACAGGGTATCTCTACTTTTATGTATTACTGCAGTGCTTTCCACGCCACTGCCAATCTGCGCCAGCCGTCTACTGTTGCCTTTCCTTTCCTCACTCTGTAGCCCGGCTGCTTCAACGTCCGTCCGATCTCCATGTAGCTCTCGGTAGCAACGCGCATAGGTCCACGTACTTCTGACGGTAGCTTGTCAATCGCTCCACGCGAGTCCTCGTACAATGCAAATGATCGATCCAACAGACGCTTCCGCAGTCGTTCAAGCTTCGACACAAACAATTGGTCCTCAGCGCCAAGCGTAGGTTTAGCTTCCATGATAGTGAAAACTTGAATCGCTTGTTCAGGTGTCAAGTTCTCCTCCTTTAGCCAGCTGGTCGGCAGGTACACGCGATTCAACAGAGCATCCGTGCCAATGTCACGAGCGATGTTGGTGTACTGAAGCGCAATTCCCATCGTGTTTCCAGAATCCAATATTTGCTCTTGTAGGGTAGGCGACACTTCCCCAGGATAGTGGAAGAACACAAGCTCAATGCACATGGCAGCTACTGTGCCAGCAACCCGTGACGAATAAGTATCCAGATCATATTCTGATTTTATAGGGAAGGCAGAAGGCTGGGCTCCTTTAGTCGTCTGGAATCCTAGATCCATCTCGAATCCCTTGAGAAGATCATAAAGGTGTTTGGAAGAGAGGCGCGAAGTGGGCAATTGTAGCAGTGCGGTATGCGTGCTTCGAGGGAATTCAGTGACAACATGACGAACAACACTTCCGATGTTTTGATCATGCGCCATCGGATCTTTGGCTTTATATGAGAGGTCCAGGAAGGTACGAAGACGCTTGATCCATTTGCGAGCTTCGAGGGGTGAGGCGGCATTGTCAACCAGATCATCAGCCACGCGACAGAACGAGTACAGCACGATCAAGTCCACCCTCAGACGGCTAGAGAATGCTGCACTGGCCAGATAGAAACTCCGGCTCTTCTGATGGAGGCGCTTGACAGCTTCGGCCAAGCCGTCAACGCGGTCATCGTCATATGCAGCAGCCGGGAGTAGTAAAGCCTGGACCAGAAGTATAGGCGAAGGAAGGGCGGGTACCGAGGGGAAATGAGATTGGAAAGCGTTAAGAATAGCGATGGCGTTATCAAAGGCTATAAGACCAAAGACGATGAGAGTGTTTGTGAGAAGGAAGAAGACAGCCTCTTCTATTTCCAGGCCAGGCCAGAGGTGTGTTCCAAGCTTGGTGCCAGATTCAATGACCCATGTTCCCCTTCGTAGAGCCAGTGTATCGACAATCCAGAGGTACAAGGTTGGAATAGCGATAGGCACAAGAGTATTAGTAATGGGCAGACCAAGGATGAACTGATATGCCAGCGACCACAGCAAAAGCAAGAAGGGAACGGCCCATACAAGAATCAGACCCATGTATGTGCCGGCGCCTTCGTCTTTGATCAGGTTTATGGCCTTCTTGAGGATCAGGCCGAGAACAAGCTGACCAGCCAGCTTGAAATACTTCCAGCGGTCATTCTTCTCCTGACGGCGCAAATAGATGGGGTGGAAGGTGGGCTTGCTGCAAAGCAGGTACAGGAGCGAAGTGTTGTAGGTCTGGACGATGAAGAAGAACACCTCCTCCAATGGAATATCGAAGAGTTTGGGACCAATGACGGCGTCTTCAGGGTACGACCAAATACGGTTGCGAATCAAGTAGGAGTCCCATGGAGTGGTGGAGACAAGTGCGATCTGGACAAAGTGAGATTGGCGATGTAGGAATTGACGGTTAGAGGTCATACGGTGACAAGGAAGAGGATCTTGTAGACATCGAGGCGGGTCAAGAGAGGTCGGTAGAGTAGAGTCAAGGCGATTGCGGGAGGAATTGTGTACTTGAGGTGCCTACGCAAGCATCAGTGGTCTGTAAACGGACGATGAATCGAAGCAGAAAGGGGAGATTCATACACAAGCGCATAGTCGAAGCCCATGGTGTCGAACAACTGCTAGAGATGAGGCTGTCCCAAAGCCATAGCACACAATCAGGATCGTCGGAGTCGGGGAGCGCAACCGCTATACCAAATGTCAAGAGAAGGCCCTCCAGTCGCGACTTGAACTGATGCAGAACAGCATCGGCGGCTTCGGCTGTCTCGGTACTGCTTGCCCTGATCGGCGATGTTGCGTGCACGGTCGCACCTGCCCAATCCATGTCTTTCGTCGTTCCTGGTCGTTCCGGCGAGCCGACCCAGCAAATGGAAGCGATGATGCAGCCATGAGCGTGAAATTGATGTCATGGTTACACTGCACTTTAATGTGCTTGATCGTGTCTGTCGCCGTGTCACCCTATGCCTATCCGAATCATGCCATTGCTAGCCCGACTATCATCGTCCTACAAGCCTTTTTGATGCTCAGAGGGCCTACTTTCATGCCTGAGCACAATCCCACTCAACTATAACGTCTTGTAGACTGTTATCAAGGACATGCCTCTCTTTGCGCAGAAGAAAGGCCCGCCACAGCACAAGCACGCGTATGTTTTAAACACTCGTCCAAGATCGCCTCAATCTTCGATTGACCATTTCCAGCTATCTCTCAGGCAACTTTGCACCTATCAACCAGACACTACCTCTGACCAAATGTACCTACGATGGAAACATTCCGTCGGAGCTTGCGGGCGGCGAATACGTCCGCAATGGTGGAAACCCTGTGTCTAACGAAGACTTGGGTCGTGACGCCCACTGGTTCGACGGCGATGGCATGCTAAGTGGTGTCTCATTCACCAGACAACCCGATGGTTCTATTCAGCCCGAGTTCGTCAACCAGTATATTCTCACAGACATTTTCCTCTCAACCCTCGCCTCTCCACGCCTACGCTCGCCCATCCTGCCTAGCATCGCAACTCTGGTCAATCCTCTCTCATCCCTCATCACCATCATCCTACGCATCCTGCGCACCATCGCCCTTGTCATTTTGTCCTTCTTGCCGGGTTCCACTCGCGCCATCAAGAAAATCAGCGTCGCCAACACTTCCATACTTTACCATGATGGCAGAGCATTGGCAACATGTGAGAGTGGGCCACCAATGCGCATCGCACTTCCTGGTCTGGAAACCGTTGGCTGGTACGATGGTAATCGCGCAGAGGGCGAACCTGAGCCTCTCAACAAGAATGACCCTTCTTTCTCAGAACAAGGACTTCTCGGCTTCCTGCGTGAATGGACAACTGCTCATCCAAAGGTGGATCCAATCACCAAGGAGATGATGCTTTTCCACTCGACCTTCCTCCCTCCCTACGTTCAATACTCTATTATTCCACCAACCTCTGCTCGCTCTGAGACCAACAAAGGTATCGTTCAGCGCCCTGTTCCGGGCATCGCCGGCGCCAAAATGATGCATGACTTTGGCGTATCTCTCAAGCACACTATCATCATGGATCTTCCTCTTTCTCTCGACCCTTTCAATCTGGCAAAGAACAAGCCCGTAATTGATTATGATGCTACCAAGCCTGCCCGCTTTGGTGTCTTTCCTCGCCACCACCCAGAACGAGTCAAGTATTTCGAAACGACAGCTTGCTGTATCTTCCATACTGCAAATGCTTGGGACGATTTCGACCCTTCGGGCGAGGTCGAGACGGTTCACCTGTTGACTTGTAGGCTCACATCTGCGTGTTTGGTTTTCAGTGCTGGCAACATTGCCGCACCTCGTCCAACTAAGCAGACCGCCAAGGCCGTCAAGAAGACCATGCCTTTCTTCTCCAAATATAACGCAGATGAAAAGTGTTTGTTCGAAGGCGCACCTACTTTGGAATCGCCTGGTTTAGAGCACGAACCTCTAATCAAAATGAACAAGAATGGCCAGGACACTCCTTCCTACTTCGATGAGCGAGACGATGATATTGAGGATATCCCTGAGGAAGACGATCAGTGCCGACTATACCACTATGCGTTCTCACTCAAGTCTTCTCAAATCACTGCTCAGTATGGACTGTCTGCAATCTCTTTCGAGTTCCCATCTGTTCATCCCGACCTCGATATGCAGAAAGCTCGCTTTGTCTACGGGTGCACTACATCTATCTCCTCATTCAACGCGGCGTTGGGTCGTTCAGTAAAGATCGATGCTCTGGCCAAGATTGATGCCAGAACACTCATCGAGAAGGGCGATCGATTGACCGATCAGGGAAAGCTCGAAAAAATCACTGGTTGTGTCGATACTCGTACTGTTCAGGAGATTGTGAACAACCCTCTTGAGAACGACCCAATCCAAATCTTCCAGATGCCTACCGGTTGGTTCGCACAGGAACCCCGATTTGTTCCACGCAAGGCTGCTCCCGGACAGACTTTGGCGGAGGACGACGGCTACCTCCTCACATATGCCTTCGATGAATCTCAGTTAGGTCCCGATGGTGAGGTACCGTCCGATACAGATGCTACGAAGAGAGCAAAGAGTGAACTTTGGATCATTGACGCCAAGGATATGAGCACAGTAATTGGCAGAATAGCTCTTCCACAGCGTGTTCCCTATGGACTTCATGGCTCATGGTTCCCTGAAGAAGACATTCTCGGCCAAAAGGCTATTGACACGGTTCGCAGTATCAGCGAAACCAAGACAAAGAAATACGAAAGCACCTGGATGAATATCAGGGCTTCTGTAGAGAGCATGCTCTCTTAATGTTTACACGATAATGGTTGCATCACGAAGGAGTTTCGGGACATTGGCATAGCATGCAATACACTAAAGGGAGATGGCGTTTTGTGGGTCTCTTTACAATACATAACGATACCCACATTTTGGTTTTTTCAGTAATGATAATAACAACGACAGATCTAGTTGACTCACAACATGGCATAAAAATGGAATGTGCTTTGAATTGGCAGACATGAATTCATCAGATATCGTGGACTCGTGACTATGTACATCTTTATGCTTTTTTTTTTTAAGCACGGTGCCAGGTAACCAAGCGACGAGCCCAAGAGGGAGACTTCTTGTGGGTTTGTTCGGCATTGCTAGTAGGATTGCTGGCCGACCTCAAAGCATTGCTCGAACGCGAACTCCTCAACTTCTGCGCCACCTTTTGTCTCAAAGGCAACTTCTCATCCTCATCGTCTTCGAAGAAACTGCCGGTGGGCCATGCAGGGCTGGTGGCCACCAGAGTCGACGAAGAAGAGTCTCTGGTTCTGTCTACAGCGTTTCTGCCCGAGCGGGGCGATTCCAAGACCATGTCTACCGTCTCGCCGGACCAGCGCGAAGGTGGTTGCTCAGAGACACTGGTTTGCTGGGTAGAGGAGGCGCTGGTGGTGCGCATGCGAGGGGAGGTTTGGGGACGCTTGGGAGAGGAAGTAGGGGAAGAGGAGGGAGAGAGGTTTGCAGCGGGTTGGAGGCGCACAGACATGCAAGAGTCTGAGCGCGAACGCTCTGAGGATGCTAGTGAGGAGGTGCGAGGGCGGTGTTGGCTGTTGTAGCTTTGATGGGAGATGATACTGCCATTGTCGCTGATCACGCTGATACGTGGGGTTGAGGGTTGAGGTTGCTCCTTGGGGAAGAGGGTGTAAGAGTGTCTTTGAGGTGTTGAAGGGGTATATCTTTGAGGCGATGAAGGTGTTTGCCTTTGAGGTGAAGAAGGAACATGTCTCTGAGGTGAGGCAGGAGGTTGTCTTTGAGGCGAAGAGGGACATTGTCTTTGAGGTGAGGAAGGACATTGTCTTTGAGACGAAGGCATTTGTTTCTGAGGAGAGGAAGGAGACTGTCTTCGAGGCGACGAAGGACGTTGCCTTGGTGGCGACAAAGCACTCTTGGTTCCATGTGCTGTCCTTGGTCGCTCAACTGAATGTTGGGATTGATAGTGTGTATAGGATTGCTCAGGTGTCTGTTCAAGACCAAAGTCAAATGCAGCCATGGCTCCATTCTGATTGCATGGCTCCTCGGCCGAGACAACTCTAGACAAAGGAGTGTGGTAAGATGCTTGAAGATAGTAGTCCAAGATCATGTGCTCTTCCGAGTCAGACTCGGGAGAGAATGGTCGCTCGAATGGAGGCTCTTCGAGGTACATGGCTTCATGCTTGCGACGGTGAGTGTTGGTTGGAAGAGGAGGATGTACCACTCTGGGGGTCTTGTATGCGTTGTGGCTCTCTGCCTGAGAACATGTGCCAGGCAATGGTCGACGTGCCATGGACCTAAGGTTGGGCTGAGACTTTGTCCTCATCTGATGACGCTGTTGTGGTTGCCCTGGTATCCTAAGCCTCTCTTCCCTAGGCTGATGTCTCTCATAAGCGGTATCCATGGGATAATCCCTAACGCTCTGCATGATTGTTCGTCCTATCGATTATTCGGATGAACTATTGGGGTAGGGGTTCTGTTGCATAAGATATGCCAGGAGGAGCGAACTGCGCGACGATACCCAAGAGTGAGGTGGAAATGAGTATCAAAACAACAAACAGTCGCCGGGAATGTAGAGTTTTGTTTTGACTCCCATGGGTTATACCTCCTATAAAGACCAGAGCATTCCCCACCTGGGTACTAGGAAAGGGGATGGAATGTTGAAGCCATGAAGCCAGGGCCCATAACGGCATGCGGGTTGATCGTGGATTTTGCATAGCGTTCGTGCATGCTGTTTACTTGTGGATTTACTTTGTACTGATGCTAAACACTGCAAGGCTTCGCAGCAGAAACGAAGGATCAAGTTCTTGTGCAAGGGGTGTCAACTATAGCGAATGATCAGTTGTCTCATCCATATACATAAAGTCAGTACATTCATCGGATGGTTTTCCTCGCGCAAGCTTTCTGTTTCCTTTGCACATGTTGTGTACAGGGGGTACGCTTCTGCATTGTTGACAAAAACGTCGAAGCCGTTAGAGGGTAAGAAGGGAGAGACCGTTGAAAGGGGGAAAGAAAGCAGGGTCGGCCTCTCAGCTAGAAAATTGCTCAACGAGAACTGATGCATGAACTGGTTCGGGCTGACATTTGACAACAACTGTCAGTGCTATGCACGTCGTCGGCGCGACTTTGGCCCAGCTTTGACGCCAGAATGTTGTTATGCCTCACGCAAAGCTTTGCTGCCGTTTTCAGGGGAGATGGGCCTTGAACTGCTCGCTCATGCACCGTTGCGTGATGCTCATCGCTATTTTCGCGAAGGGCGAGGTCTGTGACAAGGAGGTACACTCGAACACACCGCAAGTCATTCATTGTGCACTTGGTTGTGAAGCCCTGCCTTTGTACTTTGTCCCTCGCGCCGCGTTTCCTGCAAGTCAAAGTCAGTGAACCAAAGACCTACCAGCGGACCCGCTGCATTTCAACTGTGCGGGCCGTACACCAGCGGGCAGCAGCTTGCTTGAATTCGGTGGTTGCTTTGCGGGTGTCTAGCCTTGCTTGGTTGTTGCAGAGGCCTATTGTGTGTGCTATGTCATAGCGAATCCTGATCTGGAAGCCTTTCGCGTGAGCAATCATAAATGTTTGCTCTCAGCTGTAGTAATGATAGCAACAATCCATGCAACGTGGCTGCAGTCACCATTTGTATCGGGTGACATAGATATCAGGTGTTCTTACTGCTAATTCTGTTGATACCAAATGTCTTGTTCATGCTCGATGCATAGCACATACTATGCTGTGGGTACGACCCTGACGCTCACTTGACATCCCATTCTATCATTCACCACTCGTAGTTAGGCTTCATACTCAGTTCTGATAGAAGCCTTGAGCTGGAATAATATGATCAACCTTCAATTATAGTACGAATCAGTCCGGTTGTGGAGTTTTGTCAAGCATCGAGAATTACGAGCACAGCCAGGTCGGATACCATCTTTTGAGTGCGACCAGACTGGGTGGTTGTTCACGAAAAAGCGATTTTGCATGAAAAAAACCACAGATCACGCATAATCATAGTCGATGATGTTGAAGAGCTTCTATAACATGATTGATTATGACACTGCATTAGGAATAGTACGCGGCGAGCAAACAACATGGAGCAAATCGATCATACCTGAAGCACCCCATTGCGTCACACTGACTCCACAAATTGACTGGTTTATAACCACTGGCTGCCAGGTTCAATTCGATTCGCAGCATCGCACTTCAAAGCAATGGAGTACGGCGCAAAAAACCCAGTGGATCCAGCTGCCGCTGGCAGTTCACATGTACGGATACCTAACATCAAACCTCGAGCAATGGCTTCAGCAACGACCAATGTGCTTGGACTCTTGCATGACAGCCTACTGCCATCTTTGAACCTGCATTCATCTCTTGCACTTGTCGCCTATACCGCCAGTCGCGTGACCCGTCGGGTCGAACTCAAGGACTGGCTATGGCCCTCGGGAATGGTGCTTAATGCATGGTATCACGGAGTTTGGGCACGTAGCTCAGAGACCGGACTTAGTCTTAGAGAATCACTATCGACTCTTGGCTGGACACAAAAGCTTCTCCTCGGCGGTGTTACAATTTGGGGTGCTCGTCTCTTTGCCCGTATCGCTACTCGTAGTGTCAAGCGTGGAAAGGACGATCCCAGATACGACGACATGAACCAGGACACCAGCTTCTGGAACAAAGCCTTCTTCACTGTCTTCTTACCCGAGGCTGTCTTCCAAGCACTCATCTCGCTCTCATGGTCTGTAGCCTTGCAGCAAGGTACAATTGGAAGCATTGAAGCCACTCCTCCGCAATATGGCGCTCTACTGCATGGACTTGCGATCGGTCTTTATACCGCTGGTCTCAACATGGAGGCCCTAGCCGATCAGCAGATTGAGGAGCACAAGAAGAAAAGCGATGACCTCAACCGCAGCGGCGTCTTCTCGATCGTGCGTCACCCTAACTACCTTGGCGATGCTCTGGTCCACTTCTCATTCCCACTGCTCCTGGCTGCCAACGGCATGTTCAACTCGCTCAGTCTCGTAGGACCGTTGGCCAATTACGCCTTCCTGCGCTTTATTGGCGGTGACAAGCAGAACGAGGAATCGCAGGAGCAACGTTACAAGACAGAAGCACCCAAGAAGTATGCCCAGCTGGAGGAGTGGCGCGCAAACAAGAATAGCTTCTGGCCTGCACTGAGAGAAGTAACCAACCCCTGGTCCCTTGCTTTGGTTGGAATTGGAGCGGTTGGTGTCTTGGCTGAGCGTGGCCTCAGAAGATTCATTTTGGCCTGAGTGATGTGGCCAGGAAGCGACTCTGCATGTATCTTCTGGAAAGAAATGTAGATGTGTAAAAGATAATGATACAGTCTTGCTACGAAAAACAAGAGGGAAGAGATGTGTAATCGAACTAACGTTATTCATGTGGTATTGTACAGAACAGGATAGGAAACGAGAGCTTAGTACTGCGAGGCAGCAGCCTGGCAAGCCTTGAGCTGGTCGAGGTACCAGCCGCAGATGGTCAGACTGCCCTGGTTCTCGTCCATGCAGCGACGGAAGTTTGTGACATCAGTCTGGCAAACCGAGGGAGCTTGGTAGTTGGACGAGGTGTAGGTGCTGTTGTCGGCAGGGTTGGCGGGAGCCTGGGCTTGCTGCTCGACGGGAGCTGAAGAGGAGCCGCCACCGAAGAAACCGCCGATTGCATGGCCGATGGAAGATCCGACGGCGACACCACTGTCGTGCGAATGTTAGCCCGAGCCGTTTCAGAGATCCCAAGGCAGTCCAAGCGGGTAGAAGGAAACTTACGCAGCAGTGCTAGCCATCTGGCCGAAGAGACCGGGACCACCGCTCTGCTGAGGAGCAGCAGGAGCAGCGGCAGGAGGTGGAGGAGGAGCGTGGTGCTGAGGAGGGTGAGCAGCAGTAGAAGCAGAGCGAGCCTGCTGAGGAGTGGGTGGCGCAGGACGAGCAGGAGCGGCGGTAGGGCGCCTGGGAGGGGCAGCGGATCCACGGTTCTGGCGAGGCATGTTGATAGATGGTCTGAATATGCAGTTGTTTGGAATGAGAGGCAAAGATGTTCGAGTGGCAGAGGTGGGATATAGAAGTCGTAGGTGTGACAAAACTAATGCTCGCTGTGAAGGTTGTGATTGGCTCATCAGCCTCGGCTTTGCGAAGGTCCGCGCCTTCGTCTCTGCTTCTAGAAGTCGCGTCGCATTTGAGCCTCTCCAGAAATTTCCATCATCGTTGCGAATCACACACCACAACCACACACCATGGACACGGATCTACGGCCTCTGGTCGACAATCTTGCGAGCAACATCGACAATGTCGAGGAATCTCTTGCGCCCCTGATCAACACTGCCTTGTCTGCCAGCACAAGCAAACTTCCTCTGCTCGACAAGGCCAAACTCTACACTCTCGTCACATACGCCATCGAATCTTTGCTATTCTCATATCTGCGCCTCAATGGCCTCGACGCAAAGACACACCCTGTCTTCGCCGAACTCAACCGCGTCAAGCAATACTTTGAAAAAATCAAACTCGCCGAGACTTCGCATGTCAAGCGCAATGCCACTCTTGACAAGGCTGCTGCAGGTCGTTTCATCAAACACGGTCTAGCTGGAAATGACGAGTACGACAGAAAACGCGCAGAACAACAGGAGAAGGAAAAGAATGGCGCCAAGAGGAAGTTTGAAGACATGACCGAGAGAGTCGGTAGCCACTCGCGCTTTGAAGCCATGAGCAGGAAGATGAACGACGACGAAGCAGAGGGTAGTGCCAAGGATGTCGACAACAGCGAATCTGATTCCAAGAAGAAGGCCACCTCATCCAAACCAGTTGCACCCAAGAAACAGAAATCCGACAAGGCTCCTCGTGGACACAAGGCAGCCTTCCAAGCCTTGCTGCAAGGCCCCATCTCGACCGACGAGGAACCAAAGAAAAAGAAGAAGAGAAAGAGCAAGGGCGGCAAGGACACCTAAGGACAACGCTTCTGATTGAATCACCATCAATTCAAGCTATCATTGTCCTACTCGACATGGAACACTTCATCTAGAGCGCGCCACCAGCCACCGTCGACACTGCTGGTAGCACCCTCGTTCAGACTCTCCTGCATCTTATCAGTCACCTTCCACCATCTCTGCGTCTCTTCATCTTCAGCCATAGCCTTCATATCCGCATCGAAATCAGTGCCGGTATACTTGAATGTGGCGAACAGGATGCTGGACTGTTTGTCGTAGAAAATGGTGTAGTCGTGGATATTGCTGCCTGCAATTCTTTTCAAGACACCAGGCCAGACCTCGGAATGGATCTTGATGTATTCATCGACATACTCTCTGCGCAGACGAATGGATTGGCCGATGCGTTGAACAGGCATTTTGAAGGATACTGGCCAAGTCAGTGACCTGGAACGGATAACACGGGACTTTACAAGTGCACATACATATATGCTGGGAAGAGGGAAAACTGAAGGAGGACAACTAAATTTGCAGACCCCGCCTATGGAAAAGCAGAGCTTCCAAGCTGGCTCGTATGAAAGAGGGCCGAGACGGATTGGCTTTGCCCCGTGGCGCCCCACTCAATAGACAAGCTTTTAACAAACATTCTGCCAACGTGATGTCTCTAGACCATGTGAACCTGTGATAGGAGCGACTTACCTCATACTTGCTATTGCAAGATCAGTGTTCAAGTCCAGACATGACTTGTATTTGAAGTGACTTCACAATAGCCGTCTTGGACGAAACGCGGTTAGGGAGTACATCCAAAGTCTATCTGCCCCCTTCTCCACACGATGAAACGGGATTTGTACCAGAACGTGGCCGCCTCGAAGTCGATCAGGATGTGGCCTAGGTGCTGGTTGCACTCTCCAAGTTCAAACACGAGATAGACAGGCGCTGAAGTTGAAGAAGTTGGTCAAGAAGAAGTATTAATGGCACACCAGACGTCATTCATAGGCTTCAGGGGCAGGCGGCGCGTTTGGTCGCAAGTGATTGATAATTGGTCGGCTTAGTGAACCTGGCCGGCGTGACTCGCGCGCATAACGTTGGAAAGTTCTGCAAAGGCACAACGGATCACGAGTGGGCACCACTGGTCATAGAAGAAAAAACCCCAACGCGGCTGCAGTGCTAGAGGGTTCAAGCACATCGAGAAGGTCTTTCTTGCTCGTAGCGCCCCGCAGAAGCAAAAGCAGGAAGAGCAGCAACTTAGCGACTCGGGTCGTCCCGCATAGGATTAGGAGCTCAACTCAACCAATCGCAGAGTCGAGCCCCCCAAGTGAACTTCAGAGCCATTGTCCATACCGCCATATCAGGAGCCTGACGGTTTTTTCCTTGCCATTGCTGCTTCACCTGACAACTTTTGTGACGATTTGCCTGGCGTCCCAATCAGACGAGATCAGCCCTGACGTGAAGACGGTGAAAGAAGGCATGTTTACCGCCTTCTCGGTGCCCAGAGCCGCATCTTGCTAACCTCCACTACAGCAGCCTTCTAGTCGTGTCGTCCACTGCCTTTTGAGATCGATTCACTTCCACTTGAAGGAACAAGTGACGTCCTGAGAACAAAATCAACTAGAAAGCTTGGAAGCTCCGTCGACCCCTTCTCTCGCACGACATCATCGCCCGTATCACCTGTCCTCGTCTCGAAACACCACACCCAAAAGATCGTTTCTACAATGGCTTCCAACCCTCAAACACAGTCCCTCAAAGTACGCCTCTCGAACAATCCTCCACAAAACGCATGTCGCTAAACAACCACAGTGTGTCGTCACAGGAGATGGTGCTGTCGGCAAGGTTCGTGCTTCTCTTTCGCCTTTGTGCGACATCCAACTAACTGGTGTACCAGACTTGTCTCTTGATCTCGTACACGACTAATGCCTTCCCCGGCGAGTACATCCCTACTGTGTATGTTACGCAAGATCGCCAGCCAGGCGCACAACCCGTCAACTAACATGCTGATGCTCGATAGCTTTGACAACTACTCGGCAAGTGTCATGGTTGATGGCAAGCCTATCAGTCTTGGTCTCTGGGATACTGCTGGTCAGGAAGATTACGACCGTCTCCGCCCTCTCTCGTACCCTCAGACCGATGTCTTCCTCATTTGTTTCTCTATCGTCAGCCCTCCTTCCTTCGACAACGTTAAGGCTAAGGTACGGAATGCAAAAGCGAACACAAAGGTTATAGTGGAATGGTGTCTGACTAAGTGAACAGTGGCACCCCGAGATTGAGCACCACGCACCTGGAGTTCCCATCATCCTGGTCGGAACCAAGCTCGATCTTCGCGACGACGAGGGCACCAAGGAGAGTCTGAGACAGAAGAAGATGGCACCCATCCAGTACGAGCAGGCCATCAGCGTTGCCAAGGAGATCAAGGCAGTCAAGTACATGGAGTGCTCTGCCCTGACACAGCGCAACCTTAAGAGTGTGTTCGATGAGGCCATCAGGTGCGTATACAGAGTCCCGAATAGAGTGATGCAGTCCGCTAACATGTCGTGACAGAGCTGTTCTGAGCCCTCGCCCTACCTCGAAGCCCAAGAAGCAAAAATGCATCATTCTCTGAGCTGGCAGACAAGACTCACACCGACCACCCTTACTTCACACAACATTCGCATTTTCACGGCATGATAGATCTCTTTAATCTCGGTGCCAAGTCTAGTTTCTGGGAATCGCTGGCGTTGGAACCTTTGATGTTGGGGGAGCAGCGACAGTCTTCGGCACAGATACCCACTTGACGCAAGCAACACACAACGCAGAGCAGCACAGGACGCAGACACAGTCATGGTTTACGCTCGGGCCTCACGTTCTTGAAGGCACCTCTGGATGAAATACAAAGTTCTATAGTGTAGATTGGACTCAAGAGGAGGACAATACCAGAGGGATGATTGAAAGACGGCCGAGCAAAGACGTTGTCGCATGTGTCGGTTGACATGGTTGCATTGATGGCCCTCTTTTTTCTTTCTTTACAAGCGTTGTGTACATATGGTCTGCATGAAATTTTTTAATTTATCAGTTGCGAATTCGTTATCGTGAAGACCGCGTGAAGCTGGAGCATGTGAAAGAGCAGCGCTCTGTTCGGACAAAGCACGGACTTTAGAACGTGCGGAGAGAACCCGAGTCAAGACAGAGACTTTTTTGATAATTGCAAAACAACCATAAACATCACTTTACCAAACAACCCAAAATGTCAGAAGAAGCAGAAGTTCCAGTCCTGACGGGCAAGGCAAAGAAGGCCAAGCGCTCCGAGGAGAGATACAAGAAGAACAAGAAGAGAAAGGTCGAAGAGACCACCATCGACGATGCGCCAAAGAACGACGAGCCCGCCGCAGAAGCAGACGACCAGAATGCCGCAGCAGACAAGACTTCATCCAAGAAGCGCAAGCGATCGCAAGAAGACAAGGATCAAGCATCGACAGAAGATGCCGTTCCTGTAGAAGCCAAACAGCAAAAGAAGCGCAAGAAGGAACCCTCAGCCAACAAGGAGCCGCTGGCCAAAAAGGAGGGAGATGCAGCGACAGCAGGAGAAGGCGCCGACGCAGCTGCTGCAAAGAACCAGCGCTTCATTGTGTTTATTGGCAATCTTCCATTCACGGCTACGACTGAGCAAATCACCGAGCACTTTGCATCCATCCAACCGCAATCCGTCCGTCACTCGACCGAGAAGGGTACAGGCAAGAGCAAAGGCTTTGCGTTCCTTGAGTTTGCAAACTACGATCGTATGAAGACGTGTCTGAAGTTGTACCACCACAGCATGTTCGACAGTGGTGTTGGCGGCGAGAGAGGAAAGCGTAGGATCAATGTCGAGCTTACGGCTGGAGGCGGTGGCAGCAAGTCCGGGGCCAGAAAGGAGAAACTCAAGGAGAAGAACGTCAGACTCAACGAGCAGAGACAAAGAAGAGCAGAGGCCGAGGCCAAGCAGGAGAAGCGCAAAGCAGCAAAGGAAGCTAAGAAGGGAGGTGCTCAAGGAGCGGACAAGGCAGAGGAAGCACCCGAGCCTGAAGTCGATGCCGGAGCACAAGAGGGCATACATCCCGCCAGATTGGCCATGCTGCAAAGAATAAACAACCGATAGAAGGAGGAACAGTTCATCTGCGACGAAGCAGCAAGGCAGATAATAATTTCTGAATTTCGAAACCACCCAAAGTCCTCGATTCCCAACCAACGCCATTCCCAATGCCCTTTGTTTCGAATGTTGTACAGTATAGTTAACATGGATATGCCGGATTCTCTACCAGCTGGCCTTCTTCACACCAGGCAGTTGGCCAGCCAAAGCGTGCATACGGAATTGGTACTGCAGGGAGATGTCAGTCTTGTGTTCTTGTACTCCATTTCATTCTCCAAAGCCAAACGTACTCTTGCCATGCGGAAGTCACGGAAAACACCCTTTCCCTTGCCTCCAGCAATGCATCTGTTCTTGATCTGGGTGGGGCGGGTGTAGCAGTGCATTTGCGACAATTGCAGTTGAGCCTGAGCGCGCGCGCGTTGTGGCAGAAGTGTGTTGCGGATGATGTAGCGAAGTGCTTGTCTATGTTCACAACCAAATCAGTATACTGTCAGATATAAGTATGCTGGGAACTATTGACCTCTCGGTCTCGTTCTGCTCGAAGACTTTGCGCTTGGTGTGGTCGCGGATGACCTTGATGTTGACAAAACCACCAAGGTCTAGCTTCTTCGATCGGAACATGGACATGATTGCGGTGTCGTATGTACAGATGGTCGTGTATCCCCGTAAAAGTGCACTTTGCTTGCCTATCGCTGCTATTCACGGTGGTGATGGCGGCGCTGGTGGACCAACTCGACAGCGGGAAGTCCCGACCTACAAATTCCCAATTAGGAAACTTCGATGCTTCTACATCATCACTCCTTCTGTTTTTCTCAAGCACACCCACCAAGATGATACCTTCTATGTTTGGGACCAAGAAGGTGGAAAGAAACTCGCCAGTCTTCACTGAAGACGATATTCGGAAATTGATTTTGTCATTTCCTCCTCCGGAACCACGACCTGGAAAGGAAAGTCTGGTTCGCAGTCCCTCAGGCCGCAATCTCATACGCTCTGATGCAGTCATTAAGCGATTCCATTCTCTTCTTCAGACTGCTTCTGGTCCCATCTTCTTGAACAGTCTACATAATGAATTGGGAGTTCATGATGTTCAATGGCTGTTAACCCAAGAAGATGAACGCATCCACTATAGTACAGACCGTCGACGACTCTTACCAGAGAGTACCCAAAAAGCCATATGTCAAAGCGTGCAAAACGATCTAGCTGTGCGTGGCGTATATCTGGACAAGACTGCTGCTGAAAAGGATGTCACCACTGCCACACTTCGACGCATGCTCGTTGCTCAAGATGTTACCCTTCAAGACCTCGATAACGGAAAGACCTACGACACAAAGTTTCTCAAAAAGCTCGAAACGAGTATCGAAAAGATTGTTCAGGGCACTCAAGGATCGGTCGTGCTTAGCGATACTTTCCCTTCGGTTCCTATTTCCTGGCTGGAGGCGACTGCCAAAGACCTGATCTCCAAAAAGGAGAGCGGTGCTCAGGATGTCGTCGAAATGAGATCTGGGTTCCTGGTTTTCACGCCAAGATCTGTCATCGAACAACGCGAAAACGAATCCAAGCAAGCCCGGGAGGCATATATTCAGAGAGCAGTGGAAGGGCTAGATGAAAGTGGTTCTTGTGAAGTGACTGCAAGCTCTAGACCGCAGGTCCTGCGCAACGCTGAAGATGGCAATCTCAAACAAGAAATTCGAGAAGCCTTTGCTCAGAAAAACTCCAACTCGAATGTTGTTGAAGTGAGCACATCAAGCTCCTCATTCCTCATCACACAAGATACCCTTACCGCAAGACTGTCCCTTCTCGCTGCCAAAGCCCAAGATGCAGCTTCCGAACAATGGTCCTCCAGACGTCCAGGAGAAGACGTACTCTTCGATCCCACAAAACTCTCTCACACCACAACACCTCTAGATCTAGCAATCCTCCACTCCGGCGATGCAGAAAACAAGACCAAAGCAAGCTTCGACGCAAAAATCGTTTCACTCCAAGACTCAACAATGCAAACTTTTACAACAATCATTCAAAACGAACTTCTCGCACCTCTAAAACTATACACCCAAGGCGCAGAAACAATCACAGATACCACACTTCAACCACGCGTTCAAGAATTTATCTACGATTGGGTACGCAAAGACCTGGCGCCAGAGACTCTACGCAACATCAAAGACAAAAATCTCATAACCACAAAAGCCCTCTCCCGCGACATTGACAAATTCTCGGATGCCGTTAACACAGCAAAAACCTTGGACGACATTTCAACAGCAACCTCCAAACTCATCCGCAAGCAAAAAATCGAGCCACCCTCTGCTGTCACACTCCAAACCCTCAAACAAGAAATCTTGACGCAGAAATTGGCAGGAATGAGGAAAATGAAACGCAGTTCTGATCTCTTGCAGAATGTGATTTGGATCTTGTTGGCGAGGCAGAGGGAAGGACTGTTCGTGAGTTCGGGAAAGGATACGAGTAGGATGATTAAAATGGTCAAGGAGAGTGACATAGAAGCTGGTGTAAAGATGGAGGAGTGGAGGGATTTGGTCAAGCAGGGCAAAGATACCGATGATTCGAAGAAGGAGATGAGGGATGTGGCTGCCAATGCGGTTGAGGAGTTGAAGACTGTTACACCTCAAGGTGACAATGCTGCGGTTGAGCAAGGCACTGGAGAAGATACCGCGACTTGAGCAAGAAGCATCCAGATGCAGCAATGAGAATAACGAGGAAAACGAAATGTAAAATTTTGGCATGTCTACATGAACCATGATTACTTTTTTTTTGTCCAGAATCGTAGATGTGCAAGCCACTTAAGGCATGACACGGTTGGGGTCTCTGGGGAACAACGACGCAAGACGAACGTTAGGAAGACCCAACCACAACATGACAATACGCTCCAGACCAATACCACCACCAGCGTGGGGCGGGCATCCATAGCGGAAAGCGTTGACATAGTCACGAAGACCATCCGAGTTGGGGTCGACAGGGCTGACATGCTCTCTCATGCGCTTGCACAAGAACTCTGCATCGTGGATACGCTGGGCACCAGACAGAATCTCCTGACCGCGCATGAAGAAGTCGTAGGAGTTACTGTAGCCAGAGTTGGGGTCCTTTGCGCCAGCCTGGTGGGCGGGGGCAGTGTGTGAGGGCATGGTGTAGAAGGGACGGATGTTAAGAGGGAATTGGTCGAGGACGTAGAAGTCGGAGCCGTACTTCTTGAGCACGAGGGCACCGAGACGCTTCTCGTCGGGTGTGCTGAGGTCGTCAAAGTCGCCAATTTCGAGGCCATCGTCGCGCAGCATTTGAATACCCTCGCTGAAGGGGATGCGAGGCACCTTACCAGCCTCAGGGAGCTTGAACTCCTCGACGTGGTAGATGCTGCGGACCAGGTCGGTCTCGCGCTTGTACTTTGTCTTGAGGCCGTTGAAGATGTACAGCATGAGGTTTTCAAGAACCTCGACGACTTCGTGGTAGTTCTCCTCGAAGGCCATCTCCAAATCCAGACCAGTGAACTCAGTCAAGTGACGAGCAGTGTTGGAGTTCTCGGCACGGAAAACGGGACCGACTTCCATGACACGCTCAAAACGGGCAGCAATCAGCATCTGCTTGTACAGCTGGGGTGACTGAGCGAGGAAAGCCTTGGTAGCAAAGTAGCCAACCTCGAAAACGTTGGCACCACCCTCAGAAGGAGCACCGAGCAGCTTGGGGGTTTGAATGCCAATGAAGCCTTGGTTGCGCAAGAACTCCTGGAAAAGGGCAGTGACACCATCCTTGATGGCAAAGATGGCGCGGTTGTGCTTGCCACGGAGATCAATGACACGGTTGTTAAGACGAGTGTTCAGGGTAACGATAGGGCGACCGCTCTCATCCTCCTTGGCCTCCTCACCCTCGAGGGGCAGAGGTCTCTCGGCATCCGAGACTTGCATGGGTAACTGGCTGTCGGCCTTTGCGACGACATAGAGCTTCTTGACGTGGATCTCGAGGTGGCTGATGGTGGCACTCTTGACGGGCTCGGGAGTCTTCTTGACCAAACCGTGGACCAGCACGATAGATTCAGAAGGCACGCTGCCGGCAAACTTGACCATCTGTCTGCTCAGAGAGTCGCTGGCGGCGACGACAGCCTGAATGGTGTTGAGAGCCTCACGGAAGACGAGGAAAGAGAGCTTGGCGGACTGGTTGCGGGCATTCTCGACGACGGCGCGGAAACAGACCTCAGCACCACCGGCCTCGTCGATAGGGGTGGTCTCGTTGTACTTTTCGGCAATCTGGGCAAGGGTGACACGCGACACACCAGAGGGCTTGTATTCCTGGGAGCCGATCATGGGCAACTCGCCGTAGTCGTTGGCCGAAACATCGTTGGCGTCCTGCTGCTTCTTCTGTGCTTCCTCGGCGGCCTTGCGCTTAGCTGCCTTTTCAGCCTGTCCGGTTGTCAGCTGTGTGTTGCTATATATGGTCCAAAGCCAGTCGCACCTTCTCCTTCTCCTTGGCGGCCTTCTTCAAGGCGCTCTTTGAAGGACCCTTCTCACCCTCAGCAGCAGGTGCGGCGCCAGCCTCGGCGGCAGGAGCGTCCTTGGGTCTCTCGGGGATCGACTGAGCGGGCTTGCTCTCCAATGCGTTTTCGTCGGCCATGTTGTGTGTGTCTATGTCTGACAATAAATCTTGCGACAAGCAGAGCGGGGTCTTTTGTGCTTGGGTCGAAATGTGGGATGAATCACTGCTGGCAAGAGTCATGCTGCTTGACGTCGACACCGCCCATGATTCATTCTTTCCTTTTTGGTCACCTCGAGAAACACCGCCTTGCTGGCATACACAGTACTAGTCAAAACTTGCTACTATTGATGCGGGTGCATGCAGTACTCTCTGTCATGTAGTGCGGCTCTGTAGAAATCAAATCAGTGTTGCTGGCCGCTTCTTGTCCTCCAACCCTGATGGCATCGTCCTACTTCTGCATGCCAACAGCCATGATTTAACACCCTCGTGCTACCCTCGAGGTGCTCTTTCCTGACCCATGTAGTAAGAGACCTCAAAGCTCCTCGTGCCTTCTTTCCTTCAAGTCATTTTTTTTCTCTCTACCTCTTTCTGCACCTATGCAACCTTCAACATGGCTCGCAGGAACTCATCCACTTCCACCAGATTAATCGTTGCCATTGTTCTGTCATCTGCCTTCTTCATTGCAGAACTTATCGGTGAGACATATCTGATTATGATGCTTCATCATGTCTTGCAATTGCTGACCGTTCTTTGCAGTTGGCTTCCGCACTAAATCGCTGGCTCTGATCGCTGATGCTTTCCACTATGTATATCATGCCCATACTGCGGATTCTGGCAAAACTGACTAGTCGATAGCTGAACGATTTGATCGCATTCTGTGTAGCTCTGGTCGCTGCAAAGGTGACCGGACTTGCTCCGGAATATCTTGACGATATACTAAAGTCATTTTAGCTGTGTGATCGCAAAGACGCTCCTGCAAGCCTGGCATTCGGCTGGGAAAGAGCCAAAGTCCTCGGCGCTTTCTTCAACGGATCCTTCCTCATAGCTCTCGGGCTAAGCATCTTCTTACAAGCCATTGAAAGATTCATAAACATCCAAGGTGAAAGTACCCGTGAATCTTGTCTCTTTGGATGCTAAATTGGGCCAGTCGTCGAACAACCACGCAATGTTCTCATTATGGGCTGTATAGGGCTTCTGCTTAATGTGATATGCATCTTAATGGTTCATGGTATTACTATGCTTAATGTTCAAAAACGACTGAACGCTGACAGAAAGCAGATCATGGCCACAATCATGACAGGAGTAGCAAGAAACCAAAAGCTGGCTCTCCAGTTCTCGAGCTATCAGATCTTGTAAACCATCCTTCCGATCAGGAATGCAGGCAACAGGCTGACCTGAGCAGGAGGATCCATCAGCGAAACACCCCCATGGCGACTTGGGAGTCAATGCTGTTGTCATCCACATGATCGGCGACGTCCTGAACAACCTCGGTGTAATTGCTGCCGCTCTTGTCATGATGCTGGTGCGATCGCCAGACAAATTCTATGCAGATCCCGCCGTCAGCATAGGAATAGCAGTTATGATCGCGAGCAGCGCGCTGCCCCTCAGTGAGTCAGCACTCGTTGCTTCGGCGAGCCATGACTGACAGACGCAGCTTTCCGAAGCGGACATATTCTTCTGGGAAGCACACCACCCAGTGCTCAGAACGAAGCAATTATCCGGGAATTGAACAAGATACCAGGGGTCGTGTCGGTGCACGAGCTCTATGTCTGGCAGCTGAGCCAAGAACAATCGATAGGATCTGCGCATATCGTCATGTCGCCTATGACAAGCCAGGAAGTGCTGTCGGCAAGCAGCTCAGAGATAGATAAGTTGGCCCGACCCGAAGAAACAAGAGAGACGCACAATGGACGGCTTGCACGTCTAGGAAGATGTCTTCATGGTTTCGGTATTCAGAGAGTGACACTGCAGATAGAGGACAGTCCGGAGAAGGCCAAGTAGCGTTGAGTGAATCAGCGAGGATATGATGTGATGTTGCAAGCCGTTGATGAAATCAATCAAAAGCCAGCCATGCTCTTTCTCAATTGTCGCTCTCTTTGATTTGCTTGCAACTCGAGGCGGCCGACAGCATAGCTGAGACGGTCTTTCTTCTGTCTAAGCTGCTGCATTTTGAGCTCTTCTAGCGGGTTGGCGGCAGCCTGTGACGATGAGTTGGCTGAAGGTCTCGGGTGATATTGTTGCTGAGGGTGACGGGAGGACAAGCGACCCTCTTGTAACTCGCACTTTGCAATCAAAGACTCTTCGCGACGCTGTAGCTTGTCGAGGTAGGCGGCAACACGATCGAGCAAGGACTCGACTTCGGGCTGAATTTCCGAGAGAAGGGCAGATTGAGCGTTCTGTAGTTCAGGCTCGGAGACGAGTTCGAAATGCTAAAGAGTGTTAATGTCAGACTTGTATGAGGAGTGAGGAAGAATGAGGATGATTCTACCCTAGTGGCCTGTAGGACCTTGGCCAAACGTGGAAAGTCGCTAGTGCCAGCATCGAGAATGCTGATGGATGAGTCGAGCAATTGCATGCTCGAGCGCAGCGACGAGACGCAACTCTCCAGGGTATTTGTTGTACTCATGTTGTCAGTGTGTATATGTAATGTTTATTGTCGATGAAGCGAAGCAGTCGCATGTGAATGCGGGAACAGTCGTCCCGTGATGCCAAGAAGTCGAACCGGGGACCGGCGGTCGAAAGCATGGGCGGACTGAGGATTGCGAAAGAAGCCCGCGCTCAGTCGACAGCAACGTCCATTCAAGTCAATCTATACCTCTCCGTCACCTCCCTCACAAACACCACATCTGTCAAAATGGCCGGTCTCCTCGGAAAGAAGTTCCCCACCCCTGTCGGTATGTTTCAATGCGCAACAGACCCTCAATGCGACCTTCGAAACATGTCCGGATGCTGACTCTTCTGCTATAGCCCGCCCCATGGCTCCCTTCTACGTTGCCGGTTCGTTTCCATCATAGACGCATGCGCTACCCTCGAAAATATCTGGATATTGATACTTTGTCTCGTTGCAGGCGCCATCATCTTCTACGGCATCAACTCGCTCGCCACTACTCTCGCCAACAGTCAGTCCTACCCACCTTCTCCCAGTCCTGCATCATACGCGCTCGTCGAAATTGGCCCATTGAATCCTCATATCTGTGCGGAAGAAAGAACAAGACAGCTGACAAGCTATATCCATCTACAGCCGACGAGTACAGAAACGACCCCCGCAACCCCAACAAGACCCAGATCGCCAAGGTCGCCCTCTAAATATGTTCAATTGAGAGAAAGGGCCGAGAGCGAGGAGAAGGGTCGAATGTGGCTCCATAGATCCGCAGGAAGCCTTGTAAAAATACCACTTTGATTCTCCCGGGTACTCCAATTTCAAAGTGCAATCACGAAAAGCTCCCAGACTATTGATCTCATGCTTGTAGCCTGCTTTTGGATGTGGTTACAGTATTCGTTATTCGGTCGTTATGAAAGAGCTGAGATGTTCAAACTCGTAATATCCTACAATCGCCCGCCGATTACTCCTTGTCCAGGTTCTTTCTTCTGCCTCTTCCATCCGCCTTCTTATCACGCTTGTCTCTGATACCCTTGATCTTACCCTGTCTCATGCGTCCACCCGTCTTGACTCTGATATCCTCCTCCTTGATATTACCAGCAGAGTCATAGCCTACCTCGACTGTGTTCTTTGCCTTGCTTCTCTTCTTCTTCTCCACGCCGCCGAGTTCCTCCTTGCCTCTGCCAACACGCACGTTGCGAGGGGTTCTGGTCTTGGCTCCTAGCGCCCAGATATCGCCCCAGGAGCTCTTGCGTGCATCGCGGTAGGCTTGCTTGGAGAAACTGCGAGGCACTGTCCAGCGCTCGAGTGTGCCGGCTGGCGTGCACATGTCGATGATGACATGGCCTTGACGCTTCAGAGGAGGCAAAACCACACGCGGCAGACTCAAGGAGTGAGGTTCTTCCTCTGCAGACATCTCCTCGACATCGGGAACTGCAGGTGCTGTAGGATCGAACTCGTCGTATGCCTGCTCGGTCACAGCTTGAGGGGTTTCGAAACCAATAAACGCACGCTCTGTCGCAACTTCACCCTGGATGATGTTTTCTTCATCCTTGTCACGAAGGTCGCGGCCTCTCATGACACTAACGTACGAAAACTCCACATCTTCATGGTTTCTGTGCTTTGCTCCAAGAATCTTTTGCAAGAACGGAGGTCGGATGTAACGCTGCTTGAAGTGGCAGAAGTCCTTGCGGCCCTTGCTGATGCCGCGGTTGACGTACATGGGACAACCAAGGTGATTGGTACAGGGAGCCACAATCATGCCCTTGTCCTTTGGCTGTTTTCCCCAGACTGTGCCCTCGCCTGGCTCGTCGACGTCTTCGGACATGGCTTCATTGCCAGGAGAAGCAATGCGAGAATTGAGGAGTAGCTCGCGCGCTGCAGCTACCATCTCGAAGCCGCGAGGAACACCTTTCTCCAAAAGAATCAGAACACCGCCATCTGTGCTGAGCAAGCTCCATAAGTTTTTGACGTGTTGTTTGCGGATGTGATCTTCCTTCAAGGGCCAAAGAGTGTGCGGTGCAATAATGATGTCGTACTTGCCGCGTTCACGGGCGGAATCATCACTAGCATGCATGTAATCAGGCAAGCGTGGGAGGAAAGTGGTGTTGTCCAGAAGCTTGCTGGAGCGGAAGCGCAATGCTTCGTTGCTGGTCAAGACAGTTGCCTTCCCCACAGGTGCAGGGATGGATTCGCCGCCAGTCTTACCACCAGCCTCTGCAATGGCCATGAAGCTATCTTCATCCTCGCTTGTGTCGTGCATGCGCTCCCACTCTGCTTGAAGGACATCTCTTGCAGCCAGGACACCCACGCCTGCACCACCTGCATCCAGAATACGAGGTCCGCCCTCCTTGTTCAACAAGCCTTCCAACCATGAGCTGCCCAGACGTTTGCGTGTTTCCACCAGAACACTGAATACGCTCGCGTAGATACCAGGCATAAGAGTGGTTGTGAAGAGATCAGCATCCATTTCGCTCATTCTGCCTTGACCAGGGTTCAGGGGAATAGCCTTCTGCGGCATCTTCACTGCACGCTGAGGCGTCGATGTCGAATATGGCAGTCCTACTCCACCGAAGATACGGTGAGCAACTTCTGAGATGTGTTTGTTTGGAACACCAGAAACCAGTCGAGTAACAGGATCAACGAAGGAAGATGCCGGTAGTTGTACAGTAGAGGAGGGCGTGCCAAATCGGTTGACCACGGTCAATGGATGTGCTCGTGTATGATCGTATGGTTCTTCGAGCGGTTCTTGGGAGTCCTCAAGAAGCTCTTGCTCCGGTGTCAAACGCAGAGCCTCCAGGTCTTTAATAGTCTGAGCATCGAGACCTGCAGCAGCACTGTCCGCGTCCAGCTCTGCCTCATCAGCGTTCTCCTCCATCAACTCGTATTCCTCCTCTTCCTCGTCAAACTCTTCCTCCTCTTCAAGGTACTCAACCTCCTCAAGGACACCATCTTCATTCTCCCTCAATAATCCAGTGCCAACATTGTCTGTTTCATCCAATTCTCCTTCCAGCTCATTTTCCTCAAAATCGACCAGTTCGTCCTTGGTATTTCCTACCGGTGGTCCATAGAGACGCTCGTAGGCTGTGTATTGCTCGTCGTTTAGAAGGTTCTCTGGCAGTGCATCTCCGAAGCGCTGACGAGCTGCTCGAGCGACTTGCTCGGGTGAGGCATTCCGAGCTCTTGTTGTATACTGGGCCTCTGCGTCTTCGGGGACAGTTTCTACGTCGTCCAGGCCAAAGTCTTCTTGTGCGTGCCGCGCTATTTGCTCCGCCTGGAGTCTTTTGTCCACTGTTTGCGCCTGTTCGGTAGATTGCTTGATGCCAGAATTCGATGCGAGATCCTGCTCTTCCTGGGTAGACTTCTGTTGCTGCTGCAAGCTGATTTTAGAAGTATGCAGGTATCGTGCGAACGTCGGTTGTCTCAGGCGTGTCCAGTCTCGTAAGGTGGGTGTTCGAGCTCTAGCATATTGCTTTGCTGCCACTAGAGAACGAAGTCGGCAGGTAGTGCATATTGATTGGTGAATCGGAGCAAGCGTCATTTATCCAGTCCGTCGGTCTGCGTACAGAAGCTTGGTAGATTCAGTTGACAAGTTCTGCATGCATGCGAGGAATGCGGCGGCAAATAATTAATGGTCAGCGGATGAGTCTGCCGGGCGGTGAATAGCTGCTTTGGCGGACGCGCCGTTTGGCCTTATCGGATCCGTTGCGAGCTACAGCAAGGACGTGCAGAGTGAACTGAATACCTCTCTAGACAACAAAATATCTGAGAATCACGCGGAGAGGGACGTAACGATGATGAGAGTGCTGTGAATTGAGAGAGCAAAAGCAAAAAAAAAGGCTACATAATAAACTAAACTAGAAAATGCTCCCCAGAAGCATCCATGTCCGCTCGTCGAACAAAAGGACAACCGATGGTTTGACCATATTTTGCAAGGACCGCGATTCGTTGCCAGAAGCAAAGTTTATGCCATGCCTCTAATTCGGTCTCCTGCTAATCGGTTTTGTCGGTGGTGGTTTCAATCTGAGTTGTTCAAATCTTTCCTTGTGCGTGTCGTCCCCTGATGCTTGAACCTCCCCACAAGCCGCCCTCCAGATCCCAAGTGACAAAGCAAAGCATATAGAATAAAGAGAACGGATGATGGATGATTAGGGGTGCCAAATGATACGAGCAATCTGATGTACCGAGAGTGGCCGGATAAAACTGCAGGTCGACCAGCTATGACGCGAGAAGCCTGCCGAGTGACACTGCCAGGTATGAAATCCGAATCCGCTATGCCATAGTCGAAGCATATGAAACCCTAGATAAGGGTTGATTGCTTATAGCCACTCCGAGTTGAGCATAATTGTCTGGGTAGGATGATACCGCCGAGGAACAGTCGGCTTAACCCCCCAATAGCGGAAATTGCAGACAACATAAAAATGTGTGGATACATCTTTCGCCGTCCGTGACATGTTCAGGACGGCAAAACTGCATTCTGCCACACGAGTTGAGTTAAGAAACCATGTCGCTGATTAGAGCTGATAGTCCCGAAGAACATTTCAGACTCCAAATTCGCAACAGAAGACAAGCGATCAGTAGTTGTTGTATCCCTGCTGTTCGACGCCACGCTTTGAGGAGCGGAGTTGCCTGAGAGGAGCCAGCACGTCAGCACACGTACCAAAAATCCCCCGCGGCAAGCCTCACGCAAGAGCACTCAAACGCAGGGGAGTCTTACAGGATGACGAGATTGAACTCACATTCCCGATCCCTCTGCACGGGGTGCCACTGGGCCACGGCGCTTATCGGTGACAGCACCGGCGGTCTGGCCGCCAGTAGCGGCAGCAGTGCGGGTGCGACCAGCCTTCTCTTCAGCTTCCTCGGCCTGGGGCTGGTTGGCAGCAGCCTGGGCAACGGCTTGAGCGTTCTTCTGGTACTTGTAAACGGTCCAGTCGAAGACGTAGTCGTACTGGAAGCCCTCACGGACGAAAAGGTCACGGAAGATCTTGCGGAGGTACGAGTAGTCGGGCTTGTCATCGAAGCGAAGAGAACGGGTGTAGTTGAGGTAGATGGCGAACTCGTTGGGGAAACCACGGCAGAGAACCTCGGTGGGTGTGGTCATCTTCTTCTCCATGATGCGGTCGTACTTCTGCTTCTTAGTGGCAGCCTTGAGGCCCTGCCAGGGCAGAGAGCCGCGGCAGAAGTAGAGCATCACGTAACCAAGGGACTCCATATCGTCACGACGAGACTGCTCGACACCCAAGTGGGTGTTGATACTGGCGTAACGAGCGGTACCGGTCAAGTTCTTGTTCTCACGGTAAGGGATGTGGAAGTGAGTCTTGGGGTCCCGGTACTTCTTGGCCAGACCAAAGTCAATAACGTTGACCTGGTTTCCGCGCTTGCCAATGCCCATGAGGAAGTTGTCGGGCTTGATATCGCGGTGGATGAAGGACTTGGCGTGGATGTACTCGATACGGGAGATGAGCTGATCGGCCAAGAGGAGGACGGTCTTGAGGGAGAACTTGCGGTTGCAGAAGTTGAAGAGATCCTCGAGCGAAGGACCGAGGAGATCGAGGACCATAGCGTTGTAGTCACACTCAGTGCCGAACCAGCGGACGAAGGGAATACCGACACCACCGGCAAGAGACTTGTAGACGCGAGCCTCATATTCGAGCTGAGGGTGCTTGGCCTTGACGCTTTCAAGCTTGATGGCAATCTCCTCACCAGAGATGATGTTAGTGCCTGTGCGAATAGGTCAGAATGAGTCTGTGAATAAGAGGTGCAATCGGTGCATACCAAGGTAGATGTCACCGAAACTGCCGCTACCGATCTTACGACCGATACGGTACTTGTTACCGACGCGAAGATCCTGCTGTGGATTAGTGACGGAGTCGAGAAGCGACGGAGAAACATGTCGTACCATTGTTGTCATGCTTTAATTGTTGTGGGAGTGAGCCGTCGCTGAGGCGGAAGAGTGGGTTGTGATGGAGATGGAGGGATCTGTGAAGAGACAATGGCGACGTCAGCAGGGCGAAGGGGGTAAGCGGAGGCAGGTCCCAGCCAGCGAATCAGAACGGAAGGCAGGATGAGGCAGACGGCAGAATGGAGGAAGGGAAGCAGGAAAGCACAGTGAAGGAACAATAGGCAGAAACGGCGTCCAACTTGGAAACGAAAGAAGCCGAGTGTTGGTGGAGAGATGCGGCTGTAATATGCGTGGCAGGCAGCTGACTGGACGGGGCTTGGTGGGTCACGCACCTGGACTTTGCTGGCAGCGGTGAGAAGCGACAAATGTCGACGACAGGGCGTGGCAGAGGGACGACGGGCCAAAAAGAAGTTGGCGGTCGACCTGGATAGCCCTGAGGAGAGAGAGTCGCTGCTGGAAGTGTGACTTGAAGGGGGTGTAAGAGAGGGATTCTTCAGAGTTGCGCCCGTGTCCAACTGTCCAAGCCCAACGCGGCAACCCCCGTTAACGTGCGAGACTTACCTCCAGAATCTAGCCCGACTTTTGCTTCACGGCCCCTCCGTCTCCTCACGCAAAATCGCGCCTGGAGCTGCTAACCTGAGTCACGGTCTAGTCGACAGTTCAGCTACTCCGAGTATTTGAGAACCGCATTCTTCTTTGAACATGCCGCCATGAAAACATCTACACATCTAGCACGCTCTATTCTACTATCCCACCTTGCCATCCAAGAATATGTGGGGCGAAGGTCTTCCTTGCTTGGGCATCACTCGACTTATCCTCATTCACAATAGTGAAACGACCTGACTGCATTGTTTAATTTGGCATGCATAACCAACCCCGAACACTCTATTCAATGTTGGGATACCTACGTTGTTTGAATACCATCCGTGTTGCTCGTAGCGTAGACCAAGCAAACGTAACGCGGAATTACAAAGTCTGAGACATGGTTTTCAGCCAGCTGAGGCTTTTCATGCGGCTGCTGTGCAATGTGATAACCGTTGGCTTCCTCGATCCTTCCATGTTTGACTGCGAAGCCTGCGAAACTGCGGGGATTTCAAGGCCATAATTCTCTCACAACACGCGTGCACATCGTCATGCCTTCTTCGGATCCTCCCTCTAAAAAGCGGAAGACGTCAAAGATTAGCTTGGATTTGAACATACCGGAAGTCCATGCCGCCTACGTCGAATGGGCAATTGGCCGAGGAATTGAGATTCATGGGGTCACGCCTGCTGTGCTTCCTGGCAGAGGTGTCGGCCTACTGGCAAAAGAAAACATAAAGAAGGGTGATAAGCTATTCTTTGTGCCAGAAAAAGCCATGATTAAACCTGAATCGGCATCACTTCGCAAGCACAAGATAACAAAAATATCTTCTCAGGCTCAACTGGCCGCACACCTCACTCTCGAATGGAAGAGCCAGTCTTCTACATACGTTGCTTCAAGACCTGCCTGGCCAACGCCTGACGATTTCACTTCTTGTATGCTTGCCTGGTCTCCAAAGGATGAATTGGACGATGTAATACGCAAATGGGCTCCACCGAGTGTACAAAAACCGCTGGACCGCATGCTGTCAGACTTGAAGAGAGACATTGAATCTGTAGAACACATGCACGCCCCCGACGATGAAGCATTCAAGCGCGAATTTCTCTACCATTGGATGCTCGTGAACACACGTAGTTTTCACTGGAAGCCTCAGGGCATCAGCCAAGGTGCCATGATCATGAATCCTGCACTGGACTACATGAACCACTGTCCAAATGGCCAAGGTGTAAGTGCTCAAATGTTGTCCAAGAGGTCTCTCGCTAAAGATAGCAGTGTGAAGTCACGATGTCACCACAAGGCTATGAATTGAAAGCAAATCGAAATTATGGTACGTGTTTCGTGTAATCTGTGACGGCACACAGCTAATAGTACGACCCTGAATAGAACCTGGAGAAGAGATATTGGCTACATACGGAGCTCATTCGAATGACAAGCTCCTGGTGCATTGTAAGAGTTACGTGCTGCATGTGTATAAACATCCAACTGACGCACGATGCAGATGGTTTCATCCTGCCCGATACCAGCCTAGATGACGATGAGATCCGGCTGGACCACGTATTACTGCCCCGCTTGACAGAAAGCCAACAAAGCGCTCTTCAAGATGTTGGATTTCTGGGTGGGTACGCCTTGTTGCCTTCTGGTGAACTGTGCTTCAAGACGCAGGTTGCCGTGCGCTCCGTACTCCTTACGGCCAACGAGTGGGAGCATTTCATGGGTTCCGGAGAGGATCTCGCAGACGACAAAGAAGACGAAGTGCTCGATTGGCTGAGACCCTCTCTTGAAACTTACACTGAAGAAGCCAAAGAAGCTATTGCGTCTCTGAAGTCCCTTTCAGTAGAGCGGACTGGCGATCTTGCAAGCAAGCTCAAACTCCTGCAAGCCAGATGGGAACAAATTCTGACTGGGCTCGAGGATTTTCTGATCTGATACCTACATGGTCTCAGATCAAGGCAACAAAATATCGTATTCATCCTTGGGGATCTTCACAGCGTCCTCTCCAATTCCGTACTTCCGGCGGAAGATCTCAAAAACAATCAGACCAGCCGCAGTTGAAGGTACCTGACGCAACGTTGTCATCCAGAAGTCCTGATACAGCCATTTGACCCAGCCACCCGATTTTGTCGCGCGCTTGCCGGCCTGTATCCATGTCTTCTGATACGCTCGTGCATACAGTTGCATGGTGTCCATCCGTCCCGGCCTAGCTTTTAATAATTCATCCAGTGTTGCTAATCGCTGGAAGTGAAGCTCCTGAATCTGTGTGAGGGGATGAGCGACAGCTTGTTGCAGCACACTTGCTGTCGCACCGGCAAGGAGTATGAATGAGGGTTCCATGAGATAATGCGGCTTGATCACTGGCCTTTCCTGTTGGTCGGTGACTCTCTGCAGCTCGATTTGATGCTTATGAAACATGGATAGAATGCCGTAACGCGAATACCAATGGCTCACGTACTCGTAGAAACATTGAGACTTGATGAACTCGAATGCTCCAAAGAACAAACCATATCCGAAGGAATCCTTGACGAATGAAAGCCCCCATCCCGCAAATGCACCACGGGCGCCAATAGTCTGAAGCTTTTTCGAGGCGTAATCCCACATGTTTTTGTAGGTACCCTCTGTAAGGTCGGTTGTCTTAAACCGAATTGTGAGGGCATCCAAAGGTGCGGCAATAATACTCTGAAAAGCACCTGCGGAGAAGCCAGCGGCAAATGTTGAGGACAGAGGAGGTGGCGGGTAAATTCTCTTGGAGGAGTGTGAAGCCGGTTCGTAGTAGAGGCCAAGTGCACCGAGATAGGATGTATACAGAACTGCTCCAACAGTAACATTTGCCAGCAGTGGAGGCAAGACCTGGTTGGGAATGAAGGACCATCCATGAGTTTGTACAGCATAAGCCAATATTCCAGGAGTAGTCATTTTCCAAGACCACTTCCCGCTGCTGGCAGTGGTCTGGAGAAGAGGGTTAATAGCCCTCGGGAAAGCCTCGTTCGGGTCAGTATGGCAATGAGAAAGCACGAGTCACATAAATATACACACAAGATAGCTACCCGCCAGTCAGCGTATATCTCAAATTTCAAAATCATAGTCTACGCTTACTCGATCCTTGTTCGGAAGAATGCTTTTACAGGTACTCTAAAGTAGAAAGCGAACATGCGTGCAGTCAAGGCTCGCATACCGGCGGCCGATGCTCCTATCAAGGCTTAATCTCCAGGGAAACACTTTGATCATGATCCATCTTGCCTACCTGTAGTTGCATTGTTTTGGCGTTTGTCTCCAGGACTGTCTTCCGTATCGGGCCGGTCGAAGGCCTCGGAAGACGGCCTTGACCCAAGAGGTGCCGTACTCATTGCCAGCGATAATAATGATGAATCCTGTTATGTATGCATGGTCCAGATATTCGCGAGAACAAGAATCAGGTCGACATCGGCGTTTGATCTAAACATTGATATGCTTGGCGGCGCAGGGACCGTGTCAAGCGGTGACGCTGTCGCATGTGATTTCGTCTGGGGTAGAACAGTTGTACGGGTGCACCACCCTCTTCCTTCTTCATCAACTTTACCTCCACAGAGTCATGTTTTTCCAAGGCGACTTGCAAAGTGGTATCTCGCAGGCCATCCAGCAGCACAAGCTGGTTGCCTGTTTCGTCAGACAAGGTGAGCCAGCTGACCCACCCTCCATTCTATGCAGCCTAACAAGTTGTCAGATGACGATGACACAAGCCAGAAATGGGAAAACGAATGGTTGACTGCTTCTCTCGACACATCCGCAGGCACGGATGGGCAGGAGTCGTTAGGAGAGCAACTAGGCGAGAAAGCAGTCTTGCTCCGAATCAATGCAGGATCCGTCGAAGCTGGCTTCTTGGGAGCCTTCTGTTCGCTTGACTCCTTGCCAAAATTGTTGGTCATACGAGCAGGCTCTGTCGTCGAGAACATTGACGCAACCGTCACTGAAGAAGAATTCAAAAAGCGTATTCTCGCTCTGCTACAACCTTCTACACAACAGCAGCTACCGCCATCAACCAACCCTATTCCCGCAAACGCAGACTCGTCCACTGCAGACGTTAGCCAAGTCCTGTCAAATGTCCCCCTGATCGGCGAAAGAGGAACAACGCTTCGAGAGTCAGACACAGCTCCTCAGGAAAACGCAGAGACGAACGTCCCGATACCAGCACCAACCAGTCAAGGCAACAATGTGACGATGCAACAGTTCCTGACCGAGCGCGGAGCCCGTCTCGAGGCCGAGCGTAAGAAACAAGAGGAGGCGGAAAAGGAGGCACGCAAGGCTACAGCAAAGGCGCGTAAAGAGGCAGCAGACAAACAAGCTGCTGAATCGTCTACACTACCTCAAAACAAGCAAGATTGGGCCGATCAGCAGCGGAACCGTAACAAGGAGGCACGTCTCGAAAGGGAAAGAATCCTCAAGTCGATCGAGTCTGACAAGATTGCAAGGAAAGAGAAGGAACAACAAAGACGACTGGCTGCTCAAGGCGAGCCTTCTACAGCCGCTGCACAGCTACCAGTACACACTGATACGGCACCTGGAAGAAACTCCGATGTTTGCTCGCTTCAGATCAGACTGTTCGACGGTAGTTCGCTACGAACAAAGTTTGATCCTACTGCCACTCTTGCAACTTCAGTGAGAACGTATATCTCACAAAATTCGCAGACGGATATCCCGTACGAGTTCCGTCAGATACTCCTTCCTAACCCCAGCCGTAATATCTCGGTGGGTGAAGAAGGTGAATCACTCAAGTCTCTTGGCTTGACACCAAGCGCGACTCTGGTATTAGTGCCAATCAAGGGCTACACAGATGCGTATGCAAGCGGCAGCAGTGGCTTGGTCTCGAAGGGCTTGAATGCCGGATTCGGACTCTTATCAGGCGCAGCAAGCATGTTTGGAAGCGCTGTAGGCGGTGTCATGGGCTACGCTTCTGGAACAAACAACCGACCCGGACCCTACGTGGCTGGAACAGGGGACGAAACTGAGAGCTCTAACGTAGAAGGAGACAGGACGGCTAGCAGATCAGCTGGCATTAACATTCGCACACTTGGCGACCAAAGACGAGAGGCTGGGCAGAACACAGAATTGTACAATGGTAACCAGGTGAGTAGTTGTGAGCGACCGAGCGTGAAGACCGTGGTGACTGACGAAACACAGCTGAACTTTGAGCCGCGCAAGAACAAGGATGGCCAGGACGCCAAGGATGATTAGAGAGCGTCCTTAGGGCTCATGGGGTATTGTTTCGTCGAGTCATGTCAATGGTTCTCGACGCAGCCAGACTGAACTGATGGGTTCTATAGCTGATTGCAATTCTGGAGACAGTATCTGTTGCATAATATGGCGCCATGCGTTTACAATTATTGCCAAAAGATCTGGGACCAAGATAGAACGACCAATTTAGTTTCAGTACCAAGTCTTGGGCCAAGCATATCAGCGCGGGATTTCTTTAGGCGAGCACCCCTAATGAAAGTGCATAGTACACGTTAGATACTTCCGAGATGTAGCAAGGACGGGTCGCTTGGCTGGAATGCAAGAGAAAAAACGTGTCTGTAGAAAGATATCTCTATTGCTGGCCTTATCGCAGATGTGGCTTCTCGACTCAGCGAGCATGTTTGTCGGATTAGAGTTAGGGGTAAAAAGATTAGCAAGCGACGATTGGCGGAAAGTTGGGGCAGAAAGTGGCGCTAGAAAGCAGAATCGAAGGGCCAAGGAATGACGAGAGAAAGCGTGGATGTGACTCGAGTGCCTTTGGTCGCCAGGCTCGTTCTTGTGGTTGCGCCCAGCCAGCCAGCGTAGGCGTTTCAAAACAGAATCCATCGCTGCCTTTGCTGCGCAGCCGTGTCGGACTCCTGCATCAGAGTCACGCTCCATGGCTCGCATTAGCCCGTCGTTGTTATCACGGTGTCAGAGTCGTCCACCTGACAGGTCTTAGTGTCTAGTTTGATAACAGTCGAATCTCGAGACAGACCGCCCACGCCATAGTCTACCCCTACCCATACACGTACCCGACGTACCTGCTATCTGGCGGCCTCCTGATCATCATCATCCTTAACGGTGCCCAAGCTACACCGCCTCTCCGCTAATCTATATATCCCCGCGTTGCACAACACTGGCGCTCGTCATAGCCTTATCGCATTTGTACCCTCTATAGCTCCTCTGCCATGGTCGCAGAGAAGGAGCACGACGGCCAAGAAGGTCGCTCCTGGCCTGAGTCCAAGCCGAACCGCAACTCGCAGACCGACTCGGAAGAATCGCTAAAGAAGCGACCGGTTAAATGGAGTTTGGGCATCTTGAACGACAAGGAGACAGACGAGGTTCCTGGTGAGTTGACTATTTTAGTTGCCATATTCTTTACTCGCGTACTCTTTACTAAGTAGTTCTCAGGCTCTGTCCTACTCCTCTCGAAAGTATCCAATCGCAACGAGCCGCTAGGACTTCGTAATACACCGGCCAGAACATCGACCTCGTCGCTACCTTCTCCCTTTCCCTATTCGCAATCTCATAACGGCTCTCTCGCTCCACGCTCTCGTGCGGGCTCCATAGTGCCTCCTACTCCGGATAAGAAACAGACTGGAGATGGCATTGTTCTTGAACCGCAACCGGATGAGTCTCTGAACGACCCGCTGAATTGGCCAAAATGGCGTAGAGACTGCGCCCTGCTGTCTCTAGGCTTCTTCTGCATGCTTGGTGGCGGTATGACGCCTGTTCTCGCTGCAGGCTTCGTCAGTGTCTCGGAAACATACCACGTCTCGGTGCCTCAGGTTGCTCTGACCACCGGTCTTTATATGCTGGGCCTTGGTCTTGGTAGCGTTGTTGCTTCACCTACTGCTATCTTGTATGGCAAGAGACCCGTATACCTTGTCGCATCAGTCATATTTGTGCTGTCGGCCGTCTGGTGTGCATTGTCGCCCAACTATGCTTCCTTGGTGCTTGCGCGCATTTTTATGGGCTTCGCTGTTAGTCCAGTTGAATGTCTGCCCTCTGCAACCATTGCCGAGATCTTCTTCTTGCACGAGCGTGCCTACCGATTAGGTATATACACTCTCCTCCTTCTGGGTGGTAAGAACCTCATCCCGCTGGTGAGTGCCGCCATCATACAGTCGCTTGGTTGGCGCTGGGTCTTCTGGATCGTCGCCATCGTCGTGTCATTTGGCGCTATCCTGCTGTTCCTCTTTGTCCCTGAGACTTTCTGGGACCGCACACCGAGACCTTCTCGACACTCTCATAAGCACAGGCCGAGGTTGATGAGCAATATATCATTAGCCTCCATCTTCCATAGAGGTCATGCTGACACGCATGCGCATGAGGCCGCGCCTGAGCTCGAGAAAGGAGAGAAGACCGACTTGACTCCCAGCGTGAGTCCCACTAAGACCAAAGGAGAAAAGCGCTTGTCAAGACATGCTCATTTCAGTGAGCCTGATGATGATGAGATCGCTCCTGCAGATGTCGAAAAACCAAGCGTACCTGCTTTGAATCTTCCATCACCTGAAGTAACTGAGAATCCCGAACCTCAAACACCACGAAAGTCTCAGCCCGATGATTCATTGCAGCCTCCATCCCCTGGAATGCCACCTGCCTCTCCCGGATCACAACTGTCTCCTCAAGCAAGTGCACTGTCGCCAGGATCGCCACATTTCTCTCCTGGCCCACAACACTTGTCACCAGGAGACGATCCGTTCGTGTCCTACAGACCTACATCACAACACACACAGCACAGCCATATGAGATCTCACAGCGCTCAATTCGACAGTGTACCTCCGTCTCCTGGTTTCTCTGTCGACGCAGGCAATGGGTACACTTCTTTCTACCGCGCTGCACCACCGAAGTCGTTCAAACAAACCTTGAAACCGTATGCCGGCCGTCTGTCTCAGGATCGTTGGTTCAAGGTCGCCCTTCGTCCATTCATCTTATTCGCATACCCAGCCATTCTTTGGTCGTCATTGGTGTATGCACTCTCAGTAGGCTGGCTGATCGTGCTCTCGGAGTCTGTCTCGGTCATCTACGAGAACCGCGCGACGTATCACTTCACCTCTCTGCAAGTCGGTCTCGTATACATTTCCCCCTTCATCGGCGGCATCCTCGGCACCGCCGTCGCCGGTCGCTTCTCAGATGTCATCGTCCGCTGGATGAGCAGAAAAAACGACGGTGTCTACGAACCCGAGTTCCGCCTCTTGATGGCCATCCCCGTAACCATTAGCACCGTGATTGGTCTCATGGGCTATGGCTGGAGCGTTTCAGAGCGCGACGCCTGGATTGTGCCCACCGTCTTCTTTGGCATAATCAGTTTCGGCTGCTGTGTAGGCAGTACCACCGCAATCACCTTTGCCGTCGACAGTTATCGCCAATATGCCGGTGAAGCCCTGGTCACTTTGAACTTCTCGAAGAACATCTTTCACGGTTTGGTCTTTTCGCTGTTTTTCAACCATTGGTTGCAGAGCGATGGACCCAAGCGTGTCTTCTTGGCACTTGGAGGTATTCAATTGGGATGTTTGATTTTCACCATTCCGATGTATATCTATGGCAAGAGAGCGAGAATGTGGACGGTGAGAAAGAACTTGATGGAAAAGTTCTGAGATTTTATGGCATGTTATGGTGGATGATCTAATTTCCCTTTTTCATATATGCTATGTCATGTATGCATGATAGATGATGGTGTTTTGGAGGGATTTGCATGGGTTCAAGGATGGGATGTTATATACCCCCAGTTGGGAGGCTGTCATGAGTGGCGTTCTTGTTTGGGCTTTAATTTACTATAGTTGACGGATTTTCTTTGTATACAACGACTTCTCACGAGACAAATGCTTTCAAAAGGCACACGAGGTTTTCAGAAATAAGAGTCTTCTTTCTCACTACCTGAAAAGGTTTGACCTCCAAGTGCTTGTCAGTGCTAGTCATGAATCCCTCCCTATCGTCCTTTGCACGCCCGAAACTCCTCGAAAAGCAACCAAGAAACCATTCTTCTGACTAGAGGCTCGTTAGACATATTTCACAAGTATCAAGCTTGGTCCGTATGATCTATCGTTTCTTGTTCTTGCCACCCTTGGCAGGACGTCTGTCCTCATCGTCAAGGCCGCTTTCGCGGTCGCGCTTCTTGGCCTTCTCTTCCATCTCATCCCAGTCCTCGCCGCTCTCGTCTTCGCTCATCTCCTCTTCACTGGCATCGGCGCTGGCATCATCATCGAAGTCTGACTCGTCCTCGCTGCTCTCGTCGCTAGCGAGATCCTCGTCGCTGACTTCAAAGGCACTCTCCTCTTCCTCGCTCTGTTCCTCGTCGTCTGACTCGGCAGCAAGGAAGGACCAACCACCACCAGCAAAGAACTCGTGGGGATCGGCAGTAACAGTCTTCATGATAGTACCCCAGTTCAGGTTGAGAGGACCTTCTGAGTAGGGTGTGTCGATTGAATCCAGCCAGTCCTTGACACTGTCGAGTGACTCGACGGGAATTGTGTTGATGTGAACAGGAGGACGCTGGAAGTCCTGGAAGACGATGACCATATCAAAGTTCTTCAAACCGAACTGAACACGTTCCAGATGGACAATCTCAATGTCGTTGAGTGTGATGACTGTGAACGGAGGCTCGGTGATCTGAATGAGACACTCGGTGGTAGGCTGGATGTAAACGCTTGAGCGAGCAGGGACACCGTTGAAACCGAGATCGCGGTAAGGCATATCGACTTGCAGGTTGTCGCCCTTGCCAGCGTCGGCAATCTTCTCGGCAAACGACCTGAACTCCTTGTCGAGCTGGACACGACGTCTGCGCTCTTCCTGTTCTGCCTCGAACTCCTCCTCGTCACCATAGCGATGCTTGCGCTTGCGGTTACCCGTCTCGTCGAATTGCATCTCTGTGGCTTCACGGTAGAATTGAATGTCTTTGGTCTTCCTCTTTCCAATCATGATAGGGTTGTGCAAGTGGCAGTGGATGATGACGATAAGTTCATGCTGCGAAGGCTGGAAGAAGAGGTGCTTGATGTTGCTGAAGAGAACATCAACCTTAACACCACCCATGTGAGCATAACGCAGACCGTTTTGGTGGATCTCAACCGAGCCACCAATGCGCTTAGACTCCAATGAGGGACGCATGAAGATGTTGTCGAGACGCTGAGGTCGGCGATTTCTTATTTCGACGAGCTTGTCCTGCTCAACAACATCCTCGAGATCCTTCTTCTCCTGTTCCTTACGCACAGCATCCTTCTTCATGTCAGTGATTTGTGCGACGATGGTGTTCATTCTGTCAGTATCCTTCGATCGGAACGTCAAGCTTCGAAGGAAGTGAGCCATAGGGTCTTCGAAAGGCTGGTCATCCTTTCTACCAACACCCTGACCAGGAGACAGGAAGTTGATACGCAAGAAAGAGAAGGCATTCTCCTCAGTCTGACTGACGTTCTTGATAGTGTTGATGTGGAACGGAACAGCACGTCCCATGATTGGCAGAATGATGCTAGCATTCTTGACATCGACCAAGACAATAAGATCCTTGACGCGCGAAGGGAACTGGTTGTCTCTCTTGTACGACTCGAAGCGCTTGAACTTCTTCACCTCTGTACCGTTAAGGTTGCCAGTGCCTTCGCCGTACTTGTCCAGGCCTTGTTGCTGCTTCTTGGAGTGGAGTTCTCTTTGATGTTCCTTGCGTTGAGCTTCCTTCTCCTCGTTAGGCTGTGTGCTGCGCTCACTGCGCAGTCTGGTGCTCGTGATGTTTCCCTTTGCGACAGCACCAACGCGGGAGTCCTTCTTTGGCTTGGGCTTTGCCTTCTCCGGCTCGTCTTCGTCGTCCTTGAAGAAGAAGGAAGTCGATTCAAGATCTGATGGAGCATCCTTGGTGAAGACCAAACCCTCGCTACCACCTACTCTCACAGTGTCGGTGAGCAGCAGCGAGTATGTCTTGCTCTTGTTGTCTTGAGGGTTGGGGTTCTCGATGTCGTGGAAACCAGTGGTAATGCTGAATGTCATTCCATCGCGCAGAGTCTGGGTGTTCTTTCCGTTCATGGGGAACGAGCTGTCGCGAGTCTCAATACCGATACCGTATCCAACCGACTTGACGAAGTTCTTCTCGAGCTCGGGCTTCTTCGACTTGATAAGGCTGATTGCCTTGGCGTAGACATCCTTTGCGACCATACCGTCCTTCATGTTCTTAAGAATGCTATCGTGAACGGCAAGCAACAACTTGTAGGCGCTCTCCTGGGATTTGTTGGGGTCGACTAGGTAGGTTCTGGAAATGATGGAACAGTAGCTGAGGTAGCGCAATCCAAGAGTCGATAGAATGACGCCGGCGTGCAAGTTGCTGTCGTCTGGCTCGGCAGAAAGTTTCAGATCATACTTGCCGCCACTTTGCACGACGGGTGAGATAGACCAGTCGAGCTGGGAGGGATCGAAACCGCTCGAGACCTTCAGCTTCTGGAAGAATTTGTCGTCCTCGATCTTGTCGGCAACTTTCTGTGACAGAGCCTTGTGGCTCATCTTTTTCTCCTCATCTAGAATACCCGACATTTGGTCGACAAAGTAGTTGGCCATGATGCCACTGGATGCGCGCGAGGCATCGCGGATTGCGCGCAGCTCCTTCTCGTCCTTGATGCTGAGAGCGGCTGAGATGGCCGATGTGATGTCGACCTCTTCGACGTCCTTGGAAATGGTTGCGAAACTATCCTTCCACTCCTTGATGAAGGGTCCGTTCGAGGGGTCCTTAGAAATGACGCCGACTTTCTTCTGTAGAATTTGTTAACATGAGTAGCTCGAGAATGGTATGTTGAACGTACGCCGGCGTTCTTGATGATATCTAGGCAAGTTTCGAACTGCTTTGCGTTCTCGGCGGCATCCTTGCCTCTGACGAGAATCTCAACGGGTGTCTTGCCGTCCTTGAGAGGCTCAAGATAAGTGGCTGTAGCAGTTAGCGTCGGGACAATGGCAGCATCGGGTTCAGAGATGGTTACCCTTCTTCTTGGTGGTGACGATGTGCATAGAGTCTTGTGTAATGACAAAGACGGTAGAGGGAAACTCATAGCCCAACAGCCAGAACTGCAGAGCACTAGTCTTGGAAAAGCCCTGGGACTCATCTGACTTGCCCATGACGATGGCGATAGATGAGGCGCCTCCGAACAGAGAGTCGCCATTGCGCTTGTCCTGCCTCCATTGCGAGATGAAGGCCGAGAGGCGGTTGTGGAAGGTAGCCTTGTCGATCGTCACCTCGTCGGCCATTTTGGCAGCGCGCTGTCACGGCAGGTAGGCTGAGGTGGCGGAGATACAGGTGAAATGTGGTGTTGGACAAGGTAATGTCAGATGTCAGAGCGAAGAGTGTTTGGTAGCGGCGAAGCGCAAGTCGAAGTTGCGACGGGGTGCTTTACGCGTGGGTCGCGATGTCGTGTTTCGGCGAGTGAGGTAGAGTATTCCAGCGGACAGAAGATTGAGGCGCCTGAAAGATGACTTGACTAGTTCCGGACCTCTCACAAGCTAGGCTTTCACAGAGGAAAGGAGCAGCACAATAGAAAAAGTGAAGATGTTGTTGATGTTGGCTGGAAAGGTGCAACCCACGACAATTGAGCAGTCGCCTTGGCGCGTGTCACCAGCGTGGAGCTTCGAGCGGGCGAAAGAGGAAAGAGCCATCCACAATCGAGACCTTGCAACACCCCAAAATGTCGCTTCGACCGTCGCCCATCTTGCGCCAACTGGCGTCACTATCTTCTCGCCCTCGTATACAACCACAAACAAAGCCGTGGATCTGTCGACAATGCCAACAATCCCGTCCACTTCTGCAACGAAGATCCTATGCCAGCCAGCCTGCTGATGACCCGTCGTTTACTTCAATTGTCGATGTACAGCCTCAACTCGTTCGCGTCGGCGGTAAAAAGCATGGCTGGGGCTTGCTAGTCTTGGCTGTTATTCCAATTACCGCCTTCGCCCTAGGTTCATGGCAGGTCCAGAGACTAGGATGGAAGACTGAACTCATCGCCCGCTTCGAAGATCGCCTCGTGCGTGACCCCTTACCTCTACCTCCGAGTATCGACCCGGCTGCCATAAAGGACTTCGATTACAGAAGAGTCTACGCTTCTGGTAAATTCCGCCACGATCAGGAAATGCTCATCGGACCCAGACTTCTCGATGGCAACGATGGTTACATGGTTGTGACTCCCCTCGAACGCGAATTTGAAGGCTACTCTGGCAACTCAAAAATTCTCATCTGCCGAGGCTGGATTCCGAAAGACAAGGCGAACCAACGTGCTAGACCCGAAGGCCTACCACAAGGCGAAGTCACCGTCCAGGGTCTGCTGAGAGAGCCATGGAAGAAAAACATGTTCACACCCGAGAACAAGCCCGAGCAGGGTGCTTTCTACTTCCCTGATGTTGAACAAATGGCCAACTTGACAGGTAGTCAGCCTGTGTGGATCGAAGAGACTATGAAGCCCGACCTTGTTGAGTCTTACGATAGAGAAGCAAAGGGCATACCTATTGGAAGACCGGCTGAGGTAAACCTTCGAAACAATCACACCCAATATATTTTCACATGGTCAGTTTATGATTGTTCCTGTCTCGCTCTTGAAACGCCTAACACTTGTCAGGTATTCTTTGGCTGCTGCTACGTCTGTCATGCTCTGGATGGTTATCAAGAAGCCATCGTCTCGTGCAGCTCGTAGAGTGCGCCAGTCTGGCCAATGGTAAATATTTGTATAGTAGCAATGCAGTAATCTGACCACCATCAACACTGCATAAGTGCAAAGCGTGTTCTTGCGTTCGATGTGTTGTTTACAGCCACTCTAAAAGTTCACGCAATCTCTTCGGCGTGGGGAATTCAGATTGATTCTACCAGGAGTTTGAGTAGAAAAGCTCAGTTTAACAATGGCAGACGATAGGTCGAGATATGCGAGCCTAAGATACCACGACAAGACCAAGGGAGTTAAGTAGCCTTGATGTCCAGCATGTTGCTGACGGTATCGGGCTCGAGCAGGGTCACCACAGTAGCGACAGCCAAAGCGCTAACGCGGCTCAATTCTTGGCTGCTCGATCATGCCTTCCTTTTCACTCGTGATTCGATTTTGAGTATTCAACACCAGAAATTACAGCGCTCACATAGATGCAAATCAACGCAGTAATTATGCGAAAGTTACATGCCATGTCCCACTAGCAAATATGCCTTCCGATCCATCATTTCAAGGGAACCCAAGCACACTCCTACCTCAACCCGGATCGCTGGAGTATATAAACAGGCCAAACCCAGTTGAACCCAGTGATTTGAGCCATAGTATCTTCGATGGAAGTACTCGCCAACTTGACCGGACGACGAATGAGCAGCTACATCCGTTTCTGCTAGGCAATAGGTTGCGCCAACGTAATGATCTTGGACCAGATACCACAAGGCTTGCGAGACGCTCGCCCCACCAGTCTTCTGCCTCCTCACTTGCTGCCGTACTCAATGATGAAGACTCGCCTCCTCGATTAGGCGAGTATACTTCTCAAAGACGGGATGTTGATCAAGCAGTCTTCACATTGCCAAAGTTGCCAGCAAAACGACATGCAAAACGTCACCGCGTACCTCCTGTGCTACAGGGTCTTCACCAGCCACCACCAGATGCTGGGCTCTTGCCTTCCATCAGTACGGAGGAAGCACAAGTATTTTTGTCTACCTCAAGGAGCAACAAGCCTGCACCTACTTCCGTGCCCACTGACGATGCAAATTCTGCTGTGGTGCAGAAAGAGCCCATGGCTTCGACTGAAGTCAGCCAGGGGACATCGGAAAAGCGTTCTAGACGTAACATATGGACTGATCAAGAAACCAATGACCTCTTAGCAGGCGTTTCGAGGTTTGGCATTGGTAATTGGAAGAAGATTTTGCTCTGCTCAGACTACCAGTTCCACAAGCGGACAGCCGTAGATCTCAAAGACAGGTACCACAAAATGATCTCTTTGTTCTTCGTGCTAGGCTCATGTGTTTGCAGGTTCAGAGTTTGTCGTCCTGACGCTTATGGTGGTGCGAGGAAAACTCGAAAAGCCAAGAGAGTCTCACCTGAAGAAGTTGCAACTACTGAAACGTCCAAGAGGCCGAGATCAGCAGAGAAAACTCCAGCAGAGCCTGTGGCAGAAGTTGAGGCACAATCCAAGCAAGCCGGTACCACAGAACAGACTCTATGGAAGGCGCAACGCCGACCGAGACGCAACTTTACGGACGAAGAAGACGAGGCTCTACTCAAAGGCTTTCGGGAGCAAGGCCCATCTTGGGTATCTATTTGCAAAGATGAAGCATTCCGAGAACATGGTAGAACCCCAACAGATTTACGCGATCGACTGAGAACGAGGTTCCCAGAAAAATATGCACAAGCTGGACTAGCATCCCGACCAGCCGTACCAAAACCGGCCAAACGGACACGAGCTACGAGAGAGGACTCAGGAAAACCTGCAGGGCCAAGCCAAACTACCACAACTCAGGCTGCCACCTCGAAAGACAGTCAACCTGTACTCCCGAACGATAGATTAGAGAGGACAAATTCGCGGACTGGTCCTGCTTACAGTCTACCTCTACCAAGTATTGGAGATGATGCTCTATCGAATTTTGGCTATCCAGATGACGATGAAGACGCAGATCCGATCGTTCTGGATCGCAGCATCATGGACTGGGCAAATAGCAATATGACCCAACTCAATCGCCCGTCACACCCACAAACATCTGACAGCTTTTCATTTCCTGGCATTGATCCACTTGTCACACTGAAGTTGCCCAAGCCTGGGTTCTTCTGACACTGCCTAGCATGGCAATCGGGTGCTTAGGCGGGTCTCCTTGACACTTTCAAGCAAGGTTCTTATTCCAATTCGCGCTCAATTAGAACAGATCGCCTTGATATCTTGACTTGCTACCGCTATGTCATCTACAAACTCATTCTGTTCACATACAAACACACTCGTGGCTTGTTAAAACAGTGGTCCGTGTTCCACATCAATTCTTCATTCTTTGAGCTCACATGCCTCAAGTCCAAGTCCCGTTCGCAGGACCAAAGAAACCACTCGCGGGCAACGATAAGTTAGGAACACCCACTGCATCAAGTGTATTTGCAAACACCGTCGTACCCCACCAGTCCGGCATCGAGTAGCCAGGATAGCTGACAGCGAAGAAAATGATGATGCCGGCGATGGCTGTGCCTGTGTCAACAGCGGCTGCAAGGACATACTGTCTTCTGTTAGATGCTTTTTCAATGATCAAAGGGGATAAAGGGAACCTTACGTTGTATTTTGTCCACCAAGCAAAGAAGTTTTTCTTGATGTAGCCGTTGAAGACCCAGTTCACCAGTGCCCACGATGTGTAATTGATGCCTATTCAATGGTAAGGATCAGTATCTCATTCGCAACCACAAATCTTCCGAATGAGCCTTCACATACCTGTAGCTGGAGGCACATTGTATGTCCCAACGTAGAACAAAGGCCAATTCACATCCTTGAAAATCTTCTTTCCCGTCTTCTTGTATGCGTACCAAGTGATCACAGGCGTCAAAGCACCAATCCAGAAAAAGTGCAGGAGTGAGGAGTACCGCTTTCCTACACTGTACAAGCGATCTGGTCCTATCAAGCCCCAAATTACTGAAGAGCTAAATACTGTTCTTCCGTTAGGGCATGTAAAGCTGGAGCTCTGGGTCGATGAACAGATATCCTTGATGTTGCCGAGCATCCAAAGAGTTACGCCTGTTTGGGTCAGAGCGCCTAAGACGGCGGCGAAGCCTTGAGCGAAAAAGACAGTGCGAGGAGCCAGTTTGAGGTAGTGTCCGAGTTTCATGTCTTGGACGAAGAAGATGCCTTGGTTCACAACAGCAGTGGACAAGATCTTGAAGATCATGTTGGCCAAGGGTTTGCCTGCAAACATATATCCACCGATGAACTCGGAGAGAACGTTGATCTGATTGGCGTCGACGTTCGAAATACCTTGAATCAGCGCACAAGGAATAAAGTAGATTGCCGGGATGACAAGAGCAAGTGCGACACCATAGATGGGAAGATCAGTGTCATAGATCTCGACCATGACACAAGACAAAGCCGTGAAAATTACCAGAACGATGAGATACCAGTACCAAGGAGTCGGCTTGTATGCTTTCATCAAGCGTCCATGAATATCAAGCTTTCTCGTTCCGCGAAGGGCAGTCCAAATCTCAGTTCCGTGCCAGAGATATGTATGTGTCAGAACTGCTGTGATGGAAGCGAACGACAGTCCATACACAAAAGCGAACGTCGCGCTGAGGAACGGTGGTGAGTATGCACGATAGGCTTCAGGATCAAGGCGTTTGGTCACAGGATTAATCACCCTGGTAACATTGTAACTGGCTCCTGAATTGTCATAGACGTCTGCGGTCATCATTGGTAGATAGCCAGTGTACCATTTGTTGGTGTAGAATATCCCTGGAGTGACGATCAAGAAGAAGAACACAAAGCCGGCTAGGACATTGAGTGCGGCACTCAAAGGACTCAATAGAGGATTGGTATTATATGCGACCTGCGACCAATCAAACGTCAAGGGGAACATTCCAAGGCCAGTTTGCATCCCAAAAAGCTGATTGACTACAGCATTGTTTGGTGCGATCCAACAGATCCATGTGAAGTATGATAAAGCAGGGAAGAGGAGGCCTGGAAACCAGTACCACACAAATGCAGCAAGCAATGCCAAGAAGAAGAATCGAAGGCGAGATATCTTCCACCCATTAGCAATGGCATTTGATTTGGAATGCAAGGTGGAGAGTAGAGCGCAGTTGCCCAAGATGCCAGGCCAGATAATCGAGGCAGGCTCCACAACCCAGCGAGATCCAAGGCCAGCAACGCCAAATCCAAGAAGCTGAGTACACAGTACCATGAGAACAGCCAATCCAGCAGAGAGGTCGAAGTTGTAGAACTTCTTAGCTGCTTGTATCATGTTTGAAGCGTCAGATCCAGATGCAAAGCCGATTGTCACATTCGACATGATAGTGATAAGGGCATGCTCTTTGATGTTCTGCGATATAATCAGTCATTTTCACGGTAAGCACTGACCGTACCTTAACTTACAAAATGACGATCTGGATTGATATTCCACTTTCCGAGAGGGCCAAGGTTCAAGGTGTATATAGGCAGGATGTGCGCCAGAGCCACTCCGATTGGGAAGGCAAGAAGCTCTGCGACAAGCGAGACAATATGCACGGCGGGATATCGTAGAGAGAAGAACTGATTGACACCGGATCCAAGCATTGTCCAGATGATGCCTACGATCCACATTCTAAGGGTGTTCAAAGGCATACTGGGATCATCTGTTTCCGGGACCACAGCGCGAACTAGATCAAAATGTCAGAGGTATACACCCAGAGAGATCACAAGCTAGATTGTACCTTCAGGGTATGGTGAAGTATTAGCGTCAACATCCTTTACTTCTCCGTCATGCAGCACTTTGTCGACGTCTACCTCAATCTCCTGAAGGTGGCCATGCTCAATGTCTGGCGAATCAGCCTCAACGCCTACTTCGGCTCCTTTCCTGTCGAGGTCGTCTGCAGTCTTCTGAGGCTCTAGAGTGTTTAGTTGCACAGAGTCAGTATCCCGGCGCGAGACCGGGAAAGGTCGTCTGATCCTGTTCATCATCTCTGCAGGTAGAGAAGGGACGTTGATGAAGGCGGGTATCTACCTATGTCATGGGTGCTACGATCACTTATACCTCTACCAACATGCCTATGAGATAAGTTCCCCAGCCATGGGTACCACGATGATGGTTACGGTTCTTATCGTGACTAGGGATGTAGTATCGTGCCCTTCCATGAGCCTGAGGCCGTGATAGATGGGTTGATAAGACATGCAAAGGATGCGCTAAGCCTTATCACTAGCCCGACTTGGGGTGATATGTGCATATCACATATAGAGAAGCTGCGGCCAAGGGATAGGCAAGCATATGTTGATAGATAGGCAGAGGAATCGATCATACGCTTGTACATGTTACAAAAAGGTATTGTCAACAGAACGGCTGGATAAATAGGTAGGATTGGGAAGGTGCTACACAGAAAATGTGGGGACATCACGCGGTCAGGGTGATCCACAGACCTGACGTCGTTTCAAGCTGGCAACAACACAACTTTCCTAACTTTCCTAGATTCCAACCACAGACTTAAGCATTGTCACGGAAGTTCAAAACCAGAAAGCCATTGACGAACGCGGTCCAGCAACAGGTGTCCAGTGCGAAAGTGCCACTGACTGAGCCTAAACCGGTGATCGATCAGGGCACTGCTCTCAGCAACCATGATCTCGACGCTCGAAGAAAAAGCGACAAGTCTTGTAGGCCTGACAAATGATTCTCGCACAAGAAAATGGAAGCCGTTTGGAGTCCGTAGTGGCCGTAGTGAAGAAAATGCGTAGGAAATCAGTTCGTGATGTGCTCGAACTCGTTCTATCACCCTGAAGTTTTCATGATTACACTCCAAGGTCTGCTTATACCATTCACTCATTCTGCAGTCCGAACTTTCTCTGCACCCGTTCGTCCTGGAGGCCTCTCGAGTCTTCCCTTGGACTTATACTAAATCAACGCTCTTCTATCCGCCACTGGCGAAATCGTTCTTGCGGATTGTCAGCAACCTTTCTTCCACTGATTCTTCGCTCTTGCTTCGTCACCGGTCCGTCCATTTTCACTCTAACCCCTCGAGTACTTGGTCTCTGTTCTCCGAGCGCCCCTTGAGTGCGCTTACTTCAGAGTCCGCTAGTTGCTGACGATCTCTGAGGAGAGACTGTTCACTCACAGCCGACCTTCTTCGGTTCATTCATAGCGATCGACCAGTGATCTAAGGTCAGCGACCTTTTCTTAACTACAACCATTCATTCTCACACACCATTTTGGACTCACCGCCTTCAAGGGCCTCACTATACGCGTGCTTCCATCCCTCTCTTACAACTTGCATCGACATCAACACTTGAGTACGAAAGAGACCAGCGAACTTTCATTGTTAGGTCGCGAACCACACCATAACCAGACCCCGGAGCTTCACAATCATGCTCACCGGCCAGACTCAAAAGAGGTTCGGGGAAAATGAAGATCCTCTCGAGCCCAGATCTATTCAAGATATCAAGACAATGCTGAATGCTTCTGGTCATGGCGCACGAATCAAGAATCACAAAATCTTATCTGGAATCATGTTCTTTGAGGTTCAAGAGGAGAGGGACATAAAAAGGTTGGGCCGCAAATCTTACGTCCGGCACTATCTGGTTGCTGGAGAGGATCCGAATGATGAGGGCTGTGTTGCGGCAATCAGTTTGTCGGACGAAGAGAGGCAAGTTCAAACTACTCACATGAGTGCTTTGAATGACACTAGAGGCGGCATCAGCAACGTCGCATGGTGTTCATCCCTTCAGCTCAGGCGTAAAATACTTCGCAATGGTAAGTCTTCCAGGAGTTACACGGCTATCAAAACTGTTCGCAGAGACTACTGCGAAGCTCTTCTCCTTGAGTTTGACGATTTGGTACCTTTCAAGAACCAGAATTGGCAGGCGATCCAGGTACGTCGAGAGTGTTTCTTTGACTCATGGCCCATCTAACAAGCTTCAGAACATAATCAACAGACATCAGCATCTATTGTATGACGAGGATGATCAACCCAGACCTGAGGCCGTGGGTGATGAACCCGATGATGATGATGACCACGATCACGATGACTACCGTGATGATGATTACGGCCGGGACAATGTGATCGATCGAGACTCCGACGTGGAAGATGACACCATCAATACTAACCTGAACCGCTTCGATCAATACGACGATCACTCGCTGAGCCCTACTCATACGTTCATACCTCATTCCAGAGACAATTCGCCCGAGATTGTTACTACAAATTCACTCGACGATGATGATATCGATATGGGTTTAACCCCAACCAGAAATGACTCCGACCTTGACGAGGATCTTGTAATCATCTCCGATTATCCAAAGCAACCCAAGCTCGAGCCCAAAGTTGAGCCTGATCCAGAGATCACGACTATAAACAAAACCGCAATGATCAGAAGCACAAACAGTTTCATTGATTTGACAGGAGAACCAGACACAGAGGTGATTGACTTGACGGGGGTTGATGATCCAATCGTCAACAGAACCAGCTCGGGCGTTGAACTCATTGAGCTCGAGGATAGATAACCGACCTTTGCATACGTTCCAAAACAGTAACGACGCCACGACCAATTTGAACATTTCAATACAAAATCAGTCTGCCAGCGGCGATTTGAAGAGCTTGAGGACATTTTTGATAGATCCGGCCGGAAGTTCTTGAGATGCAGCACGATATTTGATCTACGCAAATCGAGGGTCGATTTCAGAAGAGCAGGGGCATGCATCATCTACGATCTAGATTTGTAAATCAGCGCAGAACGCCTAAATGCCAACTCCGTTAATCTAAAAATCGTTTGTGCTTGTATCATTTGTTTGCTACTGGCTATGTTTGTAGTTTTGAGCAGAAAAGTGCATGGAGCTAGATTTGGCCATGCTTTGAATTTTGTTGTTTGCACCTTCCTTCTCGATCTAGTCCGAAAGAGGCCACTTCTGTTACACAAACAGTATCATGTGAATCCAGTGGACATGAACATAATCTTCGTATTTGACATCGTATTCTGATTCGCCATCACCAAGCTCCATGTGCACACTATTCATGATATCAGTGCAAAGCAGTTACGATAGTACAAGTTGCCATCCTTAAGGTCTCCATCTCCAACTAGGATGCTTCCAATCCATATCTTGCTGCTCAAGAAGAGTAGTACCAGCCAACTCCTGATCCACATCTCTGCCATCTCTCTTCTTGTTATCCCTCTTCATCCAGATCAACAGCAGGATGCAAAGACACAGTCCAGTACTAGCGGTGGCCAGATTGAGACCATTGCCAATGTGGTAGTTAGGTCCATCAAAGGGAAGGAACGACCAAGTGGCGATCAAGCCACCGATGTTGCCAAACATGACATTGGTGCCGATGGCGGAACTGCGTGCTGTGTCTGAGACGACGTTCGCGCTGACTTGGGCGTTGGAAAGAGATCCGAATGCAAATGCACCAGAGGCGATGATGAAGGTAGCTCCGTAGCGGACGGCGGCTGTTTCGGTGGCTAGGAACATGATACTGTCAATAATGATTAGCGTTGGTCTGAGAAACAGATGCAGAATTGGAAGTTTGACTTACTATCCAATGATAATCAGAGGAGCTGAGCATATCAGAATTGGAAGACGGCAATCGGTCTTCCAACTGATGTATGGGAACATCAGACAGAAGAAGCCACCGACAATGTAAGGAGGGACAGTGTGAAGCTGCTGGCTGATCACCGTGTGGTGAGGGTAGATCGTGCGAACAATGGTAGGTGCGAAAAATGCAAGACCTTGGACGGTAACGTTGTTCAGAAGGAAGATCATCGAAGTGCCCAATGTGACAGGAGAGAAGATGCCTCTGAAGATCTTCTTGCGATCGAACTTGTCCAGCACTTCAGTGGCTCCGACTCTCTCGGACTTGACACGAGAAATAGCCAGGTCCTTCTCCTCCTGAGAAAGCCATCTGGCAGTTGCAGGTCTGTCGGTGAGAGTGAAGAAGGAGATGACCGCAAGGCCCACTGTGATGATTCCCTCGATAGCAAAGATCATTCTCCATGTCTTGAGTCCAGCGAAGTGGTCCAACTTCAAAATAGCAGAAGCAAGTAGTCCTCCAAAGGCTCCAGCGAGAGGTGCCGCCACGACATAAAGACCGAGCCTCCAGGCCAGCTCGGATCTTCTGTACCAGCGGGAGAGGTAGTAGGCGATTCCAGGAAGCATACCAGCCTCGAAGATACCGAGGACGAATCTGACTGCACACATTTGGCTGAAATTATGGACGAAAGCAGTAGCAATAGAGCAAAGCCCGAAAGCCAGAGAGATCCCAGGAATAAACCAACCAGGTCCGAGCCATTTGCAGCACATGTTCGCTGGAATCTCGCAGATGATGTAACTGATGTAGAACACGGACAAAATAGCATTATAGTCGTAGCCCTTCAAGTGGATTGATTTCTCGAGCCCTGCGATTTTAGCGTTTCCTAAGGCCAGTGTCAGAAGGTTGTCATTATCGACCAGCTGATATGTATACTAACCGATGTTGGCTCGATCAATGAAGCAAAAGAGATACAGCAACATAGCAGTAGGAATGATCATGAAGTCGATCTTTGTGCGCAATTTAGCCTCGGCCTTAGGATCAAACTGAATGAGCGAGTTGCCATATCTATACTATCATTAACATGATGTTGAAGTTGCAAAGTTGGTTGTCATACTGATCAGTAGCCTGGTGTCCACGCTCAGCGGCCTCATGGACCGTCTCTTCGGCAAGCTCTTTGTGCATAGCAGCGTGCGTCTCCTTCTCGACGTCGTGAGAGGTTCTCATAGTATAGACAATGTTTGGATGGGGTTGAAATCGTTGGCAACGGGATATAGACAGCCCTGTCTGGGGTAACAGTGTGGGGTGATCTGGGGTCTGGGGGAACGCTCTTATATCTCTTTCACATCTCCTCTAAGAGTCGGCAGTTGTGAAAGATGGAAAAGCAGTCATCAAGAAGAAGTGTAGAATTTTGTGGCGGAGACCTGAGAGGGGATCGCTTGTGGGGAATTGATTGCACGTTTCTACCTGTTGCTGTTTGACTTTGGACTGAGCTGAAGTGGGCGTTTATGCCAATTGCTTGGATTCTTGGCTAGCGCTGTCTTCTCTTAAAGCTCGCTGGCTCGACCTCGCGGGAACACCTGGATACGGCGAAAGTTCCCTTGGCTGCTCTGCCACCCCCACAAAGAAGCAGACACATCCAAGAACAAGGTCTTGGCTGGATGTGCTACCGTTTGAGGGCTCGTCTATGTGGCAGCAGGAATCCAGGATTGTACCAGGGGCGGCTGAATGCCAGAATTGATCGCAAGGACTGTGCAGCCCTTTACCCATTGAAGTTCTGCATGTGGGGACAACAGCGAGAGTGCCTGCCTGGATAAATTGAGTGTGATTCTCTATATAAGAACGACCAATGTGGTAACGATAGGTGTATACTGCGATAAATTACATTAGATGTTCGACTGAAGAACTCCTCATTGTCAACAGCCGATATTCATTGCCGTGGTGTTATACAGGTCAGTTGTCGCAAGCCAACAAGGGTACGATGAGTCTTTCTTGGACCACGAGGGGGTCGCGAATCCATATTCGGACAAGATCCAATCATGGTTCTTTACGAACGTCAGCCCTTGCCCACTAAGGTCTTTATCGATCGTCCTGATGTCCGGACGCCGTCACAAGGAATGAACGATTTCCCACTCCACACATCGAAGCCAGTGCTTCGACATTTGCACTTGAGAAGCGATTGGAGTAAAGCTCGATATTCCCATATCTTGGGAAGTCTTTGTTACGGCAATGAATTTGCCGAGCAAGAAATCTTGTGCCTGTAAAACAACTTTCTGCTTGATCGTGTTACTGATCAAACATTCTAAGCGCATGACCTTAGCTCAATTGAGTCTTCGGATTGGAAGGCTGCACTGCCTCCGGCGACTGGATTCGTGTTTGTCGAAAGTGTATAAATCTGCCGATATCGAAGAACGACTCTGCCGAACCAAAAGCAATACGTCTGCAGACGGCCATAGAACGTCTTGAGGGAAGGAGGTCGGATAACAGCGCAGTTCCTATGCAGTAATTCCACATAACCGAGGCCAATTTCGGTAATGGTGTAGGCTCTGTGTTGATATGTAGAGAAATGTCATCTGAAAAAAGTGCAGTCTACTCATCAAAGCAAGCTTTGGACGAACAAACAAGTTGGTGGTGTACAGGTCGAAAATCTTCCACTCACATGTCAAGCTGCCATAATAGGTTCTGGCTGAGACCGAATGGGGCTTTGCGGCTTGACGACCATTTGGGAAGCTGCTTTGAACAATTTGTGGCCAACTTGTATACAACTTCCACATCAGTACGACATAGAATAACAACACTCGTCGCTCATAACTGGTATTTTGGCAGGTAGTTTCTGATGAGAGATACGCGTGCCAGACGCGTTCTCGCAGTGGGGTTGGGCGTCGACATGGCGTTCAGTAGAAACCCGGCCAAGGCACAGTCATTCCTGACGCTCTTCTGCTGGCAGTATATATCAGAGGAGTATTGAGTTTGGTCACGCTGAAGAAGAGGCATAATGAAACGGCAAGTCGACTACAGGAAGTAGAGAAAGGCGTAAGAAGAGATCGGCCCGAGCAGCCCGGACATAACACGGCATGTCGACTGCCAAGCGCTGATTGGCCGAAAGCAAAAGGAGAAAGAAAGACGCAAGGCCTTGCTTGATTCATGAAATTGGCATGTGAATTTTTTTCTGTTGATTCGACAGCAAAATTCATAAACAGTTCTCATCTTGGACATATCACCTTGGGCTGGCAGTCGCGTTGAGAGAGTGTACTCGGAGACTTTCCGAACTTTTCAACCGGCAAGATCTTTTTTTCCCCGCCAATTGACCTGATATTTGGGGCAGACAGATAGTAATCTGATAGCCGTCGTCACCCGCAAGAAACATTGGTGATTTTTGAATATGGCTGGTGAGAAAAAGAAGCAACAGCCTTTCTGGCTTGGGTAAGAGAATTTGCAGAATATGGGGATGACAAGACTGGTGCTGAGACAGTAGCAGTGGAGCGGCCGCTTCCATGGCAGCAACATGCAGTAAGTCAGACGTAAGTCGAGATACCATGGCCTTGTATTGATGAGTTCGCAGCACATCCTTTGGATCAAACGAAATAGTGAGAATTCCCAAGCCGCAACTCTGGACTGCAACTGACAATGATAGCCGCATGCAAGTCATGCACCAACCCAAGAACATTCTTAGAACATTAGTATCATTTGCCAGCCGTGATGGTATTCCTTCTCTCTGGACTGGTTTGACTGGATCTTGGCTCAGACAATGTTCCTACTCGACTGCTCGTTTTGGACTGTACAACTACTTTGCAAAGGAAGTCAAACAAAGAACAGGAACCACGAAACTGACCGCTGGCTGGGAAGTCGTGTGCTCTGGTGTAGCTGGTGGAGCAGCAGGTCTTGTCGGCAACCCTACAGAAGTCGTGCTCGTCAGAATGTGCGCAGATGGTGCTAAGCCCGCTGCAGAGAGATACAACTACGGCAACTCCATCCGTGCGCTATATAGAATTGCAAAGGAGGAGGGCATGTCGACTTTCAGCAGAGGTTTGACACCGAACATTGTTCGCAGTGTTATCATGAGTGAGTTTTGTACGTTACAGTTCATCATTGCAAATCGCTAACACTATGCAGACATCTCCCAAATCGCTACGTGAGTCTAACAGATTAGACGTCTCCAGAAATTCAAGACTGACCAATTTTAGCTACTCGACCGCAAAGGACTACCTTCTCTCGAACCCCAGCCTTGGTCTGAAGGATGGCATCTTCCTCCACTTCCTCGCCTCATTACTTGCTGGAACCGTCGCGACCACTGCATGTGCACCTGCCGATGTACTCAAGAGTCGTGTACAGAGTGCTCCCACCATCAACGGTGTAAAGCCCAGCCTCAGCAAAATCTTCGCCGATTCGTACAAGAAGGAGGGCATCAGCTTCCTCATGAGAGGATGGTCACCAGCATGGCTCAGACTTGCGTAAGTATTTCTGTTACGGCTCAGAAAGGAAAGAGTGCCACTGACCTTTGACAGCCCTAACACCGTGTTGATGTTCGTCTTCATGGAACAACTCCAGCGCCTTGTAGGCGTCAGCTCTAACCAGCCAAAGCCGGTCCAAGAAAAGAAGGCTTCTGAAGCCATGAAGGCATAGGAAGCCGATACAGATATCTTCAGACATTGGTTCTGACCAATTTCCACTTGAAGCATGCGGCGGAGTAATTCGGTCTACGGCGTTTCAACTTGTTCTTCCTTTTGTTCTCATAGACGCACATACTAAAGATTTATTTGGTCGCAAGACAGGAAAACCAAACACACCTTTCTTGATTAGCACAAAACACATACAAAAACCCTTGATACATGCAGAGGTCTGAGAACACAAAAACAAACAAACACTGTGAATCATATGAACCATTTTCCAAAAATCGTTATTTAAACATGTAAGAACTCTTAAAGCTTGGCCTTCTCCGAAGCGACACGGTCCAACAGCAGCACATCCTTGAGCTTGAGACCATACTGTGCTGCCATCTCCTCACTGGTCTGCTTCTGTCGCGTTAATCTGTCCAACAAGAACTTGGCTCTCTTGTTCTCGTTTCTACCCAGCTGCAACAGATGCACCTCATCAGGACCATCTACGATCCTCATTGTTCTGCCTTGGGCATACATGCTCGCTAGAGGTGTGTCTTGGCATACACCAGCAGCACCATAAGCCTGAATAGCGCGATCGATGACTGTCAAGGCCATGTTAGGAATCAAGACCTTGGCCTCAGCGATCTCCTTGAGTGCAAACTTGGCATCCTTGGTGTCGATTGCGACAGCGGCGTTCAGGACTTGAAGACGGGCAGCATCGATCTCGACACGCGATCTGGCAATGCGATCGACCATTACACCGTGTTCGCTCAACATTTTACCGAATGTCTTCTTGTTGGGATCGTTGACACGAGCGACGAAAAGCTCGAGAGCTTTCTCGGCCTGGGAGGGAGCTTTGTCAGTGGCAGGCACATGGAAACAGCAATACAGTACTTACAGCGCCAATACTTCTCATGGCGTGGTGAATGCGACCAGGGCCCAGACGTCCCTGAATAACCTCGAAACCACGGCCCTCGCCCAGGACGATGTTTTCCACAGGCACGCGGACGTTCTTGAAGAAGATATGACCGTGACCGTGAGGGGCATCATCGTAGCCAAAGACACCGAGCATGCGGTGAATGGTGACGCCGGGGGTATCGGCGGGAACGAGAACGACGCTCTGTTGCTTGTAGGGGTTGGGGTTGTTCTTGTCCGTCTTGCCCATGGTAATGTAGATCTTGCAGCGAGGGTCACCAGCACCCGAGGACCACCATTTCTGTGGAAAGAGGGTTAGCAAGTGGTGCAGACAGAGGAGCGGGACAACATACAGAACCATTGAGGACGTATTCATTGCCCTCGCGGCGAATGTCGAGAGTGATGTTGGTAGCATCACTTGAGGCAACATCGGGCTCTGTCATCAGGAAGGCAGAACGAATCTCGCCTTCCAGCAGAGGCTTGAGCCACTTGTCCTTTTGAGCCTGTGTGCCGTACTTGGCGAGCACCTCCATGTTTCCAGTGTCGGGGGCAGCGCAGTTGGTTGCCTCGGAGGCGATGACACTCTTGCCCAGGTACTCGGCCATGAGACCGTACTCCAGGTTGCTGAAGCCAGCGCCCTCCTTGAAGTGGTTCTTTGGAAGGAACATGTTCCATAGTCCTAGCTCTCGTGCACGCTTCTTAAGGGCTTCGATGATGGGTGGGTGGGCGCTGAAGCGCTCGGCTGTCGAAGTGCCAATCATTTGGTTGAATACGGCATCGGCGGGAATACATTCTTCTTCGACGAACTTCTCGACCTGTTGGATAGTGCTGTCAGTGACCAGAGCTTTGCGTCTAGAGCCGACGAGCTTACAATGTCGAGGTATTTTAGTGCCTTCTCGCTGACAAAGGGTTTAGCGATCTGGGGGATCTTTTGAGACGCCCTCAGCTGGCCATCGGCGCTGACCATGAGCTTCTCCGAGAACTCGTTCTTCTGTTGCTTGGACATTCTGATATGCGGTATAATACAGGAGTGGTATTGGACAGATGCCGCCTGTCTTGTAAATCCATCTAGTCCATCTTTCGCCCGAGGTGGCCTCCAAACATTGCGGAGATCCCACTGCCATTTTGCGGGGGAGCCGAGGTATCTTGCACAACCACCTGATGACCGATCCTACTCGGCCAACGAGTCTACCTTGTATGCAGACGACTGCATATACATATTAGTAGACCTGATTCCCTCCCTCCATCTTACGGAGAAGGGGTCCTCGGCCTGGTTGAGAATCCGCCTAGTACTGAACACTCACTGATCAATACATCAGCATACCACGACCGCTCGACCTCGGTCCAACATCCGAAGCATGATTGTCGGCAAAGCTGATTTGGCTTCAAAGATATCCCCCGGATATGGCGGGGAATGTTTCCGTCTTAGCACAAGGTAAACATAGGCATCTTGAGGTCGTGTTACAGTCACCTCTCTCCACTTGCTGAAGTCCAGCTGGTTGGATGCAAACAAAACACATCACGAGATCCGAGGTCAAGCCGAAGCTCGTCCATGACACCAGCTATCACCAGATGTTTTGCTCCTGCATGAGAAGTTCTGCGGCACGATGATTCGTCGCAATGCTATCCCAACCGCTCGCTTTTTTGTTTCTGCCCTATGGTCTCCGATCAGCACCAATCCTTCGTGTCGATTCTGACTGTTTGTGCCCCATCACGAACTCTCGGCCCTTCCAGCACATAGGAGAACGCCTGTTTGAGTCGTCAATGTTTCCGGTATCCCCCTGTTCGGTAGCACCTCAGAAAATGTCTCATCACGAACAGCTTCCTCCTTGCTGGGACATCACCTCATCCGACGATAAGGTATGAAGCATTCCATGTTCTGGAAACAGGTAGGAAACATTGCCGTACTATCCTTTGTTCTTATATATGCACATGAGTTTTCCATCTCTAGTCCCTTGTGTTCTATTACAGTGCAAACGCGATTCTACATATCAGTTGTTGATCTAGACCAACACACTCATACACCATCATGACTTCTACATTGTCATGCCCCATGCCACAATCATATTCTCTCATGGGCCTTCCACGCGAGCTTCGCGACATGGTCTATGCAAATGTCTTCTCTTTCACCAGCTCGACAAGCAAATCAACCACTCGACAACACAAACTAGATTGTAGCGCCGAGCTTCCAACCATCATTCACCTGAGCACCATCTCATTCGACTGGCTCAGCCTGATGCGAACGAACGGTCTAGTTGCAGATGAGATGCGGCAGATCTATCGCCTACCATCCTACCATACCACCACTGCCGATCAAACGTGGTCTGCACAACTGATACTCAACAACGACGAATACACACTTGCATGGACATCATTACCGTGCCCATCCTCCTGCGTACGACACCTTTTGATCGACTTCAAGATCAACCTCACGCTTTCAATGTTCGGCCACTGGGACAACGACAGTAAAAACAAACCAGGCAAAATCTTCAAAGCACTGTTAGAGCTGCTGAATCAAGTCGCTCGTCATGGTCCCAACATCACTGTCTCCGATACGTTGCGCCAACCAATCATCTTCGAGACGATAAGCCTCAACATCTCGTTCGTCGATGAAGAGAAGCCATATTTCATGTCTTCTGGACCTGAAAGCGTTTACATACTGGCATACGGCAAGCGTCGCATCTACAGCCGTCTGATCGAGGATGTCATCACCGCGTGTGGAAACCACGTTTTAGAAGAGAAAGTCAGGCATATCAGCATCCAAGGACCGAAGAGTCTGGGATCACAAAAGACGGACATTACAATAGCGCACACTGAGAATCGGGACAAAGTCAGTGATCAGAAATAGGAAAAGATAATAGTGTCGGAACAATTGGTACAAGTGGCCGAGGTGTCTTTCGCTTGTTGGCTGTGGAGAGTTAATAAGGCTTCGGTATTCGTAGAGCAATATACATAGAAATTATAGAACAATTGTATAGATCACAATCATGACAGAATAGGCCTTTCTGCATGTCATTGCTCATGAGCTGTTTTGTTGTTGTTTGTATTGCTCCCCACAGCTTTCGAGACGAGTCCATAATGAAAACAGGAATTGTTAGTATCAAGCGTATTGAGCTGAAGGAGTCAAGACTCCCCATATACCAAAGGATATAATGCATGTAGCTATAAAAATGCACAATACTATTAGGAGACAGACTGGTGTCCACGGAGAGGCGACGTCTTTACAGCTCTCCTTGGTCATGCTCTGGTCCCTAGAAGCACTTTTGCATTTTTGTAGTATAGAGGAAGAGGCATATGAGTCGCGAGATTCTATCGAAGTAATAAAAGGCCAAGCCTCGAGCCGCTGCTAATTTTTGGCACACGAATAGGCTTTGTGAGCTCAAGTCGCATCAGTGTTAGCCTGTGATTCAAAATCAATATACTTTACTAAAATTTTCTCTGACATCACAATATGGTTGTATAGTGTAGCGGTGAGCACGTGGGATTTTGATGAGTAATCAAATATTTCCCGAGTCCGTAAGTTATTGATCTGTTCTCGCTACTGTACCATCAAATCATTGATTCTAACATACTCTAGTGGGTTCGAACCCCAGTACGACCTCAACCATCTGGCGAACGCCTCTCTTTTTGCACTTTTTCTCAACATGAGAGAGGAGCCGTCGGATGACTGTGACAATCATTTGCGTTCTGATCTCTTTTTGATTTTTAGACCACGGACGCATGCAGCAGCTGATCGTCTATCGTCTACCTCCGAACATGCAGTCGCATATATGTACCTGTATACAGGCCTGTCAGACTCGGAGGTTTGACCCGCTAGTAAAAAACCAACTACTTGTTGATGACAGAGCCTCCATGCTGTGTCATGTAAGCTGTGTAAGCAGACAAGAATGGGACATTGACGTCAACAAACTCACGACAAATCCAGCATGATCGCATACCTCTAGTCGGATCTTTATTTGCAATGCCTACAGCCCTGAGTGTGACACCACAGCCTTGTTGCCGCAACCGCTATGCTGGCTACCTTTAGGCCGGCGTGAGAGACTCCTGGTGATGACCGGGTCATATTGTAGCGGACTCCTTTGCCTGATGATGGTACAGTAGACTTCATGGCAAGCATATGTCGATCAGGGACAGCTCTGACATAAACACCCGATCCAATCATCATCTCGTTGCGAAGCGGCGATCTTTCTGACAGCCTCTGCCAGGATATGCCTTCCCGCTTACTTGTACTTCACGGAAACTTCGATATCCAATCAACCAATAATAGGTTTGTTCGCTGCGCCTTGTCAGACGCCGAATTATAAACCAGGACATTCTCCGTCGACGATGACTTCAACAGCGAAAGCTGAGTCGGATCACCACAGGCACACAGCAAGGTCTGATGGTACAACTAATGGTTAGATATAGGATACGTTGGAAGGTGTATCTCAATGAGCCGCGATGCCGCGATAGTGCCTCTTCTCAAATTCAGTAAGAGCCATGACGCTTTTGCTTACGTCTCGAGTCGTTCCTTCCATATATCTACTTCATACGTCTTGCTCTTCTTTCTTCTTAGATCAAATCATTGAACATTGATTCAACGAAGAACAGCCATCATGCGCACCTTCATTGCTGCAGCTCTCTATCCTCTTGTGGCCCTCTGCGCTGCCCAACCCTTCCACTCCACTTCGTCCAAACTCGCAAAGACCACTTTCGACAGTGCATCCTGCATTTCTGCTGCTGATGCTGTGCTTGTCGCCAACGGTTTTGGCCAGATCCTCTCCAACTTCAGCACCTCATTCGGCGACATCTTGATTGCAGACGGTTACACCGACCAATCTGACAGCGTATCAACGTTGATGCATTCGCCTAATGTCGTAGCCTCTGATGTGAGTCCTTCTTTCTTTGTGTGCTATCAAGATGACCCCCTTTCTTTCGTAAGATAAAGGCATTGCACAAGCTGCTGAAACGCAGGATTGGTTTCGAAAACCCATGTGCTTCACTACATAGCATACTAACCTACACTTCCAGTTGGGCAGCATCACCTTCAACTCGAAAGAATCTTATCTCGCCGGCGAACAAGCCCAACCAGGCGTCTCCTTCAAACTCCTCAACACCTGGTCCTCCTGCAACGCCGTAACCTTCCGTTACGTACTCTCCCCTCCCGGACTCAAAGTTCAAGGTGTTGCCGTTGCCGAAGTCGAACAGGCAAAGAAGAATGGTACTGGTGTTGGTGAGGGAAGCACAAAATGGCAGATCAAGACCTTTTATGGAGAGTTCAATTCTGCTGTTTGGTTGACTGATCTTAAGAGCCATATTACTGGGTGTGATGTCAGTAGTAATGTTACGAGCAACGGGACCGTGGCTTGATTGGATGAAAGATGGCAGTGGGTGAGGTTGTGCGATGCACTTCGAATCAGAAGTGTGCTGTAGAGCGTCGGGGTCATATAGATACAGGTATATAGAGAAGGTGCAAAAGATGTGGTTATTCTCGTGTTCCGAATAAGTCAGCAACTCAAGTTTTTAGATCGATTGGCACGATATGATGTTGGTCGGCAAAGGTCATACAACTCAGGCTTTAGCAAGAGACAAATCGATGCTCGGAAATTAGGGCAGTAGTGATTAAGATTATTATACAGATTCATTAAGCATCGTAAGTTGAGATTGCTTGAATTTTTGCTGCTCGTGGCAGACCTGACCTCTACCAACAGCGAGGAAAACTTGCTCAAGGTCGAGGTATTTCTAAGGCTTAGTGCTGGGTGGGATATCGAGAAGGTCGCCATCAACTAGACTATGGTCGCTAGCGGAGCGAGCTAGTCACTCCTCGAGGATGTCATAACCATGAACAGAGTACTTGAGCGTTCAACGAGCGAACAGTTGAACATTTGGCAGCAGCAGCGTCGCTGTGTTCACCGGATGGGACCCAGCAACGGCATCGGCATTTTGACGATAGTCGACATCGTAGCTACGAATATTGTAGCCGATGCAGCTCTCGAATCTGAGTATCATGTCCGCGCTAAGACAGGCTGTCATAGCATTGGTTCTTATGAACCTTGATCCTGGCAGGCAGGGTCGAGAGACTGCGGTTGCCTTCCAGGTCAAGAGAAGCATCACCACCTGACCATGGTGCTTGAAAGCTTTGTGTCCTTAGATTCTGTGAGTCTAAGAAGGATCAGGATGTGCTCAGCTCGAATTTGAGTATGCTCGAGGTCGTTCGTCCATAGCAGCATCCCATCGAAGACGGGCTTGTAATCGTGACAATACAGCCAGCTCATCTCCATCCAAGTCGAAGCTATCAGGGATGTAGAGATGATGTGGTGATATGACAACAGAGTCCGGGTCTACGTTCGAAGTCCTGGCCATCGCCTGGCCTGAGAGCACCTGTTGACTGTTGTTGGACGACACCTTCTCGAGGTCTTCAACCTTGGTTTCTTTCCGTAGATTCTCTGGTGTCCACCAGTATACTGGGTATGCTCGTTGGACGTTGTTGATGAGACATGCAAGCGTCAACATGATGCTCGAGCTCATGAGCACGAAAGGGACGAAGATCCAGCCCATGGCGATAATCTCGGCGTTGGTTGTAGCTAGAACGGCAGTTGCGCCTCCTGGGGGATGCACAGTGTTTGTCGTAGCCATGATGGCGGAGCAAACAGCACAAGCGACTGCACCTGCGACCCACTGAAGATTTTCCCAATCCGAGTTGAGGTGGAACAGTTTGTGCACGATGACTCCTGTCAAAGCCGAGAAGGTCTGCCCTAATATCGCATTTCTTGGCTGGGCAAGCGGTGTCCGGATAGCGTTATAATCTAAGATAGCCGAAGCGCCCTGAGCAGGTTGTCAGTTCTTGTGCGTGACCCTACAGAGCATTGCAGCATACCAAACTGGCAATCATGATTGGTGGATGCCATTTTCGAAGCCCAGGTGCATACTTGAAGAGGGCACCTATGATCAGAAGGCCTAGTAATGATCCTAGGAAAGACCAAAAAACAACAACCAAGCGGGCTGGTTCTTTGTACTCCTCCGACCGATACCCCAGGAATCTCGATATAGGCTTCGGTAGCCTCGATATGCGAGAATGAGGAATAAGGCGATTCAGGTGGGTGTCGATATCATAGTCGAGAGCAGTCAATATCCGTGGGTGCATTGGGGGCGACAGAAGCGGTGTAACTGAACACTGAGTGGTTGTCCCTCGCAAGAGCAGCTAGAGTAGATGAAGTACTTCTCAGGCTTAACGGGAATCCTTCGGGTTATAGCAAGGAGAGAGAGAAGATGGCTTGCGGGGTCTCGTGTCACCATTTCGAAACGGAAGACATGATGCAATATTAAACGACGACTGTTTGGCAGGACATTGCATCGCTCTTACCTGCTGGTTTTCCTAGGCCAACCTACCGTCATAATGAAGCTGTGCTTCCGCTCGCGAAAGAGAAGTTTTGTGCCATCTAATACTCCTTTCGCTGTTGTTTCTTTCTTCAAGATCATTCTTATTCTCTGCATCCTCCGGAGATGTAGGAGTATGAAGGAACGTCATCTCGTCATGTGGTGGATGGCGACTTGGCCGTTTTCGTCGAAGTCGAAGGCCAATTTGTTTCCTGTACGTAACAGCCGCTGTCCCGGCTGGAAGACACGGTGAGGGCCTGTACTGTCAACAGAGAACTTAGTCGTGCCAAATATGTTGATGGGCCTTCGAGGAGGTTCTAGAGTGAATGGAGAGAAGTTACAAGAGCGATAGGACTTATATATCAGGAGCAGAGGTTGTCTGAAGATAAGATAGGTCTGTGGATTGATAACAGATGCATTTTGAGCCTCTCGCTTGGCGAAATAAGCTTCTCCGCGGCAAAACCTGGTCAAACATTCAATCTGGGGAAGGCACAGCAACAAAGAGATGCGACTTCCATTCTATTTGACAGGAAGGTCGTACAATATCACATGCTCAAACTTGAGATCTATCTACTTCTGGCTTCTCTTCCAAGCAAACTCAATGTCTTCATCCCAGGAAAACGTGATGACAGTAAGCTACGTCTTACTGAATCTTGACTGCAGTGGAAAGCCTTGGTTACTAACTTAGAACTCCTGGAATGAACCATTCATCCAGATCACAACATCTGTGGAAGAAACAGAACGTAGTCATCGCTTGAGGATTTCGGCCAGCATATTCATGGTATTGAATGTCAATAAAGCCATGTTTCAATTGCCTGGGAGGTTTGGAGGCTTCGATTTCACGAAGTGAAAAGCGACGTCAGGGTTACACCGTTGACGAAAGGTCACGGTAATTATCCAACCATCATAAGGAAGACCAGTGTATACACTCCAGACTGGAAAGCAATTATATGTGTTGCTAGCCTCTATAAAGTGTACCTGAACGAAGGGTGCTTGTAGCCAAGCATTGACTCATCTCCCTCTGACAATCTGTAGTCACGCTTGCCGGCAGCTCTCTTCTTGTTCTCCCAGCTGCAGTAAACCAACATACAGGAGGTAATGATCAAAGACAAACACAGCATACCAATGTTGATGGCATGTCCTGTAATATAGCGGGGACTGTCGGACGTATCAGTATCTAGATGCAGGAGAGAAGACCAGATTACTTACGCATCCTTCGATAGATAAGTGAATGTGGCAATGAAAGCAGCACAGTTCGCAATCATGATCTGAGCCCCAGTACCCGTCGCTCTCACATAATGGGGAGCTAGGTTATTGGCCAGCCATCCCATGACGAGAGGGCTGCAAGGGAAGATTCCTGCAGCGACTAGGAAGGTCCCGCCATATTGAATATTGTGATGGTTGTTGGAGATGAGCATGATGTATCCACCAATCGCTATGGTAAGGCCAGCCAGCATGAAGGGTCCTCGCATACGGTACTTGTCCGAAAGCCAGGTGACAAGAAGTACGCTAAGGAACGCTCCAACATTTGGTGGCACAGTGAGCAGCTGGGCGTGTACCGCCTTGTATCCTAAGCTCTTGATGATGGTCGGTAAGAATAACGAGTACGAGTAGATAGGTGTGATGATGGCGAAAAAGTTCAAAGAGAGGAGGACCGTGTTCCAGTTCAAGAAGGCCATGCGAACCCAATGCCAACCTATTGAGGTAAGCTTTTTGTTCGAGAGCCTTAGCAATAATCAGATACACTCACTGAAAGTCTCGTTTCTCACGTCGTCAGCAGCGTCAGAGCCATGCGAGTCTAGATGCATACGCAAAGCAGCGCCAGCCTTCTCTTCTTCAGTCAAGAACTTCGACTCGGCTGGCGTGTGTGGCAAGAAGAAAATGGTGAGAATACCGAAGAGTACAGTGATGCCTCCCTCTACGAAGAAGATAAATGGCCACCCTTTGTATCCGCTAGTATGAATCTTTGCAAGACCAGTAGCAAGCAGCCCACCTAAGGCGAAGGTATTATTAGCATGATCTCACGGTGATTTGCGGCAACAACATCACAGTCTCCTGCTGAGGGGATGCGCTTGATCTTCCCAAATGCTGTTCCGGACGGCGTTTCATCAAGAAACATCACGGAGCACTTTCAGATAGGCCGAGGCAAGACGCCAGCAACAGTTATGGTGCTTTTACCTTCAATTACTCACCGATAGCTCCCGACAAAGGGGCCGCGCAATAAAACAGACCGATTCTGAACATCAACTGATGTCGCTTGTAGAACATTGCTAGGTAGATGATCATGCCACCCTAATAACTGTCAGCCATTTCATGAGAAAGTCGATCAAAAACGCTCATACCAGTAAACCACCTTCCATCAGACCTAAGAAGAAGCGTGTAACAATCAGCCCAGTGTAACTCTTGACGAAACCCATACACATTCCGACCAGACCCCATCCAATAATAAGTCCTGGCAGGTAGTAGCCAGCCTGGAAGTATTTCAAGACGAGGTTGGAAGGGACATCGACCATGATGTAGGGTACGTAGAAGACAGCCAATGCAATGTTGAACGTGTCTCCATTGAGTTTGAGATCGGTAGCAAGGCCATCAATACGAGCGTTGCCAATGTTACTACGATCGATGAAAGCTAGAAGCCAAAGACCAAACAACCAGGGAACGACTGCAGAGTAAGGGTTAGTATATTGGCACGAATCGAAGGAGAGAGGAGTATATGCTTACCATGTGTGTCAAATCTACGCGTGATACGTCTGTCCAGCTCAGGATCGAGAGTTGGTCTGTCGTCCCAGGTGGTGTTGGTCTTCTCGAGGTCCTCAACATACTCGAGCTTGCTATCACCTAGATCGTTCTTCTCGATAGTGGCCATATCGAACGAATGGAGTTGAAAGACGCAAAAGAAGGCAGTCAAGGAGACAATGGAGCGAAGGACGGAATGATCCCAAGCATAAGAGACTGCGAACCCAGGATATTTAACTTATTCAGCCGCATCGTTAATCAATCGGCAGTTGCCCCCAGAGAGTACAATGGTACCAATCGACAGCGTGCAGTATCCCCATATTCACTTACCCCGCGCGCCCCCAGACTCGAGAAACGGTCAAGCCTCAAGATGTGGGGGTGTGTGTCGCCTTGTCTTCCTCGAAAGCCACCCCAATTGCTTGTTAAATTTAAGTTCCATCAGTGGGCTGAAGAGTTGGAAAGTGCACTTCCAGAAAACACCAACAGCACCTGTCCTGAATCAATCATTGTTTTGAATAGAGCAATCAAATCAGAATGTCAACGATATACAAACATCACCCGGGGAGAAGAGCGGTAGTTTTGAGGTCCGAATACGCGACAGATAGAGTGGACAGATGATCGGCATAATGGAAGTTGGAACCTTCTTCTTTGACGCGGGATCGGCGATATCTCGCGTGTCGGCCACGCATTTTGTACGTGTTGACTCGAGTTTAACCGTTCAGCAGAAGGAGTCGATCTGGATCTAGCCTTGGTCTGCTGGCGCCACAAGGAAGGTTCGCGGAGCTTGGAATGTCTTCAGGGTGAGAAACAGAATGACCGTAGAGTGTGGAACATATGAATAAATGGGATAGATGTACAAAGCGCTATGAAACTGGCAAAACCAACCAAGGATATTACAACATACAACCCAGCGCCAATGCTATGAAACAGCGAGCACTAACGACTGTCGATGGCGATGAAATCTGTATACAGGATGAGAGAAAAAGAAGGGATTCGAGACACAAAAGGATCATAACTTCATGCATCCAAGAGTGGAGGTGACCTAGCCAATAGCTACTCGTCGATACCCAAGACCGATCTGGGAATGAAATTGAATACCGTACCGACGATTGCAAGAATGGTCGAGATGACAATCAACACCCAGTTCATGATTCTCTCAGATCGAGGAATGGAGTCGCCAAAGATCTTGAGGTGGAAGGCGAGTGGGAGGATGATGCAGATGGTGAAGCAAGCGACGGAGCCCAGCAGACTCATGATGCGATCGAATTCAGGGACGAGGATACCCAAGACCACGAATACAACTGTACAGAGGATGCGAATTGTAGCCTTGAGGATGCCACGGTTGAGACCAGACATTCCGTGTAGCGAGGTAGAATTGCTGACCGCACGGGCATCCAACCCAAGGAGAATCTCCAACGTGCTGACGATGGGGCGTGCGTTCAAGGGAATTTTAGCCAAAGGAATCATGGCCACGCAGACGACAATGATTACTGACAACCATTGGGGGTAACCATCATCAGCAAGAATGTTGCTAGAGATTTCGTCCTTGACAGCATCGCCAAACATTAGAAGACCGACAACAGCCATGAAAAGATCAAGAGTAGCAGTGAAGGCGTATGTGATGTTCAGACCGCGGTTGTACTTATAAGGGTGTCTCATATCGCGATAGATGTTGGGGAACACACTGTGACCTCCCCAGGGCGACATGAGGAGACCAAGACTCAAAGGAAGTGTTGCCCAGTTCTCAGGGAAGAGATAGGTCTTTGCAGGCTCGCGGAGAGAACCAGGAGTGTGCGGCTTGACGAATCCATCAATAACAACGCAGAGGACAATACCGAAGCAAGAGACGATACCAAGGATACTGGTGAAACTCAGCAGCCTCAGAGGCAAGAAAGACAGGGGGATCAAGATAAAGCCGCAGACAATCTTCCACTCCAAGAGACCCCAACCAGGAATCAAAGCATTGAGACTGTCGGCGAAGAGAACCACAAGCGCAACGCAAGTAGCAATCAATTCCAGACTGAAAAGTAGACTTGTCGCGATGCGGGCCTTGGAACCAAACGAAACGTAGGCAAGATCGGCGAAAGTGATCAGAGAGTTGTCGACATCCAAGCATTTGGCCAGAAGCTTTGCAGTGTAGCGTGTAGAAGCGGCAGCGAAGGCGAAGAAAATCAAGCCGCATACCCAACCAGCATATTTCATAGCCAGCGGCAATGCAAGGAGACCAACACCGATCAAGACGTTCACCGAGTTGAAGATGGTCTGAGGCAGTGTGGACTGGCCAACCACAACATTCACAATCTTGCCGTCATCTTCCTCGACCTGCTTGACGAGCAGAGGCTCACGCTCCTTATCCGGGTCATTGACGCCAGATACCTGCTGCTTCTGGAAGAGTCGTCCAGCATGGCGCATCGACGACTCATTAACTCTAGATGATAGACTTCCATAGTTTGTCCCATAGCTGGCGCTGAAGGGGGTTGTCAATTGGGGCTCAACTTGGAAAATGCTGTCATCTGCCTCCTGGGCACGACCGCGAATGGTGCCTGCCTCAGATGGCTCTCCGGGATCCGAGATAGCATGATCAGACAGCTTGCGCCCATCTGCCAGTGCCTGTCTCAGCAAACCTCTCTGCTCTCCGAATGACGTTGCAATATCCTGCCTCTCATAGTCGTCTGGGGCTCTTTCGCTCTCTTCATCGGTCTCGGATACGCGGAATGACGGCCTGACGGGTGCGATTTCGTAGAAGCCAGCTGCACGCTGCCATGATCTTGCAAAATTGTCGATACTGTTGACACCGCCAGCCTGACGCAGAGTGTTGATCTTCATGGACATTGACGACCTAGGTATGCCGGGTCAGCAAGTCACGAGTGTATGGGATGAGAAAAGCGCACCTTCTATGCCGAAGTGCTTGGGTGTGGTGAGCATCTGGCGACCCGGCAGCATGCTCAGGGGCATCGTGGACGTCTGCACCCCATTGGATATGACTTTCCAAAGTCTCTGACGAGCCACGACGTCCACCTCTTTCGTACTCGGTCCAATTGGACGGTATGGGCGCTCTTTCGGCCGGCATACTCAAGCGCAGTTATGTTGTCAAGCAGGAACAAGGAAGGAGATCGCGTGCGCAAAGTCGCAAGGGTGAGATGGTCGGCCGCACGGTTGAAGGCGGTTGAGTGTCGAGGCACGGAAGATCAAGGAACAGAAGAGGCAAAAGTTGGCGAGGGTCGAGAAGAGCGCTACAAAGATAGATATAGGAGAGATATAGAAGAAGTTCTTATCTGTGGTCAAGAATGTCGAGACAGAATGGGCGCAAGCCTGATGTCAAGGTTTTGTACATGATGTGCCGTGCGGCTAGATACTGGTCTGTCCAGATCGGAGCGATCGAAAGATTTTACAGCGTTGTATTAGGTGCAGGAAAGTACGCCCTAGCGGTAGTTTGTGGCAGACACTGGACTCTCGCTGGATTGCGGTGAGAAAGGCCACTATGGAATGAGATTTGTTTACTAGACAATCACCGAGTGGACTCGGTCGAAACATTTTACCTAATTGCAACACCAACTGAGTTTGATGCTGGCGTTGGAGGATGTGGAGAAGGTGCGATCCGAGTGGAATCGGGAAAGGACTTTTGACCATTTGATAGGAGACATTTCCAAGATGCGCTCTCATGTCTGAGCCATGTCTATGCTCTCAAACATTGTACAGAATCATTATCTAGACACATCTCAGGGAGACCCAAGATGTGTCTCGTCAATTGAGTCTTGGATATGCAACTAGAAAAAAATGGCTGCAAGATGACGAGCTTGTTGCAGGCACAAGGCTCTCAATGTCAAAAAACATAGGCGAGCACTGCAGGCAGGCGGAGAAGGGCGTGCACGAGAGAAAGAGCGACTTGGCCTGTGACGCAACGCACATTCACGCGAAGTCCTGAGCACGCCGCTGCGGCCTCCCAACACCTTCGACCTTTCACCGCAAACTCGACGTGTGACCGCGACACCGTCCTTCTCCTTTCACCCACCCACTGTCGGCGCAGAGCTTGTAAGTACTTATTGCGCGAATTACTCCTCGCCATCCGTCCTGCATCATTTCCGCTCTTCCTGCACCCGTCGGCGCTGGTGCGACCGTCCCTCGGGCCTCTCCGCAGCCCTGGAAAAAAGTGTTTGAATATTGACTGACAAGCCGCCCCGCAGCCCTTGATCCCACCAAGCTCGCACAACAGAAGCCCCGCCAACATGAGTGACCAGCAACAGGCCAACGAGGCCGAGAAGAACATCGAGATATGGAAGGTCAAGAAGCTCATCAAGCGCCTGGAACAGGCCCGTGGTAACGGAACCTCCATGATTTCGCTCATTATCCGTACGTCCATATCGACACCCTCTTAGCAGCCACCACCACCGCCAGCTCTCAGCTGCTGACTCGCTTCTACAGCCCCCAAGGATCAGATTTCTCGAGTCGCAAAGATGTTGGCTGAAGAGTACGGAACTGCCAGTAACATCAAGTCTCGTGTCAACCGTCTTTCCGTTCTGTCGGCCATTACCTCGACTCAACAGCGTCTCAAGCTCTACAACAAGGTTCCCCCGAACGGTCTCGTTGTCTACTGTGGTGAAATCATCACTGCCGAAGGAAAAGAGAGAAAGATTAACATCGACTTTGAGCCCTTCAAGCCCATCAACACCTCCCTGTACCTCTGCGACAACAAATTCCACACTGAGGCTCTGAGTGAGCTGCTGGAGTCTGACCAGGCCTTTGGTTTCATCATCATGGACGGTAACGGTGCCCTCTTCGGTACTCTTTCTGGAAACACCCGTGAAATTCGCCAAAAGTTCTCGGTCGATCTTCCCAAGAAGCACGGTCGTGGTGGTCAGTCTGCTCTGCGTTTCGCTCGTCTGCGTGAGGAAAAGCGCCACAACTACGTCCGTAAGGTCGCAGAACACGCTGTCCAGAACTTCATCACCGATAACAAGGTCAACGTTGCTGGTCTCATTCTTGCTGGTTCCGCTGATTTCAAGAACGACCTCAACCAGTCTGACCTCTTCGACCAGCGTCTTTCTGCCAAGGTTGTCAAGGTTGTCGATGTTTCCTACGGTGGTGAGAACGGTTTCAACCAGGCCATCGAACTCTCTTCCGAGACCCTCGGTAACGTCAAGTTCATCCAGGAGAAGAAGCTCATCAACGCATACTTCGACGAGATCTCTCTGGATTCTGGCAAGGTTTGCTACGGTGTTGAGGATACCCTTCGTGCTCTGGACGCTGGTGCTGCTGAGACATTGATCGTCTTCGAAAACTTGGAAGTCACCCGCTGGACCCTCAAGTCCTCCACTGGTGGCGAGATCATCCTTCACACCAACAAAGAGCAGGAGACCGACCGCAGCCAGTTCATGGACAAGGAAACCGGCCAAGAGATGGAGATCATCGAGCAGATTTCCCTCCTCGAGTGGCTGGCCGAGAAATACCGCGACTTTGGTGCCAACCTCGAATTCGTTTCGGACCGTTCTTCCGAGGGTAACCAGTTCGTCAAGGGTTTCGGTGGTATCGGTGCCATGCTGCGCTACAAGCTCAACTTCGAACAGCTTGCTGAGGTTGACGAGTCTGATGATGAGTTCTACGACGATTGACAATTTGAAGCCCTCGCAAAGGGCGAGGACGCCGCTCCAGTCTACGGATTGACGGCTCCTCGCGCACAGCGCTTTGACAGCGCTGACCCGAGTCTGGCGGAAAAGAAGGACGTTGGAGTTGTCTCGAACCACTACGAGCTTCATCCTGGTACTTCGCCAGCAAGCGTACAACAAGAGGTACAGGTATGTACACGAAAGTCATCTTCTGCTTGAGACAAGATCCACTAACAGTTGCACAGTCATCCACTCCTCGGTCATTCGTCGCACAAAAGTCCATCTTCAAGGTTCACCAGAGCCTGACGAGAAAGCCCGCTGCGCCGAGCCCACTGAGGGCACAGTTGCAAAACAGCAACTGAGCAGCGACGACAAAAACACCAACCTCTCGTCTAGCTTGAAGGCAAAGGATCTTGGAAGAGACTCGTCAAAAGTTGAGTAAACATTTGACGCCAAGTCCAATAGACCTCGGGTGATCATGAAATGTTCTCGGAGAAAAATTGTTATTATTACGGCGTATTTCCCCTTTGATTTTTGTTGTTACTTATGTGGCCATGGCTAGTATATTGAAGAAAAAGAAAAGCAGAGCAGAGAAGAACAGAACAGATTGAGAAAAGAATCAAAACTATTCCATGGCCACCTTTTTTGGTTGACTCCTGACCACGTCCTTTGAAGATGACATGCTGCATTGACAATACCCTGGAGCCAGGATCAAGCTGACAGGGGAAATAAAATGAACCGATCTTGTGTCAGGCGGATTGGAAATACGACGAACGTGGATTGTGGCTAGAGTTGGAGACCCCTGAACAAAGGCAAGTTGGATTGAAGTCAAGTAAACTATGCAAGTAAGAGCTAACCAACTCGTATGCAGCCACTCAAGTGGTGAATGCTGTCATGCTTTGAAGTCCATTTGGGACGAGAGCTGGGACAGAATGGTGGACTGAGAAAGCAAAACAATGACCTACTAAAGACGAGTCTCCGTTCGAGCAAAAGCAAATCCTGCAATCTCTGCGACCAGATCACGACTTCCCCTTGTGCTGCTAGTGCGATGGTATAGACCTGCCAGAAGAAGATCTGGTTCACAAGTCGGCGACGCCCATAGACCAGAGATTACCATACCTGAGTTGATCAATCATCCCAATGACCCCCGAGAAGGATATCACGGGGAGAGAATTCCTCTCCACGGTCATAATAGACCCAATGGCACAGGGCAAAGCGACCAATGTAGTCGCCGTACCCTTCGGGTGGTGGCATTGTAGCAGGATCTTTGTAGAGGTTACACATCGCCTCATAGAGCTGGCGGATTGTGACGCTGCGTGGGTTTTCGATTTCAGCTTCGGTCTGGACTCGGCAGGGTGTGATACGCAGGTAGCTAACTGGGGGCGAGGTTGCTTTTTCATCGGCCACCTTGTTCTCAAGCAAGTACTTAGGGGGGTCGTAGTCCTCGTAAGTGTGAGGTTTGCTGAGCTGAATCTTCTTGATGCGAGACTTCTCGGTGTACGGAGCATGTCTCAGGACGGGATGGGTCGCCAAAGTGGCATCCTTGATGATGCCATCCTTGCTGATGACAGTTGCTGAACGGAACAGCACTCTGTCGAAAGCGGTATGCTTGATGATGGCATTGAAGGTTTTGTTGACGCGCATGCACTTCTTGATTTCAAAGTAGTCGAGGTACTGGAAGATGTCTAGGAACACTTCGTTCGAGAGCTTGTTGATAGTGACTGGCATGATGAAGTGGCCTTGCTGACAGATGATGTTAAGCTGGCGATGGTGGATTCTGATGATGAGAAATGGCGTTGCACCCGTGGACTGCAGGATAGGAGGTCTGAAATCTCAAACAAAGAAGTTTGAAGAGACTTCGTCAAGGCAGCTGCTTCTTACTGACAGAGGAAGCCCAGAGTTGAGCAGAAAGAGGAAGGCACGATTCACCAAAAGGAACTGAAGCATAACATCCTCTCCTTCCCGAAGCAAAGCTGGATGCCAAACTTCAAGCAAATCACTGAGCATTGCAGGGCAAGGAAGCTTCAGTTCGACATCAACATTGAAAGTCTATTACACAATAGAGTGTCTTTCTAAATCGGTAATCCATATGTTCTAGCGATATGACCCAACAACTCGATGATATTCCTAAACATTTGACTTCTCTACAAACACAGTTTGTGAGCTCTCCACCTCCGCATCAAACTTGTACGTTTGAAACTTTCTGCTCGGTATCTTTCGCTCAAACAACATGTCAAGTTCTTGAAAGGTTCTCCCTCGGGTCTCGGGCATGAAGAAGAAGCAGTAGAGTGCACATAAGAGCCCCAGACCAGCGAACAAGAACCCAATTTTGCCTCGCCAATTAGCTTGGTCCTCGTTCATGGCGTAAGGTATAGCCACAGCAAACACGATGGACATGATTTGAACAGAAACTGTAGCCAAGGCGATGGTGAGACCACGAAGCCTTGCTGATGGCACTTCAGCTAGCATAACGTAGCAGAACGGCCCGATAGTCGTGTCGTAGACCAAATTTGCTAGAAGCATCAATGCGCACTGAGCCCAAGTGGGCGCGGAGGTCGTTCTTGGTGCGAAGTCAATGGCTCCGATGAGGAACATAATTGTGGCAAGACCAATCGTACCAAACAGGTATGCTGGACGTCTTCCAACGTAGGACAAAAGTGGCCAAGCAGCACAAGTACCAAGAAACCCAAGAGCGGTCAATCCGATGTTCATAGAGAATGCATTTGCAGAGTCCAAGCCAGCCATCTCGAAGAAGTAGACCGCATAGCTGATGAACAACATGTTGCCTGTGAAGGCTTGCATATCGTATGCCATCACACAGATGATCAAACGCCTGAGGTCTGTGCCACGGAAGCAATCTAGGTAGCTTGGACGATCTTGCTTCGATGGCTCTTCCAAACGCAGCGTCTCCAAAATGTTAGCGAGTGTGAGTTTGGTATTGACCTCTTTGGTTGCAAAACGCTCGAGTGATCGTGCAGCATCTTCGTGTCGTCCCTTCCGGCAGAGCCAGTATGGGGGATCAGGGCAGAAGTACACTAAAGATAGCATGAACACTGGAAGAGCCCATTGTGTAGCGATAGGAATTCTGTAAGCCATGGAAGTTTCAATGGAGCTTGTCCCCTTCATGATCCCCGAGGAGATGAGTTTGCCGCAGACTGCAAGATGTCAGCACTCGATTTGCCCCTTGTCAATTGAGATGCACTCACTAAACGCAAGATTCGTCAAAGAAGCCATCACGCCTCTCAAGGCCAGCGGGGATACCTCACTTGTATATGCCGACGCACAGATAGGGAAGAAGCTGATGATCGCGCCATTGAGTAATTGACCAACAAACAGTTGTGCAGGCGTGGTGCTGAAAAACTGGAGGAATATGATACCAATCGATCCAAGAGAGCAGGCTGCGATCATCCTTCGAGGGCCCCATTTTTCGTAGACAATACCAGAGAACAAAGCACCACAGACACCACCAATATTGTTTGCATAGCCGAAAGCGCTGACCCACGCAGCTGGAACGACGTAGGTATCGTTATAAGGATGTCCGTAGGTCTTCTTGAAAGGGTCAAGACCGATCAGACTTCCAGTGATACCTCCATCCATACCCTTGAGTACAGTTGCGAGGTTCACATAGAGAACCCACAATGCTGCCGGATAGTATAGTTTAGCTGCTTGCCAAAATCCATGCGAATGCTCGATTTCTGTATCCCGAACACATGTTTCGGATTTCATGACTGGTCGTAACTTCCAAATCAGAACAGTATCTGGCGTGGTTACCGTCCACTGCAAGGTGGGTCAAAGATACCAGAATGGTATACTGTCCAAGTTGGTCAGCAACAGTCACTGTTTTTACCCATCTTGGCATCAACTTACAATTCTTGGCTCGTATCCACAACATGACAAGATGATATCGAGTAAGAAAATGTGTTTGCACAAGCTCCCTAAAAGTGGTTGTGTGCATTCTAATTCAGGCAGTTGACAATGCTGTGCCTTATCATTTCGAGTGGGGTATGACTAGAGCATATCAGGCAATGATGATCGCTGCTGGACCTTCCACTCGAGGTGCGCAAGCTCTTACTGCGTGATTCAAATTTATATAATCAGTCGAACCGGCCTACAGCCTCAGACTTACCTAGCTTTGAACAACAAACCCGTCTTTTCAATGTCATCCACACAACCCCAAGTCAAAATCCTCGAGTTGTCACAAGAAGAGTTGGCATGTAAGAAGCTGAGCTCCCATACTTTGCAAGCTGCAGTCGAAGCACTCCATCTTGATGGCCTGGTCGTGCTGAAGAATGCAGTCGATGTGGCTCACTTGGATAAGCTGAATGAGCGCATGGTAGCCGAAGCCAAGGTCTTGTACAAGCAGAAAACGACCGCTCGCAATTTCGGCGCATCAACAGGCAACATCCAGCAGGAGCCGCCGGTCGACAAGGACTATATCTTTGAAGACATAATCGCGAACCCATGGGCTACGGAGGTTGTGGAATGCATGTTTGGACCAAATCCCATGCTACGTTTCTTCAGCGCGAACACGGCCTTCAAAGCCAAAGGTCGTCAGCCGGTCCATATCGACGTCGACTTTGACATGCCGAAGGTACCTTTTGGCTATTGCATCAATATTAACCTTGTCGATACGTCGCCCAACAACGGTTCGACTGAGATCTGGCTGGGCACTCATACTCAGACAGACATAGATGTGCTGGACCCAGATGAGTATCGTGTACGACCAGACCTCACTGAGGCAAGGCGTAAGATAAGCCCGCCTATACAGCCCACACTACCCAAAGGATCGTTGATCGTTCGAGACTTTCGACTTTGGCACGCTGGGATGCCGAACCAGACAGACGAGCCTCGAGTGATGGTTGTGACAGTGCAATTCCCAAAGTGGTACCGAAATGACACCAAAGTGATACTTCCAAGAAGTCTCGAGGGAAAGATCAACTGGGGAGGACTGGTACCTTGTGTTGACTGGGTGGAAGATGGTTACGATTACCTGAAGGGAGCGCATACCCATGACTTTTCTCTCAAGCCTTGATGTAGCTGTGAAGCGTGGTGAACGATTTTGGCCGAGTTTACTTCAAGTATACTATGCACCCATCGCCGGTAATGTAGTACAAAGAACGAATGAGCACATGCTTGATGTCTTCAAGATGTACATGAAAGGTGTGTCGCGACTCGAGAAGGAATGACGCGCCGGAAGACACGGGCCGAGGACAGCATGGTGGGGGCGGGGAAAGCTTCCTTCATGCCGACTCGGTCATAGACTCGCGTTGCCGACGACCATGTATAACAATTGACGCGGTAGCTGTTCAATGACAGACAACCAGTAGATTGATAGTTGTAACGACGATGGCTTGCATAAGAGCGGTACGGTCAAGCTCATTGAGACTCGGCGGCTGTCAACGAAGATGGCAGTCTTCATATGCGCATCTCGAGGCAGAAATGACGACGAGGAAGATTCGGCCAGTATTCGATGACTTGACGTCGCAGAACTCGTTCAGACTCAATGTCTCGCTGGCCGACTTCTTACCAAACACAAAGCAAGTAGATTCCACGCTAGATGGTTCACCTAAGACTTGGCTAACGAAACATTGCAGCGCTCCGCTCACGCCCCCAGCACCGAACCAGCCACTACCTATGCCAATTCCTCACCATCTGCTATACTTCGAGCCCACAAAACCTCCTTCAGACTTGTTACTCGATGGCACCAACCCAGATCATTCGCCTGGCGAGCCCTTTGTTCGCCGCATGTGGGCTGGCGGCAGTGTCTTGTTCGACTCAAAGAAGCCTTTGCTCATGGACAATAGTCGTGCAGTATGCCTCGAAGGCATTCGAGATGTTGCAGTCAAAGGCAAGCCTGGAGATGAAAAAGTCTTTGTTGGTATTGAACGCCGCATTGCCGCCTTGAACAAAGACGAGGAGAAGGCCATGGCAGATGCCAATGGTCAACTAGACAAAATACTTGCTCTCGAAGAAAACATCAGGCAGAGGTTATGGATGCCATCTGATGTCGAATTTGGTCCTGCAAATATCATCGAGCGCCGCAACATTGTCTTTATGCGCGAGAGAACTCCAGAACAAGCAAAAGCAGCCGTTGCTGCTGCCAAAAAGCCTGGCAAGATGTTGAAACCTCAGCATGAACCTCAATTTCACCACACAATCCGTCCAGATGCTCAGTTGCTGTTTCGATACAGCGCCTTGACCTTCAATGCTCACTCGATCCACCTAGACCCACAATATTGTCAGACTGTGGAAGGCCACAAGCACTTACTGGTTCATGGCCCTCTTTCTTTCACGCTCATGTTGACAATCTTGCAAAAACAGCTAGCGAAAGAGGGAGGCCGTGAGCAGATCAAGTCAGTCGAGTACAGAAATCTTGCACCGCTCTATGCCTACGATCCACTGAAGATCTGCGGAAGGAAAGCTGATGACCAGAAGTACGAGGTTTGGGCCGAGACTCCAGAAGGCGGTATCGCTGTGAAAGGTACTGTCAAGACAGAAAACGTGTAACTGCTCAATCTCGTTGCTGTGTACCTTGTCTGCATAGACTCGGGGCCGCGCACTCCAATGCAGCGCCTGCAGTGGTAAAACGAAGCGTCTTGACAGGCTGCCAAGCTAGACTAATGGTGCGCCGTACCTTCTTCTTGCGAAACCGACCTGTAGCTTGGCCAAATCAATTCTTCTGAGTCATTCGAACTCGACCATCTTGAACTCGTCTTTCCATGGTATTCAACCTCCACACTTTCCAATTTGTAACGGCGCCTGCTTGTAGACCTCATCACGAATATTCCTCCCAGAAATACAAATTGTGAAGAGCATATGTCAGAGTTCTGAGACCGATGACAGAGAAGCCTTGAGCCAGTTCCCACTCATTCTGAAGCAGCTTCCAGTCCTCGAGCGAGAGCAGATCCGGGAACAATGTGCTACCATTTAGTGACATTTTAGACTCGCGATTGCCATAGCGTACTCTCCGCTCGCTTGCTTCGAAAATCTCCTTGTCGATGACGATTTGGATACGATCTGTCAGTTGGTACTCGAGCTCGACGTAGTCGTCTTCATGGTGGTCCGGCATACCCAACACCAATGCAAAACCGTCATTGTCGAATTTCTCCTTAGCAGTTTGGGTACAGCTACGCGGTCTGGTGAAACGAAGAAGACAGGGAAGGTGTGAGTGCTGCGCTGTAACTTTCTTCTCGGATAGTTTTCTCGTCTTGAAGTGATAACGGAGCTTCAAATGCTCGGTGTCCATCTTACTGCTCGAGTGTGAAGGAGGAAGTGGTTGAGCATTGACACATTTAGCCATGCGCTTGACACGGTTGCTCGAGTCTACTCTCTGATTATACGGTGGACAGACAGGATGACCTTCTATTCAATTTGGGTAGTCATTATCTTTGGTGCGATTGCCCTTCCATTTGCTTTGGTCTATAGGTGATAGAACTAAGTAATGAAGGTCCCCAGGAGTTGACTTGTATTTCTGGTAGGTATATGCTCTTGGCGATATTAGGTAAGTGACAGAGGAGTATCAACGATGCTCAATATTCCGTCGTTTGTTGTCGTGGCAGCTCACTTTTGCCGTTCGTTCACACGGCCTCTATAAAACTCCTTCCACCTTCCACTTCTCACCCTTCTTGCTTCCTTCCACAACCATCATCATCTTTGATCCACAAAATCGATCGAGTCACATCATCATCAATCACAAAGCATCTCTAAAGATGAACATCACTCGCTACCGCTGGTCTGACTGCCCTCACGTCCAGCATGTCAACGACTCGGGTCAGCCCATGGGCTGGGTCGAGGTCAGAGACCCTATCAACAGCATCGTCGATGCCCAACCAGACTTTGATTGCCCTGCGTGTGAGGATCCTGATGTCACTCAACCTGGCATCAGCATCATGCCTCGTGTGCCTGAAAGCACTCGTCAGTAAGTCATCATCAGGCGCCTGGCTTACTTCGCATATACTGACCCCTTTTTAGATCTGCTCCAGCTCAGACTACAACCCTGAACCCAGTTGTCTCCTCGTTCACTCCAAGCCAGCCCATGCCTGATACCTACAAGTCCACGACTTCTGTCAATGAACATCTTGCTGCTCAGCAGGCCATGGTCAACCCCTACGAACCGGCCGTCTCTATCAACGACGACCCTGCCGTCCGCCAGGGCATGTTCAACCCTTATTCCATATCTGATCCTTACGCATCAGCTTTTCCTGCAAACCACTCCTTTGATGCCCAGCAGGCCGTCACCCCTTACGCATCGACTGTCTTGAACAACGACTACCTTGCTGTTCAACAACCTCTTGACCACCAATACCACCACCAGCAAGTCTACAACTCAGCCGGCCAGGTCTCTGTGCCCCCTTCCTATGGTCCCACCAGGCCCATGGAGCTTGCTGGCACTATTCCCGCCTACGGATCTATTCACCAGCTTGCTACTGGTTCTATTCACAACAGCCACAGCCCCAAGAAGACCAGCAAGCCTCCTCAGCACAAACCAGGCAAGGAATGCCCTGAGGGACACGCCAACTGCCACTGGCACTACACTCACTGGTGCCACGACAACCCCGCAACTTGCACGTTCGCCCGTGAGTTCCCTCAACCTCTTGTCTACCTTGACCTTGCTTACTGAGTCTTTATTACAGTCCAAGCCATCACCGCGTCTTTCCACGCTCACGGTGAGTGGAGACATGCCCCTCCAGGCTGGAACGAGGCTCATAAGTCCTGTATCCGCGTCGAAAACCCTGTCATGTGCCCTTTCCATGAAGAGCTGGCACGTAGCGTTCATGGCAGCTCCTGCCGCTGAGCTTGATCTGCGTGACAAGAGGACCAAATGGTAGATGGCGATGAACATAAGAGGGCGTTGAGAGCTTTCCATGGTCTGCAACGAAGAACAATTGGGACCAGCAAGAATACCGAGGAGGAAGCAATGAGGGAAAATGGAACAGAGCAGCCGAGAAAAGGCAAAAAGAGAAACAAATCAGTCTTTCATTAACAGAGTAATAGAGCAGCCTTTCCAGCGCATGACCGCGCAGTATTCAGAGGAATTTCAAGGAAGAAGTCTATACCATTCACCGTTATCATTGTTTCTTGATGTAGTGACGAGGTGCCCTCGCCTAAATGACAACACTTTCGTATCGCAACATTGCATGGCTAAATAGGCAGGACACTGCTCCTCTATTCAGAGAAACTTTATGGTTATAGAAGAAGAGTCACGGGTAGACTGTTCGGCATCAAGATAAATGTAGGCTCGTGAGACACCCTTCGAAGTTGCAAAGTTCATCTAAAGCACTCGGTTCGTAGCCAGATCATCGAAGCCAACTACATGCATAACTTGAGCTTTAGATTCGAGGGGAGAGACCACATCCCTATTTCGAATCACTCACACAGACTCTCGGGAAGTTTGAGCATTTTGGGACTTGTCTGACGACTCAAGAGCAACAGCAAGGGTGACAAACGACCTGCTGATGCAGCGATTGCATGGTCCCGCATGGTGGACGGACAGAGCAAACACGAACGCAAGCCCCCCTTCACCGTTTGCTCACCCAAGATTTATACAGCCCGTATTCCTTCAACACATTTGCTAGACTCGCAAGACTCTCGAATTATCATGATCTCATCCACTGCATCTTCAAAACGTGCCCACTGCTCTACTACCACAAACCTCAAGTGTTGTGCCAAATGCCATAATGAGTGGTACTGCAGCCGCTCCTGCCAAAAGACTCACTGGAAGCTCCACAAGAAGTCTTGCACCAGCAAAGATGGATCTATGCCCTCATCGTCATCAACTCGCAAACCTACTGCATCCAAGAATCTCTCCAAGACCATCGACAAGCCATTCCACAAACTCGATGCCGGCACTTGGTTGCACGATCGCTCCGAAAAAGATGTCTTCAAGCTGCTCATCGACACATTTCGTCTACGCTGTATGGACGAATACACCTTCGAGAACAAGATCACAAAAGGCACTGTCCAAGCCGGCGAACCAAACAGCAAGCCAGCCTTCCAGAAGTTCCTCCATCTCGCTGAGAGCAAGGCTGGTGTTCTGCCCTTTTGGTGGTCTCGCGACAAGGCCCTTTTGGTGGTCTCGCGACAAGGCAGATGAGTGTGTTGCTTTCGGTATGGATTCTGGCGACTGGAGTGACTTGCATCGTGCAGTTGAGAAGCAGGACATCATCAATCACTATGATGAGAGCTTGATGCCGATGCAGATGCGCATGTTCTATGAGAAGACATCGGGACGTGGTCTTATGGGTCAGAGTTGCAACGGCATGCTACAGAAGCAGAAGCGAGAGGAAAGTGGCAATCTTGGAGCATACAGCTCGATGCTGGACTTGGGTGATGCTGCAAAGGCTTTTCGCAGTTTTGGAGCTTGATCGAGACATTCTCTGTAAGAAGATGGTTCGGAAGCAAGGCGATATTGGGTCTGGATGACTTGGGAAAGATTTTTCGAAACAAAAAAAAAATGACAATTAAGGATCAGAGCAACTACGCACAACAAAGCAAATCGAAGGTCGACGAAAGAGGTATCCAAGCTAGCAAAGGAACAAACGAGACAGAACCCTCCAAGAAAGATATCCCAAGCCATCCCTGTATCCTTGAACGACCTTGACTAACGTAATAACCAATGCGAGAATCATGCGCAATGTCTAAGGAAGAACTGATGCATAACCAAAACCAGAAAAAGTCGCAAGGCAAGATCGAGAAATCGAAAAGGCAATGGTGTATGTGCGGAAATCATTTTGTACCGATGAGCAAATTACAACTCTTCCTCGCGCTCTGGAACAACGTCCGCAAGCAGGCCGAGCTTCCAGGCGGTTAGGAGGCATGCTGCAACGAAAATGATCATGAATCCGACGATGCCGAACCACCAGGCAAGATTGGGGCCGTCCATACCAGGCACACGGACGTTCATACCAAAGAGGCCAGTGACCAAGTTGAGAGGAACCAGAATGGTAGCCAGAACAGTGACTCTGGAGAGCAGGGAGTTGGCCTTGTTGCCTTGGGCAATGTTGTCCACTGAGATCTGAGCGAGGTAGTTGGAGTGACTCCGCGAAAGGATTTTCTCGAAGTGCGACAAGTTGCTCATCATGGTGACGACGTGGTCCTGAACGTCAGAGAGATACAGGCCAACATCGCCACGAGGAGCCATGCTGTACTGCTCGTTGCAGCGTTTGGCGAAGCCCTTGATGACATCTGCCTTGCCGCCAAGCAAGCGCAGCAGGGACATGACCTTCTTGCGGCAAGTACCAATCTGTCGAAGGATGAGGCGAGAATCTTCAAAGCGCGCAGTGAAGACACTGTCCTCGATGGCATCAGCCTCATGCTCGACATCACGCAAGACAGGGCCGAAAGCATCGACAATGTCGTCGATCAAAGCGTAGCAGATCCAGTCGGCACTGAGGTTGACATAGTCACGAAGACGACCAATACGCTTGCGAACGTTAGCAGCGTGTGGGTTGTTGCAGAAGGTAAAGGTCAGCAGTCCTTCGCGGAAGACGACGGTGTAGACGTTGATGGGCTCCATGTAGTCTTCGCTCTGCTTATCCTCCTGGTAGAAGGATCGGAAACAGACAAAGTAGTAGGATCTGAACAGCTCAACCTTCTCACGTGTCTCTTGGGTGGCAATATCCTCGCGAGTCAAAGGGTGGACTCCAAATGCTTTGCAGATGGCTGTGACCTCTTCCTCGGAGGGGTTGAGCATATCGAGCCACCAGACACCACCATCCGGACCGAGTTCGAACAAGTCTCTGAAGGACTCGCCAGGCATGAGAAGACCACCCAACTCTGGTGCGTGAATAGTCTCGTCAATCTCAGAAGAGAAGAAGGTGAACCTGTTGAGGTACTGAGTATGAGATACAACACGCTCGAGCTCCATCTCGGGAGAAAGGTCTGCCTTCTTGATCTGATCCATAGCCTGCTTCTCATCCGTGACGTCGCTATCGCTTGCATTGGTCTTGGAAGCGCGGAGGTCGTGGAATACCTTTGGCTCGCTGTGAGTTTTCTGCTTGCCAAAAGGAGGTTGGAATGGGTGAGCAACAGGAGTCTTTTCGTGTGACTCTGCAACAAACTCCTCAAGTTCTTCAAAATCGATCAGGTAGGTCTTACTCTGGTCGCGCTCAGGAGGGAAGCAAACGTCGTCTTGGACAGAGCTGTGGCGTGACTGTACAGTGTGAGTCGATTTGGTGTCATCATAAGTCGATCGACGATGCTTGGAAGCGCCAGAGATGGTCCTTGTGAGATTGAGATTGGTGAAAGGAGGAGCCTCGCTGCTAACAGTATCCCCACGACGACGTCTTTGAGGATTGGCGAAAGCGTCAACCGAGTTTGGAGGGGAGGTTGATCTTGAACTGGAAGACTCACGGCTCCTAGATCTAGCCTCTAAGGCAGGTGGTGGAAGACGAATGGTTGTCTGCCTTCCTACATTCTGTCCGATTGAGTTGCGTCGCCATGTGGGAGTCTCGTGGACGGATCGAATGCTGTCGTCGTCTTGGTCGTCAACGATAGCATTTTCAAAATCACGAGCAACCATTCCTTGTCCTTGTTGAGCAGCAATCATAGCTGCGAGATGTGGGCTACCAGCGATGCTGGCCAGGGTGCCTCTTCGGGAACCTTGTTCGTGTGCGCGTGGGAGTGATTCCTGTTGGTGGCGGTGATCGTCAAGGTCGGAGACGGGAGTGCTGAATCTGGTCTGCGACCTTTCTGATCTGGGAGTCTCGGCCATTTTGATGGTCTCGAATATCCAATGGGTTTTCTCTAAATATGTTTTTGTATGTCGGTCCCTTCAAGTCTATGCGCTTATAGGCAGTCAAGTGAGCGGCGCGCGCGCGCTCACCGTTGAGAGATGTTCAACTTGAACAGCGGCCTCGCGCAGGGGTCAGCCCTACACTAAGCCGTGGATGGTGATTCGCGTTCCAGTCTCTACCCCGTCTTGATAGAGGGCAGGAATGGGAGTTAATTGGTCGTCGTATTAGTGAATGATGTGGTAGTATGCCGTGGACCAGTTATGGCGGCTTCTTGTCGCCTCCGCAGACCCAAATCTTCGGGCCCTGAGAAGGGAGGCTAAGGGAGAGGAAAAGGCGAGAGCCCGCCAACTTGGTGGTAGCCAGAATGGAAACGCCGCAGCGACAGGATCCTGAAGGGTATGTGTGGTACGCGAAGTGTGGCGGCTGAAGGTCGTTTGTTGAACGATCACCAGCCTTGGGTTAAGAGAAGATGAAGAATCGACAGCGGGTCAAGGTCGCGCAATCGGTCGACTGGTGTATCCAGGGTTAGTTGTGCTGATTCAAGCAGAATCAAAACAGGGAGAGGTGAAGATGACAAGAAGTCACAAGGCCTCGAGGCTGGTAGGTAAGAAGGAAGAGTCGAGGACGATTCGTGATTCAAGGACGACGGCTTTTTCGAGGCACAGACCAGAGCGCAAAGTTGAGAGAGAAAGAGCGCAACCCCAGCCATGTCACTGCAGCCAATCACTACGCACATGTGTCACCCCATGGCTCGTTTATGGCCCTGTACTTTCTTTTTTTCTTTCTCCCGTTCTAATCAACAAGACACGACCTTTGCAAGGTAAATTTCATCAGCTCGTCATGTCTTCACCATGATCGAGTATCTTCAGCCCCTGCAATGCTGCATCCTGCCGTGTGTCGCAGGTGTCCCTTCTTCACAGGCTCGAGCACGTCCAATCGTTTTCGCACTGACGAACTGTAGCGGCCCGCTAGTTCGGTCGTTCGTTCCCCAAAATCAGAGACCCCAAGACCTTCACCGTTCATTGGCAACGCTAGCTGGTCAAACACACTTCCCTGATTTGAATAACCATCTGTCTAGATTTGGCCTGTGTTACTCTTCCCTTGTTTGACCGGTCCACTTCTTCAGACTCACGTTTTCTTCAGATCCTGAAGACTCGTGCTGGCGGCTGAATTGTATCTGGGCAACCGCAATCTCGGTAAACTCGTGCTGCCTCGGTCGTGGTGCTCTCCTGCAACTCGCGTTGCCAGGCATCCAGTTCACGACAAAAAGGCCTTGAATTTGCAATATGTTCTGGTCAAACGCTCATGTCTGTACTTACGCATTATCTGTCAGCCGTGTAAGCAGGATGTGAGATTGCCGCCACGTCTTGTCCATCGGGGCGTCGGTCAAGCAGTATCACAGAAGCGTGATTTGTGGTTGCTCAACACTCGGCTCGAGGAGTCGTTTCCCTTTGGTCAGTTCGCTACAGATAAACAGTTGGTAGCGAGCAATGTTGTGCCTTGCGATAACGGAACTGTGGTTGCATCTTGTGAAGATTGTTTCTGTCCTACGAGTTGCACATCTCCGCGACCGGTCAGCCTAGATGCTGCCAGGCTTGACAATCCTCTCCTGGCTTTCTCTCCCAGTACCACTCTCGCAGTCGATATCATAAGGCTCTGTTTCTATCACATGCTGAGTCTTTATTTTGATTGCATGTGAGTTCAATATACTTGGATCTGGAGTTTCCCTGTTGGCCTCAATGACGGTTGTCGATTTGGCGATATGCCTCTCGTCTAACTCCAGATAGTCGTCTCTTTTGCCATCAATCGTGCTGGTCAACCCACCTCTAGATTCAGAGGTATGCCTGGGCTTTTGAGATCCGGAAGTTGTGGTTCTATCTTGACGGTCGATAGCTGTTGCCCAATGAAGGACGCAAACAGTGAACAGGACTGATGAGCAGTTAGCAGATGTTTACTTACTCCGCTTTGGTGACCTACTATCAAGATTGCACAAACACAGACATATATATCCAGGCTCTCCGTCAAGGATTGTAAGGACCGACAGATTAACGACACTCATAAGAAGAGTCGCGCAGGATCCCACGAATGTTCGGAGAACCAGCGTTCGCATTGCAGATTTCTTGCCCTGCTTGAACGAGTAGCACTCTAGAATCTTATATAAGCAAGGTTGAAGACATGCCTGACGGTTTTCTTGTACTCACGTCGGAGGGGGTGCAGGAAAAGTGATGTCAAGTAGACATTGAGGACAATATCGAATGTAATGAGTGGTACCAGAGCGCGCCTCTTCATTCCAATAACGCAAACACCCTTCTCGTTGATGTATGCAATACGGCTATGGTACTGTTAGCTTGTTGCCCACTCTGAGCCGTGCTCAGACTTACAAGACGAAATTGAGGATGACCAAGACGACGTAGGGACCTTGGTAGCATTAGAACATGTTGTTCGCGTCGAATATCTGGCAATGAACTCACATATGACGCCGAAGAAGTTGAACAGCCAAAGCTTGCTCTTCCTCCTTGCTGTGTTGGTGGTTCGGATGATGTGCACTTTTTCAACCAAGAAGTAGTAGATCATCTGCCTCTAGGTCAGAAGTGCTGAGGTCAGATGTGCTTGGTGGCTTACAATTTTGGTAGTCATGTAGCAAATAAGGCATAGCAAAATAGCACCATCGCAGATACCGGCAGATTGGTTCAGTGAAAATGCTTTGGACAGCACCGCTGTACAGAAGATGAACAGGAAAGAATCGATGTATATCGCAATGATCACTTGATAAAATGTCAGAAACATGTCCAACACGATTTGACAGTGTGTTGGCCTTACAAGCATTCGTCACCGAGATGTTCTTCCAATTCTGAATGACCTGTATCCGACGAGCTGACCAGTCAGATGTAGCCGATACCAGGAATCTCAAAGCAGTCTTACTAAGACAAATGGCCAGTACGCTGATGGTTATCATGGAGAGAGCCATGGTAACGACTCTCGCCGCGGTCGGTACTTCTGCGATCTCATGAGTGTGTGCCTCCATAGTGGGAGGTTGAAGGAGTATGAATCGTGAAATCCCGTTTGCCTCGGGCAGGGGTTCATATAGGTATTACGGCTGTGGTCCGTATTGGCAAAGGAATGGACAAGAAGCTAGACGGCTATCCTCCACAAGCGACGTTTCAGTGCGATAGTTCCGCAGTAGTTACCCGCGACTCAACCACAAATGCAAAGCAATAACGCGAACGGGTCATGGACGATTCTTCGATGAGCAATCTTAGGTGCCGAGCAGCGTTTCCCTGGATAGGTCAAGCCGGCCCAGATGTGGCTTGTTATACTTCAACAGTCTGAACGCACTAGGCCATAGGGTTAGTATCTGGGGTCACAGCAAGCTGAGGGGAACATTTGATGGCAATTCCGTAGACGGCTCAGAAGATTGCCAGGGAGCTGAGAGACAGGATTGATCTCGATGCTTCATCGAATGAAACAGCATGAAGTGCGAGAAGTCGATGTCAGCAGATTGGTGAGGCTACGTATGGTTGGGAAGCAGTTACGAGAGAGGCTGATGCCGAAACCGCTCGAGGAAACAGTTCGCAAACGCAGCCAAATCCGATCCAGACCATTATTGGCAAGTCAATTATGGCGGTCCGTCATTGATGCTGCGCAACCATTGCCAAGTATTGCCATCCGAGAAGATGTATGATAGCGATCACCAGTACGCAGTACGCATTAGGACACTCGATATGTTGAAGCTGAGAAATTAGGCTGTACATGCGGTCTCTACAAGGCTTTGTCAACTAAAATGCAATAGGACGTAGCCCCAGAAACTATGGGAGCAGAACGGATCATCAACGTTCCTGAGACCAGAAACAAGTACGCACGCATGCGATGAATACTTCCGGGGAGCGGGAGCGCGAAGGTTGAAGCGATATGGGACCTGGGAGCCGTGAACGGCAGGATGAGAGGTTGATGCACGGACAGCAACGGCGAGGATGCCGAAAAGGTTATCGAGGTCGGCCTGGCCCGATAGGGCTTGGGGCTGCATAGCCTTTGTGCCGTGCGCACACGCCCACACCCTGCGACATGCAAGCCCACACACCTCGACCTGGCGCACTCAACCCTGAACTCACTCCAACGACTGACGCTATAGTTTCATCTCTCTAACAGTCCGGAGGAGCACCCGCACCGAGTCACGCCGACCATCTCGCCCACATAGACGACACACATTGCAGCCAGAACCGACCAGAACCCCGCATCCGGACGGGCACACGAACAAGCGCAATCATGTCAGAGCGAAGGTCTTGGGCTTCATTTACCGCTGTATGATCGCATGGCCTCCCTCGGTAGCGATTTCGTATGGCTGACTGGGTCGTGCAGCCGCAAGACCACGACTATCCCTCCGCAACCTCCAACAACCCTGATCATGATGCTGCCACATCTGCCGCGCCCACGAGGCTAGACAGGCTTCGCCGTGTTGTTCAAAGAAGCAACGAATTGAGGAGAGAGTCCGAGGAAGCCGAGCGCAATGCCAGATGGGCTCCTCCACCTTCGCGTCTGAGACGTCGCCGCTACAGGGATCCTACTGAACAGTCTCCTCCACGCTTTACTCGATCCATCATCGACCAACCATCCTCTGACCTTGACGAGCCCAGGCAGTGGAATGTCAAGAGAAGGAAGCTGACTCACGAGTCAAATTACAAGTACGGTCGCTATGGTCAGGTCGAGCCTGGAAGACTAAAGCTTGAACTCGAAAGCTGCGATGGCGAGGTCCACAATGAAGAGCGCAGCAGCATCGATTTTGGGCCCGAGAACATTCTCAAGCACGACAAAAGTGTTTACTGCTCTCGCGCGTCAAAGTGCAACATTGTCCTGCGGCATCACGATGATTCGACCTTTTGTCTGGAAAAGCTGTACATCATTGCGCCTGAAAATGGCTTTACTGCTCCGTGAGAAGGTCATGTCCATGTCTCTCTGTGTCTCCTGCTAATACATAGCAGGGTAAAAGAGGGTCTGGTCTATGTTGGCATGAGCCGAGACGACCTTCAGCCATATATCAACAGCTCCACACATTACCTGAACCCTCCTAGAAGTCCGCCTCCACGCCGTACACATGATCCTGTACGCCTCAGTTTGCTGGAGAGCATACATGATCCTGAGGTCGCCCGTGCTATTGGTACGCGCAGGGGCGCTGGCTTCTTCTCACCCATCGACTCTCCGGCAGATGATCAGTCTCAGGACGAGGACGAGGCTGATGATATGTGGAACTCCATACCTACAACCAGAGATCCTTCATGGCCACCTATGGATCCAAGTCGACAGGTTGCAACCAGGAACGACATTGACAACCGGAATTGTGATGAACCTGCGGATTTACGCGACTCCCCGGACGGCCGCATAGTCGTCTTGAGTGACGAGGAAATTTCTTGGCCCGAGGATCCTACCAGGCCAGACGTGCTCGCAGATAGGAGGCGTAGGGAGCGGAACTTGCGCGAGTACGACGACGAGGATATTTGGGAATCGAGATATCGATCCAACTATACGCGTATGCGTATGCGGCAACCACATATATCCACGGAGCGAAATGAAGCCGCTCAACTAAGTCCAGAGCCAGATCGATACAAGAGCGATAATGTTGCCAGGGCGAGATTCAAGATCAAGGACAATCGACATCGGGTAGCGATCAAGTTCGATCCTCCAGTGTACGTGTCTCCAGGCGAGGGTTGAACGAATGCGTCACTAATTGTTTGATAGATCTGGCACGCATATCTTACTGAAGTTGCAGACGCCGTATGTCAACAAGAACATTGATATACAGACTGTCATTGCGACTGGCTTTGCAGGACCAAGATATTTTCCGGTAATTCAGTTCAAATGATGGGAGGATGAAATAGTATCGGATCGGATTTACAAGAAGCTCTCAGAGAAATTTTATCTGCGGCTCGATGAGCCAAACCCGGTGCTCTCGTATCTCGACGACGATGGCGTAGGAGAGCTCGAGCCTGTGCTGCCACCCCAGCCATTACTATTAGATCTGTTTGAGGCATTGCCTCTGTTTCCAGCCATGTATCCTGCAGCGGCACCTGCAGCAGCTCCTGCACCGGCACCAGTCCAGAAACCAGGTCTCCAAGCCTGTCCGTTCTGTGTGCCGTAGTTGCGACTTGAGCTTGGCTTGCCATATGGCGTGTAAGGTGGTGGTGGGTCATCTGTATATGTTAGCATTGTGCAGATCACCTGGCTATCAAATCTCGCCTTACCATTGTCATCGCCTCCCCAACTACCTCCATACCCGTGCCCTGCGTGCGGTGGGCGTCTGTTGTTTCCTCTGACGCACGAATCCCAAACTCCGTAGACAATCATGCCTGCAACAACTGCATCACCTCTGTCAATTGATGTAACACGAGTCAGAACGAGTAGACTTACACGTAAAGAAAGCCCAGAAGATGAGTTTCTCGCCAGTCGAAGCTGGGCCAGTTCTCTCATCCCCATCTGCCCTCCGACCATACTTTCTCTCGCCTTCCTGAGTAAGCACAAGCCTGTAGCTCACACCGCAACTCCCCTTCAAGACATAAGGATCCTCGGGAGAATCATAGCCCTCACACGAAACATCTGTACTACCCAGTTTGAATTCCGGAGGTAGAGAAGCCTTGCAAGTCCATTGTACATTGTCGTCGTCGTAGTCAGAGCCGGCATTGGTGCAGCGCATCACGTCCACATCGTAGAGACCCCGTGCATTGCCACCCGTGCATTGAAGCTGTGGAATTGGAGAACTGCGACGAGCACTGGTTTTCTGACCAGCACGTAAGGTGAGACTAGAGATTTTGGAAAGGAGGACGCTGTTTGATGGTTTGCGGAGGGCGTCTGATAGATTGAGGCCTGAGAGGAGGGCTAGTAGAAGAGCGGATACCCGCATTATGGCGACGTGGCTTGTGGTTGACGAGCGATGTGATGATGGCGAAACGATGTATCTTTCTTACTATAACTCTCTTGTAATTTCCTGATGATTTTCTTGTTCTTGAAGAGTGGCGAGGACACGGTGGCAGTGCGATAAATAGTGGCTGAGTGATGAAACAAAAGCTGAAAGTGGTTGCCTGGTCGTGCGTAAGTTAGAGCATGCTTGACGAACATCAGCACGCCTTGACGCTTTCAGTCGCCTATCGCTATCTGCCCAATCACGCGGCTTGCTGCAACCAGACTACAAGTCGCGAACTGGCCTTTGTCTGCAAATAAACAATGAAGCAAAGAATTACATACTTGTTGCACGAGGCTGGTGGAGTTGATCCTGCGACGCTAGATGTTGGCAGTGACTCTATAAAGTTGCCTGGCCTCAAAGCTGCCAAAGAATGGAGAGTCACGCTGGGCACACGAGAACTGCCAAAAGAAGTATGGAGACGAGCCCTGTTGATATGACCATTTGAAATTTGGAGAGTCAAGCTAACAATATCTTGAAGGTTGTCAACGTCCTTGAGCAAAGTCACGAAGTACACATACGCTGGTCTGCTGAGTGGAATTATGATGCTGCAACACCTTTCTCATCGAGAGTCCCGTCTGGCTTTCATGTTTTCTATACCCCGGGGGAAAATGCGACTTCGTATGTTTAGCTCATCTCGAATTCCGTTTGCTCTTATGCTGAATTATGCTGAACGATACAGAGAAGCACTCTGCCCTCTTCTGGGCAAGATCTTTGGCGAGGTTGTCGAGTGCACATCTATGAAGGTATTCTGCTCCATCTATTGAGCCTTGCTGGACAAAATACTGATTACTATCTTTCCTTCTGAAGTCTTTCTCGACTCCTCCGATCTTATCTGAACGCTTTGCAATGTCCGCAAAGTATCAGTACTACAAACCTCTTGCGCGTCTAACAAGACTCATTGGTTATCTTTCATCGATTGTCTGTGAACCATCGGATACAGCTTGTAATGATCAGATCATGTCGCTCGCTCAAGCCAGCTCCTTGGATGTTGACTACGACACAATTTCTCACGCGCTCCGTGTCAACGCTTACTGGGATTGGGCTGTTGCAGCCGATGGCTCGCAAGGTGTTTGGGATGAGACACTACGTTTGCAACCTTCGTCAGACGCTCTTGAGGTCGGCATCTTGAACGTTGAGAAGTCTACTGAAGAAGGAGAAATCGCACTAAGTGGGTTGCTGACTGTGGTGGGCGAAGATTCGAAGCCTAGTGCGACCAAGTTTTCTTTCCCGTCAAGACATCATGCTGGATCAAAGCAGTCTGCAGAGCTAACCTTCGAGACATCATTCCGTCAACCCACTGGACTGCATCCCACCTTGGAAATCAAACTTCCTAGTCATGCCCTCATACAGCCTGATGAGTCTTGTGCATTGCACGCTTATCTGACGCTGCCATCCTCGGTCTTCATCGACCGCTACCAGCTCTCAGATCCTCTATTCCTCGCATCGCAGAATCTAGTTGCTCTACGCAGTCTCAGTGGAGCTACTGATCTTGAGGCACCCGTGTGGACAACACCACAATGGGGCTCAGCAGCACTACTAGAGTTGGCACACCCTGAAACGCCCTCTGTGAACAACGACACCTGGACAGCAACAGTCCCACTACACACACGCTACATGCCACCATCCACCGATGGCACACACGCTGCACACATCCCCTGGCCAGCAGTCTTCTGGGCTTGTGAAGCCGAAGACGGATTGAAGATGTCTGTTAATCCTTTCGATCGCACGAACGTTGGCTTTGATGGACTCTTTGGCCCCAAGACACTATTTCATCATATTGGCGCTTCGTATGAGGCGAAGACGTTAATGGAGGCCCTCGAGATACCTGTGTTGAACGAAACAAAGACTAGTTTCGTCGAGGTGGGCACAGGAGTGGCCGTTCTCCTTGGATTCTTGTGGGTATTGTGGTGTCTGGTCAGACCAGCAAGCAAAGGAGTTGAGAAGGCTGATAAGAGAGAGTGATTTGTTCTCGATCGAGATTATCTTTTCGCATAGCTAACACTGTAGATGCGCGTCAGCGGAAGGAGTAATCCAACACGCCGCGTAATTGACCCCTTCTGTTGACATCGGCGATCGCATATCACTCTGAACCCTCAATTCCACCGTTGGCAAGCTTGGGATCATGAAGTACTGTCCACTGAGCGGACCAACGGTTGGGCCCCACAACTGGACATACAATGATTCTGGCATGTAGTTGGCATCTAGTCTGTAGAAGATTCTAGAATAACTTCGAATGACTGCGAAGATGAGTGTCTCTTTTCAACACAATAGATCGGTTGAAGATGATCGGAGCGGAATTATTGTATATGGGGCCATGACTGTGGGCTAGGGGAAGTGGTGATGCTCCGTGGTGGTATATCAAGAGATCATAAGTAAAATCTAAGCAGGCTCTGCTGAATTCACCAAGTCTCCTTGTACAGTAACGAGCCTTTATATATAGTCGAGCCTCCAGCTCAATGGCGCCGGTGGCCGAGGGCGAGGCAGAAAAAAAAAACACCAAAAACTGGCATCGTATGAATAGTTGAGTTGTGAGAGGGAGCCCTCGGCAGTGTGCAATATTTTTGGCGGTTAGCGTTCAATTCATCCGAGCGACCATCTTCTCGCCTTTCGGTTAGTCTTAGTGATATGTTAATGAGATATGCATGTGAGGGTATCATCCTGGATGTTGCTTCTTTACTAGCAGTTACTACAAGGCCCAAGGAACACGATATAGACACAGTAAAGCTTGCTAAACTTGCGTGGACACCTTACACGTGGATGAGGCAGATATAGCAAAGACACGTGTTTGGTGAGCTGACAAAGAGTGTTGATAGCCATTTTCCGATACATACAATATCTCGATAAACGCAACGGGGGTCTATACAGCAAGGCCGAGAGCCGCGACAAGGTCGACAAAAGATGGCAGGCTTCAAGGGTCACTCGGGTATTCTTTCCGCCGGGCAAAGAGCCGCAACTTCCGCATTACTCGTGTATTGCGTCTTGACAGGCTCATCTGTTGTTGACACGTCGAACGATACAGGTGTCGGGAGTGGGCTCTGTCATGTATGGACTAGTAGTTGGACATTGTGTATCTTTGAATCTGATGTGTAGGATTGAAGAATGGACGACGAGTGTCGTAGCACACAGCATGTAGAAAGACGCTGGTAAAGCACCAGACGTCAGGTGAAAGAAGCTTCGGCGTCGCATGTACACAGCATACACAGAGAAGGTAGAAACGAATACTCGAATCGGGCGATTGGATGAATCAACAGCCTGGTGATCGAGAGAAAGGTGAGGTTCGGCAACAATTGTGAAAAGCGGAGGGTCTTTGGGTGCCTGAGAATCGAGAAAGCTTGGACCTCCTGCCGACTGTGTGACGTGCCTGCCTGCCCGCAAGTTTGAAAATCGCATAGCATGACCGAAAGGAAAGAGTGACGACGAGAAAGAGATTTTCAACCATTGCACTTGACATTATCGACATAGAACCGTACACTACCTGGGACATCAGCGTCTACTTTGACAATACATCGCGCACTGAGACATACGCAACTTTCTTCGCGCGCGCAGAGAGACACGGAAACTTGTTAGACCGAACGAAAGACTCATCGCGTCTTCACATTCGGCCCTGGTCTGAGGCCTGATCTGACCTGACCACAAGACTTTCCTTCATACAACAATGCCCACTGGTTCGCATAGACGATAGGCATTTCATTCGTGCTTGACTAGACTTCTGCAATCCACCCTTATATCAATCGCATCGCTACCACTTTCCCTCATCAGCCTTTGCGCCGGCCAACCAGCCAGCATCTACCCGCTACCAGAGACTACTCGTCTCAGCCAAACAAACGACAAGATGCAGGCCCAAGCACGTTCCCGCAAGCGCGCGGCCGACGGCAGTGCTCAAGACGCGACATTTCCATACTCGCAGCAGATGCAAGACGGATCCTTCGGCGTCAACGACCCTCTGGCACAATACCGAAACCCTCTCGCGAACGACACAAACACTTCCTTCCCCGATTTCCCTCCCTACGACAACTCGATCAACAACACGAACCCCAGTGCCAACTTTTATCCTCCGCAAGTGCCGACAACTCAGGCGCCTGCTTACGGTCAATCTGTCGTCCATCCTTCAAATCAGCTTGTGCGGAGGAACACCAACCAGCAAGTCGCTCGCACGCCTCAAAGGAACCAATGGAGTAATTTCGCCAATCCGACCGATCGCGTATGGGAGGATATGGATCATGAAGAAGAGCAGGACTTGGATCAGAAGGCTGCCATCGCGAAGAAGGATGCTCAAGCAAAGCGAAAACAAATTCCGCCATTCGTTCAGAAACTGAGCAGGTATGTGTGCCAACTCGGATGTTCACTCGAGAAAAGCTCATACTAACGTACATGCAGCTTTTTGGATTCGTCGAACAATACAGAATTGATTCGCTGGTCAGATGATGGCAACTCATTCATTGTTCTCGACGAGGATGAGTTTGCACGTACACTGATCCCAGAACTCTTCAAACATAACAACTATGCTTCGTTCGTACGCCAGCTCAACATGTACGGTTTCCACAAGAAGGTGGGTCTCAACGCCAACTCGATGAAAGCAGCCGAGAAAAAAGTCAAGGATCCCAGCGTGTACTGGCACGAATACTTTAAGAGAGGTCGACCTGATCTGCTATGGCTGATTCAAAAACCTGCCGCCAAATCTTCGAGCTCCAAGAGGAAACGAGATCAAGAAAAGCGTGAGACAGGCGACAGTGACGATGACCATAAGAACTCGCCTGACACCGGCGACGGAGGTACAGGGCTCATGACAACCATCCCGCGACAGGACATGGGCACCTTCCGTACCGAGTTACAGAAATTGCAACGTCAGCAGAGTGTTATATCCAAGATGATAACATCATTAAAGGAACAGAACGAGCAATTCTATCGCCAGGCAACTGCGTTCCAGGCTCTCCATGATCGGCACGAGAACTCGATAAACGCCATTCTCACCTTCTTGGCTACATTCTACAACCGCAGCCTGGATGGACATTCAGGTCCACCTAATCTGGCCAGCTTCCTCAACAGTGCTTCCATGCCGCAGCAAGCCCAGCAACAAGGTAGTGTCTTCGACATGGGCGATGGCGACATGAACGAGAGCAATGTCAGCAACACAAACAATCAACAGCTGCAACGCTACCAAAAACGACCTTTGCTTTTACCCGCCCCTGGGCCGCAAAATCTTTCTGCCTCGCCTTTGTCAAATACCACTCCCTCTGTTCGTTCCTCTACTAGTCCTGGCCCCACACAACAAGGACAACACACAACACAATATGGCACACGCCCACCCCAAGCGCGACCTCAGCAACAACAGCAGCAGCAGCCACAAAGGCCCTCAGTCACTCCTGTCATCAAGGACGACGCACCTACACCCGATCTGCTAAACCAATATCCAGAACATGACGACGTTATGAACCTCATTCACAATGTGAACGCGAGCAACTCGCCCAACAATGGCGGCGGTGCTGGAAACTATGATATCAATAGTGCACTGGATCACTTGCAGGCTGCCAACAGCAATAGCACTTTGACACCACAACAACGGGAAGATATGCTCTCGATGATAGCAGCATCGGGAGCTACTGGAGCAGGCGCCACGGCCGCTCAACCTGGTGCCAACAATGCTCTTATGATGCCTGACCCACCAACGATGCCATCGCTAGAAGCCCTCCGACAGAACAATGCGCAGCTCGATATGCTAGCCAAGTTGCAACAAGAGCAAGACTCTAAAGTTGCCGACCTTGCAGGGCGCTTGCAACCACTCTCCCCGACAGGCGCGATCCCAGGTATCACTGCCAACAACTTTGAAGACATAGGCAATCCTGGCGATTTTGATCTTAGTAGTTATCTTAATGAGCCCGAGGATGGGTACTTTGGCGGTTTGGACACAACGTCTGCGGCTCAACAATCTACCTACCCAACCACCTCTGCGCCATCGCAAGGTATCAATGACGATCTTGGCTTCAACTGGGATTACACTCAAGCGAATGGACTTCCAGATACAGATGACTTGTTTGGCGATGTTGGAGGAACAGGAGTCAACGATGGAAGCTTGAACGTTGATGAGGGAGGTGGCAGGGTCGTTGGCAGCGTTAGTTCGGCAGGCACGAGTCCCCCAGACACAACGAAAGCAGCAGGTGATGATGAAGAGACGCCGAGCAAGAAGCGCAAAACCGGTGAATAGGTTACGCATGATGGAGAAAGGCGTTGATAGAAAAGATTTATGGCGTTTTCGGCAGGAGCTCATCAGGAAGCACTCTCTAGTTTTCTCTCTACTCGCTTAGAGCGGTCAGCAAATATACAAGCTGGACAAATACTTTCTCGTTCCCTTTTGCTTGTCCATCTCTTGTTCCCCTCGAATAGCTTAGATGAATTATCCTGTCCTTTGCAATTCAGCTAATTACCCTCAATACTTGTCGAGACATGACATCTAAGCTTGGAGTGATAAGAATTCCCGTGTCACTAGTCTGTGTGGGATTACGGAGCTTGTTCTTGGTTTTTCTGGCTTGTTCTCTTCGTCTTTCATTTTCTCTTCGGTGGGTTTGCAGGTTGACGTTCACGAGCAGGTTTTGAGTGGGAAAGTTGAGGCATGGCGTCCAGCATATTTCTAGCGGGTTTACCATATTGTGTCACATCGCGGAAATATGTTGTTGAAATAGAATTTCAATGAGTCAACAAGATAATGGAATGTGTTTCTACGCCTTGGAAGGACTACAGTATCATCATGGCCGTATTCGAGATAGGAATAGAACATTGATGGCTCAAAATGGTCGTCGCGGATATCACCCTGACCATGATCGAGTTGGCTAGACATCATCAAACGTTGCCTTGGTAAGAAGCATTCAACGGTAATTGTGACTAGATGGAAGTAACATCATGGGATAAAAAGCTTGCATTCAGCTGTGCAGCTGGTCAGTTGTAATAGTGAAAGAGTACGAGAACGCCAGAAATGCAGTGGAGTCGAAAACCTCCTTTGAACCCCAGCCATGCGTGTGAAGGCTGCTACCGTAAACTCCTCGTAAATGAAACGCCATTGAAGGAAACAACGATCGTCCAGTCCCGTCATGAGAGAGGTTCACTTCTTCTTCCTAAGAGTCTGACCTTCACCAGAGAAAAAGTGTTGCTTCTTTTGTTCTTCCTTGGTCTCATCCTTCTTTGCAGGCTTGGGCTTGACCTCATAGCCGAAGAAGAGCTTGTTTGGTTCCAGACGTAGAGGTTGAGGACCGTTTCTGCGAGGCTGAGGTTTTGCCATACCAGGAATACCGACGGTTTCTGCAGGGGCTGGTGTTGATGTACCGGTAGATGAGGGAGTTGCGGTTCTGCTGCCTTTCTTTGGGACGAGACGGTGGCCTTGAGAGAGGAAGTGCGAGGCTGCTGCTGCGTGACCTGTGGCTGCGTCTGTGCTGGTCGGGGCAATGGCGGAGTAGTTGATGGCTTGGGCCATGGTTCCTTGGGTGTGCATGGGACCGCCCATGGCCTTGACCTGAGCAGGTGTCGAGGTACCGCTGTTACGCTCGGGCTCGACATAGCCGACGGGCGTGGCAAAGTCGACGCTCAGATCTGTTTCTTGGACACTGATGGAGTGGGAGTCCTTGTCTGGTTTTACTTCTAGAACGGCGACTTCGTGAATCTGGTCTACGTAGCTGAAGGAGAAGATGTCGCCTTTTGTTAAACAAGAGTAGCTGCGGAAGACGTTTTCGAGGACGGCCTTGGGGTCGGAGATGTCGAGGAAGGCCGGGCTTTGGGGTTGCAACTTGATGAAAGAACCAGGAGGCAAGTCGGTGGACTTGATCTGGAGGAGGTCGCCAGGGTCGAGAAGGAGCGAGCGCATAATCCAGTTTGGTAGGTAGATCTTGCCCTCCTCAGCGGTAAATTCGAGGACACCAGCATGCGTCTTTGTCTGTTTGGCACCGTTGATGAGCTCGAAGAGCATGGGGTAGGTGATGTGCAGCTGAGTGAGCTTGTCCAGGGCAGAGGCGGGCAGGTAGACCTTGCCGCCGTGAATGACATCTTGACGGTCCGTCTTCATGAGGACTGGGTAGCATCGGTAGTACTCGTCGAAGCGGCGAGGGCGGCCGCCTCGCGACAGCATGGCCTGGTTGTACATGGCGAGAGGATCGTTGCGATACTAGGGCGACGTCAGCAGAATCCTTGCTACAGTCCGGAACCAACATACCATGTTGGGTGGATGGCTGTGATGGTCTCGCTGTTGTCAACTGACTGACAGAGACCAAAGGTGTCTGGCTTGTGAAAGTCTGGAGTCCCGCCATGACGAAATCCCTACTTCCATCTGTTTCCAACTCACACGTCCACACCTCACTTTATACAATTTCTTCTGGGCATTGTCTGTTCATAGCCTCATTGACAGTCTTGCTATAGCTATAACATCTTTCCTGTTTATAGACGAATGTCATGTTATGATTGATAGGATACTGCTATGCCCGGCCAGCACAGACCCATGACGCACGATTCGACATAAACACAAAGTGCTCAGCTCCAGACTCATACATCAAACACTTCGAACAACTAAACTTCATCCGACATGACGGGCGGTCGCAACATGTCTGGCGGACACCAGACCATCCCCGCTGGAGGTGTCCGACCCAAGCGCACCGCTGAAGCTTCTGATCGATACATTTCTCCCGAATCCAAAAAGCCGCGTTTCGACCATCGCAACCCTTCAACTCTGGCTCCTGACGCTCCCGAAGAAGATGCCATCTTGGAACTGGATGAGATCGGCAAAGGCGGCCTGCAGACCAAACGTAACGCTGTCAAGCTTGATGGTTACGAAAGCGACAGCAGCGACGACAACTTCGATGTCAGAGCAGACGAAAAGGCTGAACTCGCAAAGCAGGAAGGAAGAAACGGCGACTCAAAAGGCGCGAAAAATGCCGGATGGAACCAACGCGGTCAAGAATCTGGAAAGTCAAAAGACGAAGATGAGATGGACATGTTTGCCGACGTCGACGAAGGCACTGGAGGTGTAGGAGGTACAGCAGATGGCGACGACGATGAAGAGCTAAGAGGAGAAGGCAAGAAGGCCAAGAAAGATGTGCGCTTCATGGATATGGACGACATTGAAGGTCAAGTCCATAAGAGCAAGTCCGGTGGCCACGTTCGCGCCGACTTCACTCTCGATCCCAAGGGCAAGTCGCGTGCCGACGATGATGCCAGTATCGAGAGCAGCAGCGAGAGCGGTAGCGACGAAGAACGCGATCGCTTGGACGAAGAGAACGAGGATGCCGAGGAGCTGGGCGCTGGAAGCAAGAAGAGGCACGCACCCAAACTTGATGCCTTTAACATGCAACAAGAAGGCGAAGAAGGTCGTTTCGACGAAGCTGGAAACTTTATTCGCAAAGCAGTCGACCCAGATGCTGTTCACGACAGTTGGCTAGAAGGCTTGAACAAGAAGGATATGAAAAAAGCCAAAGCCGCACAAGAGAAGCGTGAGGAGGAGCGAAGGAGACAAACCGCTGCCGATGACGCTCTATTGACTTCGGATCTACTCTCTACTCTGATCACACATCTGCACAAGGGTGAATCAGTTCTCGAAGCTCTACAACGCCTCAATGCAGCCGCTCCCAAGTCAAAACAGAAGAAAGTGCCCAAGTGGAAACAAAAGAAGTTGGCCGCCAAATCAGATGCCATGGATGTCGATGTGGAAGGAGGCGCCCAGGAGGACGAAGCCGAGAAGCGTCGTGTAGCTGCCGTCGAAGCAATCACCGCTGCTGCAGATGCCATGTTCAGCCGCAACAACCCCGACATTTACGACCATGAACGCGAATTGTTACAACGTCTGTACAAGCGCGAGACTGGCGAGGATTGGGTCGATCCTGTTGCAGACACACCAGCAGATGAGAACGCCATGTTTGAGTTCCGCTGGGCGGATGCTCGAGATGGTGGTCAGACGCATGGTCCTTACGACAAGAACACTATGCGCTCATGGCGTGAAGCTGGATATTTTGGTCAAGAGGCCGAGGTGGAGTTCAGACAGGTCGGTCTAGATGGCTGGTCGAGGAGCGCAGATTTTGACTAGTCACAATCACGACCCTATCGCGCCGAAAACCACTGAAAAGTCAGAAACGGCCTTGATGTCTGCACGAGTATACGTCAAACCTCTCCTCACCATTTACTAAGCATGTGAATCGTATAGCTATAAAAATGCACAGTAGTAATAGGAAACGAGATGGTATCCACTGAGAGGCAACAAATTGTCGACTCTCTGTGGACCCGCTCTGCTTCCTAGAATAATTGTGCCTTTTAATAGTCTACAATGTGCTCTTGGTCGTAGTCGGAGTACGGTGGAAGTTACAGACTTTAGACGGGGAGGCTACTAATCATGTCTTCCACCCATTATCCATCGAGGAGCATTCAACAAACCTCCCCTCGGAACGCTCTGCACCAAACAACAAGAAGTAGCACAAAAACCTCTTGACTACGAAGCAAAAGTGACGTGGCAGAATGAAGAGCCTGGAAGAAAGCCTTTAGCAAACATCTCGAAACGCATCATGTGCAACCATCCCTCAGATACCTTGCTCATGAATTCAAAGATATAAGCTTGTGCCTGTATAGACCGCCGTTATGACTTCACACAACCCGGTCACGAAACCAAGAGGGGTGGTTGGCATAGACAATATGTCAACCACCTGACAACGGAACCTCCAAAAACCACTACTGCCAACAATGTCAAAAGAAACTGACTTGCTTCTTTCGCTGTTGCTAGAGATGTCCGTGGGTATGCGGTGTTCAAAAACGCATTTGCTGAGCATGCTCTCTTCTACACGTGTTCGATTAGTGGTATATAACGATTCAGCTTCCCCGATGGCAAGACAAGCAATTCATCAACAGCAGAACTTCGAAAACTGCAAAGAGAACGATCGCACACGGATCCGGACAAGCATTCAGCTCTGTTTAACCAAACTCCAATTGAACGGCTTCACATAATCGTGGTCAACAAGTCAACTTCGAATTCATTCAGATCGCCCAAGCAAAGTCCAAAAACTCAAGCCGAAGTCACCGTCCAAGATACCGAAGTTCAAATTTCCTTCTGATCAGACCTGCTGGTACAAAGATGTGTAGGTGTTTTACAACCAGTTACACGAGATGTGGCCATGAAGAACGAGTCCAATGGCTGTGCCAGACGGCAGAATGGCGAAGACCTGTGTACGCATGTCGCGGTTGGGATGATCCAATGAGACAGTTCCACCAAGCCGAAGACAGAGACTGCCCACGCTGTGAAGAGCAACAAATGCTGAGAATGACACAGACACCACGGAGAAGGTCCGAAAACGCCTATCTTCAAGGAGATGTGCCCATCCGCAACAGACGAGGAAGTCTGCCACAGAGATACTTACCCACTCCACCTCCTGCATACACGAGAGGCTATGAGTATATCTCAGGATATAGATATGGAGAGAGTCAGTCAACAAGGCCAAGAGGCGACCCAGATCCATCTCCAAACGAAGTACAGCGCCGTGTCTCTGAATGGGCACGCCGTGTACCTGCTGGTCCTCCTCCTGCATCCCTTGCAAGCACCGCAAGAGAGCTATATAGGCCGCATGGGAACGATAGGGTTCACACCGTATCTTCCTCCTCACAGCATCCCAGTGCTGGGGTTGAGAGCCATGTGTCTCGCCACCGCAGAAGGCAAAGCGATATATACGATCCAAGACGCTCAAACGCTGGGACTGTATCCAGAGCAGAGCTTGGAAGCGATCAGAGTGCCCGCTATATACGTGCCTCGGACGAAGAGCGCCGCAACACTCACCCAACTACACGCCCTCGCTATCCTCGTTCCGCTCAATCTGCAGCTGACACTTCTGCATTTCACAGAGATGGTGATTTTGAATTCACAGTCACAAGACACTTCGTTGGAGATGGAACAGAATTCATCCAATCAATCACATACGCACAAGAACAAGAGCCTGCACGTTCAGAAGACATGAGCACTACAAACCATCAGACCAGAGGAACGGGTGAGTTGTACCCCAGCGAACGCCGAGGAAGAGGCGTACATGGAGGAAGTGGAGGCATGGCATTATTTAGAGGTTCGCAGCCACCCCAGCCACCACACAGACGTTGAGAAATGGCTTGTTGATTGTTCGTCAACTATGTCGTTTGATCCCGAAGAATGGACTCATTGTGATGTATTGGACCTTCGAATGTGGAGGTGGGGGTTGACTTTGTAGGATGAGGTTGTTTCGAGAAACATCCTTGATGCTCTGTTGATTGTTGCAAGAAAGGTCTTGCCAATGTTGATAGTGCTATCTGTACGGACAATACGAAATAAGATGAATGTACATACCAATTTGGAAGCCTCACTGCCGCAAGACTTGTGATTAATCTAGAAAGAAGTACGACAGAGGTGGTTCTTTCTCAAATTTCAACCACAACATCTCACACCACCGCTTACGAATCAACTTTATGGCTTCGTGACTTCCTTGACGTGAAGTCTACCTCAACCATACATGTAGATCAACTACGAACTTGCGCTTGAGACGTCGACTGATTTCTCAACCCTCCAAGAATGTCTGTGTAGCACTTACCTCGCGTTTGTGACTTTAGCTTAAATATCACCTTCCCTCCTCCTTTTGTTCTCCTTTCCTTCTGTTCTTCACCCTTGCTTTTCAGACCCAAGAAGGACATAAAATTTAATCTATCATGCATCTCAGTCTGTTCACAACCACTTTCCTCTCGGTCCTCTCCCTCTCCAACGCCTCCTGCCTCTCGAAACGTCAAGACCTTACCGGCACCTCCATCTCAGCGATCGGCAACGCCCGCATCTCAGCCTTCGATTCCGCCTCCTTCGCCTTCGTCGCAGCAACCCTTCTCCCAAACAGCATTATCTGTCCTGGAGTCATCGGCGCAGCTGCCACACCTTCAGAAGCTCCAGGCGATGATGTCAGATTGAGGACCGATCCTAGCGCTGTCAGTCTCTTGGAGCAGAGACAGAGCATCAGACCGCATGAGAGTAGGATTGGCAACAGGAGGACTAAGAGGCATTCGACTCAGACTACTCCGCCAGTCGAGCCTGCAGTGGCCAGTGCTACGGATGTTGCGAAGGCTTCTTAGGTCCAGAAATGTTTGATTCTGGTATCTTTCGTCAATGTCCGAGGTTGTGCTCAGAAAAATCAAAATCCAGATACTGCAAGCTCTTTCTGGGTTTACGATACCGTGGTGGTGCTACCTGACATAAAGTCCCTCATTCAAGCTCGCTTCCCACAGCCAACCTCCCCCTTCCACCAACCCTTATGTGCTACAATGTTTAATACCTGTTAGACAAACAAAAAACAGCCGTAGTGGTGTAGTAATAGCATACTCGACTCTTAGTCACTCTCTTTAATTGCTCACCCATCCGTTATTAACACGTTCGTTAGAATTGGGAGGTCGCAGGTTTGAACCATTTTTCGTCCATAATATTTGCTATCCAGTGTCGCTTTTAGTTCCGAGTATCGCTGTACGCGAGGGGTTTGGAGGACTGGAGGGACGAGTGGTATGTTGGTATAATTGGAATGAAAGATTAGGTGAAGTAATGTTGTGATCTACCTTTGGGTTGAACGTGCTCGGCTTCTTACGTCTGATCAAAGAAGTTTCTTGTCTGACCGATGTTGCGTCCCTATGCAGTCGGCTAACTGACACTTACCTACTGTGCACAACTGTATACATTGCCAGCGACATGAGCTTTGCGGCTACTATTGAAAGGATGTATATTGAACATCAACCCGAAGATGCTGCAAACATGAACAAAATCGTATGCAAAAGGAAAGCAAAGAAATGTTAAACCAAGAGCTCAAGCTGATCCAAAAGACCAACATCTTCAAGAGCTCTCAGGAAAAGTATGATTTTTTTGTTGTTTTTTCTGATCAAACCAAGAAAGAAAAGACTAATAGATCTCAAAGGAACGGCAGAGAGAAGGAAAAACACAAAAACGCAAAGCAAAGAGCAGCAAGAGGGGTATCGTCGCACAACCTACCAAAAAACGTAAGAATCGGATAGATCGCGCCTGCCTCCTGATCTGGGTTCCTTGTCTGTTCCCTTGTTTCCTTCCCATAAAACGCCGCAGATGCCCCAGAAATGCAACTCCTTCCCGTTCGTAAAGCGAAGAGCCAGAGGAAGCAAAGCGAACAAAGAACAAGAAAAAGCAGAAACGATATAGAAAAACGCCAAAATATTCCAAAAATTGCCAAAGTACCTGAAGATTCGTTGCCCGTAGAAAGACGAATGCGAAAACTCCATGCGCTCTTAGTCCCATGCCAATGCTACCATCTGCTGCAAGACATCCGGGAGAACATGAATGCCAACGTGCCAGACGTCAATGAAACCAGTGGCTAGCGGAAAAGACAAGACCGAATATAACCGAAAGTCTCGATGTGACCAGACCAGAAGTTGTAAATGCCAGGTAGAACCACTCGACTACTAATCGACAAGTGGACAGGGAGAAGTAGAGAGCAGAAAAGCGCCGCTCGAAGGTTGCAAAAGCTTGACCACGCCAGGCAAATGAGAATCCAGAGGGAGAAAATTAGGTAAGTTTGAGCATGCCCTTGAGCTTGGCCTCCATACCCTTAACATCAGGTGAATGACCAGGTTCGACTGGACGTTGGGGAGGAGGTGGCTGAGGTCGGTGAGGGCCAGTATACTGCGCAGGGCTATGATAAGGCTGAGGCTGATAATGATGCTGCTGAGGCGAAGCTGTAGAACTGTATGGACGCGAGATGAACGGTGACTGAGACTCGAGGTAGGCACGGGGATCAAAAGGCTGCTGCGCATGACCAGAAGGCTCGCGCTTGGGAGTAAGGTTCATGTTGGTCTGAGGCGAAGAAGGGGTGCGAGCAGCATGGAAAAGCGGTGTCAGACTGCGATTTCCGTAGTGCAAAGAAGGGTCAGCGTCAAGAGTGCGCTGCTGTTGGGGTGTCTGGAAAGCAGGGTCCGGCTGAGCACGGGGTTGAGCAGGGGAAGTGGTGGAGGGCTGCAAGTTCAAGAAGTTCTTCAGCGATTGGGTATAAGCCTGCCTGTCGAGTTCGGCCTGATTACGATTGGGAGCAGGGCTGCTAGAAGAGTCAATGTCTAGGTTAAACATGCCCTTTGCTTCCGGCGGCGTTGCACGTCTCTGAGCCAAAGGCGAACTCTTGACGGCTCGCTCCTGCCTGTCGGCATTGAAGAAAATGTCGAGTGGGGATCTTTCCCTTGCCAGAGGTTGTGGGGCAGCGTTGTCGAATGACGGCGAAGGAGCATTGAGCTTTGTGGATTCGGCATCGAGTTTGGCTTGCAGAGAATTGCTTGTTGTGACAGGTGGTACTGACTTGGAAGCAAACTTGGGCATTGGCAGATTTGAGGCGGCAGGAGAAGCGTGGAAGGTAGGACCAGCATAAGCAGCGGGTTTCGCAGGAGTAGCGGTGGGAGATTTGTGAGAGGGCTTGGACCTGTGGTTTGTGGACTTGGGGACATCACTGTTGGAAGCAGCGCGGTTGTCGTTCTGTCTTGGTCTGTTCTTCTTCGGCCTAGGAGTGGTAGCTTGCGAGGGAAGCCCCGAGTCGGATTGGGTGTTCTGAGCGTCATTGTGGATGTTGACGTTGCGGGTACGCGGCGGTCTGTTGTTGCGCTGAGCGGTAGGTTGTGTAGGGCTGCTTGACATGTTGTGATATTGGGAACCAAAGGTCGAAGGTTGTTGGAAGGGGGCAGCGATTACTGTAGACATGGCCAGTCGGCAAGGCGAGATTGCAACTTGGTCGAATAGGGAGATATGAACGGCGCGTAAGCCCGAGGAGGATGATGTCGTGCGAGATGCCAATGAGTGCCGGAGTGCGAGTGATCGGAAGTCTAGAGACGACAGAAGGCGGGCGGCAGGCGTGTAGTAGGAGTCTTTCTGGAAGTTGCTGGGACAAGGAGAATGAGAATGAATGAGTTGGGCGCGGGCGCAATGGGCACGCACGTGAAGGCCGTCGTTGTGTCGATGGCGCCCAGCGTGGCTAATCGCACCAATCAAAGACGGCGAGCGGATCTAATCTCAATCTGATCTGACGCAAGCGTGTTCGGCTCAAAGCGCCCGAGCTTCCCTTCGGCGTTTCACGGTGGTGGCAGCAGCTGCCTACGCTTGCTATCATCAAACATTCACAGCTGCATTCACTCTTATATTCTCACGGCGCCCAACACTTCCGTCTTCTCTTCTAGATCACCGGAACACTTGTGCTTCTGTCGCGCAACCTCTCAGCAAACATGGCCGACGTAGAGATGACCGACGCCCCTCCCAAGACCAAGACCTCCAAGGCCGACACTGCTGCCGATTCTGGAAAGAAGCGCTTCGAAGTCAAGAAGGTGCAGACACACGCTGCAGTGGATTCAGAAGGATAATGACTGATTTGCTCATCATTAGTGGAACGCCGTTGCTCTCTGGGCCTGGGACATTGTCGTCGACAACTGCGCCATCTGCCGTAACCACATCATGGACTTGTGTATGCTTGCTCCCCGTCAGACCGCTCTCGCACACGACACTGACCACAATACAAGGCATCGACTGTCAAGCCAACCAGGCATCCGCTACCAGCGAGGAATGTACCGTAGCCTGGGGCATCTGTAACGTGAGCGACCGCATCTCGAACAATCATCATCTGTACTAACTTTACGCAAGCACGCCTTCCACTTCCACTGCATCTCACGCTGGCTCAAGACCCGTCAAGTCTGCCCTCTCGACAACAGAGATTGGGAGTTCCAAAAGTACGGCCGATAAATCATTGCTCTCGCCACTTCGACCGATTACCCACCCTTGCTTCACCATGCTCGCATGCATTCCAGCGTCGACTTCCCGCGATTCCCACCTGCTTCACATCACAATATACCCAACAAAGAGCAGCACCCCAGATGGAGGGAGGAACATACATGATCGATGCGTTAAGCCAACCATCACACGACCAAAAAGAGATAGCATTGCAACTTTGCGCATTGACTTGTTGTTGCGCCCACTTAATGAAAGGCAAAAAACGCCATATTTATGATCCCATAATGCCCTAGTACATTCCACAAACGCCTGAACACCCATGCTTGCTGACTTTCTTTGGATGTCTCCCTGGTTCAGATACCATTGTGCATTTCCACAGCTAAATGCGACAGGTATCTGCACACGGGGGAGAACCAACTAGGATGGGCTCTACAAAGCCATGTTGAGAGAGGTGTGAGATCTATTGTATTTTCTTCCCGTCGACTGTGATATTTATGTCGGAAACAGCACCAGACTTCTTTGCAGGCAGCCACTTGACAGGATCGCTGTTGTAGAAGGGCCACGGCGGCACACATACGACGAATGCGAGAGCGGCTCCAGCCAATAGAATCCAGAGCGTATATTGAATGTTTTGAGTTGCGAAGCCGACCATGAAACCGATGATCTAAAGTCGGGTCAGCTCCGTGTGATATATACGAGTCGAGTGCAGCGTGCAATGAGGCTGATAGTAAGATCAGGTGCAGATGATAGGCAATTAGGCTGGATGTGATTGCAAGATTGGAAAGTCATACTCCAGCAGTGGTCAAGATTGTGGTACTGAACATCTCGACCAGACGTTGACCCTCAAAGTCCTGGGAGCTGTTAGCTTTCATCCTGCTCTTCGAAGGATGCGGGTCTTACGATTTCGCCCTCCCAGATCTTGCGACCGGACTCGATGATTGCGTCCATTATGAATTTGTTTTGTGCTGAGAATGGTATTCAAAGTCGACAACAAGCTACCTATAGTACACAGGTGTTCATCAGGGTCGCGAATGTGCCCAGAAAGCACGGACCATGTACATCCATGACCGCGGCTTGCGCGCTTCCGCCGACCAGGTTTGGACTCTGGATGCTTTTACTTTTTTGACCAACTTTACATTATCACCTCTTGATCCATCATCAATTTTGTCTACTCTTTGTTTCACTTCCTACTTTGCGCAATCTTGATTCTCGATACTGGGGTTGTTGCGACGGTCTGTATCTCAAGATTGAACTTCTGCAGGGACCCATCACTTTCTCGAAGCCGCCAACCCATCCGTTCACAACGCAAACGACTTTCACTCGCTGCCTAATCCTTCTATTCTTTGTACTTTTTTGATCTTTTCTACTTGAAACCATTCATCACCCACTTGCAAAGAGACCTATCTCGCAACATCAAACGATCTCTGGCCAGAGAAGGCTCTCATCTCATCAAAATGTCTGTCAATGAAACTGCTTTGCCTACAAACGGCGACATCAGTAAGTCGTGGAAGATCTGGATGTTGGTAAGCCTTGGTTTGCGCAATCCTAACAGTTGGCAGTGGATCAGACCAATGGAGCACCACAAGACCACGATGCAGCCACCGAGACTGTCGCTGCCATCGCTCAGGCACAAGCCATGAGCGCTGGTAAGATTCCCTCATCTGTATACTCAAATGTCTTCAATTGATTACTCATAAAATACAGATGAAATTGCTCTCTATGATCGCCAAATCCGTCTCTGGGGTGTACAGGCTCAGGAGAGGTGAGCACTGCTTCCCTTGCATACATGCAAGAGTATACTGATCCTCCATGTGTAGAATGCGCTCTGCGAACATACTACTCATCTCGGTCAAGGCTCTGGGTACAGAAATTGCCAAGAACCTCATTCTGAACGGCATTGGCTCCTTGACCATCGTAGACAGCGAGCAAGTGACTGAAGATGACCTGGGTGCTCAGTACTTTGTCCGCGAGGAGGACATCGGCCGTAACGTGCGTGGTTCTTGTTCTGTTGATGGTTTCGGATTCCAGCTAACATCTTCCGACAGCGAGCAGAAGCTGCCGCAGAGCGCCTCCAAGAGCTAAACCCCAGAGTCGCTGTCAGAACCGACAGCAGCAACATCTTGACCAAGGATCAGACATACTATGCGCCATTTCAACTCGTCATCGCATGCGACCAAAATCTGGAAACTATGTCTACCATCAACGCCGCATGTCGTCTTGTTAACCGTCCATTTTACGCTTCTGGTATCCATGGCTTCTACGGTTTTATCTTTGCCGATCTGATTTTGCACGACTACATCATTGAACGCGAGACTTCGAACATGCCTGCCGTTATTAAACAGGAAACTGCAACCCGCAGTATCATTGGAGTTTCGACCAAGAAGCAAAACGGCAAGAACATCGAGACCGTCACAAAGCGTGAGATCTACTCCCCGCTACTTCTAGCTAACACTTCACCTTTGCCCGACGACTTCATTCGCAATCGCCGTAAGATGAGATCCGTTACACCTCTACTGCCTTGTCTGCGCGCGCTCTGGGACTTTGAGCGCAATCACCATCACCTACCTGAACAGAACTCTAAGAGCGATCTGGCCGAATTCACTCGCATGGCCACAAACAAGCTTAAGGAGCTCCAAATGCCAGCTGAGACTCTCACAGCCGAGTTCCTCCGCAGCTTCTTGCATAACATCGGCAGCGAGATAGTACCAACTGCTGCGTTCGTTGGTGGCAGGCTGGCAGAGGACGTCATCAATGTGCTCGGCAAGCGCGAGCAACCCATCCAAAACTTCGTCATGTTCGATGGTGAAAACTTCGATGGACCTATCTACCCTCTGCAGACATTCTTGCAGCCTAACGGCTTGGGTGTTCCTCAAGTGCAGCCTTCTGAGCTCGAGATGCAGCAGATGCAAAATGGACACAGCAATGGAGTGCAAGTTCACAACGCCATCTCCACTAATCCTGCCGACGGAGACACCGCCGTTCAAGGAGAGGACGCCCAGCCCATTATGCTTGAGTAAATGGTCACAATCACGCCTTTACTATACACACACAAATAAGCTTTGAGACTGTCTGATCTATCGCATAAATCAGCAACGACAGCAGCGATACTCCGAAACAGTCTCGAGAAACCACAAGAGACCGGAGAGGGGAGCGTGCAAGCAGCGAAAGATAGCACGTCCGTCAGCATTCGCCATGGACAAGCTGGACTCGAGTAGACACAGGACACTGTAGTCAGACACTGAGTACATCTTGACGAATGATGAAAAGATGGAGAAGAAGCTGCCTTTTGGAGCAACGGGCAGGGAAATACTGTTACTTAAAATGCTTTGGCTTTCTTTACTCTATCCACATAGTAACTCATCCCCCCAAAAGAAAGAATCCATGGTCTACAGAGGACTGGATCTCGGAAAAGAGAATGAAAAATCTTGAAAACAAAAATAAACGCCAGATGTGCTCCTCTCCCACATCATTATGCCAGTGATGATTAATCCCCGTCCTCTGATACTCTGTCTTTTTCTCTCGCGCCTAGCCTGGACGTCAGGACCTCTGCATCGCCCAAACCCCACTTGACTGACAAAGCGAACAGTCGTCAGTCGAACAACGAGCTGTGTGAGCGAAGACAAGCTTAAACAGTGCCAGCAATGCTCAGCTCACGAATCTCCTGCAAGACCTGCTCAACCCTAGCATCCAGATTACCATTGGCGTACTGATCTCTAGTATCAGGATCCAAGTACTGCTGCACTTGCGCCATTCTTGAATAAGCCTCAGCACAGAAGCGCAACTGGATCTTGACGAGAGCCTCGAAAGAAGGATCCAAGTAAGGAACACGCAATTCGATGAGTTGAGGCAAGTCGTTGAAAAGTTGTTCGTTGAGTTGTTCGTAGGCGGCCTTGAGCATCTCTGCTTCCTTTTCGGTGCGGGGCAGTTTGGTTACGTCCTTGTCGGGCTTTTCGGTTAGGCGTTTCACTTGGGCGCGCACGCGGTCGTAGTCAAGGAGTTTGTGGTTGCGCTTCTTTATGCCTGTGTTTGGAGGGAAGTGATTAGTTTCTGGGGCAAGAATGCCAGAGGAGCCAAGACTTACACTCGTTGATGTCGGGGAAGTATGCGCAGAAGCGGTTGATAGGATCCAGGACAGTAGCACGGAAAGGACCATCCAAAGCCTTGATAGTCTCTGCATCCAAATCTTCAACAGCCTGCTTGTAGCTGCGAGAGACACCATCATTGGCGCCGGCATCACCGTAGAAAGCATCGATTGTTTCTGCAATGCGCATCTGCGAGGCAGTCATTGCGCGCAAGCTGTCCAGGTAACCCTTTGATTCCTTCTGAAGACGGGTGGCGGCGTTTTCCATGACTCTGTAACGGCGTTCTTCGACTTCGTAGCTGCGGTCGTGGGTCTGCTCGACATGGCCGGTCTTGACCATGACCTGGGTGGCAGCCCGGTTGACGTTCTTCTTGAAGCCGGCCCACGACATGGTTGGAGCTGGCTTGACAGGCGGTTATTTGTTTGTGTTCGATCTGCGAGAGAGGCTGATCCAGCTAGATCCGGGTGCGCGGACGGGGATAAGGTCGAATGAAGATTGTTTGTTCTGTGACTGTGGTATAGAGGCTTCGGCAGCAACGACTGCGTTGACTGGCGGAGTTGCGCGTCCAGCCGCTGACGCTGCTCCTCCGAAAGGCCCTTGCCCAGCCCAAGCCGGAGCCGATCTGCCCGACCCCGATGATTAGCACATGCTGACCGAAGTTTGACCGGTAGAGCCGATATGGCCGCGATGCGAAAGTGCTTCTGTCTGAAGAGTTTCAAGAGTTTCATGCTTTCTATATATCCAATGTCGTCAAGATTGTGTAGTGCAGTATGCACGCGCTCTGTAAAGCAGAGTAGCGCAAAGCGAGTACTGACACGCTTCTACAGTGCTGAAGCTTCACCATCGCCCAGAGTCATTTTTTCTGGTATTCAGCCTACTGGAGTACCACATCTCGGCAACTATCTGGGTGCTATGCAGCAATGGGTCAAGTTACAGAACGAAGCCTCTTCCAACACATCTCTGATCTACTCGGTGGTAGATCTTCATGCTATTACAGTGCATCAGAACCCTGATGCATTGAGAACGTCCAAGCGAGAGATGCTAGCTGCTCTTCTTGCCGTAGGACTAGATCCTCAAAAATGCACTATCTTTTTCCAGAGCGATGTAGGATCAATCAATCACAAGTGAAATCGTGTAGGAGAGCCTTGGGCTGATGGAAAGAGTAGGTACCCGCTCATTCTGAACTCATGTGGATATTGAGCTGTTCAGCATCCATGGGTTATCTCTCAAGAATGACACAGTGGAAGGTTTGTATTTTCTGTCAATTTTCCTTCTTCCCACCGCTCTAGTCTTTTCTCTCTGATCAGCCTTTTCTTGTTCCGGATTTGTCCTAACATTCTCAAAGAGCAAGCTCGATTTAGATGAGAACGCCAACCCCTTAGATCCTTCGACCAAGACAAAGTTGAAGCTCGGCCTCTTCTCGTACCCGGTCCTCCAAGCAGCAGATATCCTCATACACAGAGCTACACACGTGCCCGTCGGCCATGACCAGTCTCAACATCTCGAATTTGCACGAGAGTGTGCTGCTGGCTTTAACCACCTAGCTGGCAGTAAGATTCTCGTACAGCCAGAGACACTACTTTGTAAGCCTCGTTTAATATTGAGGACACTTTGTTCCGTGAAAGTGCCGTGGGTAAAATGACTAACGTAGAGCCGCAGCTCCCGCAAAACGCGTGATGGCTCTCGACCGACCAACGCAAAAAATGTCAAAATCAGCACCAAATCCCAAGTCACGCATTTTAATCACAGATTCATCTTCCACCATTTCGAAGAAACTGCGTGTGGCTCTGACCGACAGCATCGAAGGTGTGACATACGATCCCTCAGCTCGACCTGGAGTTTCAAATCTCATTGAGATTGCCTTCAACCTCGACAGCTCAAATCACGGTGCAGCCAGTCCTGCGGATTATGCCAAGGAGTTTGAGGGATTGAGTCTCAAGGCATTGAAGGAGAAGGTTGCCGAGGTTGTGGATGGTCATCTGGCACCTATTCGAGCAAGGTTCGAGGAGATTGTTGGCGGTGATGGAAAGATCATCGAAGAAGCAGCACAGACTGGAGCTGAGAAGGCAAGGAAGTCGGCTGAGTTGACCATGCAAGCGGTCAAACATGCAATCGGCTTTTAAGTGCAGCGCATCGTACATGCAGACTTGCCGCTCTTCAGATCCATCGTGCTGAAGACATGCAAAGAAATGGCGTGATGTCTACGCCCAGGGGTATCGAACAATATAGACGACAATAATCATATCCACTCCACCCAATCAGTCCTCATCACTGTCTTCATCATCGCTCTCCTCCGTCTTCTTTCTCTTGTTTGTCTTGGCCTGTTGCTTCTGTACTACATCTCCCGCACCCTTGTGCTGGAATACATAGCTTCTTGACAGTCTCTCCTCACCCTTCCAACCACCGCCTCCTTCGATGTTGCCCAGAGTACGCGCATGAGAATATCCCGGATAAGCATCAGCCTGGAAGCGGAAACTACGTTGGACCTCCAAACCAGAGTGACGAGCCAGATCGCGGATATTCCAGAGAGTGTAAGGTTCGCCTTCGAACAGCGTAACAATGACAGTGCCATGAGGAGCCAACAAAGGCTTTATAGCTTTGAAGAAAGACACGAGCATTTCTAGACCCCCAAAAATCAGCTCTGAAGCAAGACCAGAGTTCGGTGCAACATGACAAACATACCTTGATTATATCTAACCTGCCTATTCACATCCGTGCTCTTCCCTCCGACATGCGGGAAATTGAACAATACTCTCTCCCAGCCCCCAGCTTGTTTCTTGACTTCTTTCTGCGATAACTTCGTCGCATCCACACCGTGTAGTACCCTCTGCTCTTCTGCCTCAATCGCATCTTTATTCTCTTGTGCTTGTGGGTATTTCTCTAGCAATTCGGCCTCGGTGTCGTAGGTTGTGGCTAGTAGTGCAGCGCATCCATGTGTGTCTACCAGACTCCTGCTAAAACTCAGGTCGCCGTCGCCAATAATCAGGATGCGATCGAGGGCGTCGAAAGGGATAATCGGTTCTTGGTGTTGCTGTTGCTTTTGCGTAGAAGGAGTAGTCTTTTTGTCTGTACCGGGTTTGGCATGCTGTTGCGATTTCGACTGCTGGTGTTTCGGTCGCGAGGGTCCGTCTCGGACGTTGAACTTCGAGCGTCCATTGTTTGATTTCTCATTATGTTCTTTACGTTCTTGCAGCTTGCGGCGCTTTGATTTGCCCATGTTGATGTGTAATGATTCCTGTTTGAGAAGCAAGGTTCTCTTTTCTGAAATTGAAAGATTGATGCCGGCGCGTCATTCGGAGATCGACCAGAGGGACGGCCCGCCTCCGCAGTGCCTGGTTCGCCCTTGCCATTCGAGACATCCTTCCCTTTATTCATCCTTCATGCCCTCTGCGTTCTTAGCCATTCTGGCTGGCAATTTCTCGTAGAAGAGGGAAGTGTAAATAGACATGACCGCCAAACATAGAGATGTCAACCACAATGATCTAAAACTGTCTGACACGACACAAGAAGCACGTCAACAACGAAGTGATTGGTAAAGGTTTTAATCTCGCTTTTTGGTTCTTGAGTTGAAGTCAGAGTCGGTGCCTCTGAGTACTTCATGTGCTAAGCTAAAGCTATTCTTTTCTCTCGTCGCACCCGGCCTACTCAGCGCTGGAGCCTCTTTCTTTCGTATGAATGAACCCCACCATACTGAACCAGGGATGGCGATACAGCTCATTCAAGAGCATGGCAGCATATGGTGTCACAGTAGAGGCGACAGGCCAAGCGTTCAATTGTGTGCGTTCAGATTCATTCCTCAAACCGACATATGATATGAGATGATTTGAGTGAAAGCGACGCGTCAGGCTCAAATTATCCAAGGGTGTTCGATCATTGTTGAAGCTGCTGCCTGTTCTGTGGTGTGGACGAGTCACAGCAATTAGCGTGCGTCCAGATCTTCATGTTGCGTTAATTGACACGAAAAGAGTGTTGAGAGCAAACGCGAAATCGACCAGCCTTATAAGTTTGTGTGACTCTTGCTGAACGAAGTTTCGACATGTCTATCCCAGGAACACAAAAGGTCGCTCTCCAAAAGCAAATAGCAATGGAGCAACCAAAGAAAAAGCAGGGTATCGTAGAATGGGAGAAGGGTCCTTAAAAGTCGATGAATGATGTTTTAGTGTGGCAGAGTTTAGAGCAGTTGCTCAAGCCAGGACAATGGGCATGTGATCTGCATGCCCGAATGCTTTACCACAGGATGGGCATTTTCTTGAGCGGTTGGCGATAAGATTCTGTACACAGCCTTGGCAGAAAGTGTGGCTGCATAGTTTGAGGACGGTGTTGCGCAGATTCGAATTACAAACAGGACAGATGGCGATTTTCTGCTTGTCGTCAGTCTATGTTTGTTCAAGCATTGAACGGCTGTACTTACACGCCAGTCATCCGATTCAGACTCCCGTCCAGAGCCTTTTCTCTTCATGCTTTCAAGAGATTTCTTGGTATCTTCCAAGCGGACCTTGACTTCTTCAAGCTCAACCTCAGCCTGTCGCTTCGCTGATGCTGCGGCTGATGAAGCAGCATCCTTCGAAACAACCAATTTCTTCATGTCCGTGATTTGTGTGCGCAGTTTCTCCAGAGTTATGTTTCCTTCGCTAAGTTTTTGTTGCATTGTTCGGTTTTGCTGAGAAAGAGAAGTTAATGATTCCTTGGACTCGGAAATTTGCTTCTCCAGATTGATAATCAGTGATCTGCTGTTGTTCTCGGCGTCCTTCAGTTGTGTCACGATTTCAGAACTCTTTGCGTTCTGTGCTTTGAGAGTTCGTAGTTCGTTCTCGCGAGCCTCCTTGGCCTTCATTGCAGCGAAGTACTTCTGATCAGCCTTTGCCTTTTCAGCATTGATGCGCGTACGCTGTTCTTCCCATTCAATGATCTCGGCCACTTTTCTTTCTGCCAGGCTTTTGGTCTTCTTCCATGCTGCTTCCATAGAAGGCAACTCGTTGTTGAGCAGTAGGTGTTGGTTTTCGAGTGTCTTTAGCTTGGATCTCAGCTCTTCGATTGACATGGCTTCCAGAGTCTCGTCAGTAGTAGCCGCAGTGCTCTCTCCAATTTGTAGTTTGAGACGTTCCACCTCGGATTCCAGTGCAGCGATACGTGTCTCCCTAGCAGCTGCCAACTCCTTGATCGAATCCGAAGCCACTTGACTCTGCTCTTGTGATCCTTTGCGGACAGAAAGCTCAGCTGAAAGTTCATCTCTTGCGTTGCGAATGCGGGCCAAATCAGACTCGGCGCGTGCTAATTGACTCTCAAGGTCGGTGGCATTTGTTTGTGACTCCTCTTCCATGTTGTTGCGATAGGACGTTCTCTCGGCCTGTAGTCTCTGAGCCTCCTCGCGAAGTTGCAAATTAGTAGCTTCCAGGTCGTTGACACGCTTGATCACATCTTCGTGCTGGGATTTTAGCAATTTGTATAGATCGGTTTTAGCATAGTCCTCATCAGATAGCGAAGTGAGTCGGACCTTGGCAGAGGATAGTTCTTCGGTTAGTTGTTTGTTCTCTGCCTCAAGTTGTTCCGTCTGAAGTTTGCGCTTTTCGGATGCAGCGAGCGCCTCTCTGCGCGCGGTCTCTGCGGCTGCGTGAACAGCACTGTCGACGTCGCCGTTTGTTTCGACAGCGTCACTCTTGGCAGATTTCTTTTCTGAAGTAGAGCTGGACTCAGAGGTTCCGCCCATTGTTGCCTGACGCTCGAGCTTCTGGACTTGAGCGCTCTTTACACGATCAAGTTTCTTTTCGGCGAGAAGGTAACGATAGGATGCCTGTTCCAAGCGTTCTGACAATTGGTCGCGCTCACCAATAATTCTCTGGCTCTCAATAACATGAGCCTTCTCGGTGGCCAAGAGGGCCGCTAGCCTTTCCTGAAGACTTCTGACTTCTGGCTCGGCAGCAGGCAGTCTGCCAAAAACATCCTTGATGGCAGCTTTGATTTTGGCAGAGCGATTTTTGAGATGGGATTCGAATTGAGAGTGTTCATCGAAGAGCAAAGACGAGCGGAAGAGTTCACCAGCCTCGGGTTCTTGATCTGAGACGAGGTCGCCAACCAAAATTCTGATTTCGTCGAGTAACTATAGGATCGGCGGCGTCAGTGTCGAGGTTCGTGTTATGGGGGGATGTCGGGGGTGTATTAACCTGGGTGAACCATGAGTCGACAATGCGCAGGTGATCGTCATGGTATTGGGAGCGCTTGGACAGGTCTTGGACTTGGGACTCGTAGAGGGTCTTTTCGCGCTTGTATTCCTTCATCTGGCGGAGGATGGCGTCTTTCTGGAACGACTGTTGACAGTGTCAATCGAGAGAGTCACGTGGAGGTTGGACGACAGAAAGACAAGACTCACCTCGACATCCTTCTCCTTCTCGGAGTCCATCCTCATCTGGGGCGCATTCTGGGTGGTCTGGTGGCGCTTGCTGGGATAGATGTCGTCCGAGTCGGGCTGGATGGATCTCTTACGGTCGTCCATGGTGGGCTTGTGCGAGTGGACAGAGAGGTTGGTCGAGGCGGAGAACGTCATGTCACGAACAGCTGGTGCGCGGCGAAGATGGCGACGCTTTAGCTGTCGTGGTGGCGTGGCAGCAGAAGGCTCGAGACGAGTGAAGGCTGGAGTCGGCGAGAGAGGGAGGGAGTAACTTCGACAAGTCGAATGTTGCGTCGAAGACGGGCCTTGGCACTTTCCGCGTTTGGCGCTCTGTCAGAACTTGGACTTTCCAACAAGGTTGTTTCTTCTTCCCTCGATTCGAGACATTTTTTTCTGCGACCCGACGACCATCAAGTACCGCCAATCGCCACAACCGCTCGTCGACGTGGACAAAAGACCTCTGCAGGAAATGTGCGCCTAGCCAAAATGGCGCCCTTGACCAGTTCAGCAATCAGTGCGGCATCCCATTTAGACAAAATCGCGACGCCCCTCACTAACGCGTCTGCCAGACAAGGGCAAGAAGCTCGCTCCCAAAGCTGCTGTCGCCCGTCGTCGCCCTGCTGCTTCTCAACCCGCCGCTGCCACTCAGCCCTCTCAGTCCCCTCAACTTGCGCAATCTACTTCTGCTCCCGCATCTGAAACCCCGACTGCCCCCGATACTGCTGCTGGCGCTGCACAACCAGAAGCATCTTCAGCCCAGACTGAGCGCTCTGTTTCGACTGCTCCTCTACCTACCCCTCCCGCAACTCAGCAAGCACCAACAACTCAGCCTGCCAATGTCGTCGCTCAGCAATCCGTCAGACAGCCTACACCACCTCCGTCAGCATCTCTGCCACACCATGTAGAACCATCACCTCTATCTCTTGCTCAGTCTGATGCCTCGCACCACCATCCAATTACTTCTCCCTCTCCGCAACCTCTAGTCGCTTCTACTCTACCTGTAACTCAACCCGAACAACGACAACCTAATCCTGCTACAAATGATGCCTCCTCTCATGTTCAGCAGTCGCCTATACACGGTCCGCCTTCTCCCAACCAGCTGGCTGGTCAGAAACGAAAGCGCCCCACTCCTCCGCCCGCAGCCCCATCCGTCGAACCTACTGTTCACCAACCTTCACCCCCAGGCACTTCCCGGCAAGCGCATCCCACACAAGCATCTGACCCTGAAGCCACCTTGATCAACACTCTTATCAATAATCAGGAACAACCTCGAGCCCCCGTAGCTCAGATGCTGCCACCCACCAATACACCTGCAACAGCCTCGAAACCTCGCGCAAAGAGACAGAGAAAGACTGCTACTACCACAGAACCATCAGGCGAGGCGGACGACTCTACTCAAGCCGTGGAAGGTGCCCAGGAAAACGACTCGAACACGACATCCGCTGCGAAGCCACAGAAGCCTCGAGCTACAAGAGCCAAGCGCCAACCAAAATCGGCGGCAACAGTCGTGGATGACGAAAATGGAAATGCCATCGCGACAGAAGATCCCGCTCCTCGTCCGGTTCCCAAGCCAAGAAAACCTCGCCAAAAGAAAAAGTCACCACAGCAAGAAGGACCAACTGGCCAGGAAGAAATCGAAGATCCAGAAAATCACGAGATTGATGTTGCGGAAACAACGATGCTTGAACTCACCAAGGACAGAGGTCTGGGCAAAGTATCAGAAAGAGAAACTAAGATGGCCGCTATAGACTGGGATCAGGTGCACAGAAAGAGAGTGGCAGAAGCAGAAGCTATTCGGGCTGGTATAGACCCTGCTACATTGAGCAATCAGCCGACCGAGAATACTGAAGCTGGTGATGGAGGTGAGGGCGAGAACACTGAAGAAACACCTCGACCAGCACCTAGCGCGAATGGACCTCGACTACGCATCGATGCCGAAGGCAACCTGGTTGTGGACGAAGACAGTTTGCGGATTGATCGCCAAGCTCAGGCTGAGCGAAACGCCGAAAACCTGGTCGTGACTGAAAATGACGATTTGACCAAACGTGTCAACCAGATGAGCTGGATCAACGAACGTCGACGCGATCCTACGGACCGCGTGCCTTTCTTCAAAATGAAGTCTGATCCCTGGAGTGACGAGGAGACAGATCGTTTCTACGAGGCTCTCCGTATGTTTGGCACGGACTTCTTTATCATCTCCAAAATGTTCGCACCCAAGACTCGTCGTCAGATTAAGCTGAAATTTATTCGCGAAGAACGACTGGATCCCGATCGCGTGAACCGTGCCTTGGCTGGTGACGCAGTTCCTATGAATCTCGAATCATTCGCAGAGGCTACTGGTCAGGAGCTCGGCGGGTTCAAGGATCCACGCGAATTGGAAGAGGAACTGAGGGTCGAGGGAGAAGAGCAGCGTGTAGAGATTGCTCGCAAGAAGAAAGAGATGGAAGAGGCCAAGGAACAAAGAGATATTCAAATGGCTGCTAGAGAAAAGGAGCAGGAAGAACGTGCAGCACAGAGACGCGAGAAAGCTGCCATGCGTCAAAACAGGCGCAGAGGAATCTTCGGCACTGGTACTTTCTGAGCGCGGATTTCTACTCATGAGGTACACACAGTCATTACCTGTACTTGCTAATAATCACGATGATACGCTATGGAACGAACAAATAAGAAACTTGTACACAACCCAAGGAAAGATTGCTCGAAGCAGCCAACAACTGCGCATTCGTTGATTTCGTGATTATGAGATCGTTTTGCTTGAACATGCCAGCAACCTAGCCGAACAACCAGTACGACTTGAGGCTAGCCAAGCAGAAAAGCATTAACACTCTGCAAAGTCGTCCGACTGGGGTTAGCATCCGGCTTAGCTACCGAGATCCAACTGAGTTTCTGTTTGATGTTCTGCTTGTTAAGCCCATTCGGTGGCTCCTTGACCTCCTCGCTTGGTCTTATTGTTCCGTCATCAGTGATGAACAAGCACAAGATCGCCAATGCAACACCCACTCCTTGATCCTTGCCATTGACATCTGCAACCACGATACGAGATGTTGGAGATGCAGCAAGTTGTGCTTTTATCAAGGTGATGAGGTTGGGTAAGCTGTGTCGTAGTTGTCGACTCCCTACTTTCCCGTCTGCAAGACTGAGGGGCAAGTATTGCGATTTCAGCATTAATCGCAAGACTTCGTTGTCTTTGGGCGATACTGTGATCACAATGTCTGTTTGCTTTGCATCTGTCTCCGCCGCATCGATTGTGCCGATCGCAACTCGCTTTTCAGGCCCGATCTCTGTGAGCCTCGCACCTTTGTTGCCAACGCCCTGAGCAACCAAACCTGCAATCACTTCTTCAATCATGTCTTCCGGTGTGGACAGCAAGGTTTCACTGTGTTGCCAGAAGAGAGGGGCTGTCAGCCCATGAGCCCATGCTTCAGCATCGTCCGCTGCGCCCTGAACGTATCCAGTCTCTGATGTCGACTCTGAGCCAGAAACGCGGGAGGACGCTGTAAGCAATACCACTGGATGAAATGAAGAGAAGTTTGGAGGAGATTCTGGAAGAGAAGACGTCGGTGTCACCCAGATAGGCCGTAATGGTTTGGTAAGTTTCTGCCGAACGATTGAAAGGTCAAGATCTAATGTCTTGAGCGACTCAACGAAACCCGGTATACGCGTGGCGATCTGGGCGTGTTCTGAAGCCCCTACTACTGTTGGTGGCGTGGCTACTCCATGACTCTCTGGTTGTTCGGGAAACAGGACACGGTTCATAACTGCTGTCCAAATGGGTATCGTCTTCGACAAAGCATCAGGCATGCTTTTGCCTCGCCGTGTAGAATCGACAATGATGCATCTGTTCCACATCAAATCAGATACAACACCTTGCCATTTGGAAGAAGTAGCAAAACATACCCATCAAACTTCCCTATCGTTTCCAAAACCTGCAGATTCAATCTCCTCAGACTGAAACTCCACTGTGCCATATGTCCGTCCGTGCTCTTGAAATAAGCACTCTGTTTCTTCTGTTCTGGCGAGATATACCAGCTTCCGCATCTCTCATTGGCTACTAGAGGTAATCCATATGCTGCAGCTACCTCGGATACAAAATTTGCATCTTGCTTGATAGAGCGGAGTCTGTTTGGTATGGATAACGTGCTTCTTTTTAGTTCTCCGAGGACTTTGTTGAAGGAATTGTTGCTTGCATTGTTGAAGATTAGGTCTGAGAGTTGAGGGTAGGATGCATTGCTTGAGTTTGTTTTTACATGGTTGTTGTTTCCTTCCATGTCTGATTCCAAGAAATTTTGCGTTTTCATGAGAAGATGTAGTTGCCCGGGCTTCTGGCTTTGAGATCACTCCTGCTATCTGTGTTCTTCTGACTGGATCTATGTTGTGAGATGTTGTGAGCGGATCTGCTATGGTCCAATTCGGTTTGCAGTTTTCAGACCTTATAAAAATGCTCTTGCTCGAGTGATTGATTTGGTATAAAATTATGCAAAGCACGGATGCACAACTCTCTACCGGCCTTTAGCCGGGAGCACCTTCTAACCTCAGGCCGTACCTGCATTTAATCCTTGTCTTGTTAGCGACCACAACATTGGCAAAGATATCTGAAAACTTCTGCAATAAAGTTTCAATAGCCCAAAGGCTTGCTAGACAAGCTCTTATATGTACGCCTGGTGCAAAGGCTCGAAGAAAACAGGTAGGTGTTGCCGTACTTGCATGGATTTCTAAAGTGTTTTGTAACAACACCGACACGGGAAGTCACCTTGGAAGACTGCTTTTTTCTGTCAGACCGCAGATCTGACTTTGTTGTCTGTTGTAAGTTTCGACATCGCGTAAACATATGCCCTTGCAACCTCATGAAAAAAAGACGGTACACCACTCACCCGTCCATGTCTGAGACGGTTGTCGATCGAATGAGAGACAAACACATTGGCTACTCGTGACCGACACCTCTTGTTGAATGGCAAATTTCAAGAGAGTCATATGGAGTTGACTTTTGCATCTTCTTCGACGCGTTATCCTAGTTCTCTGGAGCTCTTAAGCATTTATATTGCATAACGCACGAACACAGCAATGTAGATATCCTATCTGTTCGGAGATCTGACTGCTCAAGTTGCTGCGGATCCTTCTGGAAGTTCGAATGTGTTGTCCTGTCCAGAGAGACATGATCGTTGTACGGACGATAGTGTTTCAGATTCACTTCACTTTCACTTCACATTCGCGTGCGCCGCGTTGCTTTGTCTTCTTGTCGTCTCACAACATTCATCTTACTCTCAAATTCTTCCTCTTTCTCCCACACACTCATCGCATTCTTCAACCACTTTTTCGTCTCAACGATCACTTTAACAGCACTACATTCACACGATACAAGGACAAGACTCCATCAACAAGACAACAATGGCGCCCTGGAACGACACCGAGGACCGCCAGCTCCTTCTCTCTGTGATCTCTGTCGCTCAGGTCAACCCCAACTGGGAGGAGGTTTCTAAGCAGATGGGCAAGACCAAGGAGGCTGTTCGGTATCGAAATCCTCGCTTCCACTGCGATCTTTCACTGACTTGTTACTCCAGCCAGCGCTTCGCCAAACTCAAGAAGGAGGCCGGCGAGATTACTGCCAACGGTGCTGCTACTGATGACGGCTCTGCTGCCCCTCCTGCCACCGCCACCCCTACTCCTCGCAAGCGCAAGTCCAAGGCCAAGTCCAAGAAGGCCACTTCGGACGATGACGACGATGATGAAGGTACTCCCCTGACCAAGAAGACCAAGAAGTCTCAGAAGGTCATCAAGGCTGAGGATGAGGATGAGGAAGAGGCTGAGGCTTGAAGAGTAAGACCACTCTGCCACAAGATCATCTATTCATACTAATCATCCTTGCAGCTCTTGACACATCTTCACCTGAGGACATGGCTCTTCTGCCACCGCTGTTCTCTCATCGTCTATGCTCAAAGTTGTTTTAGAGGGAGGCAGGTTACAATTACTCTCGGAGTAACCAAGAAATACTTTCATGTTCTCAAACTTTCCCTTTGTGTCCCTGTATGTGAACTTTCGCTATGTCTATGCCATTGACAATGACCACCATTCGTTTCATACACGTCAGCATCTTCATGAGAGACGCTTCAGCAAACCTCAACCGATCAGTCAACTGGCCATGTCACTGTGCGGGAACCGAGTTTCTATCGCCCACTAAGGAGCGATGACTCTCTCTTTGGCCACGTCGCTGTTCTCAAATGTACTATGCCTTTCTATAGCAGACTGCTCTATGCTGTCGAGTAGGAGATTGTGATCGCAGACTCTAGCATCCAGGAGGTAGACACGTCAAGATGGAAGGGTCCTAGTAACTTCTGCTGTCGTAGGTGTTCATGATGAGGTAGTAGATGGGCTTCTGGCTATGGGAAATCAAGCCAACCTTGTATATCATGTCTTGAAGACGATACCAGGCAACATTAGTATCTCCTGCATGGTCATTTCGATGAGAGACTTCCTCAGGCGTCACAAGACATACTACTACAAGGAGATTGGGCTTGTAACGAGGCCTAACTGATGAAAATGCACAAGTCAGTCAAGTTTGGTACTCTGTTGTTTCGTTGGTATCAGCTACACTGACGGCTTGCTGAGAGCCTTTCTTCTCTATAACAACCAGACAGTATACCGGTTCCGAACGGCGCAACAACCAGGTCTATGGCGTTCTTCAATCAGGCTGAGGGCCGGTACATATCCATCTGTAATTCTTTGGAACGAATTGCCGATAACAGTCAGCGTAAATTCCCAAAAACCTGCGTCTTTACCAGAGTTTCAATCTTCAGATCAATCATTCAACAGAGCAGGCAAGAATACGAACGAGAACCGAGCTCACGAGTCATTACTACCAACTCTTCCACCTACGTTCACTTGAGTAATACATCGACGACTAAGGGATTGTCTCGGCTCTGGCTATTTATTCACATTTCTTGCCTCAATTTCCTCCCCTCTCTTCCATTCGCACACCCAAAACTTCACATCCACCATCACATCCAATCTTGTACTTGCTCTCTTGCTTGTCCAATCACATTTCTGTCTCACATCAAACCCAATTACCACTCATCTACCATTCAACATGCCTGCCGACTGGAAGAGCATCGAGAGCATTGAGCGTCTTGTCGCCGCCATCATCGCCTCGAACGGCGGTAAGGTAAGCAATCAAGTTTTCACTTTTATCTCTTGTCACTTCCGATTAACGTTCATATAGGTCGACAACCAGGCCGTTGCCCGCTACTTCAACGAGACCTACGACGCCATCGAGAACCGCACTCGCGTCTACAAGAAGGCCGCTCAGACTCTTGTCAAGGAGGCTGAGGAAGCTGGTCGTATGGGCATGAACATGAAGAAGGGCGCTGGAGGCAAGAAGGTTACTGCTACTCCCAAGAAGGACAGTAAGTTGTTCATTGCCACTGACACTCATTTCTCAACACATACTGATACAAGCCCAGCTGTCAAGACTGGCCGTGTCACCAAGCGCAAGACCCCTTCCAAGCTGAAGCGCGTCAACTCTGACGACGAGGACGAGGATGAAGACATGGGTAACGCTGGCACCACTGCCGGTGCTGCCGACGAGGAAGTCTAATCAAGCATCACACTCATCGATGAGCACTTGCATAAGATGTCTCATGCCACACTTCAACCAAAAGTCTACGGAGGAAGTTTAGAAGCGAGCAGACCTATATGAATAGGCCGGGCTCCACATAACGAAGCAATGTAGTCAAAGAACGAAGTCATCAATGAACCGAAATCAGAGCCGTGTTTGCTTTCTTGCCTCTTGTCGTGATGCTGTGCATAGTGGTTTGTGAAATATGTGATCAGACACGAGCGCGAGTTTGTCCAAATGCTGCGTTTGCAGCCGTGTTCATGTCCTTCACGCCGAATCTTACGAAATTTTTGGCTTTCCATTGTCGCCTTCCTTGTTCCAAATGTTGTTGTGCATTTCCAGCCCCATACGTCTCTAGCATGCCACTAATATATCATGCATTGTCATGGTTGTATGTTCCGAACTTAGCATACGGATAGTGTAAGATGCATGTCTCGTACCTGGTTGTAGCTTATATCTTACACTCTCACTGGGACTCTCACCGCTACTATGAAGCTCCATGGCATGCTAGAAATGCCTTCTTGGGAAAATATTCGAGGACAGGATCAATTAGTAAATTGGTCTATCATCTTTCGATTGACGCGCACTGGTGTCTTGCTTCTCCGTGGCATATCCAACAGACCACCGCGCCAGATCATCCTCCTCCATACCAGCATGATACGCGCCCTTTGGACCCGTTGATACCTTCGACTCTGATGGCACTGCACATGTCGCAACAACAATACCCTAGTAGGCAGTAATTCTTGCCTCAGCCGACGAACAGGACCGATCAGGATCAGGGAAAGACACAACATGGCTTGTTATCCTTTCAGCAACTGTCATGAGTGTCGCTATTGGATCAGCGGAAGATCGGGGTTGTCTCGTTTGCTGCCATCCTGTGCGAATAAGTCAGACCGATGCTCATATGAACTCCTCGCCCATTCCAGAAGGCACATCGATTCGAAGATACTGTTGCTTTCAAGAAAGTAAAGTAACTTTCTCACCTTGGTATCTTTTCAGAACAAAATTACACTTCCCCATTTGCCTCTGACAGCAGAGGAAATGGCAGAGGTTGAAGATGCTGTGATGAAGACGACGACTCGTAAGCTTGCAGGTGGTCCTGGGAGTCTTTCGGCGTTAGCTCCCAATCAGGGTCGGAGGAGAAGACAATAAGAGGTCATCGACAGTGGTTTCACTCGACATACATCCCGAACAGCACGCATGCAGCATCGATTTTGTACTGCGGTGATTCAGGATAAAATACGACTTCCCCATTCCCTGATGTATCCGTTCCCAGAAGGGTATGCTGCTAGTGGAGGTCTCGCTGTGTGGCCCAAGTCGCATTGTGGTTGTAGTCTTGATAAATACATTTTCTATAGAATGGCGGATTGCCGTGCTATGTATTCTACAAGCACACTGGCAATCCAACAAAACCAAGCAGAGTTATGCATCCTATGCACCTCCGTGTGGACGAGGAGATCTTGTACCGCCAGGATCTAACAACAAATGTGGCTTGATGAAGCCCTCGTCGATCCTCGAGAACAGAGTACCCGCATCTTCAGTCGTTGCATTCATCAATTGACTGAACGCTCCGCGAGCAGTGAGTTGGCCTGAATCCGCCTGACCTGCCTCCATAGCTCTGTCATCGGCGTATGGCGTATTTTCGCCAGATACCGTCGGGAATGTATCCTTGAGTGGTGATCGTCTAGCTGATGGTGGCAAGTCGAGCCCTGATTCATCATCGTCAGACGCATCTCCATTTTGGTCTGGATAAAGCAGACCTTGTTCGGCCGCAGCCTGCTCTCGTGCACTTCTGCTGCTTGCTCTTCTGCCAAGTCCATCACCAGGACGAATAGGAGGGCTACTGGCATTGCTAGTGCTGTAAAGAGCTGCTCTATTCGACCTGCTCTCTGCACGTGGTCGCCCATTTGCAACACTGGCCAGAGAAATACCGCCAACGCTTGAGCGAGGGTTGTGTCCGAAACCAGATCCACCCTTCTTAGAAAATGTGCCATTGGATCCTGGCACTACCTCAATATCGAATTCATCGTCACTGTCGATTTCTTCCACGACTCCAGTACGGATCTCTAGAATCTCCAGCATACGCGCCGTAGTGCCGCCAAAGATGATGACAGTCAAGACCACAACGACCAGCACAGTAGCACGCAATGCGAATCCGTTGGGACCTTGGAGGCCAGCAGCCAGAGCAACACCTACAGCACCGCGAAGACCAGCCCAGTAAAGCATCATCTGATGGTTCTTTGGCAAAACGTCGGCTTCCTCGCGGCCAAGCTTACGGGCTCTGTACCGGATGAAATAGTTGATAGCTTTCGATAGTGGGAAGACTGCGCAGTATCGAGCAACACAAATTCCAACCACAGTGACAAGAATGAACAGAGGCTTGTATTCCAGTCCAGCTTCTGTGAAGAGCGAAAGACCCAAGTAGATGAAGATGAAGTTCTCAGAGAGTTGGGCCATGACCTGGAAAATGAACTTTGTTGTTAGCTGCGTGCGACGAGACATATTGTGGTAAGCGTAGTGCTTCATGCAGATTCCGCAGAACAGGAGAGATACGATTCCTATTGCGAATAATTAGCTTTGCACTCTTGTCGAAGACTGTCACAACTCACCAGACATGTGGATGGCGTTAGAGAAGAAGTAGCACGCATATGCAATGAGAACGACGAGACAGCTCTCAATCTTTGGGAAGCGCCTGACAAGAGTATACTTGAGCAACAAACTCGTACCGATGCCGACGACCAGGCCAATCATCAAACTGCCAAAGAAGACAAGCAAGAAGACACCGATACTCTCGAAGAGACTCAAGATGGTCAAATGACCTTTGGCAGCACCCTCCCTGTATTTTTGAGCAGTCTCGAAGAGAACAATGGCGATGGCGTCGTTGAGAATTGACTCTCCGAAGATGACGGTGTAAAGTTGTGGGTCGACTTTGTAAGTGTTGAAAATGGCGAGGATGGTGACAGGATCGGTAGCGGAGAGAGTTGCGCCGACAGAGATGGCCTCGACAAAGGTGATGTCCAGACCCTCGAGAGGAATGCGGGTCCAGACGTAGAGGACTAGGCCCAGGACCATGGCAGAGATGAAAGTGCCGGCGAAAGCAAAAGTAAGAATGGTTCCAATATTGCGGAAGAAGTTCCCTTGGTGTAGTTCATAGCCCGAAGCTAGGATGATGGGTGGGAGGAGGAGGTTGAAGAAGAATTGGTAGTCGAAACTGACGGCGCCGAGTACGGATTGGGCAGCGGTGAGACGAAGAATAAGGCCAATGACCATTCCTAGAGAGAAGGCTTAGCAAATGGTACTCGGACACAGAGTGGTACGGGAGAGGCTACCTGCAAAGATGGACAAGACGGTCTCGTGTACGGCCTGGATCTTCCTCGTCTGGAGCATGTAACTTGTGAAGAGAGCGACAATGAGCAGCATGATGAGAATGAAGAGCGACCATGATGCAAAGATCTCTTTCTGGCCAGCCTCGGGCTCTGTAGCATCGTGTCAGTTGTCTTGTCGGGTAGAGCGAGTGGTGGGAGGATGGGTACCATCAGGGTCGGCGTCTGCAGCCTCGCGTCCTGAAGCGTTGCAGTTAGCATATCATTCAGATATGTAGAGGAGGAGAAATGGCATACTGATGAGCTCAAAGACGGTGTCGCGCAAGATTGAAGCCATGTTGTAGAGTAGGTAGGGTAGGTAGCGGGGCAGGTCAACTGCCTTTGGAGATTGTTATCGCATACGCATATACGGAGGGTTAAGTGACTAGAGACGTTCGGCTTGCACTCGAGTGCAGACCAAGAAACCCGACAGCACAGCGTGGGTGATATACGACAAAAGGGTTGATAGCTAAGGTCAGTCTCCCTTTCTGCCTGGAAACAGCTTCCACTCTGGACAGGTCTGGGCACGGACGACCAAGGACCAAGGTGGCCTAAGGGGACGGGAGAGCAGCGCGCGCGTCACACGTCCCCACAAGTAGGTTGTTTCGGCCCGCTGCTGATCTGGTGTCCATCTCGAGAACAGCGACCCTGTCCCTCGTGAGCCATGAATCCTGAATTGAGAGCTACGTCAGCTTTAGCACACAAAGACGTGGGCGAGGTGGGACAAGCACATGCTTGTTGAGCCGTCATCACTGTTTCTGTACATAAACGACAAAGCTGCTAAGCTATACGATTTCAGCGGTCCCTGAACAAGCCAAGTTCGATCCGAAGTCCTTCTTGACACGGCCAACGACGCTAGCCAACTCTCCCGCTATCATTCGACCCTTCCTTACCAACGTGCTCACCCACCTGCACTCGTGATCCACCTCCTGCTTCTCCAGTCATGCTGCTTGCTGTCGACGCTCTTTCCTACTAGCCATCCTATTCTGCGACACCCTTGTCCACCGCCAGAACCCAAAGCATCCCGACACGAGTCTTTGTTCATCATCCAGATCGCATGTGAATAGCCACCCCGCAATCTGATAAACACAACAAGATCCAGCGTCACCATCTCACCGCCTCCCTCGACTAATGTCGAACAATAGACCTCTCGCTTCGCCTCGGCCACGAGGCATTCTCAAAAATGCTTCCCACCACCGAGACTCTTACGATTCCAGGCCGAGCGCTTCCTTGGACATACAGAAAGAGCAGGAAGACCAGGATGAAACTTCCCCCTTGATACGCCCACGCTCCGAGAGCCTTGAATCTCCTCTCACCATCTCTTCCATGCCCTCGCCTGAGAACTCGGAGAACTGGGATAATGTCAACACCGAAGAAACAAAGAGCCAATGGTACCTGGTCCTCTTGACTCTGTCAATTGGTGGCCTCCAAATTGCCTGGTCTGTTGAGCTCTCCAATGGCTCGGTGAGTTTAGCATGACCTCGGCTGCTAGGTTTCTTGACTGACCACGTAACAGCCATATCTCCTCAGCTTAGGCATCAGCAAATCTCTTCTCGCCTTCGTCTGGATCGCTGGCCCATTGTCTGGTACACTGGTCCAGCCTTATGTCGGAATCAAGAGTGATAGATGCCGCTCGCCATGGGGAAAGAGACGTCCCTTCATCGTAGGGGGTGCTCTTGCAACCATCATATCTCTCGTTCTGCTAGCATGGACCAAGGAGATTGTACGAAACTTCTTTGGTCTCTTCAAAGTCGATGCCGAGTCCGAAACTGTTCACGTCGTTTCGATCGTGTGGGCCGTCAGCTTCATCTACATTCTCGATTTCTCCATCAACACCAGTACGTCTCGATCCCTGCCGCTGCTTAACACTTTGCTGATGATGCCTCTCCTCAGTCCAAGCTGCGATTCGCGCTTTCATAGTAGACAATGCGCCGACCCATCAGCAAAATGATGCTAATGCATGGGCTTCTCGTATGTCCGGCTTTGGCAATATTCTAGGTTATCTTTCGGGCTACGTCAATCTGCCAAAGTATCTTGGCTTCTTTGGAAACACGCAATTCAAGGTCCTCTGTGTCATCGCAGTTTTGGCCTTGGGCATCACGGTTGGAATTTCCTGCGTCAGCATCAAGGAGCGAGACCCTAGGCTCGAGGGCACTCCGCCACCACAGAAGGGAGGCGTCTTGTCCTTCTTTGTGGAACTATACCGCTCTATGAAGCGTCTACCTCCGCAAGTCCGAAAAGTTTGTGCTGTTCAATTCTTCGCCTGGATCGGCTGGTTCCCCTTCCTCTTCTACATCACTACCTACATTGGCGAGATCTATGTTGAGCCTTACTTTGCTGAGAACCCGCACATGTCGCCCAAGGAGATTGATGCCACCTGGGAGCGTGCAACTCGTATTGGCACTTTTGCATTATTGATCTTCGCCTTCACGAACCTGGCTGCTGCAGTAGTTCTGCCCTTGTTGATTGCTCCTGGTTTTCAGCCACCATCCCCTGCTCCTCAAACCCCACTCACACCCCGCGCTTTTACCCCTACTACGCCTCGATCCATGACTGGCAGCGATTACTTTGCCTACACGCCGCAACACTCTACAAGCAAGCTCAACCTGTCAGAGCCCAGCCGTTGGGAGCGAATCAAGAGCAGCATGCCCTCTGTTCAGATGAGTGCTTTCACGCTTCGCCGTGCCTGGATTCTGTCGCATCTGTTGTTTGCTGGTGCTACCTTCTTGACCTTCTTCGTCCATGACACAACTACTGCTACTGTGCTTGTTGCCTTTATCGGTATCCCATGGGCGCTGAGCAACTGGGCTCCTTTTGCGCTTATCGCCGCTGAAATCTCGAAGCGAGAAGCTATTCGTCGTAACGAAATTCCTGCTCCGGCCACTGCTGAGGGCCAAGCTCTGGCCAATGGAGAAGATCCGGCCGAGGGTGCAGATCAAGCTGGAGTCATCCTTGGTATCCACAATGTCGCTATCGCTGCACCTCAGGTCATTGCAACGCTTGTATCAAGCGCCATCTTCAAGCTACTGCAAAAGCCTCGTGGCACGCCCGGCGACGACAGTGTTGCCTGGGTTTTGAGATTCGGTGGTCTTGCCGCGCTTGTCGCTGCTTTCTTGACCACACGTATCGCAGAAGAAGGCCAGGAGGACGAAGAGCTGTAGGTCGTACATTCGGCAATACAGACGACAATTTTCACCTAAAGGATATGCATAACTGCTTTGTTGGAGTTGGTTGGTTCTGTTTCTTAAGATACCTTTTTCCTTGACTCTAACTCTGTTCCCTACCACTTTTGCACCTCTACATAGCACGATGCACGGAGAAATGATACATGAACGTTCAAGACCATTATGATCGTACCTTGAGGCATTGGCTGGGCAACATATCTACACTCACATTTCCCTTTACGAGAGAACAGCGAAAGTTGTTGAGGTAACGAGGATTGCTCAACCTATCGAATCTCTGGCCTATTGTACAGACCGTGTGATCACCATATTGATCATCTCGAACGCCGAATTGACTCAGACTCGACTTGATCTTCCTCTTCTCCGTCACCGAATCGGTTGTGCTTCACTCGTGCATGATCAGACCCGACTCTTCCAACACACTTCTCTCACTCTCCATCGACTCCGTCTTCCTTGTCTCTTGTCACAGTTCTTCTCCCTCCTTTCACTCTCTTCTTTCTCCTTCCTCAGTCTTCCTATATAAACTCTTCTCCCTCGACTCTTCCTCTCTTTTCCTTACATTCCACGCCACCTTCATCCAACTCTCATCAACCACTCTTCTACATACAACCTACTCATAACAACACGTCCACTTAGGCGCGTCCATCTATCGACGCGGACTCCACTCTTCCTCTTCTCACACCAAGCAAACAACAAAGAACGTCTACAAGATGGTTGTCAAGTGGAGCAGCGAGAAGGACCAGTTCATCTTGTGCCACATCCTTGAGGACAAGGGCATCAAAATCAGCAACGATGTTCTCGACTCCATGATTGCTGCCTGGCGTATGTATTCTATTTCTTCACGTCCTCCTTTGTTTTCCTTGACCCGTCATCAAGACTTTCTTCCTTCACTCTGTCTATCTGCCCTCTTCATCTTGCACTTTACTTTATCTCCACCCATATTAATCCTTCCCTCTCTCACCTGTCTTCACGATACCATAGCAACCATTCATGACTTCCATCAAGATCTTGACTGACCCATCCCAGCCAGCTCCTTCGGCGACCCACCCACCAGAAAAGCCTTCACCGAACACTTCTCCAAGATTCGCAAGACCAACAAGGTCATCGCTGGAGGCGCCGCCACCGCCCCAAACACTCCCACCGTCGCCGCCGCCAAGAAGAGAAAGACCCTCGCCAGCAAGACCCCTGCAAAGCGCAAGGCCCAGATCACCTCCGACTCCGACGATGAAGAAACCCCTCTGCCCAAAAAGACCCCCGCCAAGCGCAGAAAGAACATTGCTGCTGAGGACTCTGATGAGGACATGGAGAAGGAGATGAAGGACTTGGGCGTTAAGGTTAAGGATGAACCTGTTGATGAGGAGGACAGCCCTACCAAGAAACCTGCTCGTCGTACCAAGGCAGAGGTTCAGTATGCTGAGAGCGATGATGGCGAGGCCAGTCACCCTGAGGATGCTGATGAGGAGTATGTCGACAAGCAGGTTGTTGCTCACATGACTGCTTACCTCAACACTCCTGATTCTGGCGATGAGGGTGCCGAAGTCTGAAGGATACAACTTTGAGACTCGCTTGAGATTCGACTGTTCAGGAGAAAGGAAGGCTGCAAGGGCTGCGGAAGGGAGGATAAGGAATTGTACCAATAGAAGAGAGACATGCACAAGAAGAGGTAGAGCGAAAGGAAGCTCCCAATGAAATATGAAGAGAACTTTGATCGAAAATTGCTTTTTTTGCGTCCTTGTTCGTGCATAGTATGTTCCCAATCTGCTTGATCCTTACTTGTGTACACTTTGTTGTGATTGTTGTTGTGGTATCTGCTTGCGACTCGCCGTCGACAGGTAGCTCAGTTCAACCCTCTGTCTTGGAAACAACAAAACAGATTCTTTTGGTCTCTCCGTAAGGTCTGTGTATTTCATTCTCTGTTGTGTAGTGTGCTAGGGATAAGTCACTGTCAGCCGTTGACCAGACACTGAAAGTATCAATAGCCACCAGTAGGCTATGCTAGTCTTATCTTTTCTCCTCCACTCGCTGAGTTGTTTAGTGTATGCCGTTGTCGATATGCAAGACCGACTCCAATGGAAGCTTGTCGGGCAATTGGTTGATCAGAAAGACCGCTCGATGAGACTGATTCTGCTTCCTCAGCTTCTGACCAAGTCTACGTAGCGACGACCAAGACCATCAAAGCGTCTCCAACATCTCCAGAAGCGTGCTGGTTCAAGATGAAGCAGTCGTGCGATGCCGTTGATATTCTGCGAAGCTGAGTGGGTCTAAACCAAGCAGTGAGATGTTAGCTCATGAGCCTCCCCCTATGGTAGTGAGAGGTTGATGTTTCTTACCATTCCTGGAGAGCCAGAGCCCGTCATGACCTCGTCCCCTGTCCTCAAGAGTTCATCCAGTGTAAGTTCATGTTTGAGAGGGCTGCCTCCTGAGATGGGCCTGCCTCGCTTGAGATGCTTTCGCTTCTTGTGCGATGGTAGATCCTGTCGTGCTCGTCTGATTTGGAGGAAGCCCCGTTTGAAGGTGCGCTGACAAGGGCCACATCTTTGTTGAGTGCGAAGAACGATATTCGATGTACTCTTGCAGGCTGCCTTGGAAACAAGCTTTGGGGGAGGTGAAGGGGATGCAGAGTCGTTACTCGATGGTGATGAAGATGTACTTGTCTTGTCTGATGTTCGCTCCAGAGTTCTACCTCTGCTCGGTTTATCGTCGTCGCTCTTGCTGTTGTCGACTCTTGTCTTTGAACGGTTCTTGGTCTTAGTCGTCCTTTTTGTGACCCAAATGGTACTGCGGCATGTCGAGCGGTGGAATTGCGCAAAGTGGTTGCAAGAGTAATGGATTGAGACCGTGTTGCACATGGTTGACAATGTCTGGCAGGTTGATAGGAAGATCAATGATTGCTGAAGATGCTCAAATAATGAGAATGGCGAGTGTGCAGTCTTCCTGTTGGCAGATGTCAAGATACCAAAGAGGTGATATCGTCACACAGAATGACGGCTCAAATGTGAATGAAACATGAAGCGGTATTGTCGTGGACAATAGTTGCTTGGATACGACTGCTAGTGCGCGCCTTCCTTAAGTGTGATTAGAAGGCATGCTCTGACACGCGCCTTCCTTGACGACTTGTTTCAAGCCATTGGTCGTCATGTCAGATCCAAGTCATTTTGTTGTCTTTCACACCTAGACTAGCGACTCTTGAGCTTCGCCTCAGTCTTCGAATTCTCTTTCTGTCTTACAATGCTCAGACATCGACGTGCTAGTCATGGCAGGTTTGGCTTGCTACAATTCAATTGCTTTGAGCGTCATCTACCAAGAAGAGCCGATTGATCGTTCTCTAAGGAACACATCTATGGCACGTAACAGTTTTACACTATCGCAGCTTCAATATCTTTCTGCGTGCCTGTGGAACGTGGACTATAAATCAGTCTTTAGTACGGCAACGCTACAAGACAATGAATCTGGGGCCATAAGATTTAGATTGTTTTCAGAGAATTACATGAGACGGAAATCTTACTCACAAACACCCCTGCCCGGAAGCCAATACACGGCAGATCGCAGAAGCGAACATTTGGCGGAGAGAAGAGGATCGCAATAATTTACATTGATGGCTTGCTTGAATCAGGCAGGGACTGACGCCCATGAAAGTTGCGCAACATCGACACTGTACAGATGATTGCCACATTGTCACCCATTCTTGCGAATCAGGTATGTACAGTTTATGATGCACCGAGACCGCTGCTGGGCTCTTCAGCAGCGCTTCTATCTGAGTCGGAGCGGTTTTGAGGACGGCTGAGAGCCTCGAAGTTGCCTATGGAATGGGTTATTTCATCACGTAAGTCTTAGAAGAACCGAGACTTGTCTTACGCTGAACGAGGTTGAGGCGAGTCTGGGTGGAGCCATCTTGGCCCTGGAATGTGTCCATACGAGCATCGGCCTCAAGATAAAGAAGAGTACTGGATGAACATCAGCATCGAGGAGGAAGCAGTTGAATCAGGAGGATCGATGTCTCACCCCTTGGGCAGGTTCAGGAGCACATCTCTGCCAGGACCCTCGGTGAAACTGGCGACTCTGAACCAGCTGGTTTGTCTCTCGCCGTTCTCGTTCTTAGGGCCACTCTTGACACCGAGAGCATACCGCACCATCTCGCGACCGGTGGATGTGGGAGTGAGCTCGGGCTGGTCGGCGAGACGGCCAATGATTTGCATACGGGCCAGCGAATGGGCAGGCGAAGTGGAGAAGGCGCGAGCGCCATTGAGTGCGCGAGGGACAGAGCGAGCGGCGAACATTGTGATGCGAATGGTTGTGTATGAGAGGTGCAGAGCGAAGCTGTCGAGCTCGCAGGTCTAGAAGACGCGCGACGTGCGTGATGCGCCAAGCATCAATTAACCAACCCGCGCGATGACATGGGACCTTTGGGATTCATCTATACCATCCGTACGGGTTTCATGCATACAATCAATGACTTGTCATACGCAATGATATAGTCAAAGTCCAATTCTGATCTCATGGCCTACGACCCTTCAGGCGGCTATGCCGCTGCCGCCAGTAACATCCCGGACGCCTATGACCCCTCGCTGCCCGTCTTCGATGTACAGCGAGTCCAGCTCCGCTTCGATATCTCGTCCGACTTCGTCGCCGCCCAAGTCGCCAACAACGTTCTGATCCTCGCCCTCTCTACTGGCCGTATCCTGCGATTTGATCTTGACAGTCCCGAGGACATTGACGACATCGACCTTCCCAAGAAACCTTCCGAAATTGGTGTCATCCGCCGTCTATTCCTGGACCCTTCAGCCTCGCATCTTGTCATCTCGACCACTCAAGGCGAAAACTACTATCTACACACCCAGTCTCGCACTCCAAAGCCGTTGGCCCGCCTGAAAGGCGTCCAGATTGAATCCATTGCTTGGAACCCGTCGCAACCGACTGCTTCCACCAGAGAGATCTTGATAGGTGCTTCCGATGGCAACATCTACGAAACATACATCGAGCCCAGTACCGAGTTCTACAGAAGAGAAGAAAAGTATCTGAAGACCTTATATAACGTACATGATGGTCCCATTGTTGGTCTGTCCGTCGATATCACCTCCGATGCGCGCAGTGTTCTGGTGGCCACCCCTACACGGTTGTTGCTCTTTGTAGGCAAAGGCGGTCGTCAAGACAGTGGTTCAATCTATCCTAGGCTTCTTGAGCGGGAAACACCTGTGATACATCATCTCAAGGATGCGACTTCAGGTCCCTCAACTTTGGTCAGCATCTCTGAGCCGGCAGATGCGTCCCTGTCAGAGTCTGCGCAGGAGAATGTCTTTGCTTGGCTTAGTTCTCAAGGTGTTCTGCATGGGGACTTTGCTGCTTTGGTTAAAAATGCAGAAAATGATCCGTTCTCATCAGCGAAATTGTTACCAAAGTCGACCATACCTCCTTCTCAGACCTCCGGAGGCCGTAACAAGCCATCAATGGAGCCCGTCTCATCCATATCCTTGACACAATTCCACATCCTCCATTTGATCGAAGGTCGTGTGGTGGCGATCAACAGACTTGATGGCAGCCTGGTGTATGATCAGCTTGTTCTAGAACCTGGCAATGCGCCGCTAGGTCTTTATGCAGACCATAAGAAGAACACATATTGGCTTTTCACTCAGCGTGAGATCTTTGAAGTCGTTGTAACGGATGAAGCCAGGGATGTGTGGAAAATCATGCTCCGAAATGAGCAATTCGATGCGGCATCGCGCTACGCCAAGACTGCAGCGCAGAAAGATGTTGTTGCTACCGCATCTGGAGATCATTTGGTGTCCCGAGGTCGCTTCTCAGAAGCTGCCACTGTATATGGCAGGAGCACAAAGCCATTTGAAGAAGTCGCGCTCACCTTTATTGACCAGGGAGAACAAGATGCCCTGAGAAAGTACCTCTTGACAAAACTCTCCGTCCTCAAGAGATCCTCAACTATGCAGAGAATTATGGTCGCCAGTTGGTTGGTTGAGCTTTTCATGGCAAAGTTGAACCTCTTGGACGATACTATCTCGGCCAAAGCAGAACTCTCTGAAGCAGCTCCTATCGCCAATGTACAAGAAGACTTACCTTCTATGCGCCGCGAATTCCAGGAGTTTGTCTCCAAGTACAAATCGGACCTGGATAGAAAGACCACCTATGAGCTGATCAGTAGCCATGGTCGAGAAGAGGAATTACTCTATTTCGCAAACGTTATCGATGACTTTAACTATGTTCTGTCATACTGGGTGCAGAGAGAACGATGGCAAGAGGCTATGTCGGTTCTCAAAAAGCAAACAGATCCAGAGATTTTCTATCAGTACAGCAGTGTGCTTATGACGCATGTCGCTGTGGAGCTTGTGGAAGTCATGATGCGACAAAACAATCTAGAGGCTAACAAACTAATCCCGGCTCTGCTCAATTACAACAAAACCGCGGACGTCTCACTAAATCAGGTAAGCAATGCAAAAGACTATACTGTAAATCCAGGCTGATCAGTCCATCAGAATCAAGCCGTTCGCTATCTCCAGTTCTGCATCAATCAAAGACATTCAACGGAGACTGCAGTCCACAACACTCTAGTTTCCATCTACGCTGCACACCCGACACAAGATGAAACTGCACTCTTCCAGTATCTTCAGACACAAAGTGCTTCTCATGAGCAAAATTACGATGCGGACTTTGCTCTTCGTCTCTGTATTGCCCACCAGCGTGTTCAGTCGTGTGTGCACATCTACTGCACTATGAACCAATATGCTCAAGCCGTGGACATGGCGCTCAAGCACGATCAAATGGATCTGGCTGCAAACGTCGCCGATCGACCTGGAAACGATCCAGCTCTGCGCAAGAAGTTGTGGTTGAAGGTTGCCAAAAAGGTTATTGGCCAGAGCAAAGGTATCAAGGCTGCCATGGACTTCCTCAAGCGCTGCGAATTATTACGCATCGAAGACTTGATTCCTTTCTTCCCAGACTTTGTGGTCATTGATGATTTCAAGGAAGAGATTTGCGCTGCTCTCGAAGAATACTCACGCCAGATCGAGGGATTGAAGCGAGAAATGGACGAAAGTGCGAACACGGCGCAACACATCAAAGAGGATATTAAGTCCCTCGACCAAAGATATGCCATTGTCGAACCTGGCGAGAAGTGCTGGAGCTGCAGGCTTCCACTGTTGATGCGCCAGTTCTTTGTGTTCCCTTGTCAGCACTCTTTCCACGCCGATTGCCTTGGCAAGATGGTGCTGCAGAGCGTTGGTATGGGCAAAGGCAAGCGCATCAAGGAACTACAGACCGAAGTCGGCCGAGCTGTTGTCACAGGCAAGAAACGAGAACGTATGGTCAAAGAGCTGGATGCCCTTGTCGCCGGCGCTTGGTAAGTCAGATCCTGTTAGCCCTGTAAACAGCCTGCTAACACATTATCTAGTGTTCTCTGCAGTGAGATGGCCGTCAAACGCATTGACGAGCCCTTTGTGACCGCCAGCGATAACAAGAACGAGTGGGCCATCTAGGACTGGACGCCTAATATAACAACGCTCACCGATACCCCTGTATACAAATGTAATTTCCAGCCACTGCTTCAACTGTTTTCTCGGTCAACGTGCCATGCCCATAGTCCATCGCAACTTCAGTGTGGAAAGTTTGGTGTGAATGTTCATGCCAATATCCCTCGTTAGTTCAATATAGGGTTGATTGGAGTGGATATAAGCGAGCTTTTGCGGGTTCCCAAGTCTTGGTGCCTCGGTGGGTCAAGTCATGAAGCTTGTAGACGTTCAAGACCTAGATACGAAAATCACACGGCATGCTGTTCCCGCTACAAACCTACTAGTCGACTGACATTTGCATGTAAAAGGAGATTGTCAAGCAACAATCATGTGATATCGGTGCTATGATCTCTAGAGTTCCAAGACCGTTTCCCTAGATCTATCATTGGATCAGATATTCTGGTCAACTTCCTGTCGCCGACCCTCGAAGAGATGATCTCTTTTGAACCTGTCTGTCAGATCGACGCAGAAAAAATCTTGCTGCGTCTACCACGTGCGCGATCGACGTCGTCGTAGCAGAGCCGTGGCCCGTCGGCCGAAAAGATGGCAATACCGCTACAACCTGCCGTTCAATCGGTTCTGACGGCTGCGGACCTCCCGAGGACGATGGCAGTGTTATCAGCGAATCGGGCCGAAAGGAACCACCAGCTATTGGGGGTGTGCCAGAAAATTATTCGGAGACCCCAAAGTTGCTCCAAGGAAAAAAGTGGTGCTGGGTGGTGGAGGACCACAAAACCCCAAGCCCCGGCTAAAGACGATTCAAGGTTAGGTTTGTCAGGGAAGCCACGGTGTCATGGAGATGCCTCAGGTACGAGGACTTGTCTTTGATATTCGAAGTTTACAGTGTCTGGTCAAGCAGATAATAAAAAGGATGTTCAAGCAGTTTTCGTCACCTGTCGCGGGTCATGTTAACATCCTGATTCCTCAGGAAGTGGGATGTCGATGATATCAAGGCGGAGGCTGGCGCCACGTCCGCTGGAGATGCTTGTGCGCAAGCCAACCGCGGGCAAGGCGTCTTTTGCGTTCTTGGCGCTATGACGCTTTTTCGTACCCATAAGATCTATTCCTCGGGTTCGCTATGTAACGTTGTATGAAGGAACGATCGGTAACGGAAACATTCCCTTGATTATTGATTTTGCCCGTCGTCATGAACCATGATATCGTCTAGAGACTAGTATAGTATGCCTAGAGCACACTATACGCTCGAAGATCTCAGTGAGTCTGCTTCGTTATGGTCTGATGTCTTAACAACAAACTCATATTATAAACCTGATCTGTATTCTTGAGCGCAAGGACTTTAGAATTCCGTGCCAAAACCCTCAAACTAAAGCCATGTGGGTCTTCGGTCACCGGGTCACATCGCAAGTTGCGGGCAGAGTTTTGCGGTTACTTGCAAGGCTCAGAGTAAGATCCGCGACTCCGTCGACTCCGTATCGAACTGTTGGGTGACATCATGCTCCTTCCTTCGAAATTCAAAACGGCCATATAAAGACCATAAGATCTTTCCCTTGCGTACCTTCCCCACCATATTTTCCCTTCCCCGGTCTCCCCAGTATTCATCTGACGGCTGCACCTGACCGTCGAACATCTGGAGAACATACATATTATCTGAGATTATTTATCTTACACCGTCTCAGGTGTTCTCAGTAACGACTATTATATCTTTTTAATCGAACACCGCTCGACATGGCCGGCATGTTCGAGAACGAAAAGGTCGAGAACCCGGACTCGTCTGAGCCCTCGATCGAACGCAGAGTCGACAACTCCGAAGTACCAACCGGCAAGAAGGAGACAGGCAACGGGTACGGCGGCGATGGCGACAAAATCATCTTGACAGAAGATGACTGCTACGAAGAGCTCGGCTTCTGCTTTCCAACCTGGAAGAAGTGGATGATTCTTACTGTCATCTTCATCGTCCAGGTCTCAATGAACTTCAACACCAGTCTTTACAGCAACGCCATTACTGGTATGACCGAAGAGTTCAACATCAGTGCTCAGGCTGCTCGTTGTGGTGCTATGGTCTTCCTGGTTCTCTACGCCTTTGGTTGTGAGCTTTGGGCCCCCTGGTCCGAGGAGCTTGGAAGATGGCCTATTCTCCAGCTCAGTTTGTTCCTCGTCAACATCTGGCAAATCCCTGTCGGTGTCGCACAGAACTTCGGAACTGTCATGGCTGGCCGTGCCCTTGGCGGTTTGTCTTCTGCTGGTGGTTCGGTCACACTTGGCATGATTGCTGATATGTGGGAGGCCGACGAACAGCAATATGCTGTTGCTTACATCGTCTTCTCCTCGGTCGGCGGTTCGGTCCTTGGTCCCGTAGTCGGTGGATTTATTGAGCAATATGCTGATTGGTAAGTCTGGCCTTGACCCACATCACGACCCTCATCACTAACACTAAACAGGCGATGGAACATCTGGGTCCAATTGATCTTCGGTGGCTTCGTTCAGGCTCTTCACTTCTTCTTGGTCCCTGAAACCAGAACCAGTATCATGTTGAACAAAATCGCTAAGAAGCGTCGCGCGGCTGGCGAGACCAACGTTTACGGTCCTACCGAATTGATTCCCTGGAAGGACCGCTTCTCTGCAAAGGAGATTATTATTACCTGGATCCGACCTTTCAAGATGTTCTTGACTGAGCCCATCGTCCTTACCCTCTCGCTGCTTTCTGGTTTCAGTGATGCCCTGATCTTCATGTTCTTGCAGTCATACTCTCTCGTCTATGGACAGTGGGGCTTCTCTGCCTATGAAACTGGTCTTGCCTTCCTGCCTCTTCTTATTGGATACTTCATCGCCTGGTTCTCCTTCTTCCCTGCCATCGCTAAGAACAAGAAGGAACGACGCGATAAACCCAATGATGAGCACGCTCAGTATGAATCGCGTCTTTGGTGGTTGCTCTTCACCGTACCCTGCCTACCCATTGGTTTGTTCGGTTTCGCATGGACCAGTGGCGGACCCCCAATTCACTGGATCGGCTCCATGATCTTCAGTGCTGTTATTGGTATTGCCAACTACTCCATCTACATGGCCACCATCGACTACATGATCTGCGCCTACGGTCCTTACTCAGCCTCTGCCACTGGTGGTAACGGATGGTCTCGTGACTTCCTTGCTGGTGTCCTGACTGTTCCTGCCACTCCCTTCTACACCAACATTGGTGGCAAGGATCACTTGCAGTATGCTTCGACCATCCTGGCTTGTATCGCCTGTCTGCTCGTCGTTTCGGTCTACGTCATCTACTGGAAGGGACCTGTTCTCCGCAAGCGTTCGCCCTTCGCCCAGCAGCTGTCTTCTGCTCGCGAGGAGCACGGTGGAAGAAGAGCTTCGGCCATCTACGGCCCCAGCAGAAACAACTCGATGGCTGGAGCTTCAGTCAAGTCAAGTTCGTCTAACAGACAGTCTGTCTAGACTCTGACAACCAAAAGGACTTACTGTAATATTATCACGACTTGTTTTGTTTTGTCATAGAAGACTAGATACCCAATTATCAACTTTAACTATTTTAATCACGATTTTTCACATGTCTTGTGCTCTATCTGGTTCACATGACAGCGATGACGGCAAGAACTGAGACTACTACTGGTATAAGTGTTGATTCTTTGTTTGATACTGGTTGCTATACATGAGATGGATCGACAAGAACAAATTTGGAAAAACGCTAGATAGAAACGCCCACCGCTAAGGCTGATGATAAAAAGAAAAGCCATATTCATGTTTAGCAAGAACAATGATTTGAGAAAAAAGACATGCAAGCTAATAACACTACTCCATGTCTGATGGTGCATCGCTCAACTCCGAGTCACTGGCAACGCCGTTCTTCTTTCTTCTGCTTGACCTCTTAGGAGCTGCAGCGGGAGGTGCTTTCTTGCCCTTAGCGCCAGCACGACCTGATCGTCTTGTTGGAGGTGCTTCTGGTGCTGGTGGTTCGACCTCTTCTTCCGGCTCCTCTACCTCAGCTGCTTCTTGTTCGGCTTCGTCGCTTGCTGCTTCTGCCTGTTCTGGCTCTTGCTCTTCAGCGTCATCCATCTCTTGGTCTTCGACGTCGCTTTCCTCGTCGTTGCTATCGTCTTCGTCAGCGCCATCGAAGCCATCGGCTTCCTCTTCGCTGTCGCTCTGCTCGAGGTAGCTCTTCGCTCCCGATTTGCGCGAGCTACGACGAACCTCGCTCGCGGGCACAGAAGCCGTAGCGTTGGAGGCTCTGCTCTTCTTGGGCGTCTTGACGCTCTTGGCTTTTTTCGTCGTCGGCTTGGAAGACTTGCCCTCACTTGCTCTAGCTCGCTTCTTGGCTTGAGTGTTTGTGCTCTCAGACTTGCGCTTCTTGGTGCGCAGACGATCTCTGACCAGATCTTCAATTTTGTCCATCAGCTGTTCCGGTACGTATTGCTTCTCGGCGATTTCTTGAGCCACTGCATGATTGGGGAGGGCTGCAAAGAGACCGCTGGGGAGACGAGGTTTGCCTGACCATACTGACATCGACCAGCCCTGCAGTTCCTGATATCTATGGATGACAGCCTGCGCAATGTCTGACAGACAGTATAGATTCTCGCTCTTGCTTTCGTCAATGCCGTCCCGAACAGACTTCATTCTTTGAGCGATGTGGTAGATCAAAGCGATATTTGCTGGCGTAGCAACAGTCTTCAGATAGAACATCATGTAGTCAACAAAGTCTTGCAGGTCATCCACCTCCATTGAGAAATCCGGGTGATGAGCGAGGAGACTGATTAAGCGTGCGAAGGTGGCCTCCATGACAGTTTCGTTGGATTTGGCAAACGCTGCAGCACGACCCTTCAGCCATGTTGACGCCGGGTTCTTTATCGCTGCATTGGGCTCAAAAGCATAAACAAACACTAAAGTGTAGAAGCGTTGTGGAAGTCTACCTTGGCCGAGATACTTCTTGATGGCGTCCGCGAACGCAGAGCGGATCTCGGGCAGAGGATCCTGAGCAATAACGAAGAGACGGTTGAAGTTCTTGGGCTCCATCAGTGCGTCGAACCGTTTGTGTGCACTGCAAAGTTTGAGTAGTAAGATAGCAGCTGTCAGTCGCAAGCGTGCCCTGTGGGGCTTGGGAGTTTCGCTCTGCGTCTTAGACAGCTCACCATCTTTGTCAACAACCCGGTTCAAAAGCTTGAAGACTGGAAGCGCTAGCTCTGTAACCACAGACTCAATTTCGCTGTCGGGCACAGACATAGCATAAGATCTGAGTCGGTTTGCTAAGATCTTGAGAGCCCAAATCTTGGCTTCGCATTCATCGTCCGGAACCTCTTGCCATTCCACATCGTCTGACTTGGCTTCTGTGCGTACCTGCAAGATCACCTTCTGGATTGCGATCTCCAAGATGTTATCATGTTCGTCCTCTGTATCTTTGGCAGACAAAAGCATAAGTTGACTGAGCGCGGCCAGTTTGGAGAGATAGCCTTCTTCCCCGTACTCGAAGCCTTGCACACACTTGGTGACAATGTCTTTGACGTACATGTCCTTCTTCTCATCCGCAGCAACAATGACAGAAACCGCATGCTTTGCAGCTATTGGTGGCTTTCCATGGAGAGCAAATTGGACCATAGCTTGCAGGAAGGCACGCTCACGAGGAATCTCTTGGGGATATCTCTGCGCAAAGCCTGCGCACGCTTTCAATGTTTCGACAACTCCAGAATCAGACGGTCTATCCTTTGATGGCACTTGCTCCTGCAGTGCAGTGCACAAGCTGCGCACATGCGCCTTGAAGACCTCGGGGTTGTGGGTCGAGATCTCCCTGAGCACTTCGTGTGCAGATGAACCAAGACCCTTGTCCTCTGTACGAGAGATGTCGACTATTGTGGGGACATGACTCTTGCTGTACACCAATACGCTGGCTTGATAGATTATAGGGAGAATGGTCGTCAATATCGCTGGAGTATGACCAGTTTGTTCTTCAACACGTTTTGTCAGTTCCTTGATAGCATTGACGACCTTCTTGTACTCGCTATCAGGATTTATCGCGAATCGAATAAGCTGATAGCACCTCCTATCGTGCTTTTTAGCAAACTTCCAGAGGTGGTCGTTGGCTACAAGAGGTTCAGGACGCTCTCGCGCAAAGAACTCTATCAATTTGGACAGTGAGCCACTACCTTCCTTGCCATTCTTTGCGTTGACGCCTCCGTTATAGTCTTCGCAGCGTTTTAAGAATGCCTCCAAATATTGCGCCCTCTTGGTTTGTCTAGCCTGGAAAGTGAAGAACACTGTCTTAGCCTTCTGCTCGAGGTCCCGAACTAGCACCAAGATTCGCTCAGCACGAATAGCATCTGGGCTTGGTGCCTTCTCAACTTGCGAAGCCGGTACCTGGCTATCCTTGACACGTTGAGAATCGCCATTTGAGGTGGACTTGTTCTTGATAGGAGGAAAGCTTATAGGCAGCAGTGAATCGTAAAGAACTTGTTGAACCAGTGCAGTGATCTCGCGATCATTGATGTAGATGGCATCAAAAATGCGCGAAGGGATCGCCCCAAGAAGCATGCGGACTCTTTCGTTTCCTTCAATGATAGCGCCCGCAGCAACACCCCAGATTCGACCAAGTAGAGACATGGCCTCTGCGCGAACGTTGTGCTTGCGGTCCTTGATTCTGTCGGCCAGGTTTGATAAGACAGAATCAGGAGTGGTGACACTGCCGCTGGAGCCTATGCGTTGCACAATGGTCTCGAAGTCACAGCGACCGATAGCCTGCACAGCAGCAAGACGAACGTGATCATCGGTGTCCACAAGCATATCGGAGATGTACCTGAGCAGAGCATTTTCCTCCTTCGGGTCGAGGCCAACACCGCCGGCAGAAGTGGCCAAAATGCGACCCGCACAAGTCACCCAGACAGAACGGACTCGAGGTGATTTGTCATTGCGACGATTGAGAAAGCCTTGGTATGTAGAGGCGTGAACCGAGGAGAATGCGTGAGGAGCGGCTGGTGTTGTGAGGAAATTGTACGTTCGGGAGTATGCTGAAGGTGGATCTATGCTTTGCGAGGGGTATGCTGCAGGATCGAGCGCAATTGGAGCGGGGGGGCCTGCTGCGCCAATGCCAGAGATCAGATCACCAACTGTCTCGGTGGCCAACAATCTTACATCCACGTTCTCAGCGCTGAGTTCAGACTCAATCTGTGGGACAATGTTCTGTATGACCAGTGCGGCAGATCTCCAAAGCTCGCGAAGCAGCCTGTGAGCCTTCTCTAATGATTTGAGCTCTTCGGCAGACGGACCAGCAGGCGGGGCGTCGCGATCATTTTCGTCTTCCTCCTCGTCCTCGTCGTCAGCGCCAGCTCGTTTTCGCGACATGGACTTTCGTGAGCTTGAGCCATCAATACCGTCCGAGAGGTCGGCAATGATTGAGTTGAAGTAATGTGCAACCATACGCGACATCTTGTCAGGACACGAGCTGCAGATGTTTTTGGCCATATTGTAAGCCGGCGGAGGCAATTGGAGGTGGAAAGGACGCGACGATTCGAGAGCGGATTTGTTAAGCTGGAGAGGGAAGGTAGTAGGATCGAGACGGAGGAATTGCGCCAGTATGATATCGACCACATCGTTGGGTAGTGAGGGACTCTCATCCACAACAGTAACGAGCAGGCTTGTAACGTGGTGCTCTACATTCTTGCCCAGCTCCTCGGCCTTGTCGTTCTTGGACGTGTCTGCGAAGATGTCAAAGGCACCTGTGAACAACTTGTACAGTAGACCATCGGCACCAGGAATATCTGTAAGCAGTACAATACTCTTTACTTCATCGAGCGATCGGATGATGGACAGGTGTTGTTCGTTGTAGGGATCTTGTGGATTGCCGAGGGCAGGCAGGACTTGAGTGATGATGAGAGAGAAGATCTGGTTCAATTGGGCGGCCTTGAAGGGGGCGTCAGGAGCCAGCAACTTGAACATCTCAACGATGCATAGAGCAGTCCAGGCCTTGACACCACGGTCGCGATGCTCGAGCAGATTGCGGTGGGCCAGCTCTTGGGCGACGGGTACGAGAGAGTCGCGGTGTGCATCTTCTTGGTCCAGCTGGCTCAGCTCGGTGTGAAGTGTTCTGAGGCGACGAAGTAGTTCGGCGACGGCAATGGGCTTCCCAGCGCGCCAGTTCAGCGATTCGTGAAAGGCCAGCGGCCTCGGGCCACCCTCGATGCTTTGGTGGTCCTCCTCTTGCTCTTGTTCAGCGGGTGCTTCCTCGACGACGGGTTCTTCGACGACGACCGTCTCCTGCGCAGCACTGGCGCGATTGCGCGTTCGAGGCATGGGCTGCGGTATGGCAATGTACAAATGGCGGTGGAAGAATATGTACAGTACAAGGCAAGGGCAAGCTGCTGAATAGTCGCGGCTGACACGCGACTGTGGAAAGCGCGTCTGGGAAGCTCTGACGCGCGGGGCCGGAGATCAGGTCGCTCATGCGTTTGCCTGGAAGAGATGCTGAGAAGCGACCACCTCTGACACACTTCACTCTCCTTCTTTATACTTGTCGAGTTGTTGATGCTTGCTCAATTGCTTGAGCTTCTGCTCTGAATCACTCTGTCTCTTTCAGATATATATTAAAACAACCGCACGGTAATCAAACGTGTGCTATCACACTTCTGTCCCCGGCTTTGAAACTCAAGGCAATTGATATTCAAGACCTGTTGACTCAGGCAATAGACATGTCCCGCTCTCATTGCTGTCAATGGCATACAACGCTATCTCAGGCCCTTTCGCAATCTAGTTTTCCAGATATTGGCATCATCCGCCCGAGCGTAAAATCTTATGGTCGAAATTTTGATAATGCCAGGGTTGCCACTTTCACATTGCCTGTAATAGGGACGACCCTGTTCCTCTCTGGAGTCTTTAATACCACATTGGCCCTGGTACCAGTTCTTGCGAATGGATAGAGTTCTTCACTTAACAATTTGTAATTCTACAGTCGTTGCGGCTAAATTCATATCTTGCTGCCTCGTCCCATTCAATTCATATGATGTTGCCTCATCCTTTATATTGCTGCCTAATTAGTAGAATTGATCCCATCACCCTTCACTAGGTTGCTTGTTCTCAGGTTTCTACACATTCTCTGAAAGATCTCGACTCGTGCCTACTTTTTGCAAGAAATGGTCAGAAGACAAGAAGCTAGAGTATCAGCCTCAGAGCCTCGCATGCGTATCCGCGAGCTATTACCTACCCTCTTCCTCGGCGACCATCAACCAGGACCATTAAACTCTTTGACTGATGTGCCTGGTATTGGGGCCTCGACTCAAGAGATCACATCCACAGACAAAAGCATCAACACTGGAGTTACATGTATCACTCCACGAGAAGACTGGTACTACAAAGCTTGCTACGCTGGTCTCTTCAGCTTCAATGGTTATGGCGAGATGACCGGAGCTCACGAACTCACCGAGAGTGGATTGTTGTACTCGCCTATCATCTTGACTGGTACGTTTGGCATAGGTGCAGCTCATCAAGGAGTGCTCAAGTACGGTGTCAAGACCTTGGGCAAATCATTCATGGCGTTGCCTGTTGTTGCAGAAACGTACGATGGATATCTGCATGATTGTGCTTCCTTCGCAGTCACGCCTAAGAATGTGGTCGAGGGGTTAGAGAGTGCGAAGACAGGTGTGGCAATGGACGAAGGAAATTCAGGAGGTGGAAACGGCATGATCTGTCATGGGTTTAAAGGTGGCAATGGGTCATCGAGTCGACGTGTCAAGATACCATACCGCAATGAGACCTTCACAGTTGCTTGCATGGTTCAAGCGAACTATGGAGCCATGAAAGATCTTCGCATTGCAGGCGTACCCGTTGGTCGCATCCTAGCCGACGAAGTCGAGCAAGATGGAAACAGGAACAAGGCAAAGCAAGAGCTGGAGAAGGCCAAAGAGGAGAAGGATGGCAGCATAATTATCATCATCGCTACAGATGCACCACTGCTGCCCCACCAACTTACTCGGATAGCCAAACGCGGTACCGTTGGTGTATCTCGGGTCGGTGGAATCGGACACAACATGTCTGGCGATATCTTCCTGGCTTTCTCGACCGCTAACGAGATCCCTGTCAATCAGCCAAGACTAGTGGAAGGTGAAAGCAGATCAACGATCGAGAAGGTCAAGGTGGTGGAAGATTCGGCAATGTCCTCGCTGTTTGAAGGTACGGCAGACTGTGTGGAGGAAGCGATCTACAACTCTTTGTTCATGGCAGAGACGATGGTAGGTCTCGATGGACACAAGGTAGAGGCACTGCCCCTGCAGAGGGTCAAAGAGATCATGAAGGAGTATGGTAGAGCATAAATGAATTGATCGTGTTTGGCCTTTTGACGGTGGTCGCGTTCTGTTATCTACTCAAGTGACGGTGGAGATGAGAAGCCAAGGTGGTGAAACTTTGACGGTCGAACGGACGCACAGAGAGATAGGGGGACAGGGAGGTCGTGGGTATGCACCATGGACTCTGACCGCTGGAAGGGCAAGTGTTCGAGGCTCGTCAGGAGTGGATGTTCGAGATGGATATAGAAAGCTGCTCGGATGGCATATGCGAGGGGCGTTGATCGTACGCCTGTACGAATGACGTTGCGTAATATGCGAGGCCGATGGATCGAATGTACGAGGCGGTACGGTCCTCTGAGACCCCAAGACTCTTGCGAGAAAGTTGCACTCTTGTCTGAAGCAGGGAGCGAGATGAACGCATGAAAGTTGGCCGCGCACATGAACAACGAAACTGTCGGTCGCCAGCGTTGCAGAAGCGACTGCGGCCATGATATCATGTCATCTGTCGATATACTTGCTCCTCGCTATGCCTGGATTCTTTTAAATAACGGTACCTTTTCGTGTTGCTTTCCGGTGCTTCGGGTTGCGACATGTAGAAATCTCAAGGGCCAAGAATCAAGTGTAGGTAGCTGGCGTGTTGTTCTATCGTCAGCCAGGCAAGAACTGACACAACGACATAAAATGGTCAACAGAAACTCAACAGTAGCATTCAGCTTGCAACGAATGATTTATAGAGGATTAGAAACATCTCTGGAAGCAGTCTGTCGAGTGCAAAGAGTGGCCTGCGCAAGTTGTCAACTTTTGGGCGTTAACCCTTATTTACTTTTTTTTTTTTTCAGTGGTAGTCAATAATAAAACGATGATGGCAGTCGGTGTGGTCTAGTGGTCTGGCCAGCCATGAAACTTCTCCTGTCTAGTTTTCCGTGGCGTTAACAGGGGTTCTCGGCCCATCTACCAATTGATAACTTACGCGCCAATACGTTTTTGCTCCGATGGAGCTTGCTCTTCCTGTTTTGCATTAATTTATTCCTCTGACCGCGAGTACCCATGTAGTCTCGTATATTCGGTCGTGAGCACCAGGGCGCGGTATAGGCGTAATTTAAATTTATGACGCCGAAAGAGCTAAGCGAAAGACCCATGGTTCAACTCCTGGTCGCGTCACTTCATCCTTTTGATCCAAATCTTCAGAAATCCCGATCGTCCAAATACGATGAGGCTTTATGACCAGCGACCAAGTACAAGGGAATATCCGAATAGCATTTCCATCAGCACATCTGTCAGCATAGGAGAAGTCTTCTAGATATATTGTGTCAGCAGCGGCGATATTATTGATTCAACATACGCTTGATCACCCGAGCTTCCATTGGAGCTGTGAGGACGCTACGAGATGTGACGACGACGATGAATTCCTTTTGCGTTCATACATCTGTTTGTATAGCTGCGCAGATATGCAGCACTTAATGAACCCAGGTCAGTAGCCTCGGAAATATGGTTGTTGGCGAACCAACACCTTTAGCCCCAGAATGTCTGCGTCAGTATCTTGTGAGATATGCCTTATATACACGACCAACAGGAGCCTTGGTTGAAGACCGCTCGTCTGACCATTGCTGATATTCAAGACCGAGCTGACACCCTTCGATCTCTACTCAGCACTCGTGACAGTACCATAAAGTCTCGTCTCATAACACAAGCATCATGGTACCAAAGGCATGAACAACGAGCCACTTTCTTGACCAGTCCTTGTGTTCTTCCATGCTCACGGATCAGCACTAGTCAAGGCCCATCGCCAGAGTCAGAGCTGTGTATGGTCTTTCATGCAATACAAAGTATGTGCAAGTGTGAGCTCGCAGTATCCAGGTTTCTTTGTACGGGTTTTTGAACGAGCAGCATGCTGATTGTCTAGGAAAAAAGCATGAGAAAGCAGTAGGTAGGTTTTGAGGGTCCGGGGAAAACTGTGAGCTCTAGCAATATCCAGCACTATGTTAAATGATCAAGGGTCATGGTCGTTGAATTGGCATCACAGTTACTTCTTCACAGAACCACGAAGAGACGTCGTCTCCAGACCTCATCCGAAGATGACGTACTTGCATGTTTCATATTGCCTTAGTTTCGTTGCCTTCACGATGCCTTCAGGCTCGAAATAATAGGGTGGAGCATTATCTGGGTATCACAGTAATATGTTGATTTTTGGTGGATTTGATACAAAGCGAAACTACCTACCAGCAGTTGAATGGTCAGCCACTTGCAAGAATGACTTTCATGCCCTTGGTCTCATTTCTCCTGCTGTTGATCTCTTTTGGCTCTGGCCTCGCTAGCGACACCCGGAATACCCAAACTCTCAAACTCCTCTTCGTATTTTCTCCATACAGCAGCATCGCGGGCCATGACTTTCTGACGCCGTGACTGCTCACCATAGATACGCAAGCGTTCATCTGCTTCTACGACACTGCCGAAGATCATGCCGGACATTTGAAGGAAGCTGCGGCAATGTCAGTTTATGCTTGCTTTAGTGACTTGTTGATTTTGACGGGTGATCCATGAGAGCTCTATCAATCAGGATGTCCTCGATAGGATAAAAGGTTTAATCGGCCAAGAAAGAGTTCGTTTGAAGGATTTTGATGAAACGGCATGCTCAACTTCGCTTACAGCGCATGAATTACAGAACGTAGAAAACCGTATACATACACTTTGAATTGAACCGTAAGCCCACGATATACTGGTGAATAAGCATACGCAATGCCGGCCGCGACTGCTGAGTAGATGCCCCACTGTCAAATATGTTAGTGAGATGATCAAGTATACCATGTGTTAAATGAGGCAAGATCTTGGAACATAAAGGTACTGCTGTTTGACTCAAGGAACTACCTTATGGTTCAGATTGCCTCACAGGTCGGACATACCCTTGCTGCTCCCGTAACAGCACCTCTTGTAGCCTGCCACGCCGCGGCATTCGTCTCCTCACTGTCTAGCTTTCCATGAGCACTGTTTGGTGGCATCCTGATTCCTCTGTCGGTTGGTCGATTGACAAATATCAACAAACAAGCAAGACTTATGTCTTGTCTCGTGCTCTGGAAGATTGTTTCTGGTGCTCGGGATTAGGATCGGGGTTTGAAGGTGAAGTGGAAGGAAATGATTACGTCAGGATAGTGCCAAGACCATACCATATCGTCTACTCAAAAGCCTTCTCAAGCTTGTAAGCGCGACGGTCAAGCATGAAGCGAATGACAAGTGATATTCTGCTATATATACAAGAGGAGTTGGAAAGTGATGTTTTTATATACTATTACAAAAATTGATAGTGTTGCCTTGGATGCATCAGTATCTTGTGACCACTCTTCCGCTTGGTGCGGGCGAGGAGCTCACATGAGCATTGGTCTGATCTTGAGGTCCAGTAACGATGTCTGTCTGAGGCATAGCTGGCGCCAAAGTAGAGCGAACCTCAGGGCCGCCTGTAAGCTTGCGAGTCTTTGCTTTCATCACATCGTTTTCTACCTCCGCCATCTCCTCTGCTGTCAATTCCTCATCCTTTGACTCTCCCATCAACGTCTCCATAGTTTTAATGCTGCGAATGAACTCGTCTTGATCACCATGCTGGCTAGCAATGATCTTGTCCATCACGTGTTCATCCTTGCCAGCCTCAACACTAATGTCCTGTTGTGGAACATCGAGAGGTGCCTTCAGCCAGTCGCCCGGCTTCTTGTTCGCGTTGCGCATGGGATTTTTCTTGTCGACCACGCGAGAAGAAAGACCTGTCTTGAACAGTTGCTTGTCGTAGAGTGCGAATTCAAACGTTCCGCCAGCGACGAAGCGATAAACAAATACAGGCTTGGTCTGGCCCAGACGATAGGCTCTTCCGATGGCTTGCTCTTCCCAGGTCGGATTGAAGGCAAAGTCGAAGATGATCACGCGATTGGCCTGTTGAATGTTCAAGCCAAGCCCTCCAGCACGAGTGGATATAAGCAAGACATCGAATTTGCCATCGGCCATTGACTTCAACACCTTCTCACGCTTGTCCTGGGCCATATCTCCTTGGATACGACCATAACTTGCGCCCATGCTTAACAGCATGCGGTCCAAGAAGTTTAGTGAAGGGATGCTCTGCGAGAAGATGAGGACCTTGTCGCCAGCTTCGATCGAAAGACGCATAATCTTTCGGACGAGCAGAGTCTTGTAGGACAACTCAATGGAGTCATCTTCAGGGACAACTTCGAGCAAAGCATCCACTATAGCCTTGTTGATGTCATATTGGGAGACATGCGCATCTGCGTAAGCTGCATCCTCGTCAACCACTGGCGATGCTTCATATGCACGAGCGGTCTCATGAATTGCGACTGCTGTTGACGATGGAACATCGGAGTCTGTCGCAAGAGCGCCTGCGATGGACAGGCCTGCTGGGGATGGGCCTGCAGCGGGTGGGCCTGCAGTGGCTGAGCTTGCAGGGACCTCGATCTCTGTGGCATTGAGTGTGTTTCTCTTGCCCCTCTTTTGCTTATTGTTGACGGGCTCTAGTAGCTTACGACGGAAGATGATCGGATGATTGCACAGCAACTGTAGGATGGATAACCATCCAAAGAGTTTGACCTGTGTGATCGTTGTCCCTTCTTCACCAGCCTTGCCACGGAGGATCTCTTGGACATAAGTCTCGTAGCCAAGCTTCTGTTTATCAGTCAAGGGAATTGTCAGAACAAATTCGACCTTGCTCTTGAGTGAACCTTTGAGTACCGTGATGTCAGCACGATTGAGCTTTGGAGCGATGATTCGTTTTAAAACCGCGAGCTTGGTCATAGACTTTCGGACTTCGTATCTGGTACTGTCGACGTAGGTCCCTGCTTCAATTGGTTCCTGGTAATGTGCTTTGAACTCGGTCTTGCTGCCTAGGAACTTGGGTGCGACCCAGTCTATCAAAGCGAAGATCTCTGCAGTGTTGTTACTCATAGGTGAGCCTGTCAGACCAATGCGGCGTTGTGTGTTGATTTTGTGAACAGCCAAAGACGTCTTGCTTGAGTCGTTTTTGATCGAATGCACTTCATCGGCAATGACAATGTGAGGTTTCTGCAGGAGTAGCTTCGTGACCAGCGCATGTTCTGCTTCATCGAAGGCTTGCATCTTTCCGCTCTGATTGTTTATCAACTTGGTGAACATTGTATATCCACAAAGCATAATGCCACCTAGATGGCGCCAACTCTTTAGCTCGTCGAGTCTCAGCGCCTTGGCTGACACCTCACTGCTCAAGCTGAAAATGTGAAACAGTTTATCAGGGCACCAAGTGGCAATTTCCTGCTTCCAGTTCGCCATGAGGCTTGGCGGACACAATATAAGCGCTCTGAGCTTTCCCTTGGCTTTTTTCAGGTCGTCAGGAAGGGCATCGCGCTTGTCCTTATCCTTCACTGTTTCAGCTATGGCCGTGAGAAGAGCTAGACTCTGAGCTGTCTTGCCCAGACCCATCGTGTGAGCAAGCAGACAGCCCTGACCATCTTCATCCTCGGGTGCAGTGATCTCTCGCCACATGAACTTGACACCCTCAATCTGATGCGGCTTCAAGCGTTTGGCGATTTCGGGGTTGAGGTACACATGTCTCGAAGGATCCACATCGTCTGGCGCGTAGAGAGGCACCTCGTTCAGTCCATCCTCACCAGCCATGAATGATCCGGTTTGGCTGTATTGCTGCTGCGATTCGTAGTTAGCAGCTCTTTCAGCTGCCTTGGCGCGTTTCCTGACCGCATCATGGTCTCTCTTGACTTTCTTCTTGCGGGTGCTCGAATGGCCTGATTTGGCGTTCTCAATCTCGTCGTCGCTGTCAATGACGATGGTCTCAAGACGTCCGGATGTGTCCTTCTTGAATCGCTTCAATGCCTCCCAGGTGTACCTATGCCAGAAGCGCAGATCATTGGCATAGCCTTCATCATCACCATCCCATGGCCATTCGTATCCGAGAGAAGCAATTTCCGATACGTCTGACTCAAAAAATTTGTGATCGATGTAGAGGTAGCCCAGATAGATCCTGGCGGCATCTAGCATAACTTCGACATCGGCGTCATCGTAGCCGTCAACAACTTCGCTTCCCTGGATAGTAGCAGAAATGGCGGCCCTGATTTTTGCGAGGCAAGTCGTCATGTTGCTGGTCATAAGATGCACCAGTGACTCGAGTCGCTCGTCGTTCATGGTGGACGCGAGCTTGAGCAACATTCGTCTTCTGTCCCCTTGGTCTTCGAGAGCTGGGTATGTCCAGCTGCGGATCTGCTTGTATGAGTCGTTGTCTGGGTTTGCCGAATACGTGATCTCTTTGTGCATTCCCTGCTCTTGCTTGACGTCGAATTTCTTCAGGGGGCTCGGTTGAGTCGTCGCATGAGCAAAAGTGGGCCGTACAGGGCTCGACGTAATCTCGATGACTTGCTTTCGCATCGTTGATGGCCTGGATTGGAACAACGTCTCCAAAGAGGGCAGGCCAGGAGAGTCTTGTTCGGATTGTAGACTAGCCGCGGATCTGTCTTTCTGAGGCGTCTGTATGGACTTAGAGGTCTGGTCCGTCTCGGTCAAATGCGCAGGCGGCTCGCTCTCGACAGATCCAGCACGCGAGATCTCGTACTCAAAATCGGCCGGTACTTCGGTCGCATCGGGCATGTCTTCGTCGGCTATCACGGCAATGCTGTTGTTGTCCTCGCCGGAGGTCACCGTTTCGTTCTGTGGGACAAGCTGAGAAGACGATTCCGGCAAGCCAAGATCCGGTTCAGAATCATTACCAGCTTGGGAGAAGCTCTCTCTGGCATCTTCAAAGTCCTCGTCGTTGACGACAAAGTCCTGCATGTCGTCATCCGACGTGTCTTGGTTATGAGCTCCTGTTGAAGCATCATGTTGGCTTTTGGCGAATGGCTTTGGCTGTCTTGCGGCTGCAGGCTCCATTTTGAGGCTCCAGGTCTTGATCTTCCATTCTTCGAGCAGAGTGTCATGGACGGTGGGCTCAAGGACCAAGCAAGCCTGCTTTACCTCTTGTTCGTTCTCGAATGTACCGTCCATGAGATTGTTTTTGAGTCGTGCAAGCCTGTCAGCCAGTTCCGTGATTCTCTTCTTCGCATCTCGAGTCAAGGCGCGAGCTTTCTGAATGTTGCCTTTGGCAAGACGCCATACACTGCGTCCTTTGTTCTTGTCAAGCTTCGGCAGTTGATTGTCGTACCAAGCCTGGCGCTGCAGGGCAGCTGTCTGTTCAACCAGCGAGTCGACGATTTGATGAGAGAGAACGGTAGCTTCGACAGCAGAGTCTTCCTCTGCCATATCATCATCAGATCCGCTAAGAGAGTCTTCAGCGTCGGCGTTCTGTTCATCTGCTGAGTCTGAGTCTGAGTCTCCGTAGGTGGGTAAGAGCTCATCAGTCCCTGTGTATTTGTCGAGAAGGTAGCTGAACTCGCCAGGACTCATCTTTGTGTCTACTGTTTCATGCTGCTGGAAAGACAACGTTTGAGCTTTCTCGCGGACGGCCTTGACGCCACGCTCTGACGATTCGAAGATAGTGACTGATCTGGCGTCTTTGTCTTCGAGCAACCGCTCGGGGTATGGATAGACTGCGAGAGCTGAGTGTCGGTGGTATGTAATGGGACTTGGCTCGGCTTGACGGAACGCACGATGGTATGTGCGATGGAGACAACGGTAAAGAAACGAGGTAGTACCCGAGAACTCAGATCTTCCAAAGATAGTAAAATTGTCGTAGGAATCATCATCCTCCGTCTCGTCGTTGTGCTTGATTTCTGCGCCATAATCGGTGTCTCCATAGAAGATTTCGTCGACTGTGAGCTTTGTGTCACGTAGATAGCCTGAAGAGATTGGGCGTGGCTGAGCAGTGGACTTGGCAGTTGGACTTTGAGTTTGAGATGCTCCAGGTTGGGTGCCGATGAGGAGAAATGCTTGCTGAACAGCCGCAGTGGATTCGACAGTAGTCATTGGGCTCTGAGATGCTCCAGATTGAGTGTCAGTGAGAGTGGTTCCGAGATTCAATCTACGGCGTTTGCGGCCGCTGGAATCTTCAACAAGTTGTTCACCTTCGCGAACTCTGGTTCCGATAGGTCCTATAGAGTCTGACGAAGCTGAGGATTGAAGAGCAGATGGTAGCGGTGCAGAGGGCAAAGAGGTTGGTTCCAGAATGTCGGTGGAGGCCACAAAAGACTTGCGCAGTGCATTAATTGTTTGCATGATAAGCATGCGCTCTTTTAGACCAATGATACCGAACTCGTCCTTTAAGACAGCGAGGTTCACCTGCTCAAGCAGCATTTCGCCGTTAAGGTCATGATCAGACCATTGCTGAGCGAAATTGTTGAACTGGTTCTGCTGCAGGAACTTGACGACCTCTGTAGAGGACCACTTGTAAGGATCGGCCTCCTGCATCATGAAAGCTTGCTGATTGTGATGATGGTGACAATACTGATGGTTATGATGATGATGATGATGTTGTGGTTGGAGGTTGGAGGGCGCGCAGCTTCGGAGTACACAAAGTTAGTGGCTGTCAAAGAAGGAGCGTACGAGTGAATGTGTCGTTGCCTGACGACTAACCTAGGACAGCGCTATTGAGACAGCTTGGAGGTCCAGTATTTACATGGACTGCTCCTGCCGGTTCACTCAAAGTCAGTCGCCTGCCTTCTGGTGTTGTAATGAATCTGGTGAAAGTGCCAAGAAGTGAAATGTGTAAAGCTGAACACGGAGACTAAAGAGAAGAGAACTCACTCTGAGAAGGAGCAGAAAAGTCGCTAAAGCGCTGGCGCTCTAGACGAAGCAGATGTAAGTGTTGGTTGCTTATATGTACATGTGAGGCGTAAGGGTCGCAATTGAGTAAAGCGCAGACCGTGAAAGTCGCGGTTGAGAGAAGCACAGCCTAATGGTGTAGACCACGTTCAGACTGACCGTCGCCTCGGCTGTTGAAGTCGAAGTAATGTGTCTCTTTCTCTGCTTTGCATCTCAACTCCCGATCACAGCTGCTGGCTTTACGCGCGCGTTTGGTGGTAATGCTTGAGATTTTCCGACGTGAAATCAACACGACACTATTACGAGTAGACTCGCGTCACTACTTCAGCCTAGAAGCACGATAACCTGGCAGATAGTGACAGTTATCAATCAGACTCTACGGTGACTCGAGTGTTTGTGCTCTTGACAGAGATGGAGTCAGGAAAAGTCCAGGCACTTGCCGCAATGCGCAATCGCGACAACGGACTTCATGGACCGCAGTTCAACCGGCAGTTGACAATCAGTTGAACTACTCTCGGAAACCTCGACACCACCAATTCTTTCTAGCATAACATACGACTAGGCCCTGGACTCAAACCTCCCTTATCCTCTCGCCCTTTTGCTTCCATCATGTCGCGTGAAATCTACCCAAAGTACCCTCCGGACCTCAACGAGGAGCAGCTTCAATACTTGATTACTAATGTCAAAGACTGGTCAATTGCAAATGGTCTGGCTGTAAGACCCGTGCCCTCATGGATTTCGAAGGAGCAGGATCCGGTGGGCTCGTTAGCAGTGACTGCTCCTGTTACCCTCTTCCCTAGCTTGTTCCCTAGAAACTGCTTTGAACAAGGTCTTGGCATTCAAACAGCGTACAATGAGCTCTATGCCGCTATCGCAAGCAACGAGACTTGGCTGAAGGAGATTGTTGAGGAGTGAGTTCCTCTAAGCTCTAGACACGGTCGAACTCAGTTCATACCAATTTTACTGACTACGTACCTAGACTCGTTGAAGTGGATGATTTCATCGCTGAGCTGTGGAAGGTCCACCAAGCCGTGAAGAAGGAGGGATATGTCCAGGTAGGTATATCTGCAGAACTTTATGATCTCATCTACTGACACTCTCCTAGGGCATTACTCTTGGTCTTTTCCGTTCTGACTACATGGTCCATCTAGACCCGGCCCATTCTGCTGCCAAACCTACCATCAAACAAGTAGAATTCAACACCATTGCTTCATCCTTTGGTGGACTTTCTACACAGGTCTCAAAGCTACACAACTATCTTCTCTCTGTGGATGCCTACCCAGAAGAAACTCAATCGACTATCAAGACTTCTTCACTCCCTCCAAGCACATCGGTTCCATCGCTTGCTGGAGGTTTGGCTGCCGGTCATCATGCTTATGGAGAATCAAGGAGCGGTTCTCCTCTTTGTGTCATATTCCTTGTTCAGGATCCAGAACGCAATGTTTTCGATCAGAGACACTTGGAATATACTCTTTTCAACGAGCATCAAGTCAGGGCTTTCCGTGTATCCTTCAACCAAGTCATGTCTCACACCAGACTTGACGAGAAGCGTACTTTGCTCTACACCCCTCCTCACACCCCCAACAAGACGTGGGAGGTATCACTGGTCTACTTCCGCGCTGGCTACTCTCCCGATGATTACTCTGGCAAGGCTGACTGGAACGCTCGTCTGCACATTGAACGTAGTGCAGCTGTCAAATGCCCTAGTATCTTGACTCACTTGGCTGGCTCGAAGAAAGTGCAGCAAGTCCTCGCGACACCAAACTCGCCTCACCTTGCCCGCTTCCTTCCAGACAAGAACAAAGCTGCCGAGGTCCTTAAGACATTTGCTCCAATCTATCCTCTCGACAAGAGCGAAGCAGGTCAAGAAGCTCGCAAACTTGCTCAGAACCCAGAAACAGCAACCCGTTATGTCCTCAAGCCTCAGCGTGAGGGTGGCGGCAACAACGTCTACCGCAAAGCCATTCCCAAGTTCCTCAAAGAAACTCCTGAATCACATTGGCCAGCTTATATCTTGATGGAGATGATTGAGCCCCCAGCCTTGACCAATACCATTTTCCGCAACGGAGAAGTTCAAAAGGGTGGCGTCATCGGAGAACTGGGCGTATATGGTGTTTGCTTGTGGAAGACACAGAGCGGTCAGGATGGCGTACAAGAGATGCTCGCGAACAGACAGGCTGGCTATCTGCTTAGAACCAAGGGCGACCAAAGCGAAGAGGGTGGAGTCGCAGCTGGCTTTGGCTCCGTCGACAGTGTTTGTCTTGTCGACGTGTGAGGAGCCTGACACTCATCGAAAAAAGCACCTAGCCGCATCTCAAACATTGTTCCGTCATACTGTTTATTGTACCTTGTGCATGCTGATTGCTCTAGAAGATGACGGTTGCGCAGAGGCCCCCTCTGTCTTTGTTTCATGCTAGGCTTCGACTGCCCAGAAGTGAACAATATGAATGTGGGGACTCTGAGTAGAACAATACTAAGAACTGCCTAGACATTCCACATCCCTCAATCCATGCGATCAACAAAGAAAAAGTGGTCTCCTGGTAGACAACAAAGTAACCATCATGAAGGGCTTTTTCACCAGTTTGGGTGATCAGGTGTATTTCTTTATGCTAAGAGATGCTCGTAAGGGCCGAGATGCAAACCACAAGGCAAGTTCGTCCTGAAACCGGACACAAGAAGCCATCTCTTTGAAGCCGGGAGATTGATATTGTGAACTCCATGATGATAAGAAGGAGCCTGTGCCGAACAACCGTGACCTTCAGGCAGGAACAGTCATCATCGAATCACTCCTTCCTTTTTTGAACCAAAATAAATACAAGAACCAAAGAACCAATCAGCCAAACAAACACCAAAGATGCTCAGCCGCAGCCTCAGCATCCTCCTCTTGGGTCTCATCGCCCTCCTCTCCTTGGCCACCCCCGCCGCCGCCGGCCCAGACTTCTGGGCCATGTGGAACAACCGCAACCGCTGTTTGCAAAAGGACCCCCGCGTCGTGGCCGCAATCGGTGTATTCTGCAATAGAAACTTCTACACTGGACATGCTTATGCCGCTCAAGGCATCTCATTCGAAGGCGTCGCACTGGGCGTTGGCGCTAGCTGCGCTTATGGAACTTTTGTTCCTCAGGTTTGGTGTGAGAGTCAGATGTTGGAGACGTGCGCCATGGGTAATGGCAAGGGTCGTGGAAACAGGGGCTATGATAACGGATGCCAGCACTTTTGGATCATCAACGGTTAGAGAAGGTGTCAGAAGGATCCTCCTGCCAACTTCGAGGAGGAAGTGGACATATCGAACATATATGAAGTGGGGTGGTAGTCTTCTTGGAGTTGCTAGTCAATTGAAACGAGCATCCCTCATACACGAACGAACTCTTCTTGTGATGAAAATGTTGAAGCTCCCTGAGCAAGGGGAAGATTGAAGTAGAGAATGGAGCGACTTGACTCATTTGTGGTAATGTTGTACAAACTCCTATTATGACCACCCACCCATGCAAATGCTTTCCAACCAGCGCTTACGCCACCCAAAATGCAATGATATTCTACTAGACCTTAGAGATACTAGGCAACGACCTCTTTCTCCTGAGATGCAAGCACTTGGTCGACAGCAGCTGCTCTCTTGCCCGCACCCCTCACATATGCCAACAGACGAAGTGTACCCGAAGGCGTAACGCCTTCGATTCTTCTAGCCTGTCCCAGACTCTCAGGTCTGGTGACACTCAGCACCCTCTTTTCTTCGTTGCTTAATCCAAAGATGTTCTCGTAGTTAATGTCTGCAGGAAGCAATAGTTGTTCGTCCCTCTCAAAGTGCTTGGCTTGTGTTTCTTGTTGAGTGACGTAGGGAGAGTATGTGCCTTCGATATCCATGCGAGAGATGATGTAAGGATCGAACTTTGCAATATCCGGCAACAGAGTGGCGAGGCTGGAGACCGAGATGGATGCGAGACGTAAAAGGTCGAAGGCGCTGCGTTTGCTGCTGTCACTGCGGACTGGGAAGCCGTGTGACTGCCAAACACTGCTTGACAGGGTGTGACCTTCCAACAAAGTCTTCAACTCATCCATCTGTGCTTTTTGCGAGGAGAAGTGAGACCAGCGTGAATCTGAGACTACACCAAGTTCTCGTCCTTTGGCGGTAAGGCGGAGATCGGCGTTGTCAGCACGAGCGGACATGCGATACTCTGATCTTGAGGTGAACATGCGGTATGGCTCCGAAACACCTTTCGTAATCAAGTCGTCTATCATGATGCCGATGTATCCATCGGCTCTTGTCAACTGCAACTGTGGCTTGTCCAATGCAGAGTTGCCTGCGTTGATACCAGCAACAACGCCCTGAGCGGCGGCTTCTTCGTAGCCTGTTGTACCGTTGATCTGACCCGCCAGGAACAGACCTCCGATAGCTTTCGTCTCCAAAGTCTTGCGCAGACTGCGAGGATCCACATAATCGTACTCAACACCATAACCGGGTTGTAGCATCTTGACGTTTTCCAGACCCTTGATGGTTTTGAGCATGGCTTCTTGTGCCTCGGCAGGTACAGTCATGGAGATGCCGTTCGGGTAGATGACATGGTTGTCGAAGCCTTCGGGCTCCAGCCAGATGATGTGAGCATCTTTTGTGTGGAATCGGATAACTTTGCTTTCGAGAGATGGACAGTAGCGGGGGCCCTTGACCTCCTCGCGGATGTGAATACTGTTTTGGAGGTTTGCGCGAATGATGTCGTGGGTGGCAGGGTTGGTGTGGGTAGACCAGCAGTTAAGTTGGTCTTGGACGGCGACGCGAGAGTTGAGGTAGCTGAAAGGCATTGGTGGATCGTCGCCAGGCTGAACATCGAGACCGGTATAATTGATAGTTCTGCCGTCAAGGCGCGGAGGGGTTCCTGTCTTTAATCTGCCCAATGTGAAGCCTGCTTCCCGCAAAGACTTGCTCAAGCCCGTCGTCGCTGCTTCTCCCATACGGCCCGAAGGGTACGCTTCAAGGCCAATGTGAATCTCGCCGCCCAGGAAAGTGCCAGTGGTGATGACAACGTTCTTTGTAGGAATGACCTCGCCGCTCTCGAGTCTGACTCCAGTAATCTTTCCATGCTTGCCATCTGTCATTCCTTCTCTTTGTACGACGATGTCAGCAACTTTGCCCTCAACAAGGCTCAAGCCCTTGTAGTTCGTCATCTCCTCCTTCATGTGCTTTTTGTACAGCGCTCTGTCAATTTGGGCGCGAGGACCCCAGACTGCGGGCCCCTTCTTTCTGTTCAAGACGCGAAACTGAACTCCAGCTTTGTCGACTATGCGCCCAACGACACCATCTAGGGCATCAATCTCTCGTAGCATGGTGCCTTTACCAATTCCGCCAAACGAGGGATTACATGAGCAGACTCCGAGATTGTCGACAGAGGGGGTGACCAGAGCTGTTCTTGCGCCAGTTCGTGCAGCAGCTGCTGAAGCCTCACAACCAGCATGGCCGCCTCCAATGACGACTACATCGTAGGGACTGTTTCGCAGTCAGTCGCGTGCTCATGTCTAGATGGGACATTGACCATACACTGTCGTAGAGTCCGAAACAGTGGCAAATGTGCGGCGCACAAGGATGGCCGACCGAACTCGGGGTGCATGGCCCCAGAGTACACGCGCTCTGGCAGACACTGCAAGCACCATGGCGACAATGTTATACTGTGAGGCCAACAATTACTTTGATGGAAACAAAAAAGTTGATAGACCCTAGTTCGTCTGGCTTGGCAGCGGGAATGACGGAGTGGGCGGGGCTGACCAAAGCGGCGGTTATTTTCTCTGCTAAATCTTGCCTCTCTTTGCTACCCTATCACACACCCACCCAAGAGTCTCAATACCAACCGTCGCTATGGTATTGGCCAAGAGCAAACAGGCCGTCGGCCTGGGCAATGCCCTTATGAACGACCGCTTCAAGAACAAGAACTCCAACCAACACAGAGCCAACGCCGGAGGAATTCAGAGAAAAGGCCAAAATGGAGAGACATACATCACAAACAACAAGCAGGCCGCTGCATACGAGAAGATGCGCTCCGTTACCGAGCAGGGCGATCTGGACGAGTTTCTGTCTACCGCAGAGCTGGCTGGCACCGATTTCACCGCCGAGAAGATGAACAATGTCAAGATTATTCACAGGGACCAGAAGAACCCCTACCTCTTGTCCTCGACTGAGGAGCGTAACGTCGTCAAGAAGCACAACAAGAACAGAAGTCGTCTGACCGTCCCTCGTCGCCCGAAATGGGATTCCACTACTACCAAGGATGAGCTGAACACACGCGAGAAGGAAGCTATGATCGAGTGGCGCAGAGACCTTGCCGAGCTTCAAGAGAACCAGGACTTGCTCCTGACTCCTTTCGAGCGCAATCTCGAGGTCTGGAGACAGCTTTGGCGTGTCATTGAGCGTTCCGACTTGGTCGTGCAGATTGTCGATGCCAGAAACCCTCTCATGTTCCGCAGTGAAGACATGGAATCCTACGTCAAAGAGGTCGACCCCAAGAAGCGCAACTTGCTGCTCGTCAACAAGGCCGATATGATGACGCTCGAGCAACGCCAGACTTGGGCCAAGTACTTCATCGACAACAACATCAACTTCCGTTTCTTCTCTGCAGAGCTCGCTCGTGAGCTGAACGACGCCAAGGCCGAACAGGAGGAGTCGCAGACGCAAGAGGTGGATAGCGAGGACGATGAGAGCGAGGACGAGGTTGCTGAGGCGCTAGATGGAGACGAGAATGCTTTGGAGCAGGAGGCCAAGAAGCTCGACATCCAGGATGCACAAGAAGAGGAAGCCAAGTGGGTTGACGAAGAGACTGTTGACGACAAACACGCTGCACCTGTATCAGATGTCATCCCCATGTCGCTCGAGGAGGCGACACGCATTCTTACAACTGAGGATCTCGAAGCTCTCTTCTTAGAGCACGCTCCAAAGATGGCTGCTGCTACCGACGACAAGCCCGCTCGCAAAGTACAAATTGGTCTGGTCGGTTACCCCAACGTTGGTAAATCGTCCACCATCAACGCTCTGCTAGGCGCAAAGAAGGTCTCTGTCTCTGCCACACCCGGTAAGACGAAGCACTTCCAGACCATTCACTACTCAGACCAAGTCGTGCTTTGCGATTGTCCTGGTCTGGTGTTCCCCAACTTCGCCTTCACAAAAGCAGAACTCACATGCAACGGTGTTCTGCCAATCGACCAGATGCGCGAGTACACCGGTCCCGCAACTCTTGTCGCTCAGCGTATTCCCAAGCCTTTCCTCGAAGCTGTTTATGGTATCACAATCAACATTCGCTCTCGTGAAGAGGGCGGTACAGGTACACCAACTGGTGAGGAACTGCTACGCGCATACGCCGCCGCTCGTGGCTTCTTCACCCAAGGTCTTGGTCAGCCTGATGAGAGCAGAGCCGCCAGACTGGTCCTTAAGGATTACGTCAAGGGTAAACTGCTGTTCGTACACCCCCCTCCTTCAGAGCCTCCGATCGACCACAAGCACTTCAACCGCGAACTCTACGACTACAACCACCTTCCTCAGAAGCGACGACTCCAACTCGCGGCTATGCACTCAGCTGCAAGGCACCCGGAAATGCAGACTGGTGATGAGCCATCGATTATGGAGAATGACGATCTCGACATGATCCCCATCAGTGGAGCAAAGACACAACGTATGGACAAGCAATTCTTCGCACCTGGCCAGGGTAGAGGACAGCAAAACATGCCCTTCCACCACAAATACACAGAGCAAGGACAAAAGCAAGTAGAAAACACTGGTGGCAAGATGTTGACTGGTCGCAAAGCTAAGATCATGATGGCTCTGGAAAAGGACATGGACCCTGATGATGTGAAGATGATGATGTCAAGCAAGAAGCACTTCAAGGCCAACAAGAGGGCGCAAAAGAAGGTCAGAAGCGAGTACAATGATTAAGGGGAGTGCATCTTCTGGTTTTGCGCAATTTCATTTTTACCTTGGTTCACGGCATGCTGGGGCGCTTTTATGGATATCCCTGAGTTATATATCTCATTGTTCTTTTCAAGTTTGAATGGTCATGAATAGAAAAGATCAAAAGATCAAGTTACAACCGATTTTCTCGAAATCTTCTGCAACAACCGCAGCGAAGCTTTCTTCATTCGTGACCGCAAATTTCTACATCTGAGAGTCCAGACGCCGTCATCTCCTCCTGTGCCTCAAGGTCGGAGTGTCAGACCAATGTGGGTGGTGTTCTTGTCGCAGTAACGATACAGACAGAGGCATGCCAAAAGCTTTCATGCATGTGATAGTCGACGCACAGACCATCGTTCAATGTCTCGAACCACCTTGAAGGGCATGCATGAGTTGTGAATCTCACGACAGCAAGTCCAGAATGTCGTTTCGACCGCCGGCGAGCCCGGTGCCTGTTGGCTTCTACTCTCGATCGACACCAAATCTACCGACCTTGGGGTCATTGACCACCAACGACAGAGACAACGAATGCGACGCGACACAATCAAACTTGACCTCACCATCAGAGGCAGCATCGATTGAGGACTTCTCACTAGATGCCCCTGCCTCAATTGACTCGGGCAGCGAAGACGGCGAAGATGGCGACTCGATGCCTTCGCCTCGACAGCCCATGTATCAGCACAAACACTCGCAATCGCATACATATTTAGGTCCTGCAACCTTTGCGCCGCCATTCTACAATCGACCTCCTACACCTCTTCCACCCAGTCCGTCGTTGACGAGTCTCCTACGTCCGACTTTCAGCACACATGCCTCAAGACATACAACACCCGACCCGAGTAGTGACGAAGGGACCAGTCAAACCCCCAACAGTGCAGCCGCAACAACCCTCACAACCTCCTTCCGCACCGCAAAGCCCATTCCACGTGCCTCGCCAAAGGTCCCCACGTACGAATACTACGGCTTTACATTGTATCTAACCTCCTCTCTCGGCTTTGCAATCTACCTACTCTGGAGTTACTTGCCTTCGCCGTTTTTGCACCAGCTAGGTATCTACTATTACCCAAACAGATGGTGGAGTTTGGCGATTCCGGCTTGGTTGGTTATGCTTGTTGTGTGGATTTACGTCGCGTTGGCTTCATACAATACTGGCTACTTGACACTCAAAATGCATGCCGTGGAGTGTTTGGTTGACGATGCTGCGAACATTGCTGTGGTAGACAGCAAGGGAAACATTATTCGGAAAGATGATGAGGGCAGGTGGAAGTCTCATCGCAGAGACAACAGTGCTGGAAGAAATATGCCTCCAAAAGATCTACAGTGGGACACACTATGGAACGAAGGAACGGATGCTGTTATGGATGTGCCTATCGGAGGCGTCTGTGAGATTCTCTATGGCACACCTGACGATGAAGACGACGATACGATATTATGAAATTACAAAGATATGGGAGAAACAAAGGAGATCGGGTATCAATCATCGAATTAGACGTTCCATCTCCTCCAACATACGATCCTTGATATCGTGCTTAGTTTGCCCCGAGATGTCATCTCCAAACGCCATACAAGCATTCAAAATGATGCTCGCTTTGCAGATCATAAACTCATTAACAGAAGCATATTCGTCCTTGGGAGTGGAACGGTCAAACAAAGCACCATCAGAAGAGCGCGGAGTAGCAGCAAGACCGCGAATATGCTCCGAATCTCTGACGTTCTTCAAGACTCTCGATGCCTCGGATAGCTGCTCGAGAAAAACAAGATCCCCGTCAGGATTCAGAAGCAACAGCCAGGAGACCAGCTCTTCCAGCTCGCTGCTTCCAATTTTGTTGGTGGATTTGTGCTCGACTTCAAGATTATTGTAATCAGTGACTTGGTCGAGGAGAGAGGCCAAGCACCTTGCCCTTAGGCGTCTGATGGTGTCTTCTGCATCACCCCTTCTGACCGCTAAAGCGAGAGCAAGTAGCTCGGCAATACATGTATGGTGAAAATAGGGGTAGCGCCTCAGCAGTGTCGCCAGCCAGTTGACCAACACGCTTCGAGTATTGGTACTCGCGGCTATCGCTTTGCATGTTGGCAGAGTATCAAAAGGTGGTGTCTCTGGTACATGCATGAGTGGTGATTTGCATACGTAGTGAGGAGGTGCTTGTGGAGGCGTGGCGGCAGATGCTGGAGCAGCTGGACTGTAATCATCCATTTGAATAGACAAGGCTACTGAGCGGCACGGCGAAGACACTGCAGCTATACACACTGGGGTAGTCGGCTCCGGGGTCACAGCAGGCACGATACTACGTGCAATAGGAGTAAAGTCAAAATTGGGTGACAATGGCTTGAATGTGGTTTCAGGAGGCAATGATATCGAGCGCCCGCGTGGATAGACTTCAGACAAGACAGATGCCCGACCCGATTCAGCACATTCCTTTACCAAGACCGCGGCCATATCGAAGGACGCCGTCGACGCAGCCCCCAGCCCAGCCTCCGAGATAGCTCCTGGAGTAGCCGCAGATGGAAGGTCTGATACAGGTAGGTCATAGGGCGGTGGTGCCGGAGATCCAATCGCTGGGATGTCAATGGTTGAAATGGCATCGTGCTTTCGCTTCAACCCCTTACGACACTCAGGCTCTATCTCACTCTCGTCCCCGATCCCTTCCACCAAAGGCCGCCAACCCTGAGACTCCCATGCGTCGATGATAGCACGACGTCCTCCCGGATAGAAATTGTTGCAACTTATGTTGAAGCCAGTCACAGTGCGACCGCTCAGAATAACCTGTAGTCTGAGAAGGCTCTGATAGATCCAGGAGTCATGGGTAGTGAACAGGTCGAAGTAAGGTGCTTGGGACAAAGCTTTGAGCTTGCGTAGCAGAGACATAGAAGCCTCTGAAACCCGACCAGTATGTGGAAAGTCAGGCATGATAACATACGATTTGGCGGCGGGAGAGAAGGAGATACGCAGAAGCCGAGATGTTTGTTCAGGCCTGGTATCGGCGTCGTTCGATTGATCCAAAGGTTTCAACGGTACAACGCCATCGGAAATGGCCCAATAAGTAGGGCAAGCGGTGTCGACAGCCAGCGACTCGACGGAAATACAAAGATAGAAGATACGAGGCTTCTTGCCACTGCTCACTTGGATCTCCTGAGTCAAGATAACCAGGAGCCTGTTTGCATCATCGCAAGCGACCCAGAGCTTAAGGCTCTGGCCCCGAGTGTGGCGCGATGGTTGGCCTAGGTGTTCACGGTCGAAAGCAGTGTAAGTCGAGTTGCCCGATCTGGAGAATAGCGCAATTACAGGCTGCCCATAAATCAACCAGTCCAGATTGCTGCAAGGCGATAGTTGGGGCTCAAGAAGCCTTATGCACTCGGGTGTGGCCATCAGTGCAGACTATCTCAGAAGCAGTTAGTTGAGACGCTGCGCAGAACATTTACCTGGTGTATGGCGAGTAACATAAAGGCTCAAAAGCAGTTTTGATGATGTCGAACTCGAGAACAATGCTGACACTATTGAGCAACTCCTTTTGAAGCTGCGAGAGGCGAGCAGAACAGGGACTGAGCCAGTCGAGCAAGCTTCGAGCGACGGTAGTCGCAGGAAGGATTGCGACGAGAGGAGACAGTGTACCAGCAACGCGATCGGGCAGCCTCCAGGAAATTACGGCAATAGGATTACAGCGACTGACGCGATCGGGCAAGTGCTCTCTATAGCAGCTTGCGGCAATGCGATCAGTCTTGAGTGGACAGGCAGGTACGCAGTGTAGCGTGGACGTGAGTCTTGACGCGGTCAGATTGGAAGAAGCGCGCAAGCTGTTTGCTCAAATCTCAAACATTGAAGATCGGCCACGACAGAGTCCTTTCCCGTGCTAAAGTCCGTCACGCATTTGTCTGGGTCTTACCACAATGATCTCGAGAGACAAAACAATATTCATAGGGACAATCATCTTTAGGAGTTTCCTTTGAATTTGGCTCTGATCGGAAATCAATCGTGCCTTTCCAAACCCAAAATTATGCTTGGGACCGTGACGAGAGAGGTGCAATCAACAGTTCGGCGGGTCAAGAAGCTGGGGCGCGGCTACCCCATGTTGATCTGATCTGATATGTGGCATCAAGCTCCCCCCTTGACTCGAGGGGTAACGCGTACACAGCTTCCAGTCATATGAGAGTCTGATTTTCTGACTGTCTGATGGCCCCAGGCCACCCAATTCATCCTACCAGAAGCTGAGAGGTAGCGCACAAATGAATGCAGTCCGGGCCCAGGTCTACAACCTGATTGACCAGGTACAACAAGTACCGACACAGCTGTTGCTGGCCGTTGCTTGTTTCTCCGTCCTCGCCTTTGCCATCCTGGTATCCATTCAACTGAACAACAACCACATCCATGCACAATATTCTGACCCCAAGCTCAGTTGTATCTCGGTCTGTTCATCGTCGCTCCTGTTCCTCGCCCACCGCACGAGTCTGAGAAGAAATACACAACTATCCTGCCCGACGGATCTATTAGCGACCTCAAAACACAACCGTGTTGGTATGACCATCACGTATCTCTCAAGGTCCAGGCTCGCAGTGGAAAAATTGCTACGAGCGACGCTTTTAAGCCTACCCAACCCGAGGTCCTGGTCACCGTCGTCGTGCCTGCCTACAATGAAGAGCAAAGGATGAGTGGTATGCTCGAGGAGGCTGTCGAGTACCTACAATCCACCTTTCCGCAATCGCAATCTACTACAAGTGATAAGCCCAAAGGCTGGGAGATTCTTGTCGTGAACGACGGCTCTACCGACAAGACCATCGACACAGCTCTGTCCTTTGCTCGCGACCATCAGCTTTCCACACATCCTCACACTCCAGCTGGCCCATGGTCCTCCAATGACGGCCCTAAGACACGGTCCAAGTCTGCTCCCAAAGTCGAAACAGTGCCCACCACCATTCCCCACGGCAGCATTCGCGTCATATCGTTGGAAGAGAACAGAGGAAAAGGAGGAGCCGTCACTCATGGCATGCGTCATGCAAGAGGAGCTTACGTTATTTTCGCTGATGCCGACGGTGCCTCTCGCTTCTCTGACCTGGGCAAGCTGATGGAGAATTGCGATCGTGTCGCTGATGTAAAGGGTAGAGCTGTTGGTGTTGGAAGCCGAGCACACATGGTTGGTAGTGAAGCTGTCGTAAAGGTAAGGATGTCAAGATACATGAAGCTGGGTACCATTACTGACTCCTCCACAGCGCTCTTTCTTGCGAAATGCTCTTATGCACTCTTTCCATCTTCTGCTCCGCCTTCTCACTCCTCCAGCCACATCATCAATCAAGGATACTCAATGCGGCTTCAAGCTTTTCACACGCCCTGCCCTCCCATATATTATTCCATACATGCATAGCGAGGGCTGGATTTTCGATGTCGAGATGCTCATGCTTGCAGAGAGTGCTGGGATTCCCATGGCCGAGGTAGCTATTGGCTGGAAAGAAGTCGGAGGCAGCAAGCTAAATGTTGTCTGGGACTCTTTAGGTATGGCATGGGGACTGGCTGTTTTGAGAGCTGCATGGATGGTGGGCGTCTACCGGAGAGATATCTAAATCGCCTGTTCATCTTCGACCTCATGCATATCGTTTTGACCATAGAGAAAAGCAATTTGATTCACATTTGAAGGCATTGTGGTAGAGCATTCTCGATTAGAAAGGGACTTTTCATTACAGCGATCCTTTGTGCCACGTCTATTTTTACCAACGCTCTAAAGGTTGGCGCATGACTTGGGGTACTGAACGGCTCTCTTTACCCACTTCTTGAGTCTATTGCCGTCAACAGACACAACCATGTTAACCTTCTGAAGGTTTTGGGCTGTGGGCTTGAGTGCTTCTTGATAAGCGTGAATGTTACCATAGCTGGGGCTTGAGGGAGCAGTGTCAACATCAAGGTAGACTGTTTCGAAATGTTAGCAACGAATATCAGATATGAAGGCAAGAATATCTGCTTACAGCTTGTGGTGTTCTTGACAATGGTAGGGTCAAGCAGAATAGCGGCAGCGGTCTCATCCCCTATATGTCATTAGTATAGAGATCGTTAGATGGGATGAGGACGCGTACAGAGAGGGAAGATGGTGCCGTAGTACTCGTGCATCAAAGTAGAGTAAGGGTTCTTGACCTTGTAAATATCGTCAAGGTATTCCTGAGAGACAGTGACCTGGTTGGCGACGTTGCCGGCAATGGCTGGATGTACAGTCAGTCATTGTGTTCCCTCAGAAGCTTCGATTCTGGGATGTAAACTCACTGATGTTAGGGAAAGGAGCAGAAAGGGCAATCTTGGTTCCTTCGGGGTCGATCATCAAGTTGATCTATCGTACTATCAGCAACTTTTGCTCGTCGACCTCCTCTACTTGCACTTACGTCAGAGTTCCAATCAGCTTGCATGGTGCTGCCAGTAACTTGCAAAAGGTTGACATCGATGTAGCCTCCCTAGCACAAGTCTTAGTACAACTGATAAAATGACAGATGACAGCACTTGATACCATAATGATGAGCTCCTTTGCGTTCTTAGCAAAGTCGGGATCCATGCGGACAGCAAGAGCGACGTTGGTCAGAGCACCAGCCGAGTAGATCGAGACCTGACCAGGGTACTTGCGCACTTGCTCAATCATGAACCATGCTGCGTCCTTGGAAGCGAATGTGGTGTTGGGGTAGCCCTCGAAGAAAGCTGCTTTGGACACGCGGCTTGGGTCACCCGAAGTTGGGTCATTGCCCAGTGCTTCGTAGGTCAAGTTCTCTGGTGCAAAGGCTCCTTCCCAGGGTCTATAAGGATTGTCAGAATGATTCTTCACAACAACTTGGCAATTGACGATCCATCTCTAGGACACATCTTTGCTTGACTTACAGTTTACCGTGGACCATCTCCCACTGTGGATGAAATTGTCAGTGTCATTCTCGTATGAACTGATCACCCTGCTTCACTTACAGTCTGGAAGAGTTCAGGAGTATTAAGAATAGGATAGTCTGCTCCCTTGTGTACGGGAATACAAGACAGGTTGCCAACCTCGAGAGTGGCCAAAGCATGTCTACGTTGAATATTATCAGCACGCGACCTCTTGATGATTGATCTGCTATATTTACAATCCAGTCTGCAGTGCCCATGAATTTGCAGTATCAGAAACAAGACCGAGAACATCCCATCCTGCATCGAGTGCCAGGAGGTAGGGAATGAAACCAGCCGTAGACCAGTCATTGTCCATAATGACCTTAGGTCTAGTGCTGTTCATAGCCGATCTTGACTGTAGTTGCTCAAGAGGAGCAGCCCCAGTCAGGCTGGCAGCAGCCAAAGAAGTAGCAGCGAAGAGTTTCGAGAACGAGAGAGACATTGCAAGCATAGAACAAGAAGAAACGATCGACTTGGGAATCACAAACTCCACTTGCCTTTGGCAGCGCCATCCTTTATAGTCACATCTAAATGGCAGAAAAACCATAGCCTTGGCACGTGCTTATCATAGCGATATTCGGATTAAACTTTTGGAAGGTCGATAAGTTGCGGGAGAGGGCACTGCCTTGCTGTCGCGTGGCCAACGGCTGGGGCAGCCAAGGGCAGCCTCTTGAGACCTTTGTGGTCCGTGGTTTGAGTGTTACTGGCAGATGGAAGTGGTGGTGGACCTTGCGGGCTCGGGCAGCCGATGATAGACCCTTGATCGGGCAGATAAGAGAGGTACCTTACCCATATGCGTTGATAAGATACACAAAAGACACTGCATCGGTCAACTCCGTAATGGGATGTCCTGAGATGTATGATGTTTGAAAGAGCTGAAGGATACTGATCAGTACATGCTCGTTACACATTGCTTCGCGTTGAAGAGAAATCGGTGTTATAGCTAGGAAGAAATAGAGCATCAACTTCGCGCGACAGACATGACTCTATGTGTGGGCTTGCTATCGAGTGTCTGAAGCTAAAACCACAGTGAGAGCCATGCAGCATCTGACTGTCGTAAAAAATGACCAATCCCGCGTTCTCGCGGGCATTGTCGGACCGCGTAGACGAGGAGATGGATGACAAAAAGTCAATTGAGATCTTCGACAGGACAAAAGATTGTCGCAGCCGTGAATCGAACACGGGGCTCGTGCATGGCAAGCACGAATTTTACCACTAAACCACTGCGACTTAGATGAAGGCACCTCTGGTAGACATAACTATAAACTTCATCTACCAGCTGTTCGCGTGGATCCAAGATCGCGCAAGCACGCGCTGAATCAAACTTGCATGCTTCATAGAAAGTGCCGTCACAAGTCAACACACATCACACAGCATGGTATGCGCTCCTGGTGGTTCATGGACTTGAAACACAAACCACTAACATCTACAGGCTCGTAACGCAGAAAAGGCGCAAAGTACGCTTTTCAGATGGAGGGCGCAGCAAGCGGCAGACTTGGGCATTCTCGACACAACCCGCACACGGCGACCAAAGGCCATATCGCAACAAGAATCTGTACCGACATGTGAACGCTGGCGTGGGCAGGTGCTCAAGGAGATCTCGCGCAAAGTATCCAAGATCCAGGATCTCTCGCTCTCAGACTTCCAAATCCGCGACCTTAACGACGAACTCAACAAGCTCTTCAAAGAAAAATGGCAATGGGAAATGCGCATCCGCGAACTAGGTGGACCAAATTACATGAGAGGAGGTGGTCGAGTCGTTGATGAAGAAGGTCGTGAGATACAAGGAGGTGGAAAAGGTTACCGCTACTTCGGAAGAGCAAAAGAGTTGCCTGGTGTCAAAGAGCTGTTCGAAGCTGCAAAGGTCAAACCGCAGGAGGAAAAGGCCCTGGAGACACGCTCGGATCTACGCCACAAAGTCGACGCTTCTTACTACGGCTACAATCTTGATGAGGAGGATGGTACACTATTGGCCTACGAGGCACAGAAGGAGAAAGAGGCTCTTGAACATATCATGGAGGACCAGGACGCCGGAGATGCAGATTGGGAGCCTTTACCTGGAGATTCTGGAGACGGTGTCGCGTGGAACCTTCCGACCGCAGAAGAAGTTGAGGCCGAGCTCATTGAGAGAAGGAAACGGAAGTTGCTGGACAAGCTGTGAAGGCATGGCGGCAGTTCGCGCGACCTGCGCAACATGCTCCCGATCCAAGCAACATGCTCTAAAGAGGCCTACGTAGTCACTGACCTTCACACCATATTGGCTAGTCGCCCATGGGACACGCATCCGCTACGATACCCTCACACCAGCCACGAAGGATGAAATCGCTGGCCTAAGGACGGTCCGTCCGACTATCTGTTCTGGGCGATACTTCTGCTTCCAACTGCACTCGAATCCGATTCCTGTAGATAACGAAACCAAGGTCCTCTTAATCCTCAAGGGCCTCAAAAGTCATGCCTTCAATTCTACTTTATTTCCTTCCAAGCGGCCATCACACGTCCGCATGATGTGCCAGCCTACCTATAAAGAGTCTGTCCAGATCAATTCTTAAGCAGGCTTTCCTTTACCTTCACTCTGCAATGGTCCATCTGGGCCTCAGAGTAGTATACAGCCCAGATATCGAACTGGCGAGTTTTGCCTCTTCAGAGCGAGCGGGTTTGTGTGAGGTCAGAAGAAGTGAAGACCGAGAACAATCGTCCAAGTATAATAAATAAGTTAGCGTTCGGAAGATGCCTCTCCACGGTATGATTCCTTATCTTTGGCACAGTGCACGGTCCCTGTAGGTGACGACCGACGTCGCTCTCGCCCTGCTCGACCATCCACGCGGTGTACTCCGGACAGCGGTCGTAGCCGGGCGAGGGACGATTAGGAAACGGCACGGTATCTTCGAGTTGAGATCCTCCATGTTTGTTCGCAACGACGTAAAGCAAAAGATGTAGGAGGACGTCGAGCTCTGTATCGGGGGTCTCCGAGTTCCTCGAGATGGAGAACATAAGCCCGACCATCAGCAAACCCTCTTCTCTTCAGTATATAACCATCTGATAGAACATGTCTCGACTTCTTCAATTTACTCTGAATACGGCCTTCTCCAAGACACATTCATTACGAGCATCTACTACCTTCAAACCTTATCAACTCTGTCCTTACGCCACCATGGCTGTCAAGATTAACAACATCTCAGTACACAAGATCCAACCACCGAAAGGGTCCAAGATTGACTTCGGTGCTGAGATCAGGGGAGCAGACCTGGAGAATCTTTCAGGTAAGAAGTTTTAGTCGTGGCCCTCAAATACTCAAGCTAATGTTATGTTGCTCAACAGAGGAAGATTTCAAAATCATTAGAAATGCTTTGTACGAAAATAGTGTAGTTCTGTTCAAGAACCAACAGTCACTCTCTCCAAAGGCTCAGTTCGAGCTCACACAAAAGTTCGACCCATCTGCTGGCTCATATGGACATGGAAAGACGATCGACGCCAAAAGAAGTGTACTTCACCCTGACCTCAAGACAATCCCTCACCAACCTCAAGTCCAAGTGATTGGAAACGGCCCAGTTGCTGAGTTTGAGGGACTCAAGGACATTACACTCAAGCACCCTCACCACAAGACCTTCCACAAGACACCAATCAGCGAGGCTGACGACCGAGATGCAACACGATTCTACCGCTGGCACATCGATGCCGCATTGTATGATCTGTCTCCGCCTAAAGTTACCAGTCTCATGGCTGTCAAGGTTCCCAAGACCGAAACTCAGACCTTGAGATATGACGACGGAAGCAACGATGAGATGAAAGTGCCTCGCGGAAGCACTGCATTTGTGAGCTCATACCGCATGTACGATCTCCTCTCCGAAGCCGACAAGGAGTTTGCTAGAACCACAAAGGTTCAATACGCAGCACACCCCTACATCTGGATGTCGCCCGCAAGATCAAGGAGTGACGGTCTTGGGCTGGTCTCAGACGGACTCGAACTTCCTCGAGAAGAACTGCCACCTATCGACGAGTCAAAGATCAAGATCTTGCCCATGTGCTGGCGCAATCCAGTGACCGGACGTCTTGCTCTGCAAGTCCATCCTTCTGCGGTAGAGAAGCTTCACCTTGCCGATGGTACCGTCATCAGTGATCTGAAGGAAGTTCGAGACATTGTTCACAGGCTTCAAAGACCTGGAATTGCTCCCGAACTAGTGTATGCAGTCAATTGGGACGAGGGAGATCTTGCGCTGTTCAACAACGAAGGTGTGATTCACTCGGTCACAGGCTCCTTCCTGCCTGAGGAGGTTCGCATCTTCAGACAGTGCAACTTGGCGGCTTCTCAAGACCCCCTTGGCCCGGCGTGATACAAGCATACAACTCAGGGACATGAAATGATGAATAGATTTGCTTTCTTTATATACATTTCAAAATTGCAACGAGTTCTAGATTTGCCTATACGACTAGATCAAGACGACCCTGTGTTCACAGCCCTGAGAAGTTCTCTATTGGATGATAATAGAGTAGAAGTGAACAAATGTTGTCGAAAGCCATTCAACCCTCATGAGCTGCTATACATGATATGAATGTAGTAATTGATACATTTGCTGACCGCAAGATCTGCTAGAAAGATCGCAGACTGCATTGACAAAAAGAAAGCGATGCATGCTGGTTATTACTTTGGGTATACTCTAGCTAATTTTACCGAATGAATCATAAGTCTTTAGGATTTCTGCGCAGACTGTCTGCGTCGCATCAACTTCTCGGCATTCCTCTGCATGAATGACTCTCCTAGACTGCCACTGGTCTGTTGTTTGCTATAGCTCGGTCGAGAAAAGGAACCGTACAAAGAACCTTGGGCTGGTAGTTCTTCTGATACCTGGTCGTTGAATAGCAGCTGAGGATCTTCTCGCACAGAAGGCCTTGAGAAGCCTGGTGATATGGGCTGAGCTGAAGAAGAAGACGATGTTTCAAAACTCGCGATGGGGATGTTGAGGCTGGACGCATGGCTGGCTGGAGAGATATCCCTGTCGCTAGGGCTAGCCGGACTTGCCGCGCGCAAGGTGGATTCAGAGTCCAGACCCGAGTCAATATCTGCATCGATATCCTCTATTTGCGTCGTGTACATTTCTGAAGAGCCAGTGTTATCAAACTCCTCGTCCATAGAGAAGGGTGAAGCGAGCTCAAGGTCGTCCTGGGGGCTGGCCTTAGTTTGCAGAGGTTCTTGAGACACGCCGGTCCCGCGGGCAGCTGAGGCAAACCCGAGACTCAATCCACCAGGTTGACCACCAGTCTGGGGGCTCTGAGAATTGCTTGATTCAGCTGTGTCCAGCGACGGCGATTTTGGAGAGGTGGGTTCGCGTGTCTCTGCTCGTGTGGGCTGAGCGGGTGCTTGTATTTCAATGTGTTCAGCACCGAGTTCGTTGTCCGGACGATGATTCGTGTCTCTATCTGCGCTCGAGAGGATGTTATCACTTGGCGCAACCACCTCATCACCTACGATCAGTGACACACGCTTCTTGCTGGAGAGTCTTGGACCAGCCGAAGGTGACTTTAGAGCCGATACCAGGCTTCTTCCTTGATCTAAGCCAGATGAAGGAGTCCTTGGGCCCAAGCCCCGCCTGTGCGCTGAGGACTTGTTGTCACCGACGGGGTCAGTGTTGGCTCGCTGAAGAGCCTGGCGATCGGGTGAGATGGTGGTTGAGACAGCAGCATCGCTGAGGGCAGGAGCAGAAGGAGAGCGACCAGGACCAGAGGGTCTGTTCTCGAGTAATGGAAGATATGCAGGGGTGAAGAGACCTAGAAGCTCACTTTCCCGTTCATGGCTCTTTTCATTCGTGGCTCGTGCGTCTTGGTTGTTGTCAGCAGCATGTGCAGGCTGGTCAGCAGACGTGGTGGTAGGCGAGGCATTTCCAGAGGGTTTTATGGCAGGTGGGGGTTGAGATCGATAGCGGGTGCGCAACTCGCGCTCGTATAGCTTGAATTCCCTCTCTTTCTGAGCAATGAACTTGTGGATCTGATCGTCGAGCTGGCGGCGTTTCTGGTCGAGTTCTTTCACGAAGCCGTCTACATCGCCTTGAGCCTCGGCGACGACTTCCAGGCTTCTGCGTCGCGAAGCGTGGCGGCCCTCGGCAGGACGCGGACTCGGAGACTGGTTCTGAGGGGCGTCGGGAGTCGAATTGGGGGGTTGTGACAGGGTGTCTTTGTTGTCTTGATGGATGACTCGTTGAGCTTCAGCTTCGACATCAGGTTTGGCGTCAGCTTCTCCAGGCATGGGCAGCGATGCGGGGCCAGCCGCTAGGCAGTCGACAATGGTGCTCATATGCAGCTTTCAATTAAGGAGGCAGCTGCTCTGATCGGGAATCGTCAGTCCAATCGAGGCCGGACGGAGGGATTAGGCGAGCGGCGTCGAGTACCATGTGCTTCTGCGCCCTGAGAGCTCTGTGTACCTGGTGCGCGGGAAGGTGGGGGGTGACCACGAGGCTGTCAGAGCCGATGCGAAAATCAAGGCGCAAGCTTCAATTCAAGCTGGGTAGGACAGGACAAAGAATCGACCTGTCTCGAATTGCCATGGATATGTACAGGAATGCCATCTTCTCAGTTCATCCAGCTGCAGCCCTGGACGAGTAGAGTTGCTGATAAGAGCCGCACCCGAGCTAACCTTGAACGTACAATACATTGTCCTGATCGGGTCTGGACGCCTTCTCATTCGCGTGCGTCATTCTCGTTCGCGACCGACCCGCGAACCGGTGCATGCTTGCTCAGCCCTGACTATTTTGTTTGCATCAAGACTCTCGCCTCGCCTTGTGCACCGAGCAGCTTGCCGTCACCGTCGACTCTGGTGAACATGCTCCTCTAGTTTGTGAACTCTGTCGAACTTTTTTGTCGGCCGATCGTCTTTGGTTCATCGACTTTGCTAGTCATATTCTACAGAAGCGACTTCTTCTCCGAGGTTGGTCACGTATCCGCTGCTGCTGCTGTGAACGAGTGCGACGACCTTTTCTGCCCACGGCGTGCCGCTTGGCCACCCCAACATCTACCAGACCCTTCTTTTTTTCCCTGTCCTCCGCCTGCTCGCTGCCGACTTGCAACAAAACAATCTCCACTCCAAGCGATTCGTCGCACCCATGGAGGTCGAAGGAGATGACAGGACTGACATGTCCTTGCGGCGAGAGCGTGCCGTCATCGCAGCACAAGCCTGTCAAACTTGTCGGAGCCGGTAAGATCAGACAAATCACTCGCCATCTGTTGCTGTGCTTTACTAACTGCTTGCTTTGCGACTACTAGGAAATCGAAATGTGATGAGCAGAGGCCAAAGTGTGGCCTCTGTAGGCGCCTGAGTGTCGAGTGTGTCTACCGCGAACCTCAGCCTACAAAGTAAGTCTGGCTTAGAGTAGTCTGCGTGCCCATCGCTAAGCTGTGCCATGTGTAGAAAGGACAAGACCATGATTTATATTCTTCAGACTTTGCAACGGTTGGAAAATAAGTTCGATACCCTTTATGTGTCCAAACCATCCACGCCAGCAAGCAATACCGATTGGAACACCCCACAGACTGCATCACGTCCACCAGGAGTCAACGGCACCATGGCTGCTTCCGGATCCAACGAGTCTCACGTATCATCTGATAGCGAGATACGTCCAGGGCGTCGCATCGGATCTCAAACATCATTTCCCCCTGACATGCTGCGTACTTATCAACACCTGACTGTGGCTCACAAAGTCTTGCTGTGGCCATCAATTTACCTACATATTCTCAATTCTGGAATTGCCGTAGCTTCGGACCTACAATATGTGCTTCAAGAAGGAACACCTTGGTTTATCCACCTTGAGTTGCACAAGCATCCAAAGACACTTCCCTGGGATACCGACATGCGAACATACCCGATGCCCAGTAGTACAGGGGAGATGAGAGCTGGATTCATCGGCTTGACGCCAGAGAATGTGCGGAGAATGAGTGATGCATACTTCAGTACCTTCAACATCCTGTTTCCAATTCTCGACAGACAAATGTTTATCGAAGATATCCTCGAACCTGTTCTGAGAAACGGCTTCGCAGATTGTGATCCTCATGGCTGCCTTGTCCTTCTTGTCTTGGCTCTTGGCCAGACTGCCATCGATGGTGTTTACGGTTCTCCAATCAGCATCATTGAGGGTAATCCCAGTGGTTTACGTGGAGGCACATCTGAGAGACCACCTGGCTTGAATCTTTTCAACGAGGCCCGGAGACGCATGGGCTTCATCATGCATCAATGCACGCTTGAGAATGTGCAAATTCATCTGCTTGAATCGTAAGTAGTATGGTGTTTGGCGTTTTCATTGCTGACACAGTTCACAGTGCGTACTACGAAGCTTGCGCTCGACACATGGTAAGCAGGATTCTCACAAGACGATATACACAGTGCGATTGAACCTTTTGCGCAGGACTTTTGGCGAGCCACGGTTGCAGCATCAACTTCTTGTCAAATCCTTATCAAATGGTATGAAGATTTTCTGCATGCCAATGACACATGAGCTGACCATGTTCTAGCGAATCTATCGATTGGTCTACACCACGAGCAGACCTCATCAAACGCGCCTACTGGGCGTGTATGCTCAGCGAAGAGTAAGCCATGCCTCACGCGGGGTTAATACTGCTGATACTGACAATGAGTAGTATGTATCATCTTGAACTGGATCTCTCACAAACAGGAATTCATACTCTAGAGGATCAAGTGCCACTCCCTTACTTCCATGGCGCGGAAAGTAACTACGGCAGTCCCTCAGACGAAAAATCGCATTTCCAGTATCATTTCCTCGCAATGATAGCATTGCGCAGATTGGTGGCGCGTATCCACGAGTCAATACATTGCTGTGAGTGTCTGCTGGATAAACCGAGGATAGAAGCTCACTGTTTGCAGCATCTAACTCGTCGGCTGAGCTGTCGGAAGACTATGGTGGTCCGCCAGTTCATGTTATCAAGGAACTAGCTCGACAACTGGAATCGTGGCGCTCATTACTACCCCGACCTCTGCAATGGTCAGACAACGACAAGACAGAATTCCCCAACATGGGTTCGACAGGACGACAAGGCACAGACTCACTCTTCTCGATGGACCAAGGATCTGTTCCGATCAACCACCGAGACAATCTGGACATCATGACAGCACAACTGAGGACGCAATTCTACTATGCACGATTTATGATCTATCGGCCTTTTGTTTACAAGGCTTTGCACTTCCCTGAGCTGATGACGGAAGAGGACCAAATATGCTGCGCTCTGGCGATTCAATCGGCGTGTCTATGGCCACTGGTGCTTGCGCCGCCCAAGAACAAGAAGCGATTGGTGCCGCATCTGTTCACATGGACGCAGAACTTTGTGGGCATATTGCTTATACTGCGCATGACGACGGAGAATGAATGCTTGAAGAAGATATGCAATGAGAGAGTGAACCGAAAGGACCTGGAGCAGACGACAACGTTGATGTTGGAGTGGATCCAGGACATCAAACAAGTAGACGGAATCGCAGAATGGAGCTGGAAAATGCTTGGACCTCTGTACTCGAGGCATGGATGATAGGTTGAAGGGTGTTGAGGGAGAATATCAAGTAGCACCGACAATAAAAACAACAAAAGTGAAGGTACCTAGTACTTTGATCTCGTGAACAATGATGTACTCGTAGAGCCTAGACGTGGAACCTAGGAAGGGTCAACGCCAAGCAAAAGAGAGGCGGCATCCGAGGCCAAATCAAGGCAAGTCGTCGCGACAAATTATTATTGTCAGGCGATTGACAGACAACGCAATTGCAGACGTGACAAGCACCTAAAGAAAGAAAGAGGCGGACAAGAATGAGCACAAATTGAGGCAGCCATGGACTTGCCATGTTTCGAAGCCGTAGACGAGTGCCATCAGAAGGAGCGCTCCGGGTGCTGCGCCAGCTCGCATACATCTCATCTGGTACCGCATGCGGTGCCGCCGCCCTCGTAGCAGAAGAGCGCCGCCGCCAGACGAACCTCGTTTCCAAGATCGCCGAGAACTCGCGCCGCTTGAAACAACACCCCCGCTACCAGCATGCCCACGCCGCTCATCGCAGACTCGCCGACGATGCTTCCTACGACGACGCCACATCCCACCCCAATGAGGCGTCTATACCAGACGAAGACCTGGTTCCACAGGCAGAAACCTTCCGAAATTCTCTGCTACCATACGAGGTTGAGCGAGGATACGCCAAACTCAACGCACACCAACCACTCAACGACGATAAGAGCCAACCTACTCACAACCCTCGGCTGAAACAACAGACAGCCCACAAGTCAAAGGCTGACCTATCCTTCTTGACGACCGCTCTCAAATCCTATGGCCCGGCCAGCGCAGTGGCCAGGTTCAACAAGCGCTGCGACAGGCTTATTGACACTAACCAGAGAAATACTGCCTTCGGTCTTCTCAGAGCAGCCTTCGATCATTTTAAACAGGAGAGCATAATCATTGATGCACTTCAATATGCTGCCACTCGTCTATTCTATTCCTACCTAGCTGAGCAGAGCTTCAAGAACTGTCGCAAGCTGTTGGATCGTATGGAGCAGCAAGGATGGTCCATCACAAACTGTCTAGACAGCCTTGCACTTGCCTGTACCGAGCCTCTTCGCTCCACAGAGTTGGTTCAGTTGAACGAAAAATATGGTGACAGGTTTGCTTTTCCCCAAAGCACCTATCCTGCTTTGTGTGCAGCATACTCGACACGGAATCCCGAGTTCTGCGCCATGCTGTTTGCGAAACACATACCCAGGTCAGATCGCCTTTCAGTGCTCCCTTCATGTGAGTCTGCCTGGCCTGCCATAATCAACCACATGTGGTCTGTCACTCACAGTTACAATCTGGTCGACTCGCTTTTTGTCCACATGTGCAAATCAGTAGACCAACCGCCTCTTGCTCTCTACAATGCAATGATTCAAGTTTGTCTCCAATTTGGCAGAGTTGACCGAGCTCATGACCATCTCAATACCATTCAGCAGAGCAAACACATGCAACCGGACGTTATTACTTTTGGCCACTTTGTCTACAAGACTTCTTCGGATGCCGATTGGCCAGCCATAGACGTCTTGATGGCCATGCTGGTCCGAGCAGGAGAAACGGAAGCGACTCCAGAGAAACGTACTGATCTGTTTATCCCTGTCCTCAAGGCATATGCCAGGAGTCATCATCCCGAAGAAGTCTGGGCTTTCGCTTTCAAAGCTATCGACCAATATGGCGTTCTTCCCGATCCACGTATCTTGGACATCGGTCTTGGAAACCTCATCAGGATTGGCCGCTTGGGAATGATACAACCATGGGTCAAGAAAATGTCAACTTACGATCAAGGTGCACAGATCACCTCAAAAACAGCCTTGACCATGATGCGGCAGTTCTACTTCGACACCAGACCCTCTCATACCGTCTTGGTGTGGCTCTGCCGTCATCTGACGAATAACGTGCCAGAGTACTGGTCTCCTGGCATCCTTACTTTGTTACGTGAGGCTGTAGCATACGATATTCGAGGCTATCGAGAGAGCCAAGCTCACAGGAGGCGGCATGCAATGTATATGCTCGACATGTTGCAACAAGTCAACTTCGACTCGCCGAGCTTGCCAAAACCTCTCTCTTGGTATGAGTTACAGCAGCTTACAGAACGTGACCTGACTACCGCTCCACCTTTTGATACAAATATCAGTCCACAGAGTGCAATACACGATGAACCACGGGCGAAAACTCGGCCCGAGGATCTGAACGATCTGCAGCCATTAGAGGATGATGAGCCATCCGCGTATGATCTCCCAGATACTGCACTCTCTACAGCTACTCGGAAGAAATTATCAAACGAGCACGAGATGCTCATGGCTATGTCCAAAGGTCAGTACGCCCAAGTTCTGAATTTGTACGAAAGCAGTCTGGGACAGAGTGGCTTGCCTGCTTCATCGTATTCTCTCGAACTGGCGATGCAGGCCCGTACGAAGTTGCCAGACGATGCTGGAACGCTCGGTGACTATATCGACACGGCAAGTGAAGCTGGTATGGACACAATAGCGGCATTGATACCGCTTCTGAACCATCAGGTACAGAACGCTGTCGTAGGCTCGCGCATGCATATCAATGAGCTCTGCGAAACCGTACGATCTTTCTATGAGAACATGGTCAAGAATAATGTCGCCATCAGGCATCACCTCGCCACGTCAGCAGCAACGGTCCTGCTTCGAAACAACAAGGCGAACGACGCAATCCAGCTGCTCTCGCAGATCTACCATTCGAGATGGGCCGAAAAAGTGCCCTTTGATCTGCCGACCATGACTGTATTGCTACAAGCATACGTCCACGTGTCTCACAGCTCGGGCGTCGAGTGGGTCATCAAGGAGGTTCTTGCATGGGACTATCGCATTGACTACGGCTTCATGACCGTGTTACGAAATGCAAGAAGGACAGCCGAGAGACGAGCACAAGTCGGAGGTGATAAGGGCATGAATAATCTCAGACTGTCAAGAATGCTAGAGTATTACGCAGACGTCTGCAGAGCAAAGCAGAAGACACAAATCAAGCGCGCATCACGTTTTGGAAATCGTCTTGTCAAGGCCATGATCAGGCTTGCGAGACCGACATCAACAAGAGAACCCTGGCAGCGACGAGCAGAGCGTCACGGGCTTGATCCTGACATGTGGTCGCATCGTGGAACCATGTGGCGGGTCAAGTATCCCTACCACAAGAGAGTTCGACGACGAGGACGGAGACGGCCTTCACCTGTGGCCGAAGAAGGAATCGAGCAAGAGCAGGTCGAGAAAGAACAAAGTGAACTAGATTTGACATGGTAGGCGGCATGACATTGCATTAGCAGTTCCTTCCTGGAGAAATGGCGTTATCAAGGCGTGGAAAAAAGGCATCTCACGAGCCTGCGGGGTTGTACATATATCTGGAGCATTTGGACACCATTTTTGGTCACTTGTAGAAATTCTTCTGTACTTATATGAATGAACTGTATAAAGAACATTTGAAACTGCTTTTTTGGTATTCGTAGTCGTCAAAAAACTTTCGATGACATGGCTTTGAAGGTATTATGCTAGTCCAGTCCCTCTATCTCTCGACTGTAATGCACAGCTTTTCGACCCCTATATGGTTCGCTGCCTTTCTTTGGGTTCTGCACGTACTGGGTATGTGCTACCTCGGCTTGTCTCCGCTTGACATACTCTCGCAGATATGCATTGCCACTTCATCCCTTCTCAGTTGCCGTCCACCGCTCAGTCCTCATCCCAGTTGGGGTTGGGGCCTGGTGGCTTGGGGCCACCTGCCTGGCGGGCAACAATGATCTGGTCGACACTAAGGACTGTTCTAGCAGACTCAGTAGCGAGCTTGATAGCCCATTGCTTGGTGACCATGAGGTCAAGAATGCCCTCATCTTGAGCGTCAAGCACACCATCGCCGTTGTTGTTCTCAATGTCAACACCAGCACTGCAGACGCTGCTGTCCTTTGACGACTTTGCGCTGTGTGCAGTGTAGAGGGAAGCAAGGATCTCAGTGGCGTCGAGACCGGCGCTCTCGGCCAAGAGACGGGGCACCACCTCGAATGCCTCTGCGTATTTGCGGATGGCGTATTGTGAGAGACCCGAGGTCTTGTCTGCAAAGGCGGAAATGCGCTCGACGAGCTGCATCTCGGCGGCTCCGGCACCGGGGACGAGACGGGCGTCTCTGGTGATGGCCTTGACGACGTTGACACCGTCGTCGACGGCGCGCTCTACGTCTTCAAGGTGGTTCTGGGTGGCGCCACGGAGGACGAGGGTGGCAGTGCGGGTGGTGTCGTTCTCCTGGCGGAAGACGGTGACGCGATCTCCACCAATCTCGATTGTCTCGACGATGTCGACGGAACCCATCTCGTCGGGCATAGGGGCACCAAGACGAGCAAGAGGAGTGGCGCCAACGACTCTGCAGAGGCGGCGGAGCTCGAACTTGGACATGATCTTGATGACAAGGATACCGTAACGGTTGAGGTAGTGCATGGGCAGCTCACCGACGGTGCTTCCAGCAACAACAACGCGGACACCCGAATCGTGCAGCTCCTTGATGGCCTGGTCGATTTGTGATTCCTCGCCCTTGGTGAAGTCGAGCATCTCCTGGGCATTCTTGAGCAGCACAGTGCCCTTGGTCTCGGTCTGTGCAATGTCGATAGGGCAGCTGAAGACACCGACCTTTGCCTTTTGAACGTTCTTGACGGTGCCTTCGGGCTCACGGCCAAAGACCATACCCTTCACGACACGCGACTGCTCAATCGAGCCACCCATGATCTTGACGACACGGACATTGTCCACGTTGAAGTTGAAGGTGTTCTTGGGCAGGACGGCAAGGACAGCTTCGGCGACCAGGTTGGCCAGAACCTCCTCGTGGCCGGATTGTTTGGCAGCGATGACGGTACGAAGAGCCTTGGACAGCTCCTCCTGGTCGCGCAAGTCCTTGACACGGTCGACCTCGAGTTCCTCCAGCACTCTCAGGGCCTCCTGACCAGCACGCTCGTAACCGACGACAATGTCACTGGTCTTGAGACCCATGCGCAACAACTCCTCAGCCTTCTTGAGCAATTCTCCAGCCAGCACAATAACCATGTTTGTAGCGTCGCCCATCTCGGCCTCTTGCTGTTGACTAGCCATGACCAGTAGCTTAGCAGCGGGGTGCACGACTTCGAGCTCCCTGAGGATAGTGGCGGCGTCCGAGGTGAGGATCATCTTTTGCAGGTGGTTGATGACAATCTTGTTGCGTCCATAGGGGCCTAGCGATGTAGCCACGGTATCTGAGATGGTTCGACATGCGTCAATGTTGCGCACGACTGCGCCGTCTTCGGCATCGTAGCTGGTTGCGTGTTAGTCGTCTGCTTCTACTTGTTAAGCTCCATCGTTGGTGAGCTCTGCCATCATCGTGGTGCTTGACATGGCTGAATGGGCGACGCTGGACTCACTTTTGGTATCCGGCCTTGAACAGGCCGCTGTTGGGCGCATTCGGTATTGAGAGCGACATTGTGGTGTGTGCAAGTGGTTGGCAAACAAATAATTATGCTTCCCTGGCCCTGATCTTGAAAACATACGCCGCACTCCCGTCGACCCTCCGCGCCAAGATGTTCTCCCGCTGCAGTTGCAGCTGCTCTCCGACCTCCTCTACCACTTCATTTTCCATTGCTTGTTTTCACTTCCAGTACTTATTTTCACGCACCTTTCTCATCGATCATTGTTCTTGTCGTCGCCTCTATGTGCCTGTCAAATCTGTGACTTCATGTCTTCCTCGTACAACTTCGTAGAACAACATGCAATCTATGTCGACTGCAGATAGACATCTTCAACGGAGCCTGTAGAATAGAGATTCTCTTATGAAAGTCCCTCTATTTCTCAAAAAAAAAACAATACAGATCTGGAGCTGTCGAGATACTCTTCTCATTTGCCTGCTACACTGCTTGCGTGTTCTGCTACTCATCCTATCACGAGTTGTGCCAAACAATGTAGATGAAATGTTGAAAGCTGATGTGTTTAAAAAGACAAGTAATAAACGAAAACAACGATGATAGCCAAAGAAGAAAGATCAAAAGTGTAAAGGGGTATTGCGCCTCTCTGGCTGCAGCCTCTGCTGCTGACCACTGCCGCCGTTCATCTCCTGCTGACATGCCTGCTATGCTTCAGCGGCTCTCGACAATTAAACATATGAAAACAGAATCTCGTCCGCACACAGGTATGAAGAGAAAAAGAAAAACCTGGTGCCCTCCACTCTTACCCAACAACTTCCACCGATCAATTATCCTCCGGAACACGTCAAGAAAAAAAAAAGGAGAAACGAAAATTATTCTTCTTCCACAGCGTAATCTCCCCCAGTCCCGCCAGGGAGGGCTTTCTTACTTTTGTACAGTGGGTGAGCTGCGCCTCACCCTGCACATCATCCAACGTCCTGCGCCATCCAACGCCTTTGACATATGCTCTTTTTTTTTTTTTGGCTTTGTGTTGTATTCTTGGTCGTTGCTTTACAGTGCCACGTCGAGCACTAGGCTGACATCACTGACTTGTGATCCTGCAAGATCTTCCAGCACCGGGATAAGGTCCAGAAGTTCGTTGTCATGAGCGTCCGAGAACCAACTGCTGATGGGCACGGCGTGCTGAGGATGGAAAATGTACGAGGTAGGTGAGTTGTCAATGATGATAGTTTCCTTGAGGTCGCGGCCAACTTGCGAGAGATCCTTGACGTAGTTGCCCTGGTGGTTGTAGCAGCTCTCGCGGAACAATCTGTGATGTACCACGCCATGAATGTCTAGTTGGTCGAGAAGCGGATCACCATACTACAAAAGAGTCAGTTTCACGCTCGTGAAGCAAACCCAGCACAAGTGCAACATACCTTCGAAACCGAAGCGGTGAACACGACGACCTCATACAGCTCTCCCACCCTCTTCATGAATGCGTCGACACCTGGTCTTTTGATAACATAGACATTATGGTATGTCCCTTCTATTTCCACAGGGATAGTAAAGTCTGCTTGGTGTAAAATCTGTTTTACGTACGGTCAGCATTTAATGTCTATGGTTCTCAAGTTGGCAGACTAACCTTGAAACTGCTGTGAACAAGAGTCTCATCCAGATCCAGGATTAGGCATTTCCTGCCCTTGTGTTCCGGTCTCACAGATGGCAACAACCACTTCTGGGGCTCGGGACTAGGTACCAACGAAGTATCTTGGCTGGCCGTGTAGGGGTGGGCCACCTGTGCCTGGCGCTCAACCAATGGTGGGGGAGGAGGTAGATCGACGCGCGAGCCAGACTCACGGCGGGCAGAGACATGAGTTTCATCCTCAGATGTACCAGCTACGTCGTTGGCCGAGAGAGGTAACGAAGGGCCAACATCAGTCATTTCAATGTCCGTGTCCCTAGCCTGTTGTTCCGGAGTCCGGTCGGCAATCACAAGATCTTCGTCTGCAGTCGTCGCAATAGGAGTAGGGGCTTGAACAATGACATCAGGTTGAGTGAGGTAGGGTGCATCCGAAGAGGCCTGCGTTTGCGGATCTTGGCCATGTGTCGAACCAGTGATAGGCATTCCAGACGCTATTTGAGGCGCAGAAACACCTTCGGATCTGGGCTCGGGCTGATTTTGAGCAGCCGAAGACATCTTTTCACTCTCCGCATTGGCTGAGGTACCGCTTGGTTCGGCAGGATAAGGGTTGGTAGCCGGCTTCTCGTCGATAGTATCCACTGATTGCATTGTCGGGTTGGAGTTGATTGATGGTTGTTGGTCCACCTGAGAGGGTTGCGCAGGCACCGACTGGCGAGAAGGCACATCTTGTTCACCATCTTGAGCATCGTCCGAGGAGCCACAGCAGTTCAAGAACGACAGGAACTTGGATTTCTTTTTCGGACGGGCAGCATTAGACTGAGTGGTGGCTCCGGAGAGCGGACGGGTGGGTTTTTCGCTCATTGAAGCGCGGGCACGGTGAGATCGTTTGCTGCTTGCGTTGCTTCCGGCACGGGCACGTGGGCGCAGACTACGTTTTGAGCGACGAGGTGCGACGACGGGCTGGGTTGGAGCGGTAGGAGACGAATGGTCAGGATTGTCGAGTGAAGATGGCGAGGGTATGGCAGTGGTTTCACTGTTTGTGGTTTCGGCTGCGGTACGGAGGGAGTCGGGGGCTTGAAGTAAGGTCTGTCGAGGTTCGGCCATAACTGCATACGTCAGAATGGGCGTGCAGGCACATGCATGATGCGGATGGTGTATGGCATACACAGGAGTAATTAATCTATCGTAACTTCTTGATGCGCAAAGGCATGTAACAGTGGTTGGTGAGGATAAAGAACGTCGAGTCGTGTGGGTGGTGGTATCTTGAGTGAAAGAGTGACTTGGCGGACGGCAGAGCAGGAGCAGAGATGCAGGCGCTTAAACACTCGACGAGACTCGGGGCAGAGCGGTGTCGTCCAGCAGAGTCGGGCGCGGCGGCGTCGACGAGGTTCGGACGGGCAGAGCGGAGCGGGGCGAGGCAAGCGGATCAAGTCGCCGTGGTCGTCGTGCAGTCGCAGATCAAGGTCGAAGATGGACGACGACGCTGTATGTTTGGAAGATGATGGCTGGTGCCAAGGCAGCTGGGCCGTGCGTCCCGCGTCCGCAGACTAATCTCAACTGAATAATAAGGTCAATTTACTTTGGCCTTCCGCTCAGCACGGCTGCTTGTGCTTCGGTGCTACGCTACGCGACCCTTGTCGCCCTGTGCCATCTAATACCTGGGCCAATCCATGCGCGTTCCTGCAGCTGTTCTCCTGATCTGCCTGGGCTCCTGCCACCTGCTTTCCCACCAGCCATCATGTCGTGATCAGAGATTTGCTTTGCTGCAACCAGTCACCAGTGATGGCTGTAAACAAACCCCGCCATCAAAGCTTGACCCCAATTCTCTTTAATTGCTGTGCCCGTTTGGCCCCAGCAACGCCTGCTCTTCTTCCAAACACCGCTCCAGCCGTCAAGCCGCAACCTGCTCCACATTAGCTCTATCACTTCTTTCGTCATCTCAGCTTTGCTTACCTCCAGGATAGTTCGCATAAAACAGTCCGCCGACTATTTCTCCTGCTGCAAACAGTCCCTCGATCCTGCTTCCATCATTTCTCACCACATTTGCTGTAGTAGGCTCAACTGCCAGTCCTCCAAACGAAAAGGTTATACCCGAAGTTACTCGAACGGCGGTGAAAGGCCCTTTTACAACAGGTAACGCCCAGTTTGATTTGGGCAGCTCCAACGCCATCCGAGATGACTGCGTCGAAAGTCCGTCCTTGATCGATGGGTCAAGCTTCGCATCAGGATACTCTTCGCGGTGTGCACGCACCGCTGCGTTGTAGTCGTTGATCGTACGCACGAATTGCTGTGGCTCTTGCAATCCCTCTTCCATGAGCTTCTGTGCCAACTCTTCAAGGTTCTCTGCTCGAATCTTGCGAACAATGTCGTCACGATACTCTTCCTCTCGCAACCAACCAACGGCGTCTGCGTCCCAAACCTGGAAAGCTAGTGCTTCTGGTTGCTCGAGAATTGCTCTTCCAAATTTGGCATATGTGTAACTGAGTCTACAGTTAGTATGATTCTTGTGTACGGATGGTACTCATAGCAGTCAAGCAACCACCTGGTGTCAGAATCTTCTGACGCTGGTCGTCCAATGTTATATGCAGCTTTGCCTTACGTACTTCCTAAGGTCAAAGCCTTCGTCGACAAACCGTTGACCGTGGATATTGAGCATGAGCCCAAGCGGATATCCACTCTTGGTAAACTCATTGGTTTTGTCTCTGTCACCGCCATCCGGAGACGAATTTGCGTCCCAGCTAACGCTGTGGCAACCTGTGTGGCTGTAATCGCCAGCTTTCTTTGCGTCTAGATTCAGAGCTGCCAAAAGCATGTCGCCTGTGTTGTAGGGTGTGCCACGCACATGGGCGTATCTCCAATTCGCTCCCATAAAGGTCTCTCTGAGTTGCTGATTTGCTTCAAATCCACCAGCGCACAGAATGACGCTGGGAGCATATAGCTCAGATGTAGAATCTGCGTTGTTTGGATCTGAAACTCTCACTCCAGCTATACTTTCTCCGTTAAGACGCAAGCTTTCGACCTTTGTGTCAAACAAGGTAACGACGCCCTTTGCAGCGACAGCATCAGACAAGTTTTTGATCAGGCCTTTGCCGCCGTCCTTAACAGTAAGTGCTAGACCGCCCCAAAACTTCCATCTCCCTTGTACTTCATAGGCTTGACGTCGGAAACTGAGCCACCAGTCCACATTTCCATGCTCCTTGAGCCAGCGCACCGCATCCAGACTGTCCTTGACAAGCACAGCCCCTAGTCCTTTGTCGCTGCGACCTCCTGTCACACGTTGCAAGTCGTGTTGAAAGTCTTCGGTGGTGTAAGGTGCTAGATCAATCTTATCGTTCAACTCCGGCGGTACGTTGGATACCAATGGTAGTAGAGATGACAGTCCGTCGTGAGCAGTACGATATGCACCAGCTGTAAAGTAGCCATTGCCTCCTCTCCATTCACGTGGTGCCTTCTCGACTATGACAATGCGCAGTTCAGGGTTGGAGACTTTGGCTGAGAGAGCTGCCGTCAGTCCAGCCGCGCCAGATCCGACGACGATAACATCGTAGTGGTTTGCTTCGGGCATCATTTTAAAAGATTTCAGTAGAGCCTAAGATCTTGTGTCGGAAGAATATACATTGTCATCTTGGTTATGCCACGGCATTGACGTGCTTCCCTCGGTAGACCCTTCGGGGAGAACTGCGAAGGCATGTCGATCCTTCCATGTACGACCTCCCTGAAGACAGTCACAGTGTAGCTATGTAAAGGCACAATATTCTTCGAAAATATGTTGTCTCCACAGAGAGAACAGCATCAAAGGCTATCTCTATGGTCAAACTCATGTTTGGATTGCAACTGTGCATTGCGATAGCTTAAGATGACTCTTGTACTTCGAATGCAGGAGTGATTCCTAGTAGCGAGATTGTGGCTCTCTACCACACGGGAAGGAATATTTAACGACGTTGTCCTATATGCTGCAACGATACAGACAGCAGTCTTAAAAGCCTTTCGAATACCATGTTCGATGAAAGCAGGCGTAGATAGATATCAACACTGGATGAACAAGGAGAAGCAGCAATTAGAGCGACAGGGTCACACCAATAACACAATTGACGAACATGTTGGATGAATGCATTATTAGGATCGTTTTAGCAATTTTGTCATCCGATAGCTTACACAGACAGCCTGCTGCCATTCAATACCATTGCCTCAGATCGACATCCGCTCCGTACACGCCGAGAACATTCCATCAAACAAACATGCAAACTATGATGAAATACCCTGATGTTAGACTGAGGTAGATAGACCTCGAGATGCCCGTCGGAGACTGACCAACTCAAGTTGAGGCACTTCCAGCATCTGGACTTCTTTCTCATATTCCTGCTCCTTGTCGTTCATCTTTCTCCACCAGGCAACAAATTCAGCAGCTGTTGACTCAGGCACAGGATGTACACCATCGCATCGAAGATCCAGCCAAAGTCTGTCCACAGACTTGCCAATGTGTCTGAAGCGAACCAACGTTTCCGTACGTAAGTGCTCGAGCTCGGCCTCATATGAACGCAGAAATGTTTCCCAGGCGCTCTCATCAAATTGTTGATCGGCACTGAAGGTTAGTTCATTCGAAGCTTTGCGAGAGATTGGACTCATCAGCGGCGATTGGGAACCAGCAGACTCCGAGACACGTCGAACTCTGGTGGCCAAGATGGCGTTAACATGTTCAAGACTGACTTTGTCACGAAAGGATGCATTCATCTCATCCACCTCGTCGCCCATGATGCTATCTTGTGGAGTGAAAGACGGTACATCTGGACTGGTGGAAAAAGTGCTGCCAAAACTTGTCTGGAGTGAAGAAAGAGCCGGTCGCGAGCGAGGAGAGGATATCTCGAAAGGGTCTGTAGTAGAGAATTGGGGCGATCCAATGGCGGAGCATTCCGACGTAGTACGCGAGAGATGTAGATTCGGTCTGGAGGGCCAGCCTCGGTGAAGACTTTCGTTGTCGAGCTTATCGATTCGAGCCAGAGCCGTGCAAACAGCAGCGCCCGCAGCCTGCCAATCGTCAAGCTCTGTCAAAAGAGACTCAGGCAAGCGGACCCTGAGGTCTGACGGGATCGTCCATTCGACAATGAAGGCGGCGTTGTAGTAGAAGGTATCAGAGTCGGCATCAGCAGGCATCTCGTGTTCCTGTTTGCGTTTGAAGTCCGTCTCTAGGCTTGAAATCGTGATTCAGTCAGCACAATGCCCAGTGGAGCGGATTATGTGTGCATTTGAGTAGGTTTATTCGCCCCAGCTACCACGCATTTACAGAATGGGGGCTCTGCTGGAAATAAGCATCATTCTGGATTTTACGTACTACGTGCGGTGTGAGACGCGTGACTGTCTCCACGAAGGACGACGATGGCGAGGTTGAGCTGCGGAAGGCATAGTGGAGCTGTTTTGATGGATGCAAATATTCAAAGAGGCAGCAACATCAAACGGCGATGCGCTGGGGTTGAAAGAGCAGGAGGTTTGATAGGATCTTCAAGAGGGTGATGAAAACGACATTGTAGAGGAAGATATCGAGGAAGTGGAAGTGTCAGTTATAAGGAGGAAAGAGCTCAATAGAGCTAATCAAAGCAAGAGCTACCCGTGTACCAAGACATCCGAAGCTGTCCATTGTTCCCAGGAAATAGGTGACTGTCAAGGAAAGGAAGGACTACCAATCTTTCGCGAGAGATTCCGCATATTGATGGTTGTCTTTATTGCGAACGCCTACTTCTATATTCATCAGCAAGCACATATCTGTTGTACATCGTCTAATCAGAAGAATCCTCAAGACTCACGTTGCGAGTTCACTATAGACTCGAAGGGTCGCACATCAGTATCTGCTCAGCCATCATCCATAACGATAGTCTTGATTTCGTGATGTTGAAAATTAAGTTTCAGCCAACGAACGATGTTCAGTGGTTAAAGCCAAAAGATACAGCAAACCTCTTTGATTGGATGGACAAGCATCACTTTCTACTGCCAGATCAGAGTATAGATGTGTGAGCTGACCTGCACCAAATATGGAGAGGAGCACAGTGAAATGGTAAGATAGTCAAAATGTGATGCTTTTTTGTTCAGCCGAGTACAGAAGGGATCTCAAAACCGGACGAGTATAAAGACCGGCGTCGGACGCTCAGAGTAAGTCCAAGATGGTATATCGCGAGGAGGCAGAAAGGACAAAAATATAGAAAGTCTACTCGAGACTAGAAAAGAAAAAGAAACAGTCAGCAGGGTAAAAAGAAAACAAAGAGGAAACTTACCGTTCAATCAGATGCAGACCAGAGGCAGTTTCAACTACATGGCTGACCTCGCCAGGCTTCAAAGCGAATGCAGCGTCCTCAAACTCCTTCTGCATGTCGCCCTTACCAAAGAAACCGCTGGAAGAAAATAGTCAGTGGATGAAATGATCTGAGAAGACGCAGAGAAACATACAGATCACCTCTCTTCCTGGAGCTGCTGCAATCACTCTCGGTGGTAGCCAGGTCACCAAGACTGGTTGCGCCGCTTCTGATTCTGGCTTCATGACCGAGGATGATGGTCATAGCCTCGTCCTTGGAGCGAGTAATTTGGGCCTCACGCCAACTCGAGGGACGGCGAGAGTCTTTGTGCTTGACGAGCAGATGCGAGGCGCGGATCTTGCCCTCTTGTTGGCCCTGGCCGTCGGGTCGCAGGCTAGCAGAGCTGTGGTAGGTGCCCATGTAATGCTTCAGCGTCTCGCTGTCAGTGCCGGAAGGAGGCTCCCATCTGCTCTCCTTGGTAGAAGGGTTGAAATAGTAGGGAAGGTTCTTGGAGTTGGAGTGTCTAACCTCCCAGCCGCTGGGAAGACCGGTAGCCTGGAGAGAGAAGGACGTGTCAGAGAAAAGCGCGACAGTTGGAATGGAGCGGCGACGAGTGGAGGACAAGACGATGGCGGGGAAAAGAACGACTCACCATGATTCTGGAGATATGCGGATTCGACTGGATTGGATTCGCTTGTTCAGGTACACGCCTTGACAGAAAGATGGAGAGTGCGGGGGTGATTGCTGTGTTGTCGAGACTCAAAGCCGAACTGCGACTCGGACCTTGCGAAGGAAGAGACGCGCTTGGCACGTTGGCACGGCGCCGATGCCCTAACTCGCTGCTCCTTCCAACTTTGTGACTTTCATCATACCAGCCCGAACCTGTCGCCTTTGCGCCTGCTCCATCTTAGACATCGCCGCTCCTCGCTCTTAATATCGCATTTCCAAGTCACGCGACCCAAGGACCGTACCTTCTCTCCCTCACAACCATGGCCTCCCACGACTCCCCTTCGGACGACACCAGCAACGCCCAGAATGAGAAGATCAAGTTCAGATTCTGTCGCGAATGGTACACCTGACCTCATGCGCATCCTTCTTTGCGTGCGCTGACTGTCTGCGCCAGTTCAAACATGCTCTATCCGCGCGAGGACAAGGAGACGGATCAGCTCATCTTCCAGTGCCGCAACTGCCAGTGGCCCACTGCCGTCGGACCAACCTGCATTTACCGTAACGAAGTCATGGGCAACTTGATCGAAACCGCTGGTGTCGTTACAGATGTCGCCTCAGACCCAACAGTACGTCACAGCCCCGCGCGCATCCGCCTGAACCGCGCTGACTCTGTTATAGCTACCTCGTGTTGAGAGAGACTGCAACAACCCACGATGCGGAGGAAGAGAAGCCGTCTTCTTTCAGAGTCAGATGCGTAATGCAGAGACTGGCATGAAGCTCTTCTACGTTTGCTGCGAATGCGGCAAGACTACTACCTAACGATTCGAAGATTTGCATTTCTGGCGTACACGGTTGCATGGGAATTTGGAGTCTTTGCTCGGGTTGGACATATTGGAAAGTCATGAGGAGAAGGAAGAGAATACAGGCACAGCTTGAGCAGAGAGGGTGGAAAGGAAGACGCCAAAGCAGAGGGGCAATTTTGTATTCATGCTGATGCCGCATGAGATGAGATTGGTCTAGCATCAAAACTGGCTGCTTTGACCCGCTTGACGCTTTACAACATATCGAATATTCCTCCTAATCGTACACGGCAATCTTTATTGCCAAAAAGCAGTGTGTCCGTCCGCTGTTCCCCAAACCGTGTCGCCAAAAACGCCTGTGCTATGCTCCAAGAAACCCCAGACTTTTGCCCATCTCTTACAAGTGCATGGGAGCCAAACTCAGGATCTTGGACCACTGCATGTTGCGAAGCTCGCTTCCGACGATACCTAGATGGCGTCAGTTGATATGCGACAACCAAGGCGGCCATTATGCGCACCGTTCAATCTTGAACCAATGGGCTCTCCTCCCTTGTTGATGAGAACGCAGGCGTTGTCGTCGAACTTGACAACACTGCCATCGGGTCGTTGGTATTTCTTTGCGGTACGGACGACAACGGCGTGTCTGATGTCGCCACGGCGAACTTTGTTGGCTGCGCTGATGGACACACTGCCTCCGGGGCCTGACTCGGGACCAAAGTTGCGCTGCTTCTGAACGACGACGATGATACGGTCGCCTAGAGAATGGAGTCAGATGCTGGCGAGGAGGACGTCACTGGGATAGGCGTAGAGTGCTGACCGATCTTTGCGGCTCTCTTCATCTTGAGCACCTTGACACACTCGACCAGGGCGGCGCCTGAGTTGTCGATGCAGTTGAGCATAGACTGGCGACCAACAGTCAGTGCGTGTGATACATGGACTCTTGTATACAACCGACCTTGAGCTGGATCATGTTTGCGACGGGCCTTTCAGTTATTCTACTTCGTACAACGACTACTCGGTCAAGTTTGGCTGGTTGCGATTGATTGATTAAACTTCAAACAGGCGAGGATTTGCCGGCTGTTCGGCGCGCGTCTTCCCCATTCCCACGTCCGTCAGGGCCCGCTATTGTCGTGATTGTTGTTCGTCCTTGTCGTCTGCATTGTGACTCGGTTCAGTCTTTCACTGCCCGCCGGGCGCATTGTCGTCGAGAGTAATCATGCCCATTAGGTGAAACCTCGCGCTCCTTGTCTGTTTCTTGGTGCTATTGTCCAGTCCGGCGCATCGCATTCCTCTGTTTTCATTCATCACCTTCCTCCTTTCCTGTTCCCACGCTTCGCTCCTTCCAACCAGCCCCCCCTTTTGTTTGAGGTTTCTCTGTTTTTCTGCACAATCAATATGCCGTCGCGCACTCCCTCTTTGGAAGATTCGCTGGCTAAAAAGGGAGGTCTGACCCTGGCCCGACTCGTCGACTACGATGACCGCATCACGGATGCACTTATCGATCGCGTGAGTACTCGTCGCAACCAAGTGCTCCACCCTGGACACTCACCGTCTACAGGTCTACTACTGGACTACCATTCGTAAGCTGTGTACCAACCGCCCCCTCGGATCTCGGGGCATCAGAGAAGACGATGTCGCACGCATTCTGCAGACTCATGTAATCTTGAACAAGGATGCCGCCTCGGCCGCCCAGCATTTGTTGCAATTACCTGCTCTGGCCCGCTACCTCAACGCACTCCCCTCCAAGGAAGAGAGGAAACACTTCCAGGACCACTTCAGGAAATATGTCAATATCTATCTTCCCGATTGTCCCTTCGAAGTTACAACAACCAACCGCTATACCATCACCACCCATGAGGCTGCAACCGTCGCTCGCAAACACATTCGCAGAAACGAGACCATCAAATATATGACTGGCGTCCAAGTTGCCATGTCCGAAGCTGAGGAGAAGATCCTTGGCGTGAACGACTTCAGTGTTGTTATGTCGAGTCGCAAGAAGCGCCCATCTCTATTTCTTGGTCCTGCGCGCTTCGCCAACCATGATTGTAACGCGAATGCCAAGCTCGTCACCTTGGGTCACAATGGCATGACGATTGTCAGCGTCCGAGACATTGACATTGGCGAGGAGATTACTGTTACCTACGGAGAGGACTATTTTGGTGAGGACAACTGCGAGTGCTTATGCGCAACCTGTGAACGTCTCCTACGGAATGGCTGGTCCAGGCGACCGATAGTGTCTAGGCCCGGCAGCGACTCTCCAGAGCCGCAATCGTCTACGAAGAACAAGCGAAAGTTTACACCAGAACCTTCATCTGCTGTCGCAAGTCCTTCTTCGTCTAAGCGTCAAAAGCTTCACGTTCCATCTTCATCACCGAAGGCCTCGCCACGCATCTCAACCATTAAAAAAGAAATTAGTATCTCTTCAACGCTGGACCTGTCGCCCCAAGTCTCTGGAATCAAGCGAGAGATCAGTGCTTCTTCAACTTCCAGAGTCGTCACCGCGAATGACAGCGAAAGCGATACTTTCGGATCAGCTTTTTTCAAGCCGAAACAAATACTTAAACATCGTTATGGAAAAGTCGGCCGGCCATCCAAACGAACACTCGAAACTACGCGCTCTATTTCTCCATCATCCTCCACCACAGAAGACGTCTCGCAGACATCTTCAGTCACAACAGATCCCACGTCCGTCGATGAACCGCCGGCCGAATCTGATTTATCAGACCTTTCCGAAAGCTACGAGTTGGATGATACATTGCGCGAAGTTATTCAACGGAAGCCTAAACCAGTCAAGATGACGACAAGACAAAGCCTACGGAAACAACTCTCTGTACCAATACCCACCATTGAAGGCACCGATTCAGATGTTGAAGAGGATTCAGCAGTAGATCGCAGGAAGCCTGGAGACTACACGTTGACAGCTCGCTTGCTAACAAGCGCTGTGTCACGCTGGGTCGAATGCCGCAATTGTGACGACTACTTTATACAACACGAGGCCAAACTGACGCGCATCAACTGCCCCCGCTGTGAGAGACATAGTAAGCTCTACGGTTACGCCTGGCCAAAGACAGACAAGGAGGGCAAGAACGACACGGAAGAACGAATTCTCGATCATCGTACTGTCAACCGTTTTCTGCATCCAAGTGAGGAGCGAACCACCAAAAAGAGTCGCAAAAGCTTGAGTCAAATGGTTTCAGAAAGAGAGAGAAGTTTGCGAGAGAGTGAAGAGGCAGAATCACAAGAAGGTAGAAGAAGAAGTAGGAGAAGATTTAGCTCATAACGCATTATGTATTATTTGTATCTATATTATTAGGCATAGCAACATTCATCATAACATGCTTCAACATTCAAACTTGCTTTTTCCTTCCATCATCAACATATCATCACCTTTTTTACATCGTGAATTTGCTCATCTTACGGATCTTACTTCCGTAGAAGAAGAACAGGATTGGAACAGGGAACAGGGCCAGTGTAAGGAAACCCAGCAGGGACATGGCCTGATAGATTGATCAGCGCTGTTGACGTGAGAATAGAAAAGGTCTTGTGCTTACCCATGGAACTCCAAGGTTATCGAACATGTAGGTCGCGAACATAGGGAAGCCAGCTCCCAACCATGAACGGAAGAAAGTGTTTGCAGCAATTGCTGAGTTGGCGTTGGCTTTGTAGACGTCGATGATATAATTCCTGTGAGGGCAAATTAGCATAACATACTGAAGACGTAAGATTTGTCAACTTACAATCCTTGCAAGAAAATAAGCAGAATACCACCGCCGATAAAGCTGCCAGAAATAACTTCAGGCACCCAGATAATGTTTGGGTTTGAAGTCCAGGCGAACCAGAACATGCCAATGGGCAGAATAGCACCACCAACGATCATGGGGATCATTCGTTCCTCTGGCACCACATCGCCAGTCTCTTCCATCTTTCTGGCAAACCTCGTCTTGGTGAAGTAAGCGATGAAGCACGATCCAAAGGCGACTCCGACGATGATGGCTGCAAAAGGCAAAGCACCAACTCCAGCATTCCAACCACGTTCCTGTTGGAAGGCAATGGGATATGCCTCGAAACAGAGGTACAGGAATCCATAAATAAATCCCATGTAAAGCGTCACCTAGGTAATCAGCATGATCTCACAACCTTTGGGGTGAAATACCACGACTTTGCTGAATGAGTGCCTCCCTCTGTCACACACGGCACAGGGCCTTGCGTACAGACCGAGACGAAACGCCAGCACTAGTCGTGGTATTTGATCTTAGGCTGGACTTACTGCAACTAGGATAGGTTCCATGGCCAGCATTTGGAAAGGCTTCAGTAGGTAGCGGTGTGCGAGATCCTTGAGGTCGACCTCGTTCTCATCAGCCTTGGCATGGATGGCCCAGTTCTTTGTGGCAAAGCGAATCTTCTTTGCTCTGCGAGACAGCAGAACGGGAGCGAGAGTCTGAGAGTGTCAGTGTTGGAAATAATTTGTGAATATTGATAGTCGTGTACCTCAGGGATGAGGAGGAATCCGATGATACCAAAGAACGCCGCCATGATCAATGTGATCCAAGCAGTCCATCTCCAACCACTGCCGAAAAATTAGTCCGATACTCTGCCTGAGATAGTCGATGGTTCTTACAGGTAGCTCATAGTAATGAAGCCTCCAACAATAGGACCCGCCACGGGGCCGATGAAAGTTGCCGATGCGAAAACAGCGACTGCAATACCGCGATCGACTGGTCCAAAGATACTACCGGCCCTCAGTTAGCAAAGTTTGGGACATTAGGGCTTCATACTTCTTACTCTGCAAGTAAACCTCCAACAATTCCAAGGGGAGCCGATGCTGCGAAACCTCCAAAGAACCTACAGATGAAGATTGTGTAAACATTCTGGGCAACCTAGAAGTCCGGAGTGGTCAGTAAGTGTCTTGTAGAAAGGCACAGCGTGTTTGACTAACCGCAACGGGAATCTGAAAGATAGCGAATATGAAGAATCCTGTGAAGAGAGGAATCTTGCGACCATACAGCTCCGAGAAGGGACTCCAGACAATTGGTCCTGAATATTGTCAGAATGTTAAGTTCTGCAATGCTTTCGCCCATCGAGACTCACCAAATGCAAAACCAAGAACGAACAAGGAGGTTCCTAAAATCATGACCTCCTCACTGACACCGAACAATTGCGAGGTAGGAGTTGTTGCAGTACTGAACACGGACGAGGCGAAGGTCACGGAGAATGTCATCAAACCAGCGACGACTGTGATTATCCATTTCTTCCACTCGGGGAAGTTCATTGGGTTGCCTGGGTCGTCGGGGCCGTCCCAGTCAACCAGGTTGGGATCCTTTTCCTCTTTGTCTTCGCCCTCATCCTTCTCATCATTCTTCTCACTGAGGTTGCCGTTGGTGCGTTCTCTTTGCATCTCAACATCGGCTTCTGTACTGAAGTTTTCCTCGTTCAATCCTGCTGTAATACCTGCTGGAAGACCGGTCTTCATTTTTGGCTTGCTGTTCTTCTGGTTATCGTCATCCTTTGATTCACCAGTAGGATCCGAGATGCTTGATGAGGTTGAGTGTGCAGTGGTAGTCCCAGAAATGCTGGCAGCCCTGCTCTGCTGTTCATTGTCATTGTCGAGAGGTACGTGTTGGTTTGAGGCCAAAAGTCCATCGGGAGCATAAGTCTGGCGACCACTGGCCGTTCTGATAATGCCATCTCCATAGTGTTCAGCCATGGTAGTTATAACCGGATACTTTCCAGGTAGGAAACCAGCAAAAGAATAATCGAAACTACTGAACAACCTACTTTTCTGACGGGCACTCTACCCTTTATTCATCAAGATCTATACGTTCGGGTTCCTCGGAAGACACAGGCTTCTACTCAAAATCCTTCATGAATTGTAGTGATGGAGGTTGGCAATGACGCCATGCACCCAAACGCTATCGATTCTTTTTGAAATAGTTTTGGCAGGGCAAATAGGGACACGCCGTTGAACTAGCTTTCCCTCGGAGCATTTTTTGCCTACAGGATGCAACCCACATGCTGTCAGAGACTGGTTAGACCGATGATGAGCAAAAGGGTCTGGCAGAAATATCTGTATGCTCACCGACGCCTCTAAGCAGAGTGTCGCTATGCGAGAGCCTTCATCGCTCAGCCTTCACTGTTATTTTCAGGACAGATTTTGTGCATCGCGATGGCCCGGGATCTGTAACGCAATAATGTATAGAGGCGTGTGACGACATTGTCGCCCGTCGCTCTGTCGAGCCGTCGAGACAGCCATGGTTTCCAGAACACCACCGCAGAGCCTCAAAACCTCGTCACAATAGGTGGCTTGTGCCTCGAACAGATGCCGACCAAACTTTAAAATCGATCCTTCGATGTACAAGATACAGAATATGCGACAAGTTAACTGCCGTAACGAACAAAAAGATAATTGAGGCATGTTTTGGCGATGGACAAAAAGAATAGTTGAACAACCGATTGATCAGATCATATCCACATACATCTGAATTGAACCATTTTGGGCAATGCTTGGTTGCGGATACATAGTACAGGTATAATACATGAGTCGTCAGCGCTGAGCAGCAGGCTATACTGAAAGCTCAGACTTGTGCGACAGGTGTGGGCTCCGGAATGGGCTGCTTCATAGCCTGGGCCTCCCTGTCCACAATGGTGGCTTCTCTGGCAGGGTCGGAGAAGCTGATATCTCCACTAGCAATATCAGAGTCGTGAACTCTGTCAAGGTCTCTGAGGTTCTTTCTCATGTAGCTGACGACATTTGCGACAGCAGCAGCATCAACGTTCTCGTCACCGCCGAAGACGTTCCTCCACACTGCAGTAGCAAGGACAGCATCACCCTTGACCAAGCCCTCGTCGTAGGCAGCGAGAACACCGCGCCATTGCACAAAGAGATCCTTGAGGTACTTGTTGCGCACACTGCGAGCGGCGATATTGTGCAAGGCGGCCATACGGTCTTCGGCAGCGTAGAAGTAGTGATCCAGCAAGTTCTGATGCCAGTGGTGGGCGTGCTGTTGAGGGAACATCCTCAGACGTACGGTAACGAGATACATGTGCAAGAAAGTGATTTGAGCCCAGGTGTTAAAGGTCGGGGTTAGACCCAGCTCTGTGAGATTAAGTCAGCCTGCTGTGAATTGAGATCGGATGTCTGGACGAGTCACACCTTCATACCACCAACCCGAGCCAACACCCAGGTCCTCGCCCTTAGCCGACCTGAGCGGCTCTTCGCCTTCAGCAACGGTAGGCATGGTGTAATCACCAGCGCGAGCGCATGCGCGGAAAAGATCCTCGGTAGCACCGTAGGCGACATATGGTTCTGTGGCAGCCTTCATCTGTTTCTGTGCCCGCATGCGCTGGGCGAACTTCTGCATGGTCGACGCATCTGGGCCATCCTGGCTCTTTCCTGCTTCACAACGGCTGGCAGTGGTCGTGAGGGTACGTCCTAGGAACTGGCCACGAGGCGAAAGGCGGTTGTGCACAATGCGACCCTAAGAAAAGCTGGTCAGACGCTGCTTGATTCTTGCTGTCGAAGCAGACTCACGTTGATCTGTCGAGCAGAAGCTTGTCTCAATGCGCGAACGCAGCTGTTGCAGACATTGTTGGAGGCCATTGTGTGGTTGTGCTATGGGTTTGCTGTTTGTAAAAGTATGAGTATGGGCAAAATTCCATGACCGACACAACATGCAGCTTGCACATGCTCCCCCAGACGATGCGTGATGGATTCACAAATTGATGACATCAATACATTTTTCAAAACTCCTCAGCATCACTCTTGATCACAGCCGAGCAGTCATCAATGAAGGCATATTCGAGAAAGCAAAAAACCAAATATGCATAATGAATCAAGCTTGTCACTAGATATGTTCAAAATCCCCGTCGCTTTCGCTTTTTTTCGCCAAAAACACTTCTACGCCCTCCTAAATTTTCATACAGCGAAGGTTAATCTATCTTATCAAACAGCCAGCGCTTGACAAGAGCCTAGTCATCATAGATCAATCATTGAATCATCTCTGTGCTGTGTTAGCATCTGTCTGCATGAAAGAATGTTTTGTACTCACGCGTCCTCTGCGCTGCCCACCACCACCAACCTGCCCTTGTTGTGGAGGATAGTAGCCTACAGGATACTGGTAGCCGCCCATTCCCACGCTAGGGCTGAATCCTGGGGGAGCGTATCCGTTCTGTACTGCATGTGCGCCAGGTGCTGCAATAGGCGATGCATTGAGGCTTCCTCTGCCATAAGGATCCATCATCTGAGGTGCTCCTGGCCCAAAACCATTCATCGGAGGGTAGAATCCACCAGGACGCTGAGCCGCGGCGTGCTGCTGCGCGAGGATAGCCTGTTGGTACTGAATCTGCTGAGGCGTAACCGGTGAAATATTTGACATCGCCGGACTATGGGTATAGGCTGGAGTCATGAGCCCTGAGTTTCCATAAGGATCAAAGGCGTTGGAGTCTATACTGGCGGTTCTTTGAAGCGTAGGTCCCATCATGTGCTCGAGCGGCTGCTGAGGCGTCATGTTTCCGTACGCTTGACGGCCATAAACATTTTGGTTCTCGAGATGAGCCATGTGGCCATTTGCACCGGGACCTCTAGAGGAGGATCGAGTTTGGCTAGCATCACGGCTGGCCGATGCTCCTCCATGACGGGTCGACAAGCCGACCTCGTCCATCAAACGTTTGTAGCCCTGCTGGGGCTGTGCCTTGAGGCGGAGCAACACGTTACGAACGTTTTCCAGAACCTCTGGACGCATCTTCTCGTCAAGGAAGGGTGTCGTGAGTACCTTGAAGATGAATGTTGCGCCGCAAGCTGAATCACTGAGTACGTCTTGCAACACACTGTCGTTAGGCGAGAAGAACAAAGCACGAAGAACTGCTTCGCGGGCGTCCGCTTCGCTTCTTTGGTTAATGATCTTGAGCACGGTGAGGTATGCAACCTTGTGCGTACACAGATGGACCAAGTGGGGAATCAGTCGTGGAGCAAGCACAGATCGACGGCGAGGGAAAGTGCAAGTGTCCAAGAACCAAGTCAACAACAAAGCTCCGTTGGTGTTGGTGGCAAGCTGGACGCTGTGAAGAGCAATAGCAGATGCCAGCATTCTTTGTTGGTCTCGAGAAGCAAAATGGCTTTCGAGACAAGCTCTCATAGCGCGAGCACCAAATCTGCCCTGAGCAACCTCCCACAGCCTTTGGAGCATGGCGTCGAAGATAAAGTCATTGTGTGGGGCCTGGAAACGCAAGCAGCACTGGATAACGTAGTTACCATATTGGTCCAGGAACAATGCCAGTGTGTATGGGCGCAATGCATCGACAATCATGTTGATCTGGGCGGGGGTCTTGGCCACATCGATGATCTTCTGAGCAGCCCAAGTGCCGTTCTTGTGAACACCAATCTCGGCAAGATGAGGAGCGATTTCACGCAGCATGGCCTCTTTCACAGGCTCTGAGCAGTATTCGAACAACTTCTGAACGACCGTGTTACCAAGATAGTCGGAAGCAAGCTCGGCAATCTCAGGAAGCATGTCCATGGCAATGTTTTCAATCTCAGCAGGCGAGCAGCTGTTGTTGTCGATGCGCTTCCTGATTTCACGCAAGCGAGGAGCATCGTGAACACGATTCGGGCTAGGCTCTGGGACGCCAGGAATCTCAGGATGATACAAATCGTAGCTAATAGCTTGCTCGACATTGGCGTTGATTCTGACCTGTTCCTCCTTGTTGGCACCTAGTTCCTGAATAATGCCATAGATTTCGCTGCGCATATCGCGTAGATTTGGAGTGAGCAAGGCGGCAGCTGCAGTCTCTGCATTGATGTTTATGGGCTTGAGACCAGCTGAGTCGCTTGCATTGCCGATCTGGCTGTCGCGTGCGAAAGGATCAGGACTGGGGGAGTGGAAGGAGCCGGGCGCGCCAGGAGTGACTGTGTTGCTTGGAACTTTTGCGTAGCCAATGCGAATAGGACCAGCTCCAGGGAAGATCTCCTTGTTGTTAAGCTGAGATTTAGCCTGGACAGCACTTTCTAGGTTCTCAAAGTTTACAAAGCCACAACTTTTATGGGTGAGAACTCTGGTAGATTCGATAGGTCCGAAGTTGCCGAAAATGACATTCAATGAAGAAACAGTGGTCGAAGGTGGAATATTGCCGAGCCAGAGAGCACGTGTTGGGTTCTCTAGGAGGTTATCGTCAGAGACATCGAGCATTGGCTTTTGATCCAGATGCATCTGCTGCACAGCATCGGTAAGTCCACTATAGTCGAGGCCCTCTTGCTCTTGGAAGTCGGATGCGGAGATGCTGTTGTCCAGACGTGAAGGGGTAGGGATGTAGTTGCGGAGAAGTCTGGAAGAAGGAGAGTCGAGCACACCTGCGGTCCTCGCACGAGGTCTGCTAGCGCTGGCTAGGTTGGTGAAAGCTTGGACCTCGAGATTGTGCTGACGGACAGCCTCCTGGACAGCGAGAGCTTGAGCGGCAGTGATATCTGCACTAGATGGGACGCCGTAGATGCTTCCATAAGCATCGTAATCATCCTCCTCGTCATCAGCATACTTTTCCTTGGCATTGACCGAATAGGATCTGAAGCGATTCACGTTTCTGTTGTAAGCGTTCAGAGCGGCGAGGTCAGCAATGGTCGGGCCTGGAATGCCTGGTTGAGCAGTACCGATCATGTTAGGATGATGCGGTCTACCAGACTGAGGGGCATCAACAAGACCAAGGTAGTCCAAAGTCTTGACATCATTGTCGTTAAAAGAGTCACGCGAGGAATGTGCAGGAGACGAGGGACCGTCGGAGGAGCGGATGCTCTGCAGTGTGGATGCTCTTTCTCGGCCGGAAGTCCACCCATTGGAAAAGTACGGCGGTCCAAAGCCTCCAGGCGTGTTGTTGAGAAGCGCGGGGCGCTGAGGCATAGAACCCGCTCTCAGGCGAGAAAGCAGCGATTTCTGAGAAGGGTTGATGGCGGAGGCTGTGGCTGTGCTCGACTCTGGAGGTGTACCGATGCTGGCCTGAAGAGGGCTGGTAGAAGGCGTCGGACGGGAAGTCTTTGGTAACAATGACGGCTGAGACGACGGGTGACCAAGAGTACCGACAGGAGGAAATCGCGACGGCACGGTACCCGCTCGCATGCGGCGACCGGTAGCAGGTGCTTCGGAAAGGTCGGTAGCGGACTGGTCAAAGTCTGGGAAACTGTCGCTGCTTGGGCTCTCTGGGATGGTCTCGCGCAGAGGAGTCGAATGGCCACTGCCTGAAGTTGGTGGGCCCCATATCTGTGGGCTCACGCCTTCTTGAGCCTGAATTTCTCGAGCTCTGGTGCATTCTGTGTCAGTCGTTGTAGATCGAAGATAGCCTTGAAGATGTCTCACCTTTTGCTGAACAACCGACTACCATATTCCTTCGAGGGGGAGCCAGCTCCGGACCTATTGATCAAACCAATGGCACCAGCAGAGGCCAAGCTATTGCCTAGCGGGTATCTCAATCCCGAGCCTGAGGGAGGCTCGTTGGGTGAGTTGGCGGTTGTGGAGGAAGCTGAGCGGGATTGGAAGTTGACTTGGGGCAGGTTGTCAAGGTTGATCTTGTGTTCGGGACGCGCGGAGTGGGCCATGGCTATGCAGACACAGCGATGTGATGCAGTATGGGGCTGGTTTGCCAGAAACCGAAGTACGTTGGAGCGTCCAGTCTAGCTGGTTGTCGTGAATGCGTTAGATTCGATGGCTTGTAGGTTTGAGGGTGTCGATCGAAGTGGTTGACAATGTATGATCGAGGGCGGCGATGAGGACAGCGTGTCAAAGCTTGCGGACAAAGGAGCTTTGGCTTCTGAGACGTGACGGGAAGATACAGCAAGAATTCGAGGGGAGAGAGACGAAGCGGAAACAAGTGCCGCGTGCCTCGATGAGAACAGTGTGTTTGTGAAGGTCTTCAGGGGAACGCGAGCCAAGAAAACGGTGACGGGCCTGGAAGAGCCACTCGGAGCTTTGGATGATGACGAATGGGAAGGGCGCTGGGTAGGTGCTATGCAGAGACGAATGTGGATGCAGATGCAGATGCAGATGGGCTTGATGCAGAAGATTGCACAAAGAATATGTACTGAGAAGTGAAGGATGAGCGGAAGAAGCAGTTGGCAGCTTGTGGAGATGTCAGTTTTGTCAACTTGCATCAAATGTGGGGGACTCGGGAGCGTCCTCGACATCGACTTGCAACATCTTTCCCTCAAGATAACTACGGACGGCCACAAATCATGGATCAATCAGATAAGCTTTTGGTAAAGCTGCAATAGTCAGACTTTGGATGTGTCCTAGAGATTTCAATTTTGCCCAAGTTTCGACTGTGGTTTCGGCTGTCATTGTCAAATCTCTAAGAGCTTTCCGTAGTGTATCATTTCTCCCATTGTCGGCTTTTTGATAGCAAGTTCAGCAGCCTCGACAAGAGATTTGAGCTGCTTCAGCAATCTACAAGCTCAATGCTCGTCACAGTTTTTAAACAAGGCAAAAGGCAGAAAGAGGTCGATAGGTTGCCACAAACAAGGGTGTCTCCCTATAGCTTCAATGTAGTGTTTTGTTCTTGCCGAGGATCGTAACACGATAAATATCTACAGAAGCTAGGTGCAGAGGCAAGTTGGTGACCCCAGTTCATCAGACGTCAATATCCTCGAACAAGGATTGTGATTAGCATCCTAGTCAGCATCGTTCCCAGGGAAGAGAAGACTCTCAAGACAATATCGAGATCAACCATTGTACCAACCGCGAGTACCGATAGCTGCTTCACTTCCACCAGTACCACGATGCGGAATCAACGGTTCGTTGATCTTGAACGCTTGTATCAAACACTGCCAGGTGCTATAATCTATGCTGAAAACAGCCTGATGTCGCATGGCGCTCTTTTCGCGTTGCTGCGCTACTGTATGTGGTGTCGCGGGTACTGTTTTCTGTCAAAGACTGGATCTTTACGAGGCTCACCAAGACGACTTACCGAGGGTAGGCAACCCATTATCGTCCATGTGCAGACCGACATTGCCTTCTTTTATCAAGAAACTAATGTAGAAGATGTTCTCCACAGTTTGGCTGAAACTGTGAGGATTGATAGCGAAATCGAAAAGACTTGGTCCACCAGTGGGAGTAATGCGATGTCGCTTCATCTCTGCCAATGCTTGGTCTTCGTCCAGATCACCAAGTGCTTCTATTTCTGCGATAGCCGTTTCACAGTGGTTGTCAAGTATCTTCTTTATGTTCTGACACAATGTTGTCAAGGCATTGTTCTCATTTGTTTGGAGATCGCGTTCAGTCAAGGCTTCTGGGCGGACTTCCTTAACAGTAGAATCTTTGCGTTGACGAGCACGACGTTGGGTCTGGACGCGAATCTTTTTCTGGACAGAGAGTGGGCCAAGCAGGAAACTCGGAGCAGGGGGCCTTAGATTGTGAGGGAAGCAGGCATGTGTACCAAGGTGAGCCCAGTCAAGGACATCGTTTGCATCTTGATCATCATCCTCGTCACCATCGTCATCACGACGGCTCTGTCTTTGTCTGCGGCGCTGTGTTGAGGAGGCAGAAGTATGACCATGGTCGTTCCTCATAAACATGATGCATTTGGATACGAACTCGTCAATGTCGACGCCGGTCGAGTTGTCGCCGAGGGTAAGCTGAGCAGATGCCTTCAGGAGCATGTCCGAGATACCGACAAACAAGCGAGAGTCGACAGTAGCATCTGATGTCTGCTTGACACCATGGAAATTTTCATTTGCTCGGTCGATGACGGACTCGAGCCGGCCGCCATCCTGAAGGTAGACATCCCGGTTCTCTGGAGGGTGTTAGACTGTGTGCCCTGCTGGAAGTGGAATACAAGGACAAGCACCATTGAACTCGCGCTCCAATGCACGGGACTTTTTCTTTATTTCCTGGCGTTCGTGTTGGTCTTGGGTGGGATCGTAGAAGCGCGATTCGTCGAGTTCTTGGTCGTGGGCAGCGGTAGCGGTAGGACGAGCTTGTGTTCTCCTCCTCTTAGCAGAGTGAGAGTCAGATGTTGTTGACTGCATGCGGCCTTTTCCTTTATCGCGGGGAGCTAGATCCGACTGGTTTTCTTTATCGGAAGAGAGATTGGGAGAGGATGGCGCGACGGATGATGCAGCGACAGAAAGATGCGACGAAAGGGCAGGAGTCTCGGAAGGGCGCTGGTTTACACGAGCCATCGCTCAGCGAAAGTTGCGATGGTGAACAAACGAATGGCGACGAGCAGCAGCAGCGGATGCAACAACTCGACCAGGCAGGCAGAGCGCGTCCTGGGGAAGCTGCGAACAATTAAGGTATACGCGACGGGCGCGCGTCAAGCCAATAAGGGAGGAGCGGGTAAGCATCATGCTTGACAGCACGGCTTGGCACATCGATCGTCATAGCCAGTGCTTCGATGGTTGGATCGAGACGAGGGTTGAATTATTGTTGTTTCTTGTACCGTACCTGACCACTTTCTCTCCCTCTCTTCTGCCACGATACACGCAACAAAAATGAGTCTCCGCGCACCCCTCGGCCTCACACGGCGGGCCTTGCCTGCTCAGATCACAAAGTATGCCGCCACAAAGCAACAATCCATGGCCACTGTCGTGCCGCCTGTCACCCAAGATAATACTGGTTCAAAGGGCCCCACTGCCATGGTCTTTATGAACATGGGCGGTCCTTCGACTACTGCTGAGGTCGGCGACTTCCTCAGCAGGTTGTTTGTGAGTATACCACCTTATATGCCCTACCTCCTTCCCAATTGCTGACTGTTACACAGGCAGATGGCGACTTGATCCCCCTAGGCAGATTGCAAAACTACCTCGGCCCTCTCATCTCCAAGCGCCGCACTCCCAAAATCCAGAAGCAGTATGCCGCAATTGGTGGCGGTTCACCCATTCGCAAATGGTCCGAGTACCAGAGCTCCGAGATGTGCAAGATCCTCGACAAGATTTCGCCAGAGACTGCTCCTCACAAACCCTATGTCGCTTTCCGCTATGCTGCCCCCTTGACCGAGGAAATGTATCAGAAATTGTTTGATGATGGCTTCGGCAATGGCAAAGGAGGCAGAGCTGTTGCCTTCACCCAATACCCACAGTACTCGTGCAGCACAACCGGAAGTTCTTTGAACGAGCTATGGAAATGGCGTCAAAGACTCGAGACCAAGCGCGCAGGTGGCGAGATTGACGAAGCTGGCGCAATTACTTGGAGTGTCATTGATCGCTGGCCTGTACACTCTGGTCTCATCGAAGCCTTTGCTCAAAACATCGAAGCCAAGCTGCTCGAGTACCCCGAGGAGACAAGAAAGGACGTTGTGTTGCTTTTCTCGGCCCACTCCCTGCCCATGAGTGTGGTCAACAGAGGCGACCCCTATCCAGCCGAGGTAGCTGCTACCGTTCACGCTGTTCAACAGCGTTTGGGCTTCAAGAACCCTCACCGTCTAGTCTGGCAGTCTCAAGTGGGCCCCTCTGCCTGGCTGGGCGCCCAGACCAGCGATACTGTCGCAAACTTCGTCAAGAGAGGCCAGAAGGATCTTGTTCTTATTCCCATCGCCTTCACCTCGGATCACATCGAAACGCTTTTCGAAGTTGATCAAGAGATCATCCATGAGGCCAATGAGCTAGGCGCAGAAGGTCGTGTCAAGAGAGCAGACTCGTTGAACGGCAATCCTGTCTTCATCCAAGGTCTGGCCGAGCTTGCAAGAGACCACTTGGCCAGTGGCGACGTTGGCAGCAGGCAGCTGGGTTTGAGATGTCCTGGCTGCACCAGCCAGAGATGTCTGGAGACCAAGAAGTTCTTCATGAAGCAAGAGGCATTGCTGTAGTCGCAGGCTTGAGATGATTCAGACTTTGTGCTATTAGAAAAATCATGTTATACCCTTTTGTAAATATGTCTATATGATTCATATCGCATTATGTTGTTTCGACTTATCCTCCCCGGTCTGCTGAAGCATGTCATACCCAACCTCCCCAAAGCTCGGTGCAGAGGCCACAGATGAATTATAGAGATACAAGCGATATAGACAGACGACTGAACGACTTCTCTAGGAGTTATAGAATGCCTGCGAACATATGCTGTTTAAGATGAAGAAGGGAAGATTCAATCATGGAAAATGGTCGTGAAATTGCTTACTATTAAACTATATACGTTGTTCCTTTAATTTGCAAATGATGTCTTCGTTGAATCGTAATCATGAATCTTCGTCTGCTGCAGTCTTCTCAAGGTAGACATGTGGTCGGATGAAGAAGCTGAGCACAAATGCCAGACCGAAGGTGGCGGTAAGGCAGACAAATACGGTCTGCGTAAACTTTCCAACAGTGGCCGAGTATATAGCATTGAAGATTGTTGGAGCGATGACTCGGGCCAGGGCATGCAACAGCCCAGACGCGCCAAGTAGTTGGCCAGTCTTATCATGTGGTACATGTTTGGTGAGCGCTGACTGAAGCGTAGGCGAGCCAATTCCTCCGACGCTTGCTATGCTGCCGGATAGAATCATCAGCGGTCCGGTGCGAGCAAGGGTGTACCCAAGATATCCCAGGGTATCGAAGAAAACCGCAACGCGGACAACGGTAAGATCGAAGGAATCACTTCCCGAGCTACGCTGCTTGGTCGCGCTTGCCTTGCCGCGAACATAGCGTGTGACCAGCGGTAAGACGATGATGAGGCACGTGACCCTGCAAGTGTTGACAATAGACATGAATATGCTGGACTCAAAAGATTCCCAATTGAACTGGTATCGCGCGTAGATGATGATTATCGTCATGCTTCCCATTGCAACACCAAACAAGATGGTGTCGACAGCAGCCAAGAGCACAAGATTGCGTCTTAGAGCGGGCGAAGAACCTTCACCGGTGGGCCACAAAATCTTGAGCGGCTCCAAGATGTTGACGGCTCGGACTCGATCGATCCAGTCGGAGGAACCCGTTTGAGCTTTGTCTTCGCGGTGCTTCTCCTGAGCAGCTTGCTGGCGACGTTTCGAAAGAGACTCTGGGACACAGAAGGCGATGAAGAGGATGAATAGTGCGTGCACAGCAAGCGAAGCATAGAAGATAGACAAGATCTTTCCTGTGGCCTTGACAATAAGTCCTCCTAGGATGGGTCCCAGAGCGATGCCCGTGAAGAGACAGCCATGGAGATAGCCGAAGGAAATGTTGCGACGCGCCGGAGGGGTGCAATCAGTAGCATAAGCGTTCGCAATGGCCATGGCGGCGGTAAAGGAACCAGACAGGCCATCGAGAGCATAACCAACCAGAATCCAATTCACAGGGAAAGTCTCGGGCTTGGTAGCAGCCATGATGATGAGAGCATCACCCGCAATGATACCCATGCTTGTCAAGGCGAGTATCTTTGTGCGGCCCAGTCGATCAGAAAGAGCACCCAGCTTGGGGCTGGTGATGGCGGAAAGAAGTCCAGCTATGAGGTTTCCGTACAGGGTGAATTGTGCAACTCGGGCCTGAACCTCTGGAGATCTGCACTGGGGATTCTCGCCATTGAACAAGATGGGCAGGAAAGATTGATCAGGATTCTTTGCCTGCTGCTCGGACATGTATTCGCGACAGACGAGGTTGAGAATGAGATTGATTCTCGGGGATATGATGGCACCGAATGCCAGCGTCATGACGAAGAAGGGTGCCAGGACAAAGTAGATGGAGGGCTTGCGGTACCATGGGAGATGGTCAAAGTCCTCGACACCATGCCACTCATGGCCTGAACCAGCATCGCTTGTTCTTCTTTGACGAGACTCGAATGGCAACAAAGGTTCCTGCTCGTCTGCATCCAGATGTGCATCGATACCTCCTCTTGCAATGGTTGTGTTCTCCTCGCCCGAGTGCGTGCTTGTGGGCCGTGATGTCGAATTGTTCGCATTCTTCGAGTTGATTTCGGCTTCGCCAATGAAGACTGCATCCGTGTCGTTGTCCATGTTGCCGCGCTCGAGTGACTAGTGTATGCCAGGATGTGGCGACGAGTCGTAGTGGCTGGACACGCTTCTGAGGTCGACGCAGAGAAGGATCAAAGGATGTCAAGGTAGGATTGGTAATTCATCAGAGGAACTCTCTGAAGACGGCAGCTGGGCAACATCCTGATCCCTAGCTTTTTGATGCACTTCAATCCAGATAACGACGCGGGCCAATAGCTCCCCGAAAGTCTACACGTAATGATCCGCACACACACCTTCCTCCCTACGCGAGCCTCCGACGGTTTTGCTTTGACACCAACACCAACCTCTCGACATGCATCGCTAACTTACATGCTTTATTGTCTCGTACACTATCGCGCTGATGCCCACATTCTCATTCTATCCTCTCAGGAACAGCACCGTGCTGACTGCCCTGTCGTGCTTGTGCAACAATCATCTTGTGCCTGTTGAGGCTCTGCATCTCCGATCTGCTTTGTGGCGCAATTTCACATGTACCATGACGCTGCTGATTGACATCGGTCTGGCTTAACCCCGAATCCCCGATCACATGCTGCTGTAGTCACCCTAGCTTCATCAATCTCCTACAATCACCATGCTCGCTTTTTAGTCCTCCCCGTATGCTGATATATGCTCCTTACATGGATTTCGACTACAGTGAAGAGTAAAATGTATTCTGTGAGAAGGTGATGTTGTTTGGTGTGATGTTGTGCAGTTTTATATTATATAGCTACAACATTACGTATCTCAACACCCGAGGATGACATGCTGACCTATCCTTGATCATCATTATTTGACTACCATGTCTCTTGTTTATAGCGACCATCCTTTTCCATCTGATCGAGATATTCGTTTGCTTGTTCAGGCTGCATCTGGCCATGCTCTCTGAGCACATCTGACAGGGCCTCACGAACCCCCTTGGGCATGTTGCCAGAGGAGCCACAAACATATACCTTGCCTCTATCTCGCTCGAGTACTCGGTAGACAAGGCTCGATTGTTGGCGAATCAAATCTTGAACATATGTCCTCGATTTGTCCTGGTCGCGTGAGAATCCAGGGAAAACAGTGAGGCCTTGGTCTTTGATATCCTGCCATTCATCACGGAAGAAATAATCGGCTTTTTCATTGCGACATCCAAAGAACAACACACTCGATTGCTTTGAGCCGCTCTCCTTTGTCCACTCCAAGCGTTCATAAACCATCGATCTCATTGGCGCAACGCCTGTGCCTGGACCGATCATGAGTACAGGTGAGTTGACTTCGTCTGGGCTCACATTCAGATAACCTGGTTGAATAGTGAGACTGAGTTGCTGTCCAGCCTGCAATGCTGCAATGTATCGCGTGCAGACCCCGTAGCGCTTCCGTAACTTAATGATGGGGTTGGGAGGATTCGCGATTGCTACAAGCAATTGCACTCTTGTATCGCCATCGTCAAAGTGTTTCAAGCTACCTCCGCTCGCAATGCTGAATTGACGGCCTCGCATGACAGGAATTATGTTCAGAACATATTCCCATGGGATCTTGACACTTGGAAATTCGGGCATAATCTCAAGGATTGTCCGTTTCGGTCGAGTCGTGTAATCCCACAACTCATCAATCAGTTCGGGATTCGCCAGCTCCAGAATACGTTCTTTTTGGTAGCCTTCGTCTTCATTCCCCTCTTTGGTGAAGTGGGCTAAAGAGGCAAAGAACGATCTCCGAGGTATGGAGAGTATATCCAGATAGTTCGTCAACAGCTCGCGTATGGTGAAGGTCCTTTTCGACGAATCAAGATATCTGAGAGGTGAGGGAGGATAAGTAGCAAGATCTGAAGTCTCTGTTGTGGGAACAAGCTCCAGAGGTGTGTTGGCCATAGATTGCCAGCCCATACACTCGATAAACTGCTCAACGTCCTTGGGAAAATTCTTGGGATACACAACTGCAACGGCACCGGGTCCATAGTCGATATTTCGAGGCACGCGGAAGTCCAGTAGTCGCACATCTTGACCGTGTTCAGGAGGTGTCAGACGTGTGTTCGTTATAAGGTCGGCGGTAACGCTGTCTTGTATCGGAAGAAGGTCATTAGCTGGTGGAGTGTCCAAAGTAAGCGTTTCAGTAGAGACTCCAGCTTCGGAATGAGTGACGCTGCCGCCACTGGTTTCGGCTGAAGAGACTCTTAGACACCATTTTGGTTTAAGGAAAACGTCCTCAGCAATGATTTCCTGTCCGGCGGGCAAGGGGAAATGTTGCAAAAGTCCTTGCTTCAATTCTACGATCCATGCACGGAACTCGCCATTATGGCCTTCCGGGTGTTGCTCGTTGCCTTCTCCACGAGCACAGAACAGCTGCGCACCCAACTGTAGCATACGATTGTGTAGCATACGATGGGCAACATTATATTGCGGATAGGAGCTATCGCCGAGACCAAAAGTGGTGAAATTGACGCGCCTAAGGACGCCCGGGCGAAGTTGACTACTTAGCAAAACTTTCCAGAAGGAGCGAGCATTCTGTGGAAATTCGCCTTGTCCAGTAGTAGATATGGCTACGATGACGATAGTATGCTTGAGCAGATCACGCTGTCAAACGTCAGAGGTTGCACAACTAGAGATGACAATACGGCACACACAAGTTCTATCGAGTCAAGATCTATGACAGTAGTATCAAAACGCAGACGCTCAGTCAAACGAGCGATCTCTTGAGCGACATCTTGAGCATTGCCTGTCTCGGAACCATACAGGATCAAAGCAGAGCGTGGCTTGGCAGCAGTTTGTCTGAACTCGTCAGAGCGGGTCCTTCGTAGAGGGCATGTCGTCGTCACCTTCTTGCAGGAGATTGTCCTGTCGGCGCATTGTGCCCAGCGACACCATTCTGGAGGAGTGTCATGCAGTATGCGCAGTTGTCGCGTGACAATTATGCCGCAGTACACTAGCGACAGTGGAACGGGCTGGAAGCTGAGTTCAGCAATGTGCAGTCTCAAGCGTGAATTGAAGTATGAAGCTTCACAGACAATGTGACGAGAGATAGCTCAACCTTGAGGCGACTTCCACTTCTAGGTCCTTCCTTCCCCAGTGCAAGCCAGGAAGTTACGCCAGCCAAGCAAGGACGTGGACCCTGCTGAGGAGAGCAGCAGCGACTGCCGAAATTCGCCCGTGCGAGAAGTCAAGGCCAGTTTACGAGACAACAACACCTTCCATTCACACCACCTACCACAGAGTAAAGTGACAAACTTTCCACCCTCTTCTCATCCCCAACACCACGAATCGGGCACCTAGCTACCCAGAACTCTCCCTCGTCAAGCCAGTTTCCACCACAACAGGCGGTCTCGACAATCCAACCAACCTCCCCAGACCTCACAGCTCCAGCGTCATCCACCTACCAACGTCATAATGTCCGTCGAAGCTGCCACCGCCCAAATGGCAAACACTACCATCACCGAGCCCACCTCGACCGCCGAGGGTGCTTCAGTCGGAGCCGGCGGCGACAAGCCCATCAACGCTTCTCAGAACGAGGCCGTCATCGCCAGCGCCGCCGAGGGTAGAAGACTCTACATTGGAAACCTCGCCTATGCGACCACTGAGGGAGAGTTGAAGGATTTCTTCAAGGACTACCTTGTGTGAGTTTCCTCGTCGTCCTGAAAATGAGCTTTACCCCCTGACTTTAGCCACAGTGAGACTACTTCCATCCCCACCAACCCCCGCACCACTCGTCCTGTCGGTTACGCCTTTGTTGATGTCTCGACCCCCTCTGAGGCTGAGCGCGCCATCAGTGAGCTGAATGGCAAGACCATCCTTGACCGCAAGGTTTCCGTCCAGCTCGCTCGCAAGCCCGAGCCTGCCCAGGAGGGTAACGAGACTGCCGAACCTGCTCGCCGTCGTAGCTCCACCCGTGGTCGCGGTCGTGGCCGCGGTCGTGGTGGTCGTGCTGGCCGTGGTCGCGTAAGTTATGCTGCACAAACCCACCTGGATCAAAAATTAACACTCACAGGGTCGCAACGCCGAGGGCCAGACTACTGACGCACCTGCTGAGTCGACTGATGGACCTACCAACGTGCCCGGCCAAGTCCTTCCTCTGACCGAGACTACCAACGAGGCCCTTACTGCCGCCCCTGGTGACAAGGACACCATGACCGTCAACCCCAACAAGACTGGCAAGACTGACGCTCTTCGCCCTCGCAAGCAGCGTGGTCCTCCCGAGGATGGTGTTCCCTCTAAGACCAAGGTCATGGTTGCTAACCTCCCATACGACCTTCGCGAGGAGAAGGTGAGCTCTCAGAATTTAAATGTGTCGCGTGATCAGCTTACTAACCCATCATAACAGCTCCTCGAGATCTTCGCCGAGTACAAGCCTACTTCAGCCAAGATTGCTCTCCGTCCCATTCCTCGTTTCATGGTCCGCAAGCTTCAAGCTCGCAACGAGCCCCGCAAGGGCCGTGGCTTCGGTTTCGTCACCCTTGAATCTGAGGAGCTCCAGCAGAAGGCTTGCTCTGACATGAACGGCAAGGAGATTGAAGGCCGCGAGATTGCTGTCAAGGTCGCCATTGACAGCCCCGGAAAGGAGGACGAAGACCCCAACGCTCCCATCGAGGGTGAGGCCGAGACTGACGGCAAGCCCTCCACTGCTGAGGGATCTGCCAACACCTCCGCTGCCGTCGCCGAGTAAAAATGGAATTTACCAAGCATGACGGGGCGAGCACTCCTGGAAGCCAGACTTCGTTCTGAGCACCATCAAAAGCACCAAGCATTACGGCGGCCGTACAAATCGCAGCATAACCCAGGTGCGCTGTCAAGTTGACTGCGAAGATTTGAAGCCGATTGCGCAAAAGATATGATTTTCCACATGACATTTATATGCCCTACCCTTCCTTCTCTGTTCTGCATGGTACCTTGACGACCATCGAATATGTATTAGTATGACGAAAGAAAAGCGATCATGATTCAACCATCTTTGTTTATTGAGTTTTCCTTGTGCATTGTGAAATTGGAGGCTACAACTTTGACACGCTCCATTCAGCAGTGGTCGAGGACGTCCAAGGCAAATTCTTGCCGACAAGATAGTGCCTACAACAGCATTCAGCATAGCATGACTGTTGACTAGTATCGACCTATATAAGCCGAGGACCGACGGGATCAAGGATGGCGAAAACGTTTAAGCCAAGTCTTGCATCGGGGCCCCTCGTGAGTTATGCAAGCAGCTAAGGTGAATGCCGAGGTCGGATTCGCCTTGCCAAACTTCCTTGTGACGGCGTCTTGGTCTTGACTGTTCATCCAACTTATTTCGCATCACTCTTCACAGCAACATGTCTGGTCTACGAATCCTCGTGCCGGTCAAGCGCGTCATTGACTATGCAGTCAGTTTATCCGCATGCATGTCCGTCTTGCATACCCAGTGATTGACACTGTACATAGGTCAAGCCCCGAGTCAACAAGGCCCAGACGGCCGTCGAGACAACCGGAGTCAAGCACAGTATGAACCCCTTCGACGAGCTCTCAATCGAAGAGGCCGTCCGTCTGCGTGAACGCAAAGTTCCTGTTGAGGACATCCTCGCCTTCTCCGCTGGTCCTACAAAGTCTCAGGACATTCTACGCACTGCCATGGCCATGGGTGCCGACCGTGGACTTCACGTTGTCGAGGAGAAGACTGAGCTGGAGCCTTTGAGCGTCGCCAAGGTGCTCAAGAAGGTCGTCGAGGATGAAAATCGCAACCTTGTCATTCTGGGCAAGCAGAGTATCGATGACGATGCCAACCAGACAGGCCAAATGCTTGCTGGTCTGCTGGGCTGGCCTCAGGCTACCCAGGCTTCCAAGGTCGAGATTGAGGGAGACACATGTACCGTGACCAGAGAGGTCGACGGCGGAGTTGAGACGTTGCGCGCTAAGCTGCCCATGATCATCACCACCGACTTGCGATTGAACGAGCCCCGCTACGCCAGTCTGCCAAACATCATGAAGGCCAAGAAGAAGCCGTTGGTCAAGAAGACCATGGAGGACTACGGCATCGACCTCACCAAGCGTCTCAAGCACGTCAAGGTTACCGAGCCTCCGCCGAGACAGGGAGGTGGCAAGGTTGAGGATGTTGATGGCATGATTTCCAAGCTCAAGGAGTTGGGTGCGTTATAGAAGGGCTTCCAAAAGAGCTCTGAATCTTGATACCATGTATTTGTTCAGGCATGAAAATCTAACTATCTGCTTTGACTATACCTGTCTTGATTGTCTTTATTACGTGCTTCTACCAATCGCCCCAAGCATCGTCGCTGGACTTTTGCTGCGAACCTGTAGGCTTCTTCATGGCGCTCGTTCCTATGCTAGACGAAGCTGCCTTCTTTTGTGTCGCAGACTCGCCAGCAGCAGCAAAGTCGTCCCAGAAGTCCTTCTTGTCGTTTGAAGGCCCTTGTGGAGCTTCACCAAAACTGTCCCAGAAGTCTCGCTTGTCTGGTGCTGGACCCTTGCCTCCCCTTGGCGCTAGTCTCTCGTCGCCCTCGACGAAGCGATTGAAGGTTTCAGCAGCAGACTTTGTGCTTGTTTGAAGACCCTGACCCAATTGCGCTGCCGTCATACGTGCCTGAGCAGCAAGATCGGCTTCAGCCAGCTATTCACGGTGTCAGTGTCGCAAGACGTCGGTTTGTAACACCAAGGCTAACCTTTTGCATGTTGGGCTTAACCCATCCGTCGTAGCCAGTCTTTGCCTGTTTGGTCACGGTGCTGCTCAACCAGCCGAAACCCTTGGTAAGAGCAGCAACAGGATCCTTCTGGAAGTCATCGACACCAGGGATCGAGTTTGAGTTTGAAGCGGACGAGGGCATGGGCTCGCTACCGAAACCAGAGTATTTTCCGCCTTGGTTAGGAGGCAGAGCATCAGATCTGTTGGCGTTCTCGGCACCCATACGGGCGAAGTAAGCTTCATTTTGGGACTTTTGCGAGGTCGGGCCAGCAGATGAGGCACCGAGAGGAGTTTGACTTCTGCTTGTCGAAGTCGAGGTGGCAGGCTTTGCGCGAGCAGCCATGCCACTGCTCTTTGTGCCTGGGACGTATTCCTTGCCCTCGACCTTTGCGGTCAGGCGCTCTTTCCACTCCTCGCCAGCGTCGCTGTCGTAGCGTTCCTGAATTGTGCATTCGTCGAAGGTGCGACCTTGGAGGGTGTTTGATTCGTGGGCGTCAAAGAAATCCTTCCATGGCTTGTTGCCGCCTTTGGCCATGCGTTCTACCTCTTGAACCTTGAAGGAATCCATGGTGATTGATCGCACAAAGGAGATGTGGACGCCGAGGGAGCGGTGGGTGCCAGAGCAGGACAGACAGAAGAAGATGCCGAACTTGGGCGAGGCCTTGGGCACATGTGAGCGCAGGGGTTGGTTGAACGGAGAAGTAATGGGCATACCCATTGCGGGCTGGGAGCACCGCAGTCGACGCAGCGGTTGTTCTCATTGGTCTTTTGGATATCTAGGAGCTTGCTCTTTGTTTCGGGATCAACCTGCAGACATGTTGTTGGCACAAGCGTCAGGCTGGATAGAGCAGCTATGGGGTTATCTGACCTCCCACATTTTGTTGCTCATCTTGATTGTGGTCGCGTGGACGCCGGTCCTCTGATTGCGGCTCAAAAGAGGGTGTAGCCAGGAAAAGAGAAAGAGGCCGTGAAAGCAAAAATAATGCAAGCAGAGAGAGGGTGCCGTTGGTAGTTTATCAGCTCCCCCTTGGGTTCAATAGTCGCATCTCGACCCTTGATGCTCGCCGACGCACGTCATCCGCCAAGCACCGTCTTTTTGTTGCTCTACCATTTCTCGCTCTCACTCCGTCTTTGACTTTCACATTTGAGAGCCAACTGCTGTCAATGACAGTCAAGCATCACTATGGACTACAGCCAGCTCACCGTCGCCAAGCTCAAGGATGAGTTGAAGGAACGCGACATCCCCAGCACCGGCCTCAAGCTCAAAAAGGATTATATCGATCGGCTGGAGCAGCACGACAAGGACCACGCGAACCAACAACAAATTCCTTCTCTCGACACCCCGGCAGAAGATCCTGCCACAACAGATCCTTCGAGTTCCGCAGACATACCACCAGTCGCTGAGCACAAGCCGGAACCCACCGAGAATCAAGAATCTACAGAGCCCACCAACGAAACAGTCGCATCTCCCAAACCAGAAGTCATGGACCAGCCACCTACGATCGCGACTCCCGAGCCTGCCAATATCGAAGAGCCTGTCTCGGCGGATGGAAAAAAGAGAAAGAGACGCAGTCACAGTCCTGTCATAACCGAAGAGCTTGTCCACAAGAAATTAAAGCAAGAGGCTGATGGTCCAGTCGTCCACTTACCAACCGACCAACCTGATGTCTCTATGCCCGACGTCCCTCTGGAACAGCCTGGCCTGACCCTTCAGCCAATGTCCACTAGTGACGACTTGACTCAACCATTCACCAGTGATTCCGACAAGCCAAGGTCAACTCGAAGCCCCATTGAACGTCGTTTCAAGAACCTCATAAATCCGGCCGAGTCCGATCCCGTTCAGCCCACACCTGAGCCTACTGATGTTGCTGTTTCGCCTGCAATTCACCCCGCAACCCGCGCCTTGTATATTCGTGATCTCGTTCGTCCTATTAACCCCACTGGTCTGAGAGACCACCTCGAAGATATCGCAAGACCTCCGGACCACTCCGATTCATCTGCTTCACTGGTTGAGGAATGCCATGTCGACGCTCTCCGCACACATGCTTTCGTTCTGTTCACTTCCATATCTGCTGCTTCCAGGGCGCGGGCTGGCACTCATGCTCGAATCTGGCCCCCAGAACCCATGCGGAAGCAGCTGTGGGCAGACTTCTTCCCCGAAGAGCGCTTCCAGGAATATCTTGAGATCGAGCGCGCGAGCGGAGGTTCAAGACCTAGTCAGGCCAAACGTTGGGAGCTTGCTTACAATTCTCACGATGATGGTGTTGACGTACAGCTTGTCGAGGCAGGTCCTGCTGCTCACCGTGCTTCAACACATGCTGGCGCATCGAATGCCCCTCCCACTGGCCCACGAGGCAGCATGTCAAGCGCGAGACGTCCGTCCTTCGCGCAGAGCGAACAGAGACTACCGTCTCAGCCTGTTCATGCACCTCCCCCACGCCGCAGCTCAAGGGTAGTTGAAGAAGCTAGCGCCCCCTTCCTGGAGTTGGACAAGCTCTTCAACTTCACCTCGACCAAGCCAAAGCTATACTGGCAGCCTGTAAGTGACAACCTTGCCGATGACAGGCTTGACGAGCTAGATCGTGAGACCAGCAGAGACTGGGATCCGATTGCAGACGCAAAGAGAAATGGCGATTTTCTGGGCCGCGGTCTCGATCAGCTCAAGCGATATACCTTTGAAGATGGTGACGTCCTCGTCGACGGCGGCCCAGAGTTCGGCGGAGGTCGTGCATTTGCACGAGCTGGCAACCGCGGACGGGGTCGAAGGAATGGAGATAGCTACCGCGGACACTAGATCCGAGTCCAGACGATATACAGCGTATAATCAAAGCGTACGTCTCTTCAGGTAGGCGTCCCATTACACCTAGGTCAGTCGATAGAACAACTTTTTCCTCGACGACTCACCTCGCTTCAATCTCCTCGTATTTGCTCTCATGTACTTCTCTGTATCTGTGACCACCTCGCAAACGTCTTAAATAGTGCTGTACATCCGGAGAATCGATGTCATACGCGGAGGTTCACCACAGAAACCCGATCAATAACCCATATTTCGTATCATCGACATCATTCCGACGAGAGACGCAATCAGCCATGATCCACATAGAGCCGTGAGTACGGTGGAATGCGCAAGTGACTGTAGCAGCACCTTCGACATTCCCTACTTCTGACGATACCAGCTCTTTGATCAGCCCATGCTCTCAAGAACAACTCCTATGGCCAGCATCAAGGTCTTCCAGGCTCATAAGACTCGTAGATGCAAATGTTCGATGTCGGGATTCTCGTGTCTGTAATAACATAGATCATTGATGGTTACCATTCACTCTGTCAACACTACTTCTCGATGCCACGAGAAGCAGAGCAGCTTCTAACTCAGATAGGCTAGTGCAGCACGCTGTGACGACCAGAGAATGATGAGAACATGTTGACAACGTGTTGAGAATTGGTGGGAATTCTAAGAAATTAGTTCATCGCGCTTCGGATCTGATTGATGTGGAGTGATGAGGATCGATCTGACCATTGTGGAGTAACGATCATCTCGAATAGATAACCGTAGATTGACACTTGCATCTATAGTGATGTGAAACCTCCCTCATTATTCTCAACATGATACAAGGCCAAGCGTTTGGTATAGACAATTTGCATAAGCACAAAGTATGGGATTGACGGAAGACAAGACGCCGCGAAAGGAGACGCCGGAAGCCTCGGAGATTATCATGTTTATTGTTCTTTTATTTACGTTTTTGTTTCGATCTGTGTGGTATATACTGTCGATGGGCGGGCAAGTGTAGGCATCCCTGAATCAATGCCCTCCCTCTATGTTGTTGAATAATAGATATAGAAAACCAGTGGGCAGTCTGCCCAAAACGCCCGCTAAATGAACCTTGAAGATATTTGACAAAAATAATGGACAAGAAAAAGTCTGTAGTCAGGCGAAAAGAATATAGGAAAATCTTGGTCGCGTGAAACAAGCAGCAGCTGTCAGGAATAGAACAGCGAAGCCACTAATCGTCGACTGGATCGGGATTGGTGACACCCAAGGGTCGGGAATAGTCTCGTTGGTCTTGCATAGTACCAATGCTCGCACGACTGCCGTTCCTCTCCCAATGTTCCATGAGCGCAGCAGGATTAAGTCGTTGGTCATAGATGAGGGGCCGGCTGTTCCGTCTGTCACCATCCGGGCTAGTAGAGGTTGGCGCAGTCGACTCGCTGCCATGATATCTATGACCTTGACCCGCGTCATCTTGGAACTTCTCCATGTCAACAGCGGTACCTGCAGACGACAGCAGACCGGTCTTGCTGAGAACGCTAGTATTGCGCTCCATTCTTCTTCGGGTAGAACCTGAGCCGGAGCCCGACCTCGGAGATTCTGGATCGGATGTCTCGGATTGTTTCCTGCGCCATAGGAAGAATGCACCTGCGAGGAGAAGAGCGACACCAGCAACAGAACCAACAACAGCTCCAGCCACAGTTCCACCAGAAACACCTTTCGATTCATTCTCATGTAGCGAGCCGGCACCAGGAGTCACAACCGCAGTGCTTGTAACGGTTTGGGTTACAGGAGCACCCGAGAGGGTGACAACACGGGTGCTGACAAGAGTAGTGTGAGAAAGTGAGTCTGTGTCAGCAGCAGTAGAGGAAGGGCTGCTCGTTATGACAGCTGCTTGAGTAGAGGTAAGAGAAAACGATGTTGATGTTGATGATGTGGACGAAGAAGTTGAAGAGGGTGTTGATGATGTCGATGATGTCGATGATGATGTTGTTGTAGGTGTGCTCGAGGACTGGAGGGAAGGAATTAGCATGAGTGTTGATAAGCGTGAAAGTAGCAAAACAGCAAGCGACTGAAGACTGAAAAAAATGGAGAAGGCATACAGGTGTAACATAGGATACGACGACCGAAGCACTCTGCTTGACGGTCACGGTGACAGGCACGGAGGTGAACACGGTGGTATCGCTCTGCACCGGGGAAGAGGCCGGGGCGGAGGAAGGAGAGGGTGATGAGGTAGGTGTCTAAGCAGACATATGGTTCAGTTGTCATGCGGGGCAGCGAGGAAGTCGGTTTGCAGATGATGTAGAGTCACAGCCGAGGAGATCAAGTTAAAGCTTACCGATTGTTGTGTTGACGATTGAGCAGCACTGCTCGTGGAGCTACTGGCGGAGCCAGAGCCTAGGGTGCCTGAAGGGCTGTTGTTGAGTTTGATGTAGCCGTAAAGGCCATTATCTTTGTCACCACATTTATCGTCGGGATAACCGGGACAAGATTGATTGCACTCGGAGACATCAACCTGATCAGCAGGAGCGTAATTTGAGCACCAGCATTGTTGGTACTGGACGATGGCAAAGGCGTAGTTGTCAACGCATGTTTTCTGACATGCGCCATTGGATTGGTAAATGTCGGTCACTGCATGCAAGTCAGCAAGCTGGCATATGACATACTTGAAGCCGCAACATGAGACATGTGCCCAGTGCTTAAAGCTCACCAGCGTCAAAGTTGGATCCCGTGTTTTGGCTCGAGCAGTATGTCTGGCCCAAGCCATGTGCATGTTGCCAGAATCCCGACATAAGAGCCAGTGGCAGTAGCAACATGTGGCTGCTGCGAAGACTGCCTCGAGACACCATGATGATATGGGAGCGTGGTCGGATGCCAAGACACAGACTGAGGGGAGTTTGAGGGGCCGGTCGGCGGTCGTCAACTAGTCACACTGCAGCGACAAAGCGGCTTGCAGTGACCTAGTCTTGGGTGGTACAGGGATGATGGATGTTGGCAGCGCAAAGAAAATGTCGATCGAGCGGACGCGCAGCGAAGAAAAAGAGTGTCGGGAGCTCGTCCACGCCCGTCGCAGAATTACAGAGTCGAGTCTTCGTATGGTGAGCGGGCTGGGCACATTTCCATCAATTGTCCTTGGCCAGGGGGAGAGCTAGGGCGCGATGGACTCCAGGCAGGGGCGTCGATACAGTGAAGCAGCGAAGCAAGGACCAGAGCGCAAAGAGAAAGAGAGGCAAGGTCCGGTGGAGCGATGACTGTGGGTTAGGACTGGAGGGAGAAGAGAGAAAGAGCTAGCTAGCTGCGATAAAACAAGAATTGGAAGACTCCGGCAAGCAACCAAAGCAAGCAAGCAAGCAAACGATGGCACAAAACGCACAATGTTATTGCAGCCGTTGGGTAATAATGTTGACTCGCCTATTTGCAAGACTCGAGTCGTCGACTGCGCTAACCAAAGTCTGTCGCCTCTGGTGATTATGATTTGCACTCTGCCGGCCCGCTGTTTCATCATCTGAAGCCCCGGATGTGCCAAACAGGTTCGCGAATCTCCATGACCTCGTCATCCTGTCTGAGACACGACCAATGGAGCCATGGGCTCCGAGGCCTTGGTGTCCGCTGTCCAAGATTCGCGCCGGATCTGCCGCCCTGGTGCCCATCATGCTTTCTTGATTCTCCACCGTGTCACACATTCTTGTGAAGCATATCAGCTTAACCTGCTCACACAATTGCGCCAACGGCCGAGATATGCAACAAAGATTTGTGTGGCCTTCCTTTGATGCACCCTTGGTCACTCGCTCCATGCACTTCCGATCCCTAACGACTAGAGCGTCCTCTACACATGTCGCGACGTTGACGCACAGACATTTGCAATCTAAATGCTTACACTCTACAGCTTGGCCTTACCGCCCTTGACTCCTTCAACAGTCGCTCCGCTCAGGATGAAGTCCGGGTACTCCCAAGTAGAGCCCGGATTGCCAGCACTCACTCTCCAGCTGCCTCCGTCCACCACCACCGTCGAGCCATTAACAAAATTGCCTGCATCAGAGAACAGATAGACGGTCGCATCTGCTATATCCTTGACCGACCCCAGTCGTCCCACAGGCACCTTCTTTGCTGACTTTGCAACGCTCTCCGGGTCACTCTTGGCCAATCGTGCCATGCCCTCTGTGCCACCGATGGGACCAGGTGCAATGACATTTGATGTGACGCCGAGCGGCCCATACTCAATGGCAACCGCATTTGACAGAGAATCGACGGCTGCTTTGGCGGCTGAAACATGAGTCTGCAAAGGCAGACCGGTATAGTGGATTGTTGCCGAGACAAAGATGATTCTACCACCAGTGCTCGGGTGTGTCGCATCTGCAGCGCTGCTCTTGGCGCTCTGAACAAGATATGGCATGGTCGCTTTGACGGTGTTGTAGCTGCCGAGGACGTCGATGTCCATGACGGACTTGAAGGCGTTGGCACTGAGCTGTGACATGGGTGCCAGGAAGTTGCCTGCTGCACCGGCAATGACAAAATCTATGCCACCCAGTTCCCTGGCAGTTCTGTCCGCAGCCTCTTGCAGAGCTTTGGGGTCGCGCACGTCGACTCCAGCGATTGCGATGACACGAGCGCCAGGACGGGCGGTAGCAATGTCGGCGGCCATTCGCTCAGTCTTCTCCTTGTTGCGGCCAATGATGGCGGCAGATGCACCTAGATGGACAAGAGCTCTGGTTTGAGCACTGCAAATGGAACCAGCACCACCTGTACAAAACAGTACCTTGTCCTCTGGAGGGGACAATTAGCATTGCACGGGGTGTGTTCCGGGCAAGAGGTGAACCTACTGAAGATACCATCCTTCCACGCATCACTGACATATTCTTTTTTCTCTTGCGGCATATTTGCAGCTGGTCTGGACAGACGTGTACGTGTAGTCCTGGGTCGATCAGACTAGTGGGGCGGGGCGGGTATGGCGGTTGTAGAGAAGGCAGAGAAGGAAGAGGAGGGAAGATCAAACAATACAACAAGCGTGTTCACAAGGTCGTGTCAGCTCCAGCTAAAGGGTACGGGTTGCCGAGGTAGATGTTTCAGGGCTAGATCACCGAGGTGGATATGTAGTAGTCGAATTGACTCTTGGTATGTGGCGAGTAGGTATGGGGCTGTAGTAGAAATGTGCTATGACTCTACAGACCACAAGTCTTTCGAGACAAGGACAGCGGCGTGATAGCAGAGATGGGAACTCTGGACTTGTGTTTGTTGCACCAGTTGCAAAAGCGAGAGTGCTGGGTGCAAGCCGTTGGAGTGTGGGGATGCACGGACCTGACGTATGCGAACAACAGCAATGGTACGGGGAGACGTCAAGGTGAAACGCACATGCTCTGCTGAACACTATCGCCATATCTTAGACGACACATCGAGTCCGTCGCAAGCGTCCCTGCACCCATCCAGAAAATGCCATCCCTTATTGCTGCCTGCAAATTCGTGGGCACCACGAGTCTAGGTCTCTTCACCGTAAGCTCCGAAACTCTACCTGAGCACCAGTCACAGGCAATCGACTGACACAGGTCTAGGGTGCCTCGTACTCGCTGGCCACCTTGTCCATACCAGCGCTTCTAGCTCTTCCTTCAGCAAAGCCTGCCCAACATGTCCTGATCTCGCTGAAACAAACTGCCTCGCTGCACTTGCGTTCTCTTGCCGTCATATCGTTGCTCTCCTTCAATCTTGCCTATGCTCTCTCACCAGCTCGCGCTAGACATCCCTATTTGCTCTGGACTTCTCTGGTCGCCGGTCTTGCTGCCGCCTCAGATCTCATCCCTGGCCAATCTCTCCCCTCTCAAGATCAAGACGACGTCAATGGTGAAACGGTCGAGAAGGCTGTTAAATCTTCTCAGACCCTTGAGCAGGCAAGAGCTACTATCGGCTTTGCTGGTTTCGCAATGGCCGTCATTGGCATTTGGGGCGACGGTGCTTGATCACTTGCTCCATCTTCACCACCAAAGCACTATTGAGAAGCACCGCCCACATCACGACGTTCAAGGGCTTCGAGCTCTCGTCAGCACTGAGCTTAGGAGGCCACATCTTTTCACTCCTGCCTGATTATGCAGATTTACGTAACAAGTTCAATGAAGCCAGCCTTTGAGTACTCTTTCGGAATTGTAACTTGCCTCTCGCTCGTGCAATGATGCCACCCGGGGTCTGTTTCCCTCACCACGGCCGTGAAGGCCCCACTCCTACGAAGGCTCGAGTACTCTGGAGCTGGCAGTATCTCTGGTCAAGAAGACTAGAACACTGTAGCTCGCCATAATAAGGACTGGGACCCATACCCTAAGTTTTTCCGGCATTGATCTCATAGAAACGAGAAGAGAACAATCATGGCATCACCAGATGATCTCTTGGACTGTCTCATTCTTGCCCGAGGTGCTTGAAACGCTCACGATCCATTCCACCATATTTCAACGTCAGCTGCCTTTCGAAATGGCTACGCCCTGAATTTGCACACTCTCTCATCGTGCGGTCACGTCTGGATATCACTGTCGCTCAGGTCTTAGTGGCCCAGCGTTTTCGGCCAGAACTCTCGTATTTACCATTTGTGCGACCCAAACTCTGTTTCTCGATCATGGTCTTCATCAGTAGACTGAAATGATCTTGTTGAAGCCCTTGACTCCGACCGCGTTTGCTATTTTGCACTTGAGCTTGACGAAGTATTCTGATACCCTCTTGACGCATCAAGTCTCCTTTGTCTTCGCTCAGTGTCCACTTTACTTCTCATCAGCAGTGGCTTTGACACATCCTGAAATTGCCTGACCAACAATTTTGCTGCATATCAAACAAATTCGTCGTCAGCGCCTCAGCAAGTTTCTACCGTCTCGAGAATGAGCCCCATACATCTTCATTGTTGGAATTGACCTGTTGTCAGCAGAGACTGGACTGATGGTCTCGGTTGTGGTGCTCACAGGCCTCGGATGCGCTTTACAAGTCAGAGTCAAGGCTTCAAACGATCAAAGTATCATTCGGATCACTCACCACACGCTTACTTGCTGAAATCTTGGCATCAAGGCCGTGCTATTTCGAATATCCGTGAGAATCATGGCTGTTGGACTTGATAAAGTGTAGCCGGCGCATCTCTTGAAGATGGCTCGACAATTACGAAGGATACAGAAGTGTTACAGTCAGGTTCGAAGTTGCTCCAGACCTTGTCCACGAGACTGTCTCCTCAAATCAGGGATTGATGCATGAGTATACCGAACAGACGAGAATCCGCTCACTGCGTCTCTACAATGCTGTACACTGTACAATTCTTCTTTTCTCTTACAAGTAGATAGACCAAATCAACAAAGACGTGTAAGACTGATGAAGCCTGAGGGATTCCGAGACTCCCTTTTCGTTCACGCCACAATATTAGTTGTATACACGTATTCTGTAGTGCCAGCGTCCCATAATGTCATTCATTCGACGGATCGAAAGCTCATATCTCTGTTCTCTCGTGTTTCTATTTGTGAATCGGATAGCAATACAAGTTCACAGAATTGCCGGAGATAGCAGAACTTTAGTATTGAGGACCTCATGTTCTCGTGTTACTTGGTAATCATATCATCGATGCAATGATCATACAGCTTTTTATCTGGCAGAAACAATGAAGATCTACTACCAGAAAAAGACTTGGTGCACATTGTGAAGAGGTTTCGCAGCCGTCAGATCGTTCTCGCGAGACGTCTCGATATCATTGTCAAATGTCAAGGGACGTCTTGGTACAACCCGTCATCAGTCAACCACAGCTGTTCCGGTACTCTCGGTGGTAGATCTGATGGTTGCTGATGGACATGGATGTTTCAATTGCATGAATCTTGGACCTGACAGGGCTGGTCGCGTTCTTTACTCGAGACCAATGGTGCGACAAATCGCTGGTCGAAGGAGATGGACAAGGGCGCAGACGATGCACAGGATGGTCACAAAAGATACACAAGACAAAGGCACATTGATGATAAGAGAAACAATCAATTCATACATTGGTAGTCAGCAAAGCAGTGACACCTAGTGTTAAAGCATACAGAACATGAAGAATGAAAAACCCTGTCGTCAATAGGAAATGCTGAGCAGCTCGTGCTGATGAGAAGAGATACTCTCTGATGAAAGAAACAAAGCAAAGGACAAAAGAAACGCCTCCTGGTCATAACAAATGTGAGGCAGCATGATGAAAAGAAGAGAACAAGTGGTATCAGAAGACAAGAAAAAACGCCGCTGAGGATCATGAAGAGTCAGGCCGACTCATGGATGTAAGGTGAAGTGCTCAAGCCTGAGAAGAAGCCTCAGCGTCGCAGACCTTGTAGGTGGTGCTGAAAGGCTTAGTCAACGTGTGGCGAACAGTGGAGACAGCGGTGGCAACACTGGTGATAAGCTTAGTGCGAACACGAAGCTGAGTCTTGGTGAAGACGCTGGTGAGGGTATGAGTGACAGGCTTGTGGGTGATGACGCTGGTGACAACGTCGACAGAGTGGGCGGCCTCGGTGGTCAAAGAGCAAGCCAAACTGGTAGTGGCGGTGACAGTGAGGGTCTTGCCCTTCTTGACAGTGGTGGTAGTCTCATCATCGGTGTCGGTGTCGGTGTCAGAGTCGGCAGGTCCACTGAGGCAGTCCTTGATCTTCTGGCGACCGCAGACCCACTTCCAAGAGTGACCAGCGATGGGAGTGACAGCGTCGTTGCCGTGATGAAGAGAGACGTTGTGGCAGACACCGAGAGCACCAGTGTTGTTGAGGTCGACAATTTCAGCACCGTCCTTCTTGCACTTGTTGTCGCTGAAGACAAGAACAGAGCATGGCTCAGAGCCTCCGACTTTGCTGTGGCCTGCACGCTTGATGGTGGCTGAGAGCGAAGAGAAAGGCTTGTCGAACGAGTGGCAGTGACCCTGAACCTTGGTGTCAGTGTCGCGGTGCTGGGCGCTGTTGCAGTTGGGACCATCGGCAGGGGCGACAGTGACGTGGTCGCGGGAGAGTTCGGCGTCCACAGATCTGGCGAAGATCGACTGAGTGTCGTCGTCGGAGTCTGAGTCTGGGTCGCGATATTGGATGCTGATGTTGCGAGGGTTCTCCCAGTCTTTCTCGATGCCAGGGCCACAGACCCACTTGAGAGCCCCGAAGTTATCGCCATCGTCGTCAATGAGCTTGCCATCGTAGACACAGACGGCTGTGTTGTCGTCTGGATCGCGAGGGTCCTCAACTTGCTCAAGCTCGGCGATGATGGTGCCTCCCTCAGTGCAGTCATTGCCTTCGAAGGCAGCCAGAACACAAGTATCGTCCATATCGCTGATTCTGACGTCGGGAATGTGTCTGGCACGGGTGCTGATGATCTGAGGATATGCGTAACAGGCGTTGTAGAACAGACGCTCTTCGGGACCGAAAGACGCGGTGTCACAGTTGCCAGTGTTGCCGAGGCTGATCATGAGACGGTCCTGACTGTGGAGGAGAGCATAAATCTCCTTCTTACTCTGTTCAGACATGGGAGGGTAGGCGGAAGAGTTGGAGCCGCCTGTGGGAGAGGCAAGTGAAGAAGTAATCGAAGAGTTGCCAGAAATGGCGACAGCTCCAGTGATGGCGGCAGAGGTGCCGATGAGCTGTGTGGTGGTCAGTAAGCGTGAGATACGACGGTAATGAATGGCTGATGATGGAGATGGACGGCTGATGATGAAAGTGATGATGGATGGGTGTGGATGATGATGAGTGAATGTTAACGTACAGTAGAGGGCTTCATGCTGGCTGGTGAGATGAAGACAGAAGAGTTGTCGATAGAAGAGCGGCGGGCTCGATGATGAAGATGCTGATCGGAAGATGATGCAGCCTGATGGTGCAATGGAAGAAACAGACAAGAGGAGTTGTGGTGCTGTGTGGGAAATTTGATTGTGTGGTGGGTTGATGGAAAGGGAAGATGAGGATGGAAGAGAGAAGAGGGGATTTTATAGACTGGCGAATCCTCACCAAAAGAAGGACCCGCGCGTCGTGATGCTCTTTCCCTCGATGCCTGTTGACGGCGTTGCGTTGGGATGGTATTACGTTTTGCTGGGCTGCTGCCTGAGGCTTTCTTCTCTCGACACCAGTCGACAGCTTCGCGTTCTCAGCGATGCGTCCCTGAGTGGTGACTTCCCTCGAGAGCACGAGGGCAAGAGGCTTACGACTCTCGCTCAACGATGACCCAACAGGAACTTAGTCGCGCACTCAGATCAGCTTCGGGTGTTTCCCCCTGACTGATGACTTCCTCCTGAGCACGAAGCAGGATACCTGTTTCTCATGTAAGACCTCTACCCTCCATGATATATAAATGTCCCTCCCGTTGCAGCTTGGCGAAGGATATTGAATTCCGTACATATGGTTGTCGTGCGAAGCAATGATTCGAAGCGTCTTTCGTGATATGACTGTCAGAAGATACGATGCTTTGAGATATGTATGATAATTCCAGAGAGGACTTGAGGATGAGCTCAGCTGCTCTTCTGGATTAGGTACACATCATGAAAACACTGTATCTTGACTGCCATTCGGAGATGCGTCTCGACAGAATGGGCACTCAAACCCTGCTGGGAAGTTCACGGCCGCACCCATCTCTCGTTCAAGCAGGATTGACTCGCATGCATCAGCAAGCAGAACCCATCAGAGCTGACTGTTGCAACGGCTTAAATCATACGGTGCTCGAGATGCGCGGCATCGAATGTTCGACTTGAGAGTCGAGTAACAGTATCCTCGGTGGTTCCTGTTGGATGCCTTGACCTCGAATGAACAATCCTCTGGAGGTCATCGCAATACACAATCTGTATAACAGCCAGGCCACCAAGAGAGATGAGTCCGAGCACCAAAGTACAGTGCAGTGCCGCATCACGTCGGTGTGTCGAAAAAGCTGACGGTCATGCTCATGATCGGGTTGATAAAACTTGATCAACGACCTCTCCTTAACAGTATGACGTGGTGAATTTGAGAACTTCGGCCCAATGATTACTTGTGCTTCTAGATGGTCAGCTCAAAGCATCGAGGTAAAATGCACTGCGATCAATTTTGCTACACATGTCCTACGATTGAAACATGGTCGCGAAATTAAAAACACAAGGCAAAAAGCAAAACTTTGTAAGGGGTATCTCAACATGCTAAACAGGGGATGCAACAAAAGAAAGAATACAGAGCCATGACATGTCATAGGCCTTTCAAGAACAATTCATCATCATTGAGAGTACCATGACCCTTGTTGACCAGCAGCAGAAAACATATCCTGAGCGGGGACAGTCGATGTGTTGTTCGCCAGGGAGGTCTGATTCACACGAAACACACCACGCCCATTCTGCGTGGGTTGCACTTGAAATATGTCAAAAAATGTGGGAAGATAAGGCAAGCTGCTACATACCTTGTATCCAGCGCGAATCTGGAACAGGTGCCTTGTCAAATCTGAGGATCGAAGGATAATTGCAGACGGTTCCTCGTAGCTGGCAGGAGTTACAGATAGGTTGCAAACCATCACACTTTCCCCAAAAGTGAGCTTCGAAATTGGACACTGGAATTCATCGAACTTACCTGAGTATGCGCAGCCTTGCACTTGAAACATGGGACTGCAAGCTTAGAGAAGCGGCCTACATCAGGTGGTTGCGGTTGTTGGTAAGCCGAACTAAAGCTCGGACGACTCGCAAGAGGAGGATAGGTGCCAGAAAGAGTGCTAGACGACATGGTGACAGGAGCAGAAGGCGGATTCTGCCAGAGAGGAGGTGGAGGCGGCGATGGCGATAGATTGGCATTCGATTCGTGGTTGACAGTAGAAGTGTCAGTTGGAGCCATCGATTGTTGGAGAATCTCGACCAGCGACAAGGGACGTTCTGCTTGATCTGCTGGTTGAACAGGCTGTATCTTCTGACGTTTTGCGCGTGGTTGAGTTGCGCTGTCTTTGACCTTACGAGGAGGCTTTTTTGTAGCTGGGACTTCTAATGGACCAGGATAGGGCTGAAAGGCCGAAGTGTCAACGTCCTGGAGAATGAAGGAGTCTTCGTGAGTGTCCGGGTCTGCGAAGGACAGCAAGCTTGCATCGGGCGTGGTGTCCGAAACGGACTGATGTGTGACAGATTTCCGCTTTGAATCCTTACGTGGAGGCGGACGCCTTTCGGCAACCGTCTTGTGGATGGCATGGTGCTTGTAGACAACTTCAACGGACTGTCGCATGGCGGAAAACTTGACAGCAATCTGGCCCTTGCAGTCGTAGGTGGGCTTGCGAACGCCGCGAGTGTTTGCGCCAGGACGCCGAGTCGCGGCATTGGTGGCACGAAATCCGTTGGCGTGTCTGTCTTTGTTTTCCAACGAGTCGAGACAGGTGTACGAGTAGCGATAGCCATTGTCGTCTTTGCTGGACCAGTTGTTGTTGAAGCAGTACTTGAAGCCATCAAGGTCCTGGATCTGGTGGACAATACCCTTTGCTGCAGCGCGCTGCCATATTTGTCGCTGCTTGAGATCGTCAATATTCACCAACTCCAGGACTGTCTTGTATTGTAGCTGCTGCTCTTGCTCCTGGTCCTGCTCTTGTTCATGTTGTTCGTGGACGACCGAGCCGACGTCATGTCCACCAAGATCTAGCTCGTCGCCAAAGCCATCGAAGGGTGCATAGCTGGGACGACGACGAGAGTGCTGGGGTTCAGTGAGAGACTTGAGAGGTAGAGCGGCGTGGGTGGATAGGGTCATGGCACACGAGACATATTGCGGGAGGGCGTCGGGGGTGGTGGCATTGTCCATGTACTGGCGTAGGGCGGTTTTGAGGTCGTCGAGCGACTCAAATACCGTGTCCAAATTGGTGTAGTCCTTGCGAGGCCGGTGCGGTCGCCGCGCCCGAGGCTGCTGTTGCGCCTGTCCTGTCGCCGGCGCTGTTGAGGTATCCATACTGCAGGCTGACTATCTCAGATCACTCGTCTGACAACCAGCTTGTCGCTTCGCCAAACCAAAATCGTCGTTGCGTTGAAAGCCGTCAACTTGACTTCTACCATTTCCCCGCTATGTACACTCCCGCCTTTAACCCAATTAGGCCAATCAGTATCGTAACGCTCGGAGGTCATCTTCGACGCCTTGTCTGTATGCCTCTATTGTTATCGTATGTCTAGCCTTGTGGCTCAAACACAGAAGTTTCTGCAACTATGCCACATCTCGTGCATCTTTCTTCATACTCTATATGAAGTCTGCCTTTTCTTCATCTCTATGCGCAAGTCTGAGGACACACAAGTGCCGCTGAGTAATCAATCGCAGCTTACCCTGCAGCTGCCTTGATTTGCTCAGGCATCGAAGCATTATCTACTATCTCGATTGCACAGGCTCCGATCAAAATTTGATCTCAAGCAGCATCTCTTGATATCTTGCAGCTGCATCCATGCCTCAAAATATCTTCAGCAAGAAGGCAGTCCATCCGAGGCTCCCCGCACATTGTCAAAACCCGAGGTCTTCTCATGAGCACTAAAGAATCAACGCCATAACTGTCACAAAGCTGCAGCACTTATATATTGCCAGAGAATCGTACATCCTCGCTAACAGCAAACAGTCATGTCGGTCGACAAGATCACCCCTGGTGATAGTCGTATATCCCACTGTGAGGCTAATCTGAATGGCCACACATACCGTACGTTCATGTCCTTGGTTCGGATCAAGGATTGTATTAAGCAGAACAGACTACATACTTGGTGTTCCCAAGAATGGGAATTTCAAGGCAACTGTATTTCTCATCCACGGATGGCCAGACCTCTCCTATGGCTGGCGATACCAGATACCATTTCTAATCAAGCTAAACATGCGAGTCGTCGTCCCCGATATGATGGGATATGGTGGAACAGTGAGTTGTTTCAGACCGGCCATTTTCCGTTGATACCTTCTGACCGTCTGCATCTCAGGATGCTCCACGCTCCCCACCTGCTGACTTGCGGCTTTATTCCATTAAACGCGCTGCGGACGATATCTCGGAGCTGGCGAAGCAGCTACAAGCCCCTCAAATCATCCTGGGTGGTCACGATTGGGGTGGCTTTGTAGTATACCGGACTGCACAATGGTACCCAAAGCTGGTGACTCATGTCTTTTCTGTATGCACACCATACACGGCTCCTTCCACACATTTCATCTCGCTCGCTGACATGGCCAATGGACCGTTGCCTCAATTTGGGTATCAGATGCAACTTGCAGGACCAGAGCTGGAGGCCAACGTAAAATCTTATGATCAGGTTAAAAGCTTTCTGAAGGCTCTATATGGTGGAAAGTCCGCACAAGGCAAACCTTGTTTTCGACCAGAAACTGGCATAGACTTGGAAGGGTTGAAGACAATCGGTCTCGCACCCTCGCTCGATGGGGAGGTGAGTTCGAACAGAACAGGATCACAAGGTTTGTCCTAAGTCAATGTCCAGGAGCTTGAATACTACACGAAAGAATATATGCGCCAGGGACTACATGGTCCTCTGAACTGGTATCGGACGCGTCGTATCAATTACGAAGATGACTTGAAGTGAGTTGAATCAAGAACACTAAAACAATCACACGCTAATCTGTCCAGGCTGGAAACAAAGCAGATCATCCAGCCAGTCTTGTTCATCTCTGGAACGCTTGATGCAGTGTTGACGCCCGAGATGTCCAAAGGTATGGAAACCTTTGTGGCAAACTTAAGGCGAAGAGAAGTAGAAGCTGGCCATTGGGCTTTGACACAAGTTCCTCGAGAAGTGAACGCCATCGTGGAAGAGTGGCTTGGCGAGGTGGTCTTCAAAGCGAGGTGCGCTCTGTGAGCTTTCTGGACATTTCTCTCCTGTGTAAGTGTCTACAAAGGGTTCGCCTTGGCTCAACTTTCAGCAGTTCATGAGGCTCAGGCAGCCTTAAGGTTTGTGTCAGCGGTATGATCCCATCTGTATGAGCACTCACATAAGAAAGGCCCGCTCTTGATATCATGGCTCACGAACCTCGACAACATTGTCACACGGGCAATCATGGCCCAAAGCTTATTCGGGGCTATGTCTAGCTTGACACATTACATGGTAGCAGCAACTACAACTCTACGTGAACGAGGTACGGCAATAGTGCTTCGAAATCGTTTACTGTTAGCAACGTAAACAATAAGACAACGTCGTACGCAAATTTTTCAAAATTATACACGTCGCTCTTTTTCTATCCGTATAGCATGCTTATATCTGCCATACTACACAAGAACTTCGATCGAGAGGATGACAAAGAAAGCAGCAAGATACCAGAACCCGACTGTTCCAGGAATCATCATAGCAGCGGCTGCATTTTCTGAACGACGCATTGGTGCAATAGCTCCAGGCCCAGATGTAATTTCGAGCAACCTGGCAACACCAGTTGCACTTGGGCGAGACTCTGCATTCGTAGCGTAGCTGGCAGCACCGGCCACGGTCGACAGTCTGGGTACCACTGAAGCAGATACTTGACCTTTGACCTTGACCTCCTGGGTCTCGGCCCTGAGATTGTTCGCAGCCTTTCTCAGCCCTTCTGTACCAGCTTCAACCTGGACAACGTTTGACGAATTTGCTCGAAGATTGGCTTGTGCCACCGACACCTGGCCATTATCCAGATCAAATACCCAGTAACCGGCTCTCATGACATTGCCACTCGTCCACGAAGCTACCGACTCGGACTGAGCGTCGCTGACTCGCAGCCAGCACATCTGTTGACCGAATCTGTTGGTCACAGCCCTCCCGTTTCTATCCAAGAGTGGAGTGAACAAGTCTGCTAATTCGAGTTGCAGTGTGGCGGTGTTAGTCCCACTCCCAGCGAACGTGAGCTCGAAACGAGTGGTGTTTTCAACCCCACGAGTCACTTCACTGCACGGCTTGACGAAACTGTTGTCGGGTATTCCACTTTGACTATAATAGCCAGCTTCTGGCAATACTCCCGCGTATCCGATGAGCTTATGGAATGTGCTAGTTGGGAGTACCCAGCCCGGGGTACCTGTGTCCAATATAGTGTACCAGTTTACGTTTTCCGTAGCTTGAAAGATGGTCTGATTAGGTCCATTACTAGGCTGCATGTTGACCTTTTCCATTCTCAAGTAGAACTCATCTACGCGATCGGGTTGGTCTATACTGAATAAGTTGAGCGTGGTTAGCGGACCCTTGTACTTGTCTGTATCGATGCCGCCAAACAGTATTGAGCCGTAGAGATCCAGTGTATTGAGGTAGATGCTATAGAGACGCGAAGGGATAGCACCAGCTTGGACGAGCGTATCAACGAAGCCCGGGAAGGCCTTTACTCCATTGCGGTGCCTTAGATAAGCCATCCGACTTGAGTAACCGAGACCCAGAACTCCTGTGTAAGGGGCAAAGCGCAATCTTCCTTCCTTAGCAAGTCCTATTGGGACGTTTGTTATCACGCGGTCATCTGGAAAAGGTATTAGTAGTCCGTCTTGAGGTACAATGTATGGCCTGTTGAGCATCATTCTCGAGCCTCTTTTATGTATACATACCCAGGTGAACTACATCCGTAATCAAGTCGCCCATCATCCGGGTGTCATCAAAGTAGCGTATATCGAGAGCTCCAGATTCTGTCATCTTGGATGTCGTTGACTTGGACGAATCGAAAGTGCCGCCGTCGCAGCCATGTTTTTCGCATATTGATGCATTTGAGGCAAGGAAGATTGTGTCACTGCTTCCAGTATCCAAGAAGATTGTCTGAGGCTGCCCGGGGGTGCCGATGGTAACGTTGACACAATACACATCGCCGATTGTGTTCCCACAACTGCTTGTCACAGCGAGTTCCACTGTGTTCGACTGACTGGTTGCTGCTTTCATACAGCAGAACAGCAGAGAGAGATAAGAAAGAAGCCTGACAAAGGACTTCATGATTACTGGTGTAGAGAGTAGGCTGGATATGACCGTAAACCAGACACTAAAGCTTAGTACTTGTAGGGAAAGGAGTCTTAGAGGAAAGATGGCAATGACCTCTATATATGCTGAAAGCGCCCTGAGCATGACTCACTATATACAAGCGATTTTTTTCTTTTGCTCAAATAGCAAGCTTAATTCGCTATCTTTGCTCCTCCAGGCGTACTACGCTGATATCTTACTCACATCTTGCTCAACTTCTGCGTAAGATAGTTCTCGATCTGATACCATTCTCAAACAGATCAAATCTATCACTTACTCTATGGCAGCTCAATTCTGGCTCGACAGGAATACAAGTACAACCTTGGATCTGAGCAAAGGGTCACAGCATGGGGCTGATTCCCAACTGAAAACCTGACGAGAGTGATCGCGAGCTATCGAGACTGACGGTATCGATTTTCCGAGTGCCCTCAAGGCAAGAACCAGCGAGTCTGAGCATATCACTTTGAGCAGGATGTCTGAGCCATAGATTTCTGGAAAGTCGCACGGTTTGGGTGTGTGCTGCATAAGGTCGTGGAGTTCAGGTGAGATTGATCGCGGCGCTTTGACAAAAGGTACACAAAGGGTCGGCGTCGTGACGCATCGCATCGCAAGCAGGTCAAAAATAATGCCTCGAGGGAGAATCGAACTCCCATCTAAGGATTACCCAAGCCTTGCTTGGTCATGTCGATGACCGATATGAGACCTTCGTACTAGCCGTTATACTATCGAGGCTGTGATTGGCTGAAATTTGGTTCGTCTCATTATTCTTCACGACGAGGGCCATCCTGAGTTTTGTCATGAACAATCAATCACTCTCTAGCTCGGGAAACCTTGATTCTTGTGGGTTCTTCTTCGTCCCAAGTATATGCCATCTCGTTGAATACTTGATCTACCGGTACTTTCATGATTGTTGTGCGTGTATGAACACTTGTGGACGTCTGGTGACTGCAGCAAACTGAAGACCACGGATTCACGGCGCGAATGCATCCCTGTCCAAAAACTCTTCTCAGGCATAATGATACCAAGAGACAATCGTAAGCACCTGCGAGAGCAGTAGACTATTGTTCATCCTGAGATAAAGTAGGAGTCACAGCCACAAAGTAGCAGTATATCTATCCTGATAAAAAAGGTGCACAAAATATGGTCACTGGGACGACCCTGTTCTTTGTCTGCCTCGGATGATGTCAGCGCCTTCTCAAATTGTCGCCTCGACATTCACACCATACACTTCTACCCTTACGAACACTAGGCACAAGCCGACTCGACATCTCTCACTTGCTTAGCTTTCACCTGCGTATTGGAACATTTGATCAGCAAGAATTATGGTCGACTCCGAAAGAGCGGCGACGCCACCGAGAACAGCTCGACCAGGCTCCATACCACGATCACCGATGACGCCAGAAAAGATCCGGCGCATGGTAACTGGGACTACTAAGTGTCGGAGGAAGACAATATGCTGAGACAGTATATAGGAAGAAGCTCGCCTGAAAGCAAAAGCTCTACGATCACAGCAACTTGCATCGACTCAGGAAGTACCAGCAAACCGCACACCCTCAGGCTTCCTCGCCGGACAGAAACGACCGCACACTGCTCTATCTGGAGCTTCGGTGCAACCAAATCAACGCGACGCACGGCAGGCACAATCTGGCGACAGAGATGGTTTCAGTAAACCAGCTCGCGACTCAGGCATCGAACCAGCCAAAAAGTTTCAGAAGTTTGTTGAATATGACTTCAGCAAGATGACGGACACCAAAGGAGGATTCTTGACAGCCGAAGACGATCCACACAACAGAGCACTGCACACGCCAAACCAAGAGCAGAAGCCGGCCAATATGACGCTAAAGGAATGGGAAAAGGCACAGTTGATCAAGAAGCTGAAGAACGAAAGAGCTGGTCCTTACGAACCGGGTCTTAGTGCTCTAGGCGGAGCAAAAGAGCAGAAGAAGTGCAGGGAATGCGGCACTTTGGAGATTGACTGGAAATGGGACGATGTGTTTGGATGTCAAGTGTGCAAAGCGTGCCAGGAGAAGTTTCCCGACAAGTACAGCTTGCTCACCAAAACGGAAGCACGAGAAGACTATCTCCTTACGGACCCAGAACTCAAAGATGAACAACTACTGCCACGGTTGGAGAAGCCAAATCCGCACAAGTCAACATGGAACAACATGATGTTATACCTGCGCTATCAGGTAGAAGAATATGCATTCTCAGACAAGAAATGGGGCAGCCCGGAAGCGTTGGACGAGGAGTTTGAGAAGAGGCAGGCCGAGGCCAAACGAAGAAAGGAGGCCAAATTTAAGAGCAAGCTAAATGACCTGAAAAGGAGAACGCGAGTGGATGCATACAAGCGCCAAAAGGCGGGGGTCGAGGGTGGAAACTTTGGAGACAAGCTTTGGGGCTCAAAGCACGAACACGAATGGGGTCGAGCGGTCGAAAACCCAGAGACGGGAGCAACTGTCAAGACGTGCATCGAGTGTGGTATGGAGGTCGAGGAGCTGGAGTTCTGATCAAGAAGACGGTGGATAAAGCAGTGCAGTGCAGTAGTCATGATACCCCTTATTAATGCAACGAGTATGTGCATCATGTAGAGATGCGATGAGCACGGAGCTGATTGATCGACATGAACCGAGGCGTGGCTGCATTGTGGCATGACGATCATTCCAAACAGCTTCGAGTAAGCACGCTTTATTTGTCAATCGACCAAGAGTCTACGTTTATCCCCCTCCTGTGTCATACCTTTCTTCTTGCAAAACAATAGCAGGACAGCAATCTGAGTTGAAGGTGCGCCGTCATTCTAACACCAAGATACGCCTCTACAATCGCATCAGCGTAACGCAATTCATCCATCATGGCACAAGCAGCCGTGGCAGTAACGCCTCAAAAGCGCAAGCAGGTGCTCAAGGTGCTCTTCATCTCGCTCCTGCTTGATCTCGTGAGTCGCGTCAACCATGTTTCTACTGCCAGCACCGTTCTGACCGTCATACCTACTCTAGATCTCCTTTACCTTCATTCTCCCACTGTTCCCCAAGCTCCTCGAGTTCTACCGCGCCGTCGATGCCTCGATAACATCTTCGTCAACAAGTCCAACCCTCCTCTCTCGCGTACTGGGTCTCCTCAATGCATACAAGAACACCTTTGCCAAACCAATCAATGACCGCTACGACATCGTCCTGCTAGGAGGAGCACTGGGCTCGCTGTTTTCTTTCTGCCAGGCCATTGCATCACCTGTCATTGGCAGCCTTTCCGACCGCTACGGCCGTCGCACTGCCCTGTTATGGAGCATGATGGGCAACATCCTCAGTGTTGCTCTCTGGGTCGCCGCGACAGACTTCCGCACCTTTCTCGCCAGTCGCGTCGTCGGTGGACTGAGCGAGGGTAATGTCCAATTGGCCATGGCCATCGCTACTGACATCAGCGACGACAAGCAGCGTGGTGCAACAATGGCTCTGGTTGGCGCTTGCTTCAGTATTGCCTTCACTTTTGGTCCTGCTCTGGGTGCTGCCCTCTCCAATGTCACCCTCGTGCAAAGCAACCCTTTCGCTACCGCCGCTGGCTTCTCTCTCTTCCTTATTGTCACTGAAACCCTATACCTCTACTTCTGTCTGCCTGAGACACATGTTGTCAGCTCCACATCAGAAAAGGAGAAAAAGGCGGATGACAACAAAAAGACCACCACCCAGCGTACAAACTCACACGGCCTACTCAACTTTACCCATCTGGCTTTCATTCTTTTCTTCAGCGGCATGGAATTTTCTCTGCCGTTCATGACCTACGATCTTTTCAGTTATGGCAGCAAGAACACTGGACGCCTCCTAGGCTTCATCGGTATTGTGGCTTCTGTCCTTCAAGGCACCGTGACCCGCCGCATGCATCCTCTTCGCGTTGTACAGCTTGGTGTTGTGTCGTGTCTGTGCGCCTTCATCCTCCTTGCTCGCCTCACAACTGAGGCCCAGCTTTATGGCGCTGCTGCCTTACTTGCCGTAACTAGTGCCACCGTCGTGACGGGTCTGAACAGTCTGAGCAGTTTCGAGGCCAGTGCTTCTGAGCGTGGCAACAAGCTTGGCAATCATAGGTCATTTGGCCAAATCGGCCGCACACTGGGTCCTCTTTCCTTCTGCTCTCTATACTGGTGGGCTGGCCGTGATGTTGCATATGCTGTTGGGGCTACAGGCATGCTTGGGGTTGTCGCACTCGCGTTTGGTGGTCTTCGCAAACCTGTACAAGTGTAATATTACAATGTTTGGCATGCCGCGAGGAGATCTTTCTGCCTGAAGACGAATAGAGAAACATCTCTTTCAGTAATGACCTCAAATCAAGCCACTTCAAGCACTCGACTTGAACTCTATCAGTTATATACTAGCCTGACACCGTGCTTTGTTATCATTGTGGCCGGACCAAGTGAGTCATGGCTACTTTGACTATAACAATGGATATCACTCACGGTGAGTAATATTGTAGGCATACCTCAGTATATATCGTGCTCCTGGTCATCTCTTCTCCGAAACTATTGTCTTCACAAACTTTGAATTTTGGAGATTGAACTTACCGATAACATGCAGTTCCTCATGAGATTCTTCATCTCTCTCTCTCTGCTGTTTCGCTATGCAACAACAACAACAACAACAACAGCCAGCCGCTCAAAAACCGTCGAACTTGCCTTGATGAGTAGTGTGGGCAATACAGAGGGCATTGAGTACTTCGTCAATCTCACCGTTGGCACCCCGGGACAGCCACAGACACTTAGCATCGACACCGGAAGCAGCAATACTTTTCTCTTCGCTTCCAACGTGTCTTTGCTGGCGTCCAAATCCTCTTTCTGTAACACCTCTGACTGTGTTGGTGGTACCTTCGACTCGTCAAAGTCTTCAACATTTGAGATGATCGACCCTGAAGCTTTCCAGGCCAGTTTTATGTTAGGTAGTGAATGGTTCAGAGGCGACTATATCAGAGATGCTGTCCAGATAAGTATGTCAAAGTCTACCCCAGGGTTGAATGCCTGCAGTGTACGGCCTAAGGATTTTTATTAACATGTTTCCAGATGATCTTGTTGTACAGAAACTTACATTAGGGCTTGCCACCAAACTGAAAGAGCGCTTTAAGCCTTACACAGGGATCTTGGGCCTTGGTTACTCTAGTAACATGTCGCACAGAAAGTATCATGAAATGGCAACACGGCCAACTTTCGTGGAAGGGCTTGTGCAAGCCGGTGCTATTTCGTCACGCCTCTACAGTATCTACCTGAATACGTTGGACCAATATGGCTCGATCTTGTTCGGTGGGATCGACACCAAGAAATACAAAGGTCAATTAACCACGCTTAATTTGCTGCGTGGACGCCATAAGGTTGATAACATCGATCTGTATCTCAAGGAAGTTAGGATCAAACCCTACAACGAATCAGAACGGACCATCGTCCGCTCAACCAACGACAAGAAGTTCAGAACTTTGATAGATACGGGAACCCCTGATTGGCAATTGCCGATCGACGCATACCTCGAGGTTGTTCGAAATGCAGGATCCGAACCTTCCACAGGATTCTGGCCCGGAGTTCCTAGAGGATTCCATGTTAAAGCTTGCAGTGAAGTGGCTCGTGGCATCGCCAACACAACCCTTCTTGAGGTAACTTTTGCTGGCAATGGAAGCAACACGGCTGTACTGCGCCTTGAGTTAGCCGATTTGTTCTCTCAGATCACGACACAAGACGGAAGTGCGGCGACTGATGCTTCTGGCCGACCGATGTGTTGGCTTCGAGTCGTACCACAGCGTGGGACACATTTTGTCACATCGAGTTCAGTCATGCGAGCTGGATACTGGGTGTTTGATCTGGATAACGGGCAAGTGTCGTTGGCACAAGCCAACCTTGGAGCCAATTCGTCAGACGTGGTTCCGGTCGAAGCTGGCGCAGATGGATTGAGAAAGGCCGTGAACAACAACCTCAGAGCTGAGGTCCAACTAGACAAGGTCGAAGGTCGACTGTCAACTTCGGTGACGTACGAGCTTTCGACTGCTACCAATACAGTTGGGTATGCTACAGGTGCCGAGTCCTATCCAACCCCTACAGGTACTGGAATGTACGACCCATCAGGCGACTACAGCCCGTCACGCAGCAGTAACGGGCATTTACGTCGCTCTGAAAGTGTGGCGGCTGCTACCATGGCTAATATAGGGTCTTCTGGTATGTGGGTTCTGTGTGTCGCTGTTGTTGTGATGGCAACAACGCTGGCAGTTTAGACGCGGAGCGTGTAGAGAGTGAATAGGAAGCGGACCGAATTGAATTGCGTGTCTTTTGATTTTTTTTCTCTTTTCTTCGGCCGAGGTTTGATGTAGAGAGGTTGATGTATTTACAGGGTCAGGATACAAAGAAGAAAACAAACAAGCCTAACCAATCTGTGTGCAAACCGTCAGTGGTGGCGTGACTTCTTCGAGCTCAACTTATTTAATATGTGTGACTATCTCGTAGAGACCGCTGGTTGTTTAGTTTTGTGAGGGCTGATACTAAAGACTGCTGCTTGGCGCCTTCAAGCTCAATTGACGACTTAAAGGGCCTTGCCCATGAACTTTCTCTTTGTGAAACTCAACCACCACTGGTAAGACATAATTAGCATGTGTGCTTGAGCAGGACTTCAAGGATGAATTTACCTTGCTAGGAGCATCTCCGTCTGCGTATATCCTGTTCAACAATCTGGTGGCCAGCTCTTGTCTCATTTGGCTAATGTACTGTCTCAAGACCTCTGCTTCTTGTCTGTCCCGCGGAGGCTCAAAGGCCTGGTTGAGAGGGAATGTGGCGTCGCCAGGAATGGCAAAGTTTGTGTCGAGAGCGAGATTCATGACGGCCTTCTCGGCATCTCTCCTGGACATCTGAGGCTTGATCTTCTGGATAACTTCGCTGACGAACAGAATACCGTATATCAGGACACGGTCGGCGGGCCCTTTGATCTCAAAGTTGCGGAAGAAGGTGTTTGCACGGAACAAAGCCAGTGTCTCGTCCAGCGGGTCGTAGCTTTCATGTGAGGCATCGATGGTGAGTTCTGTTACATCGCCGGAAAGGGCGGGAAGTTGCATAGCCGGGCCACGGGTTCTGGTACGGAGTGGCAGTAGGGAAAAGTTGCCAATGACTTGTTGGTTGGGCTCATCGAGGAAGACTGAGTGGTATGCCTGCCCAGCTAGCTGTCAGTAGGGGCTACGCCGAGGTGCTGTGGACAATTGTGGTCCATACAGGCATGATGGAATGTGGGAGACAGCAGTGAAGCCGTCGGGTTGTGTGATGAATACGAGTGGGCGAGAGAATCGATCAAGATGGCTAGAAAGAAGGTCAATTGCTTGGTCGAGCTCGATAGATGCGCGTCGCTCACTGGCGGCGCCTACGTATGATGTTGTCGGTGGAGCTTGGCGCGCCCGCCCGGCTGCCAAGACGTGGGACTCCCGACCGCCGAACGCGGGGTGCTGTTGCGTGAGGTCGAAAAAATATCCTCAAAGTGACTCCTTCGCGACAGCGACCTTCCGAGATCGCTTGATTCTCTGCATATCGCGTGCCAACCTCCTGTCAATCTAGACAAGGTCTTCTCGCGACTTCTTTCCTGTCTTTATATCCGGTTGTCAAGAACGTTGACAGCCAATTCTGTCCAACATGTCCTTCTCAATCAGTACGGAGCTTTGCTCATCTCTGCCCCACGATCAATGCTAATTTTCCACAGAGGTGCCGTGTTCTTCGGCCAACATTGGTATTGCTTACCAATTGCCCACCATATCTCTGCTCGTCAATTGACTTCTTGACCAGGCCCCGGCTTTGATGTCATCGGTCTGGCCCTTTCTGTCTGGCTCGAGCTGCGTGTCACCGTAGACTCGTCCAAGAAGTCTTCGGAACACCAGTCCAACTGCAAGATCACCTACGAGGGTCTCGGCAAGGAAAGTGTTGATCTTGTTGCTGACCGCAATCTGATTACTCAGACTGCTCTCTATGTTCTGCGATGCCATAACCAGCATGCTTTCCCTTCCGAGACTCATGTGCACATCATTAACCCAATCCCTTTGGGTCGTGGTCTCGGTTCCTCTGGTGCTGCTGTTGTTGCTGGCGTTATGCTTGGCAGTGAGGTCGGAGGTCTCAACTTGACCAAGGACCGTATGCTCGACTTCTGTCTGATGATTGAAAGACATCCTGACAATGTTGCCGCTGCTCTGTTCGGCGGCTTCGTTGGTTCATACCTCAAGGACCTGGATCCGGAAGACATGAAGCGCAAGGAAATTCCTCTGAGTGAGGTTCTTCCCGCACCTGCTGGTGGTGTCGACACTGGACTTACCCCTCCTATCCCCCCGATCAACATTGGCAAGCACATCAAATTCAACTGGGCTCCCGAAATCAAGTGCATTGCTATCATTCCCGATTTTGAGGTCTCTACTGCAAAGGCTCGTTCTGTTTTGCCCACTGAGTATCCCAAGGCAGACGTCATCTCCAACCTGCAGAGAATCGCTCTTTTGACCACCGCTCTCGGTCAGAGCCCTCCCAACGCTGACATGATCTACGATGGTATGCAGGACAAGATTCACCAGCCTTACAGAAAGACTCTCATTCCTGGTCTGACCGAGATTCTGAAGTCTGTTACTCCCACATCGCAGCCTGGTCTTCTCGGTATTTGCTTGTCTGGTGCTGGTCCCACTATTCTAGCTCTGGCCACTCACAACTTCGAGCAAATCGCCCACCACCTGCTCGGCGAGTTTAAGAAGGAGAACATCAACTGCGAATGGAAGCTGCTGGAGCCCGCTTACGATGGTGCCGTCTGCACCAGAGACGTCGAGAAGCCCAAGGCCATGACCTATGCCGATGCTGGTGTTTCTATTGATGCTGGTAACGATCTGGTTGTTGCAATCAAGAAGGCTGTCAAGTCTACTCGCAGACCTGGTGCTGATGCTGAGATTGGTGGATTCGGTGGTGCACTTGATCTTCAAGCTGCCGGCTATGACGAGGCTCCCATCATGATTCAGGCCATTGATGGTATCGGCACCAAGCTGAAGGTCGCCTTTGCTATGGACAAGTTCGACACTGTCGGTATCGATCTTGTTGCCATGAACGTCAACGACTTGGTTGTGCAAGGTGCTGAGCCTTTGACCTTCCTGGACTACTACGCTTGCAGCAAACTGGAGATCAAGGAGGCTGTCTCATTCATTGAGGGTGTCGCCGCTGGTTGCCGTGAATCAGGATGCGCTCTCGTCGGTGGAGAGACTGCAGAGATGCCCGGCATGTATCAAGGCAATGAATTCGATGCTGGTGGTTGTGCCACAGGTGCTCTCAGACGTGGTCGCACTATTCTGCCCGACATTGCATCTATGGTTGAAGGTGATATCCTCCTTGGTCTTGCTAGTGATGGTGTGCACTCGAACGGTTTCTCGCTCGTCAGAAAGGTTGTTGAGCGCCAGGGGCTTTCATACCACGACAAGGCACCTTGGGCACCCAACACCACTGTTGGCGCCAGCTTGTTGACCCCCACTCGCATCTATGTCAAGCCTCTTTTGAAGGCTGTCGAGAAGGACCTGCTCAAGGGTATGGCACACATCACTGGTGGAGGTCTCTATGACAACATCCCAAGAATGTTGCCCAAGACCCTCGCTGCTGAGGTTGATGTCTCAGCATGGTCTGTCCCTCCGGTGCTCAAGTGGCTCAAGGAGGCCGGAAACGTCGAGTCTCGCGAGTTCGCCCGCACATGGAACACTGGTCTTGGCATGGTCATCGTTGTGAGCAAGGAAAACGCCGCTGAGGCCAAGAAGGTTCTGGAAGAGGCAGGCGAGAGAGTATCTGTCATCGGAAGACTCTTCACCAGAGGCGAGGACGAGGTTGTTCTCAAGAACCTCGAGGCCTGGAACTAAGTATAGACGGGAATAGGAAGCACAATACGGTTGGGAAAAGCCGCAACGATATAGGCGTTTTGCAAAAATAAGGGTCGGCCGAGGCAGGGATAGATATGACATTTGTGAATTTACTACAGCATTCGAGTTATTGAGACTATATCTATGCGACTGAGAATGCTGTGTTCGTCAAGGGCTCAACAATGTATTTGTTGGTAAGTCCCTTCATCTTCGATATTCGAGGACTTGCTTGTAAAGCGGCAGGAAGGCAAAATTACGCAAGACGACCAAAGACAGCAGTGACGTCGATCAGATGAAGGTTGGAAAGAAGGCCTCGAATACCTTCACAATCTCGGTCTTTGTCCTCTACACACTTTTTGCAACGACCCTATGCCAGTCAATCATCGCCACTATGAGCGTCGAACCACCTCTGCGCCCCGCCGCCCTATGTGATTCCTATTGATTAAGTGGTGCATTCGAATCAGGACGACTATGCAAGTTTCGATATTCTCTCAAGAGCAATTGACTCCACAGTAAACCATGAAGAGATTATGCTTATCTGACAGGACAACCGAGCACGCCGGTCATGCCTAATCTCCACGCAGACATCCAGGGGTAGCTACCAATGGTCAGCCAAATAATTAACTCATCATGGTCAAAGCATGAGCACCCGCTCCGTCCGACGCCTCCAGACCATAATACACTCATCTCGCCCACAAACTCGCTCTTCAAGGTGGAGAGAACGCGACCCTATTCTCGAATTCGGATGGTGATCAAGCATTATGATTCAGAGGCAAAAGCTCGAGCAGTAAAAATCGTTACCCTTGGAGGAATATTTAAGATGCTGCAAGGTAAGCGGATGAGTTTGAGCTTTGACATCTCTTTCCTTTGCCAGGCGCTTGTCGTTCAGTTTGTTGGTCGTACCTTTTGACATGCGCTTGTTCATACCATCACTAGCACCACTGGTAGCCTTGCTATCTTTGGCGACCGCGCAGGTCCATCTCGCTGTTCTAGGTCCAGATGGAGTCTCCGTCGCTTATCACGCCAATTCTTCCGACCTTGGAGCGATCCCTACTGGATCCAAGAACACACAAGCTGGTGTGATTCGACCATCTTCAAATCCGAGCCTACAGTCGCAAACCAACGAGGCCCCATCAGTCGTCCCATTTCCGACCGAAGTTGTTGCGTTACCATCAGTTGTGGGGTCGAAGTTCCCCGAGCAGCCAGCTGAAAGTTCCCCTATCAACTCACCTCCAAGTCAATCCGCCGTCCAATTTATCGCTCCTCTTGAGTCCTGGACACCTGTTCAGTATTCAACACCAATCGAGCCCGTTTCCATACCACCAGCCATCCCTGCTATCAATGCAATCAGTGAGAAACCTATTGAATGGCAGAATATTGCTGGTCAACCAGGACCAGATGCAGCACACCCGATGGGTTTCTGGATTCTCAACAGGAACGCTCTGAAGCACCACATCAGTGCAGACTGGGCGGCAGAGGACTTGGGAGAGTTTGGCTCTCATGAAATTTTCAATTTTAGAACGGCTACAGTCGAGCCGGGTGAGAATCTGTGGATCCCTACAATACCTGGTGTGAGCCCGAAGCTGTATGTGGGCATCTCTCCCAACAACAACACAGCCGAAATTGGTGAGCATCGTGATCATGACACACTCATCGAGGCTTCCTTCAGAGGAGGTTATGGCCACCTCTACTTCGATATCGACATTGAGCGTGGCTTCTCTTCACCAGTCTGGTGCCATGGACAGGGTGACGCATGGGAAGACGGTCAAGGTTGCGTTGCAGATCTGCTTTCTGTGTGTCCTGAGAAAGATCAACACCACAATCCGAAGACCAATGTGTACGACCAATGTCGAGGAGCTCCAGACAACATTGCCTTCCGTCGCCAATACTGCCCCAAGACCTACGTAGTGTCTAATGACGATTATGCTACAAGGACTACGTCAGACAAGGATGGTAAGTGCACAGATGACACCACTCTTTATACCATAAATCATCTCTGACTGTTCTCAAAGTGCTCATGTGTACTATCATCGGCACGCCATCCACTAGCAGGATACAGACTGCTCAGGTTGCCGAAGCCGAAAGAAAACAGGCAGCCGGCATTGATCCGACTGCGGTCTTGCCTCGACGTGCCCTGCCACGAGTCCACATCAAGAAGAAGCAGTCCACAGGACATGTTTGATCAACTGGCCACACAACATCAAGACTTTTAGACAAGTCAATGGGGTGAGTTTTGTTTCTGTTCGAATGTGATTTCAGAATATTGAGTCGATTGTTTAATAAGAGGAAGAATAGGTGAGGCGATACGTTTGGTACTGCTATTTTCTATTTTTTAATCTCTAATAGTAATGCAAGATATCTTTATCAGATTCCGTATGTTGTACCCTTTGTACTTCTTTTCCTTCTAACATTATAGTTCATGAGACTGATTTACATCTATCTTATGTGACTGCCGCAATCAACATCAGCCAAGAGAGGTAGTTCACAGCCAGTCTTCAGGAAATCCTAAGACGTTTCTGACAATCACAACATTATTTGAAAAACTCTTTGACTAGCTAAGCCACGAAAAAAAAAAGGCACATCATCATCCATTATTCCCTCCCATTTCTCTAACTCCTGTCATTTCAGGAAACTTGCACGAATTGTCCCACACTAGGGACGCCATCAACAACCACATAAACCACATATGGACCAGGAGGCGCAACATTCGAGTTAGGCGGCATGGTGACAGTAAGGGTCTGCTGAGTAGCTCCATCCTTCCAACCCTCCGTATCGAGGAAAAGCATACGGTGACTCATGTGCACAGAATGCGTAACAAACCCTCCATGATACAGCGACACTTTGACATTCTGCGCACCAGCAGGGACCGTGAACTCCACATCGAAAGTCTGGGAGTTCGCTTGCAGGGATGTAGAAGATAGAGTCATGTTTGTCGGACGTTTGTTCGCATTGTCGCCGGCGAGGTAGGGTGGTGTGTAGATCTCCACTCTGAACTCTGTGACATAAGGGTTTGCGGTTGTGGGTTGGAGGATGGGCTGTTCCACTGGGTTTGAGCCTGCAACCATCAACGTACCATCAAGCAACAACAAAGCTACGGAGTGGTACAAGCGGGGAATGGTCGATGAGGCACCAGTAGTAAATCGCTGACCCAGTGGTTTGGTGGGGTCGTAGATCAGAGCTTCGAAGGTGGGATCGCGCGCAAGTCCAAAGCCTTGAGCACCTTCGTTGCCTCCATTTACGAAGACGACGGTACCGTCGGGGAGTAATGTGCCTTCTACCATACCGCGTCCCTGAGGCATTGAGTCCATTTCCCATTTAGCGTTTGTGGAGAGAGGTTGGATACGGCCGCAACTGGGGTCGGTCGGCGAAGTAATGTCTTGGTATGCGCCACCACCGCAAATGATGATGTCGGGATTCCAGTCGTTTGCAGAAGACAACGGGAGAAGAACCGAGCCACCGGTGTTGGGATAAGTGCGATAGTCACCAGGAAGGTCGGCAAAGGTTCGCAACGTGGTGTTGGTGTCGACATTGAAAAGCTCAGATGACTTTGATACGAAAACAAACAGCGAGCCATCCTTGAGCTGGTGCATAAAAGGATACATGTAGTAAGGTTGGTTCTTGACCAGAATCTCCATGGGAATGGAAACACCAGATGATTTGCCATTCTTGTCCAGAATCTCGTATGTCGGGTTGTTGTTGGTAGGCACTGTAGGGTCGAGTCCGTTCAAAGACCCAGAAGCAACAAAGAGTCTGCCATCAGGGAGAGTCTGTACTGAAGGGTACCATCGCTTGCTGCTAAGTTTGTTGCCTGGCTCACTCCAATCTTGCCCATCCAAGGAAGCGTCAGAGGAAGAGCGAGTCAGGTAACGGATGCCGTCGAAACCATCTCCCACGGTCGGGTCGATGAAGTCGAGAGGACCGTTGCCACCGAGAGATATGAACTGTCCGTTGGCGAGAAAAGAACCACCAGCACAGAAGGCATTAGTCTTGTAGGCCAAAGGAGTGTACTTGTTAGTAGCAGGGTCGTACTCAGTCGAATATGCGTACTGGCCATTGGAGAGCTTGACTTGCGTGTAGTTCTCAACTTTGTCAAGAAAGACCACCCTACCGTTGGGAAGGAGCCCAGCATGCATGGCAGGAGCACCAGACTCGCCGACGATATCGAAGGAACCAGGATTAGCATTAACCGGCGCAGGACTGGGTCCAGGGGCTGGAACGACGGCACCGTTCAAGCAAGGTCCACTTTGACATCCATCGCCACAGTGAGCAGTGGTGTTTCCGCAGTATCCATACATACTAGCAAAAAATGTCAGCTGCTTCATACAGATCATGACCACGGACACTTACGAGCAGCAACTGCCTTGAGGCCAATCACCACAGATGGTATTGCCGTATGTAGCACCGCATGTTCCGTCCTTGGTTACTGTACCTGTTGCGGCGCTGCCGGCCGAAGAACTTGCTGCTGATATGACTGGCTCGCCAGTCGTGCTTGACGCAGCAGCTGAGTTAGCGTTGGAAGAAGCAACCGATGACACAACTGTAGAAGTTGGAGCCGCTGCACTTGACGAAGCCGCACTTTTGCAACCAGAGATACATCCGTTGGCAGTTAAGCAATGACCATCAGTGTTACCACAGTATCCATAAGAGCTGATGACAAGATTAGCGTGGCTAATAACTCAAGGTGATATCATGCGTACGAGCAACAGCCTCCATAAGGGCCTTTGGGATCACACAATGCATTGTTGTAGTTTGGACCGCACCTTCCATCATCACGAGGAGCAGCACCAGAGGCAGAAGGTGCTGCTCTAACAATTGTTGAACTTGGAAGAGAAGAGGCTGAAACTGCTGAGCTCGAACAGCCAGAAGAGCAACCCCTTCCGCAATGAGCAGGGGTGTCACCACACCATCCTGTGGCTTGTCAGTCATCGCATACAGATGATACCAATGGGAGGGACAGACCATATGAAGAACAGCACGTTCCCTTGTATACTGTGCTGTTAGGGTCACACAGAAGGTTGCCATTGTTTGGTCCACATTTGCCATCTTGTGAGTAGTTGGGAGTTTTGGCTTGGTGCTTGGAAATTCGGTCGAAGAAATCAAAGATGTTTCTCTTGCCGTGGTCCTGGAAGGACATTGGCCATGTATGTTTTACAGCAGTGCATCTATCGTTGTGAGTTTTACATACTCAAGAGCAGTTAATTCGACATACGTGTTGTTCTCCTGGCAGAATTGTCCCTTCAGGCATCCGCTGAATTGCAGATCCTGACTGTTGCATGTTGGTTGGACTTTCGGAAAGTAGATGTTGGCAAGTGTTGCGCTGGCGCTAAGGCCAAGGAGAAGGATTGACTGCTTCATAGTCTTTTTGGTCGATTGATCAAAGCAGACACGGCCTGTCGTGCTTTGCAAAAGTATTAGTAGGTGAGAGAGCCAATAGTCGGCTGATGTGTAGTGTCGAGTGACAATAGAGTAGTTGGAAAGAGCGAGACACTGTACAATCGCAAACCAGTCAATGGTCAGAGCGAATGACGGACAGTGATTGAAACGAGAGTCACGAAACGAGCGACTGAGGGACAAGCGGTCAGAAGGGAAGGACGAAAAGGAAAAAGAGAAGTCACTGTTTATATCTCGAGGTGCTTGCCTTCGCAACGACGGAAAAAGCCCACTACCTGAGACTTGACGAGAACGCCACATCTGCAGGGCAATACACGCGAATGCAACCTATAGTCTTCCAAACTTAGCAAGAGAGGTAGACCCTCGAGCCGGCCGCTCGCAGGATGCTAGCTGTTTGATCAATCGGCGGGAACGAGTGCCAATGCAGTACTGGGATGATCTTCTTTTGGACAGCTTGGCTGCGGCTACCCGCGCTTTCCTGCCGCAACACATTGAACGATGGCTCTTTCTTCTTCGGAGAATTTGGCAGCGGTATACCACAACGACGGCCACGAGACCAAGACTCGTGCGTGCTTCGTGGACCCATTGTTCTATTCTCCTTGCGCCATCCCACATGGTCAACTGATCCCTTGCAGCGGCAGATACGAGAGCATGCGGGCAACTCGCTGTGGTTACACGATTCGTCTCGCGTTTCAAACCACTGGCTGGGGAGTTTCATAGGCGCTTAAAAAAAGCTTGGGTCAAAGCTTGGAGCCGTGCCATTGGGTGTCTGGACTTGAAGGAAGGACATGCAGCTGCTGGGAAATGACCTTCCAAGTAGGATACTCAGATTTATTGGTAACACGAGGTTCTTTCCACTTTGAGAGAAGTTGCATCGAGCGAAGTCGCGACGAATTGACGAGGGGGAGGGCAGGGTTGGTCTTTTCGTCGGAGAAACGGAGAAAGACGTGACATCACCGAGGGTCACCGTAACGACTTCTGGTCGCTCCTCGGGACTGAAGGAAGTAGTGCTATATGCTGAATGGAAACCACGAGTGGCATGCTGATCACAGATAGAAAAGGTTCCAATAGTTAGATTGATATAACTACAACCTTGGAGACATTGTTCTGTCCATTGGATTGATCAACGCCGCACCTGGTCTCGAGATTACCCAGTACAATCAAAACCGACGATAGGAAGAAACAAAAATCGAAACAACTGGCAACTTGCAACTTTCAATCTTGCGATTCCATTACCATTGACCGCATGATCCGAAGACCCTACCACCATCCTCGCCATCTCGAACATCTTTCACAGAAATCATGGAGCACGAATACTTCTCGTCCAACCCTCGACCAAAAGTCCTCCAGAAACACTCAACTCTAGCCCGCGAATTCATCTCGCGCCATGCTTCTGAATCCCGCCGTGTCGTCCTCGTGACATCCGGAGGCACAACCGTACCGCTCGAAAATCAAATGGTGCGCTTTGTCGACAATTTCAGCGCCGGAACCCGTGGAGCCACATCTGCCGAATATTTTCTCGATCACGGATATGCTGTCATTTTCCTGCATCGTGAATTCTCGTTGTTGCCATACAGCAGACATTATTCACACAATGTGAATTGCTTTTTGGATTTTATGGATGAGGGAGGGGATGGTAAAGTTGTGGTTGGCGAGGAGTATCAGAATGAGATGGTGGGGGTTCTTAGGAAGTATACGGATGCCAGAAAGACGGGCAAATTGCTTCTGATCCCGTTCGTTACGGTTAACGACTATCTTTGGGAGCTGAGGGAGATTGCTATTTTGATGCAGCCGTTGGGCGGTAATGCGCTCTTCTACCTTGCGGCTGCCGTGAGCGACTTCTTCATCCCTAGCGACAAGATGGTGGAGCACAAAATTCAGTCATCGGAAGACTTTAACAAGGACAATCAAGATGGAGCTGATGGAACAAAGACTCCTGCCGCACGCATCGAGGGTCAACGCTTGGTCATTGGTCTGGAGCCTGTACCCAAATTCCTCAAGACACTGGTAGACGGCTGGGCCCCCGAAGGCATGATTGTCAGTTTCAAACTCGAGACTGATCCAACCATTTTGGTCAAGAAGGCCGAGTACGCTCTGAACAAGTACTCGCATCACCTCGTCATTGGAAACTTGTTGTCGACACGCAAATGGGAAGTTGTGTTTGTCTCCGCATCAGCCGGTCAACAGTGGATCCGCGTACCCAGAAGCAAACGCACACCCAGTATTTCCGGCAAAGTCGAGCATGTTGGTCTGGCTTCTGGCGGTGATGCCGAGCAAGACGCAGAAGAAGTTTCGGGACAACCTGCTGTCGAGATCGAATCTCTAATCATTCCTGAGGTCGCAAAAATGCACGCCGCACACATGGCTAAAAAGAACTCGAAATAGAATGTATTGGCTTTTGAATGATACCCTAACGGACTACATAATCCCCCAATCTAGCTTTGATCAAAGAATGATACGCCATTGTGCAGTACGATGACGCATTTTTGCACCGAAAAAGCTGAGCGGAATGGCAAATAGAAGTATTCCAACAGCGATGGCAGCTTGCTCGCCGTAACACTCTGCATACCCAACCTTGAACACCCAAGGCGTGATAGCGTACAGGAACCCGAAAGCCGCAACATTTTTCAGCCCGTTGATCAACAGTAGCGCATCGGGTGCAATAGGCAAATACTGTATTATACACAAGTCAGCCAAGTTCAATCTCCTTGTCAAAGATGGAAAGGTGAAGAAAAGACTTACACAATCTGAAATGTAGGTCATGGTAATACAAGGTATCGTCGTCAACCCTGTCGCAACCATGCCATAGCCAAAGAACATACTAGTCCAATTGAGTGTATCCTGAACACCATACCCAAAAGCCAAACACCCAGCCGGAACCATAACGCCTGGAAAGATCAACATGGTCAATCTCGACTCTGGTCGGAAAATACCACCATTCTTTCTGGCGCGCCAGTCAGAATACCAATCAACCAGAGGTCCGCCGACAAGTGCACCACAAATGTTTCCCAGTAGGCCAGGGATGTTGATAAGTCCGTTGACAGCAGGAGACCAGGAATAGGGTGGTGCTTGGAGAACGAAAGAGTTGAGGATGTTGATGCCTACTACCCAGGCAAGCGCAAATGCTGTAGCTAGTGTTGAAAAGATAACATCCGGATACACGATCAATGGCCAAGGACTTAAGAACAATTCAAACAGAGAGAGATCTTTTGGTAACGGCGACCAGAGCTGGAGTTGCTGTATATATGACTTCTTAGGCACAGTATCGAGAGGAGTTGTGTCTGAGGTGTCCGAAGGCCGATGCACAGGCTGTTGATCCGGACTCGAGATTATCTTTTCGAGAGTGTTTACATCACTAGTTGTTCTTGAAGGCGCAAGAGGTTCTGCGAGTCCATGTGCGGCACGGTCAAATCGTGTCTCTGGGCAAAGGAAGACGACGACGAGAAAGTTGACTCCGACGAGGATGGCTGCGATGATCTTTTGCCAACGCTAATCAAAAATCAGTTGAGACCCACGATTATATGATGTGAGAGCCACTTACCCAGCTCAGACCTTGAACCACAAAGCCGCAGATCAAAGGCTATTGACATGAGGGTCAATATCATGAGGAGGCATTTTGTTCGAGAAGCACTTACACCCAGAGTGTTACCAGCCGAGATGGAGTTGACGTACCAACTCATCTTACCAGCACGTTCGTGTAAAAAGTAAAGATCGTTGACCATCGATGCAGCGACAGCTTCGGATGCACTCCCTCCAAATGCAGCAATGATATTCGACCATAATAAACTCTTGAAACTCTGTGCAGTTGCGCCCCAAATGTAGCAGACGCATAGGAGGAATGTACAGAAGACGAAAATGGGTCGTTTGCCAAAATAGTTTGCCATAGGTACCCAGAGGAAGTTCTGTGGAAAGATCAGTATGTAAAATCAGAAGTAGAGTGTGGCAGAACTTGACATACAAAGACACCAAATACGAGAACAGGCCAGAGAAGCAACTCGCTGGTCTGATGTTGCGACTTTCCAAATTCTTGACTCAGAATGTAGAAAGCCGGAGCCAGACCACCAATCGCATAGTTGGACAGAAATGCAAAAGCGCATACACTACCAAAGGCGACATGTTTCCTCCATAGTGGCCATCGCAGAGGGTCATTCGGATCAGTAGGCGAAGGGGCAGGGTACAAGATAACAGCAGTATCTTTATCGTTGTGCAGACGGACGTTGCCTTCCGAGTCATCGAGTTCTTTCAAGGAGTGGAGACGCATGCTTGTGGTATTTTAGAAGCTGTGGGAGATCCAAGAAGCTAGCCAGGCTGGTATTGAAGGAGTTCCAGAAGACGAAGTAGAGGTGATCACAGGCTGGTCTTCTAAAGGCATCCGAAGCATGATGATCCTTTTTTATATCTCAGGTGGCTTCTATTGTCGTGTTACCCAAGGAGGAACAAGGCGGGACAACGTTTGTGGATACTGAAGGCGAAGATATATCCGAACCTGAAAGTAAGCAGTGTGGAAACACAATGACCTGCAGTGACACTGTTGAGAAGCACGTTAGATGATCCATGATGGTCTATCTGTTGTTGAGCGAAACAAAAGTAGGCAATGCTTTGATGCTGACCCGGGTCGTGGAGAGCCGAAGTTGAAGTCTGCAGTAGCAGATCTGCACTCTATATTGACATCACACAAACTTTCAAACCCGCTTCAGGGCATAGGCAGAAGGATAGCCCGAGATCAGCGACCATGGATTTTGGGTGGTCAAGATCGACAGGAGGGCGTACGTGATACTAGAAACAAGCAGCGTTTGCAGGCACCACGATGTTTGTACCCCGCGGGTGGCCGACCAACACCGTGATGTACAGCAAGCATACAACATTGCCTGGACAATAGTGATGGCAGCATCAAGCATAAGAATGAAAATGAAGTCTTGCTTACATTTCTATATCTCACGTCGTCTCCGTCTCCTGAACACAATCAACACGAGGCGCCTGTCCCACCCGAGGGTCATCTGCGCATCTCCTTCGCCCGCTCAATCTCGAGCTCATAGGGTACTCCAGAAATATATCTACCAGAAAAAACGCCTCAAACAATCCGGCCGAAGATGTTTGCCCTCATCATGACAAGCGAAGAAAAAAAGAAAGGGACATGTTCAATACTCATGATTTCTAATCCTTGACCTTCGCTTGTCTCTTCGCAGTTCCAATGTGAGTGTTATGCACCTAGAAGCTAGTCAATCATTGTGCTTGAAGCTGGATTAAGAGCGTATAACGAACCTTGGTAGCAAATTTGAGACTGGTCAAGGTCTCAGACAGATGGGCTTGTAAAGGACTGACCATCACAAACATCAATGTCTTGCTGTTTCCGCCCAGCGAATATTGCAAGAGGTAAGTCAACTGTGTCGATGTTAAATCAATATCCAGATGTGCCGTAAGACTGAACTCACTTTGCTGTTGCGATACGGGATGTGCTTCGCATCCTTGCCAGATCCTAGAGCACTGATCACATCGCCCAAACAACTCAGACTCTTGTTGATGTTCTGAGTTTCCTTCAAGCGGTCGCCTGATACTTGACTGTGAGCAAGACGCTCACTGCCTGCCAAGTCGACGAGGTTGAGGGTGCCCTCAGAACGTTCTCCGGTAGTCGAGTTCTCACCAATAAGCCTGAGAATGAAGACCGAGTGACTGCGTGACGAGCGCGAGTTGGCTTGAGTAGCGGCAACACGTCTGTTGCGGTTGGCCTGGTCCAAAATAGCATTTACACGTGAAGGCGAGTCCAAATCGACTGTTGTCACATCGGTGATTGTGGTCCTGAGTTTGACCGGATCTTGACGGATTTCGTGCTTCTTGTTGTTCCAATCTTCCGCCTTTCCAAGAAGGTCATTCACAGTCTCGTTGTATACTTCGACAAAGCTGCCTTCCATGGAGTAGGACCAACCCTTATCTTCTAAACTCTTGGCTGTCTCGTAGATTTGAGTTACAGCGCTTGGAATCATGCCATCGGCTGAAGACATGGTGTGAGTTTTTCCTGATCCAGTTTGGCCGTAACAGAAGATGCAGACATTGTATCCATCGAGCGCACTTTGAACGAGCTGGCTAATCTCATCGAAGATTTCGCCATTTTGTGAGGATGGTCCAAACACTCGGTCAAATGAGAAGTTGTTGTTGGCCTTGGTAACAGTTCCCATAGCGCTCTTCTGATCCGGACCTTGCACAACCACCTCTTTGCTGTCTGTATCGGCGTCGGGGAAAGTTAGCTCTGCTTTTTTGGTCTCCTCGTCGCCTAGCGCGGGACGAACACGACAGAAGACACGAATGTTGCCCTTGAGCTCTTGAACTTGGTTGTGCAGTTTCCTTCGCAAAGTTTCCTCCTGACGAAGCTTCTCTTTCGCCTCAGCAGCCACAGCTTGAGCATCCAACATTTTTTGGTTGAGGTCCTGGAAGGCTTGCGATTGTGCTTGGTTGTCGGACTCTAGGAAATCAATCTTCGCTTTCATGGCGCGCATTGAAGTTTCGAGGGTGAGGGTGTTTGTCGAGGCTTCGGTCAACTTTTCCTTCAAGTTGACATTCAGTGCATTTGATGATTCTAGATTGGCCTTGACTTCGTTGAGCTCTGTTCGCAGGTTCTGCAGTTCGCGATCTTTCTGCGTAACATCGTTTTCAGCCGTCAGCTTTTGCATGCTGAATTGTGTTGTGAGCTCTTGAATTTCGCGAAGTCTGCGGCTTCTCTCTTCATCGAGTTCTGCCCTGAGTTCGCGTTCTTTCTCAGCTACCTCTTCCCTTCGTGTTTTGTTCGCTCTGTCGGCTTCTTCCTGGGCGTCCTTCCTGACTCGATCAAGTTCATCTCTTGCTTCACGCTGCAGACGTTCAAGCTCCTTGCGATGATCGTCTTTGGCATCCTCGATATCATTTCGGTTTTTTCGTCGCAGATCATCAATCTCAAATGAGTGACTGCGTTTCAAGTCGTCAAGTTGCGTATTGATTGACGACAATTTAATTTTGGTCTCGGCGAGCTCGGTGGTCAGTGTTTGGTTGGCGGTCGAGAGTTGCAGGCGAATTTGCTCCATCTCAGATACTGCAGACCCATATATCAGCTAGCGACAATGTATATAGAAGTTAGGAGACGTACTGCGAGCCTTGTATATGGATATGCCTTCCTCCATACCAGATTTTTCGGTAGCGGCGGAATCGAGTTGCGATTTGAGTTGGGAGTAGAGGGTCTCCATGTCTTCGAGGCGACCTTTGGTGTCCCATGCTGGAGCAGGAGTGTTAGAATTGCGATTCAAATATACAATCTTGCCCGGAGAAGCATTGTGAACGGAATACTTGGTGTGGGGGGTCTTAAAGATATGCAAGTCTGCATCCGGCGGACACGGAGTCTTCGGGGCAGGCTTGAGCTTGGGTATCTGCGATGGAGTCTTGGGGCACAAGGACTCGTCTTGCTGTGTTGAAGAGAAAGAGGCAGATCGAGAGTCCGAGTTGTTGGAATTCAAACTCAAGTTGCGAAATGCTGTGGAAAGAGACGTGTTGCGATATGCTGGAAAAGCAGACTTTTTGGGAGAGGATGTGGACAAAAAAGGATTTGGGAAGGCTTCAGCAGACGGGACACGCGACATGACAAAGACATGCGATGCAGTCTTGTCATGCGTGACCGGCTGGTGAAGGATGAGGGCTGAAGATTCAACAATGGGAGGTAGCATACCCTTGCGCTTGTTTGGGAGAATGCTCGAGGAGGACAGATCTTCATCATCGTCCTCCTGTGCGATCGAGGTAGGGCGAGCAGCCAGAGCACTGCGGGAGCCGGTTCGAGGAAGGGCGGAATTGGTTCGGTGGGTAGCGGCGGCGGAGGCAGGGCGAATTGATGAGGTTGTGTGATTAGCGGAGGTTTTGCGCAGAGCATTTGTCGTGTTGGAGCGCTTCACGACTCGGGATGTGGTGTTGGTAGAACGAGCAGGAGGCTCGCCAGCGCGTTCGGCCAAGGTTTTTCTCTTAGGAGCAGGTTCAGGTACTGCAACAAGCGAGCGGTCAATGGGAGTCTTCTGGCGTGCGGCAGGCGAACATACAGGCCGAGCCTTTGTGCTTGAGCAGGTTGGCGGGAGGAGGGATTGCGCGGGCATTGTTGTCAGAGGCCGACATCTCTAGCAGTCCAGTAGTTGCTGGGATGCGACTTGGGGGCCGCAGCCCCGATGCGCGAACGGGCTGTGGTATAGACATCAGACATGTATTCAAAGAAGTGAGCTGAAAAGAACGTACGGCATTCTCAGAGTGGGGGACCATAGTGGATATCAAGTGATGATTATGGCAGACGACATGCCATGGGGTGGTAGGGATGCACAGCGAACATAAAACAGTATACCGTTTGGTGGTAGGGCCTCTATGTGTCGTTGTCGTTGTCGGCGTCAAAATGGCAGTCGCAGGACTGAGCTGTTTCCCCGTCCCCGGCATAAACAAACACCTCTCGCCGCCTTCCCAAAGGGGATGCTGGGTGCACGGTCCCGCCATCCAATCTTCACATGCCAAAACAGCCATAACTTACAACATGATGAGAATGACGTCTCGAGAGTCCAGCCCAACTTTTTTCCCATCCATCTTCTACTGCTGACCTTCCTGTCTTCTCCTGCCGCGTCTGCCACATGATTAATAGTCATGGAGAAGTACAGTGCCTTCCGTGATCGAGGCAAGTCATGACACTGGCCAGTTCAACAACTCGTGCTGATCATGCGACAGGCTCGGGCATCGCGCCCTTCTTTCCAATTCCCACTCAACCTGCAGGATATGCGCTCCCATTTCACGCCTTCCTCTTTGTCTTGCGCGTCTTCTTCTTGGTCCCCATCACCATTGCGTACTTCTTGCTTCTCTCATGGCTTCCCATTGGTTCCCTTGGCAAGAAGGCGGTACTTTGGTGTATGCTGGGTGTTCCTGGTATCTGGTGGATAGATCTCGGTGTTGATGGCGTGAAGAAGGGGTACGATTAACGACGACTAATTTTTTGAAGTTTCATATGCTAACGTCCAGCAGTTCTCTTGGCCAAAACCAGCAGAAGCTTCCTCAGCCCGGCTCTGTCATTGCTTCGTCTTACACGTCTCCCATTGATGCTCTCTATCTGGCTGCCATCTTCGATCCTGTTTTTACTCGCTCTTTTCCTGGGGAGCGCAAGGTTCAGCGCATCACTCTTTTCCAGGCTATGCTGCAAGCTCTGATGCCACCTGTTCTTTCTCCACCCAAGGACGCCAAACTAGTGCCCATCTCTGACATCCTGCGCGACACTCCCGATCGCTGTGTTGCTGTTTTCCCAGAATGCACTGCCACCAACGGCCGTGGCATCCTGCCATTCTGCCCCAGTCTTCTTACCGTGCCCGTCAAGACCAAGATCTTCCCCGTCAGTCTACGCTACACTCCCGCAGACATTACCACTCCTGTCCCTGGCTCTTACCTTTCTTTTCTCTGGAACCTGTGCTCAAAACCTACTCACTGCATACGTGTCCGTATTGCCGAGGCCACTTTCAACGAGCCACCTGCCCCTGAGCCACCGCGCAAAAACTCCTACGAAACCAATCTTCTCGATGATTTGCATTCGCGCACTACTCAGAATGGGGACATGAACAAAACGGAGAAGGAATCGTTGGACAAGATCGCAGAGTCGCTCGCTCGTCTTGGACGTGTCAAGCGCTTAGGCTTGGGTCCTGCAGACAAGATTGCCTTCATCAAGGTTTGGAGCAAGAGAAGATAATAAGTGTTGATTTAGTCGAGCAGTTTTTCAAGCGATTGGTGTTGGTGCGTGTCCCATAATTGCATGACTAAAACAAGTCTCTGTTTCTGCCTTTTGATAGCTACAAGCAAGTAAAATAAGTTCTAGAGCAAGCATCGTGTATTCTCCCTTTTTCTTGACATGACACATCATTTGTTGGACCGATATGCAGAAGAAGAAGAAGAGGTTTCATTTCTAACTATGAACAGAAAGTGCGGCCATTCTTCAAAGCTTCTGCCATGCAGTCAAGGCGTACCCTTCTTCACAGACCAACGTCATAATAAACACAATTGGCAGTTCTGAAGTTATACAAACAAGCCTCTCTACCAGCACCCTCCTCACCCTGTTCCCACTTCTTCCTCATCTCCAAAAGCAACTCATGAACCTGAGCAAGATACTGCCGTTCAGCAAGTGGAGTACTTTGAATCAACTTGCGCCACGAGTCTGGATCCGAAAGACGAGTCTCGTCGCGGATGTTGTCAATGATGCCCTCGCGTCCTTCGATGGCGAGGATAGGTGCAGATTTCCACGTGTCGATGTAGGAGGCCCAGCGTTGTTGGGCGGCTTCCACGATGTGGTATTTGTTGCTCTTTTTGCCGCGGTGCTGGGCCATGAGGACTTGGACATTGTTTTTACTGCGCTCGCCATTGCTGTTGGCTTCGTTATGGTGAGACGAGTGGCGGAGGAGTGCTGGATGATGGCGAGACCGGTGGTTACCTGCTTCGCGCGACTCGCGTTCGCCCAGCTCGGAGCGCATGTGGGCGATCAGGTTCGTGCTTGCGACTTCGGTCTCGGTGTCTGTTGTGCTGTTGCGCACTTTGAGGGTGCTTGAAGCTTCGTGCTTGACCATGACGATCCAGGGGTGGGATGCGTCGCGCTGCTTGCTGAGCACATCATCGATGGTTCGCGCGTCCATAGCTAACTCAGCACTGAAGTCGTTGGCCCAGAGGCTAGCGAGGACCTTGATGCCGGTGGATCGAAGGACAGTCGGGTCGCCAGAAGCTACGAGGATATCGCAGCGCTTTGCGTTCCAAGCTGGGCTGAGAGACTCTTCTTGCCCCTTCTTGAGGTATGTACTGTTGATAGCATTCTTTTTGTGCCTCATGATTGCGGCAATCAGACCATCCCAACCGATGCTGACGCCAACAGCGTGACATGCCTCACTTACGGCATGGGCGCGAGAACGATGGGCGTCGATGAGACGGTCGTACCTTCCTCCAGCAGCAAAGACGTTTCTGTTCTTCTTGTCATAGATGCATTGGAACAAGATACTTCCGGTGTAGAACTTCTCATTGACACTGCTCAAGGGGCAAATGTAGATCTTGCGCCGAATGCCGAACAGCTTCATGGCATCAACCACACGCTTAATGTGTTCCATGGGTCTTCTTATTCTGCTGGCATGCGTGCTGTCCACAAGGATATCGTGCAGCTTCCTTAGGGCCTTGTCAGGAGTCTCGCGAAAGTCAAACTGTGCCAAGTCATCCAAAGATGTAGAATGTATGCCAATCAGGGGTGAGCGAAGTTCGGCACGTATCTTGGACCAGCCAAATTGATGGATGTTGAGCTTGCTGAGAGTTTCCTTGACGATCGGTCGCTGAGATTTGTCGATGCGACAGAAGTCGAGAATGAGATCCAACAAATCAGAGTGACTTAGATGGAAGCACATTGGCTGGGAAGACAACGCGGGAACCTCATCGATGATCTCGTCGACTACCTTGAGAACTTCTGCTTCTTGCAGTGCCAGATCGTCGCTCTCTTTTGTCACAATATCGAAATCCACTTCCTTGATTGTCCTAGGAGGTCCTCCGCTCAAAGTGTCACGGAAAACGTTACCGAAGACAAATGTTTTCTCAACAGAGGGTTCTTGTTTGGCAAGATGTCTGGCATGTGGGAGGACCAGATCATATGGTAGCTGTAAGAGATTGCCGGTACCATCCAGGAGTTGAACAATATTGGGTGCCGTGTAGTAGCTGGAACGTGGGAGCAGCAAAGGACGTTGTGTCTCTTCCGCGCCATGTCTGCGGAAGATTGAACAAAGGGTGGTTCTGGCAATGTCTCGTACACGGAAATCTTCGGCTGTCGGGGGCTGTTTGCTGGCTTTGGCATCCCACGCAAAATCCTTGATTCGTTGATCAGGTGTTTGGGTGAATAAAGCTGTCATCATCTTTTGATAGTATTGCGATCCTGGGTCTGTTAGACTCTGCAGGGCTTGTCGGATAGTCTCATCCTCGATCTGTACCGGCAGCTTCCCGCTTCTAAGGAGTTCCATGCTGCTCGGTCGATCACCAGGAGAATGACTAATTAGATCCATGATGATGTTGCCTTGGAGCACCTTTTCTGGAGCTGAAAATTCGGAAGGCAGGACATGCTCCTTCTCCCTCATCTTGAGTAACACCTCGTGGCGTTCCATGGCAGTTCGCAGAGGGAAACACATTTCGAAAAATATAATGCCCAACGAGTACATGTCAACTTTGTCGTTGTAGTTCACTCCAGAACCCGACTTGATCTCTGGTGCAACATACATAGCAGTGCCGACACTCCTGGTCATATCAGCTCCAGTGTTAGTGCTAGCCATGACCTTATCAGCGCTAGTGTACTGGCTTGTTGTGGCCAATCCAAAATCTCCAATGCGAGGGTTGCCTGCGACGTCAATGAAGATGTTGTCTGGCTTGAGATCACGGTGGATGATGCCGTGATTGTGGATATGAGCAAGACCTTCCAGGATTTGTCGGAGCATTTGCCAACCTTGTTCGGGCCTGGCGTACATGTCTTTCCGAATCAAGTCTCGAAGTGTGTGTCTTTCGCAGTACTCCATCTGAATGTAGAGCGTAGAACGCATGAAGCGACGAGATGAGGCACGATGTGTTCTCTGGGGCTGCGAGTCAGTGTCTTCTCCATCACTAATGGCGCTCTCGGAAAACCCTCCATTTCTGAAGATAGATCTTCCGTTCGCAATGCGACCGTCAGTCTCGGTCCCAGACGCTGTACCTTCGTCGTCATCGTCTTCATCATCTTCCTCTTCGTCGTTATCACTGTCTTCGCCAAAGACAATGTCGTCGCCAAGTCCACTCGAGCTGACGAAGTCCAATCCGCGGCTGCTCATGCCGAACTGAATACCGTCGCCTGAGGAGGTTGTTACATCTTCGGCAAACGAGACAGACTCCTGGTCTAGCTCAACCATACCAGACAAGTCATCCTCGACCCAGGCCGAATAGTAACGGACCACGTAAGCATGATTGAGCCTGTGCAAAAGCATGACTTCTGATAACACGTGCTCAAGTTGTGCGGCCGAGTCTTGCTTGACCTTCTTGATGGCGTAGACTCCACCGTCAAGCTTATTACGAGCCTTGACAACTTCGCCAAAGCCACCTTTACCAAGACGACCCAATTCGGTGAAGTCTTTGGTATATCTTGAGAAGGATGGGCCTTCGCCAACACTCTGTGAATTTTGCCTAGAGCGCCTAGCTACAGGACTTTTGAAATCTCCGGAGAAGCCCATTGAGGATGATTGTCTTCGTCGACTCGTGGAATACTCTGTATTAATGATTGGTAGATCGCTGCGGAAGAATTCGCTGGGAATCAGCTCAAAGGCTGTGGGTCTGTTCTTCGGCTCCTTACTGAACACCCTCCGCAAAATATCGCTGAGGGGTTCGGAAAGATCGAGAGATTCCAGCATCGCCATTGGGCCGTTGTACTTACGGGTCACTGCAGTTCCAAACAGCATTTGCACAAGCAGGACGCCAAAGTCCCAAACATCACTTCGTCGTGTGAAGGTTGCGTCTTGTCCAGAGCACTCGGGGGCGAGCCATGCAGCCATCTTCTTGCCTTTCTCCAAAGTGCTTGCCCGACCTTGCAATCTGAGTAGTCTGTCTTCGTAAGCAGCGTCAGAAAGTTTTGGTGCAGTTACACCAGTGTCTGATCGAAACAGCAAAACGTTGGCGCTGTGGATGCGTTTGTGTACAATGCCATGACGGTGGTAGTAATCCAAAGCTTCCAGCAGATCCAGAGACCATTGTTTTGCCTTCGCGGGTGGCACAGTATGTCCGTCTTCGAGCATCTCCGCCAGACTTCCTCTATTGGCAAGATCTGACAGGACGGAGACCTCCCAATCCTGATTCAGTCCACCATCTCTTCCCTCAGGTTTTGCTACCTTGAAAGCATAGACGTTGACGATATTGGGTTGGCGAAGGACTTTGAGCGCTTCAAGTTCTTCTTCGAGGGCTAACAGATGGTTCTTACTCGCGGCGTCGCCATGTACAATCTTCAAAGACAAACGACGAACCGCAAGCATGGTTGGGCTCATAGAGAAACCTCTTGAAAACCTGGGCTGAGCAGCGTAAATGTCCATTTGACCCTTAGATGTGATAGGCGCTATCAGAGCAACGCTGCTGAATGGGGCACTTTCCACACCGGGTCCAAGTGCGACATCTTGATCAAAGTTGATTGTGTTTTGGGCGCCGTCGTCGTTTGAAGGATGTGGGCTAGATCCTGTTTGAGTGCGAGAAGATCGATCGCGTCGTTTGGATTCACGGCGTTCAACCTCATCCTGCACCATTTTCTGCAGCATGCGCTCTTCTTCGTCTTGAGCGGCTTGCACTCTCTTGGCTTCATCTTCTTCAGCTTCCTTGGCTTGGTCGAATGCGGCAGCCTCCCGGTTAGTGCGCTCAACGTCAAGACTAGGTAATGTGCCCTGCTCTCTAGCCTGAACTGCATCCTCGAGGGCGTCCTGGATGTCTGATGCGATGGCGTGGATCATGACTTCGCCGGCCATTTCGACAGGTCTGTTCTTGATGATGTCTTGAAGACGTTTCTTGGCCTGAGTTTGTAGTTTATCCAGGCCTTCTATCTGAAGCACAGGCGCAGATTTAGGATAGGTAGCCGTCAACTTTACAGAAAGGACGACAAAAGTAGATTCATCGGAAAAAGCCTTCAGTTTGAGGTTGAAGGCGCGATCGGAGCTCTTGCTCCAGGCAGATTTGAGTTTTACTTCTTCATAGTCTTCCATATAGATGGCTTGAAGGACGTCGATTTCCTCCGCCTGAACCTCTGCATAGTTGACGTGAGGGCCATCTGGAGGGTTCGAGGCGGGAGGTTTGGAGACAGTGGGTTCATTTTGTTTTCGGTTCTTGGTAGACGTCTTTGCAGGCGTTTTTGGAGCCATCCTTGCAGGTGGTCATGAGCGTGGGTAGGAGTGCCAGATGACACACTACCAAGGTTATGCAAGAAGAGTGCAGCCGAAGCCGCACTTCTTTACGCTGTGGCCGACATTATTTTCCTGTAATATTTATGATATGGAAAAGAAAGGGAGTGGTTATCAAAGGAACAGAACATACACGATAGAAGCGTTGCAAGATGAACCCTCGTGGCTAGGCGGTGAGCGGAGAGGAAGGCGGTGTGAGTAGCGTGGCAGAATTCAGGTGCCAGTGTAAACAAAGCTATCCACGCTCCTTCACCTGCGGCGCAACCACGATTACTCATTGCCGACATCATCGCACGACATGCTTTCCTGGATTACGGGCTCCAAAGACCCTGAAGAGGTCGAAGGTATTGTCTAAACTCGTCTAGCCATTTGAACAAGTCTAATTCGCAATAGACGCCTTTCCTGAGGCACCAGAGACACCGGCCCATGTCTTTGCAGCACGCGCTTTCAAGCATGCCATCTTTGGCACTCCCGCTCCTCCCAACGAGGCCACTTATTCTCAAGAGCCTACTACCAGACAGTCTGTTGAGATTGATTCAAAACCACACGTTAAACCTGTCGAGATGCCTACACGGTCCAAACACGACATTAACGCCATCGTACTGCCCTCGGCTCCAGGACTGTCGCCCACTAAACCGAACGGCATCCTTATGACCCCTGGAACTACGAGACGAAACAAGTCTGTCTCTTTTGGGGCCCAAGTCCTCGACAATGAGTCTAAGAAGCAGGGCTCAAATGCTTTCCCTGGAGATGGCCTCGCTCAACCAGGCTCGACTTCGAACAGAGCACGAACCAAACTCACTGCCCAACTTCAAGAGGTTCGCGACTCGGCGCAAAAGGTAAAGACGAGCCAGACGCAGAGAGCCAAAGACGACACCGACCTGACCATGGACTATATGGAGCCCCGGTCACAGTCTGGAAAGTACTGGAAGAGGGAGTACGAGTGGTATGCCGAGAACACTCAGCGCGAGATGAAGAAACTGGTAATCAAGCAAAAGGCTGCAAAGGACTATGCAAAGGAAAAGGAGGACGAAGTTGCCGATTTGAGAACCCAGCTGCGTCAAGAAAGACTCAAGGTCGAAAAGCTCGAGGCCAAGACCAAAGAATTGGCCGCGCAAATGATGGAGTTTGAGAAGAAGATGCTGGGTCAAACAAGTCAGAACGCGCAGAAAGATATTGCCAGGTTCAAGGCCGAAAACGCACACCTCCGCCACGACCTTGACCAGGCTCTGAGTAAGCAGAGTGGTGTTGCCAACAGTCCCAAGCGCAAAACTCCAAAGTCACTTCCTGCAAATGATCTCTGGGCGAATGCTGCGTTCTCCAGTCCTTTCCTAGACAATGCGGCAGACAAAGACCAATCGCCTTTACGAGCGCGAGACATGAACATCCAAGGCCAGACGCCCAAAAACGAGAAGCCAAAAGCCACCAAAACTGTTCATGTCAAAAGACACAGCGAAGACACCATGGACATCTCATTGGCTCTTCCGCAGCCATCTCCTGAGTCCTTGCCTCGCGCTACACCTCGCAGTAGCAGAAAATCCACAGCAGACATGACTATAGATGAGCTGGTGGAAAAGTACTCGCCAGAGAAACCACAGTTTGATCGTCTTGCTCTGCCTTTGGGCGTGGGTGCGCTGAACTTTGGCTCGAGCAAACCTGAGATGAAAGCCACGACCAGCCCAACCAAGACTGGAGCTAGAATCGCCAGTCTGAGTGACGAGAGGTTGGCCAAAGCACAAGCACGTATCGAGGCGAGAAGGCTGTCCAAGTTGGCTGCAGCTTGAGTGATTTTGCCTTGATGGTTACACGAATTATGCGTTGCTAGGCAGATTTTTCTTCTGTCTGTACTCTTTAGTTGATACCCTATTGCACTGTTCTATGCCATATTCTGTTAATTTTTGTCTTGCAACACTTCCATGACCATCGATATGTGCCAAGACGTCGAAAGTCCATGGATTTCATGACGCAGCTCTCTAGAAACTGTGAAGCTCAAGCGCCAGCGACTCGACCACCAACCTCTTTGATCACTCCTCACATACCACACTCGCAAACAACGTCAATACACATCACATACACACCCAAAATGGACTCTCTGGGCAGCGGAAACATCGACATCTCCCAGATGTCAGATGCCGAAAAGAAGGACCTGCAACAATTCGTCGTCAACGAGTCGCAAAAGGCGCGCATTCAACAATGTGCGTGTGCAACCCTTGCCTTTCCACTGCTGCTTATCTTGTTCGATCCAGAATGATGCGAACATCTTGACTGACCAGAAATGTATAGCCATCCACTCCCTCACAGACACCTGTTTCCGCAAGTGCATCACCGGCAAGATTTCCTCGGGCAAGCTGGACAGAAGCGAGGAGCCCTGCATGCAGAACTGCGTCGACCGCTTCATGGATGCAAACCTCGTCGTCATCAAGAACTTGGAGCAGATGAGAACGCACATGTAAAAGAGTTGGATTTCTCGGTTTTCTGATTAGGTCGCGGCGTAAACCCCCAAATGACGGAAGCGATGTTGCCACAGATCGCGAAGAGGCGGAGGTTTGGACGACCATCATGATCTTTGTGAAGACATGGATATAAATGTACACTATGAGAGATGTATGATAGAGAAGATGACTGTAGCATCGCAAAGTGCATGCTTAGCGGCCAAAAGCATTGATAAAATACATGACCAATTCGGATGCTACAACAATGCGAAGAGTTCGAAGAATACACGGAAGATACATATCAAGACATGTCACATATATCAGTGAAAGGCAATGCACGGCGAGGGCATGAATGAACTAGATTTGGGATAATTCCCTGGTATCGAAAAGGGGCCTGCTTCCTTGCAGCCACCCATACCCCCGGAACGCCAATGCTTTTTGTTTTGAGCAGACCATAATCATAACCACGACGCGAGAGTCTAGACCATCTCCATCCTTCTTTGAGATGAGACTGATTTAAACAATGGCGAGCTTGGTGGCGGCAATGTCAAGAGCATCGACGTCAGGAGTAAGACGGGCGAAGGCCTTCTTGGTGCCGTCAGGGCTGTTAAGAAACACATGTTAGCATTGTCCTTGGGTGATACAAGCTGGGATGTGGTGCCATACCGGATCAGGGTGTTGATCTTGACAGTGTCAACATCGTACTGCTTCTTGAGAGCATCCTTGATCTGGCGCTTGTTGGCCTTGGTGTCGACGATGAAGACGAGGGTGTTGTTCTCCTCAATCTTCTTCATGGCGGACTCGGTGTTGAGAGGGTGGATCAGGACCTTGTGCTGCTCGACACCGGTCTCGGCCTGGACACTCTTGCGGGGGTACTTGGGAGCGCGCGAGAGCTTGAGGGTCTTGGGCTGGTGGAAGGTGGTCGACAAGCGGACTTTGCGGACCTTGTGCGAGTTGACCTAATCAAAAGAATAGGCCGTCAGCGATGGGAGTGCTGACACGCCTCTATTTCAGGTAGTCCTTACGCCACGAAGAGCAGCCTTAGCGGCAGCGCCGGCCTTAGCCGAGGGCTTGGTGGCCTTCTTGCCTGCGATGCGTGTTAGTGAACTGTTCTGGGTGGTATGCGGATTTTTGCAGTGTAGGATCAAGGCCTGGGGTCGAACACGTCCGCCGAAGACAATTTTTGTCGCAATTGAAAAGTCGTTCGTCGTAGAGTATTCGCCTTCGTCGCTCGTCCTGGTGAGTCGCACCTTGGGTGTTGTTCTTGGGGGCCATCTCGTTGAGTTGTCGGGGTCGTTGCTACAGAAGTCGCTCGCTGCTCAAATTCGAATTTGCAAAGTGGGAAGAGGAAAATGGCAGGAGCGACGCACGGCTAAACCCCGGCCTCAGCGTCCGCCTGAGCAGACTGCTCGAAATCTTGGCAGATCTGTCAAAACACTTTTCCGTGCGAGAACGAATTGGTATGCAGTGAGTTGAGGTTGATCTCGAAGAGAAAGATTGTTTTCTGCTCTCAGGAGTTTCTCGCTTTGGGATTTGGGACGTGTGCGCCTTGAAAGTTTGCACAACATCAATCACTTCACTTGGACGCTGGAAAGGACTATCACGACGTCAAAACTTCAGAAAAATGGTCAACTCCAGAAAGAAGCAAAAACCAGTGAGCCTTACTCATGGTCGACCTCCAGCTGCAAGAAAACCAAAAGCATCTCTGTCATCCAAGGCCACAAGAAATCTGATCCAGAGTCATCATCGTCTTCACAAAGCTCTTGCAGATGCTACGCGTCAAGGAGACGAACAAACTGCGGCAGCCATTCGACAGCAGATCGAAGATAAAGGCGGTTTGAAAAGCTACCAGCAAGCGAGCATTCAAGGTCAATCCAGCGATCGTGGTGGAGATACTTCAAAAATTTTGCTGGACTGGCTTCCAAAAGACCTACCAAAAGGCCGCACAATTCGTATGCTCGAAGTCGGCGCTCTTTCTATTAACAATGCATGTTCGAAATCTGACATCTTCGATGTGACTCGTATCGATCTGAATTCACAAGCTGCCGGGATCGAGCAGCAAGACTTCATGGAAAGGCCCATCCCGGAGACCAACGCTGACAAATTCGACATCATCTCTCTATCTCTAGTACTGAATTATGTTCCAGAGGCGCTTGGCAGGGGAGAGATGCTGCGAAGGACATGTCAATTCCTGCGAGCTCTGCCTGTCTTAGGTTTCGGGGAATCAGCGCCCGAATACTTCCCGTCCCTTTTCTTGGTCCTGCCAGCGCCATGTGTGATAAATTCGCGCTATTTGGACGAGACGCTTTTGAATCAGATCATGGTCACCCTCGGCTATTCTATGGTGAAGAAGAAGTTATCGACGAAACTCATCTACTATCTTTGGCGCTACCAGGGCAAGGGTTCAGAGAAACGGCACCGGTTTCGGAAAGATGAAGTCAATCCTGGAAAGACCAGAAACAATTTCTGCATCATTTTGGACTGATCAATTTCATTAAGCTTTGTCAACTACCACAAGCAGAGACCATCTTCCAGCAGCTCCTCTCGAGTATGCAGTGAGCACAACTGCATGCCAATTCTCCATGCAAGCGCAATGCATAAGCACATCGTGTCACCAAGCTGGGCCGAAATTTTAAAGCAGGCCTCGACACATCGTACATCTCAACCGCATGTCGATCAACACGAGCAGGCTTTGCAGCTAAAAGCAAAGTGCAGAGACGGACCGTTGGTTGCGTGTACAGCGGTATGGACCAAGAATGACCATAGCCGGGATAGTCGAGAGTCACATGACCGTTTGGTGCTGCATGTATTCGACAGACATGATTTCAGGCTTAGATGGAAGGCTTTCCTTGGCCAGTACAACGTATCGAATGCAAGGCAGATGAAATCTTTGTGCAGAGGCGCGCGGCTCATCTGCAGCAACTCATGCACTGTGAAAAATCTATCACATCTTGCGACTACATTCCATACGTCCATATGAGATTGATGATACATTTCGTGCGGATCGCTAAGCCGGGATCAATCATGAGTGCTTCCGAGAAGATTTGGGACTTTGTTTTTCGAATCGCTTGACGATGGTTAATTTCCTCCGACGTATCGGCAAGGCTGATGACAATCTTCGAGAAGTCTCCGCCCAAGTGGTTTCATCTATTGGATAGATTGAGAAGCCCCGAATGGACGGAAGGATTCAGTAGAGGAAGCTTAGCGCAGCATGTTCGGCAAAGTTCTGCAACCACATAACCACGACAGTGGAGGATATTGTCTTTTCGACGACATAGTTGATAACACGATCTGGAACGACAGTGTGTCTCGTGTTGCAGGTGGTCCTTATGCAAAGGCAGCAGGGTACGGCCCGCTTGCCGTATAACGCAAGCTTGAGGAGGGTCACAGTTTGACATGTCAATAGGCAAGGTGATGAAACGGCGTTCTAGAAAGGGATCTGGACGTCGAAGGAATTGCCAAAGGAAGCAGCAGCACAGATGCCTAACCAGACCCTGACGGTAAACGAGCAAACGTCGACGAGCGGTCCGGTCCACAAAGATGAAGCCTATAGCAGTTCATAGCATCCAGTTGACTGAAGTTGATGTTGCTTTTTTCAGTGCGCGAATTAAACATTCGTATTCTCTTTAAATTGAGAAAGACAGCGCGGAAGAAGCGGAAGATAGACGGCCAAAACAAATGGCTAGGCAAGTGCTGAAAGCCAAAGACCTTCTGTGGCCGGCGTCTCAGGACTGAAAGAAGCACATAGAAGGTAAAAGCATATGCCCACACGGGGCTCCTGCGCACTGGCTCTGAGATCAGCTGCCGGTGCGCTGCAGCGAAGCAGACCTGGAGAATTCTTGGGAGCTGACGGGCCAATTGGGCTCGAGTGGTCACGATACAGAGCAGCCAAGAAGACCGGCAGCAAATAGGAATAGCAGGTCAGCGGGCTTGCGGTGCAACAGAATGCATGATGGCATGCTGTATGGAGACGAAAATCGACGACACTACCGGGTGGGGTCCGACGCCCTGTTTTTCAGGGTCGATTAATGTCGTGGCCTTTACCGATGCTCACCGAGAGCGGGCGCGGACCTCTCTGCGACTCTATTCGGTGAGGAATTATGCTCCGCTGACGGACAGATTGTGAGCTTCTCATGTCTCGAAGCAGGGGTCTGCATATGGAAAAGTATTTGTATGGGCAATGCCCAAACAGTGCTGTGATGTTGCATCCTCGTTGATCTGTTTCAGCATCATTCCCTCGATCCTTTTTAGTTGTTACGGAGACTGTGAAATCTGACTCGAGAGTTAAACGGCTTACGGAGCCAGAAGAGAAGACAGACCACAAGGCTGTTTTGCTGCATCATAACGCCAAGCTACCCAGTACCCACATCAACCTTTCGCGGCCATCGCAAAATCCTCGCTCGAATACCTTCTCTCCTCCCTCCTCCAACCCTTCAAAACCTGCTCATCATCTTATCGTCGACTGCTGGTTTGGTAGAGGTTCCTCTGCATTGTTCTCGCGCTTCTGGTCTAATCCCACGGGCTTATGAGATCACGCCCCGCCACGAAAAACGACTGACGACAAAGAAATCAAGTTGGCCAGCTACAGCCACAACGACGCCCGGCTGTTGTCTTTAGGGAAAACGTCCCTCTCACCTCGACACCCTCGCGGACTTGCATTTTGTGCCTTGGTGCATTCCAGCCCTCTTTACACTTGTTTGTCCTGCAATTCTTCAGGCAACCCGTTACTGCCGTTAGAATCTCGCCGATCTAGCCGGGGTCACACGTCTTCGACACCTTTGGTCTGCCTAAACGCTCTTGACATTACGTCCCCCCGACAACTCTAAACTCTTTTCTGTCGAATTCTCTTCCTTCGTCCTTGCCTGTTGTTAGACATTATGAGTCTCCAACAACCGGACATGTATTACGACAACCCCCCTGCAAGTCGCTCCCCTCACGCGCAGCGCCACCAGCCTCAACTGCATCGTCAGTCGTCGCGCCAATTTGACTCGTACGCTCATCTGCCCTCGGGTCTCTACGGCGCCGAGGACCAGCAGCAGCAACGTTTTGATGCTCCTCGCTACAACGACAGGATGGGCGCACCTCCCAACATGCACCAAAACATGAATCAGAATATGAACCAGAGCATGAACCAAAACTATGGTGGATACGACATGGGTTCGCAAAACTGGAACAGCGCTGCCTTTGGAAGTAACACCATTGGCGCCTTGGGTGCTTCCCAGCGCAGACGCGCACCGCAGCAGGCTCCCAGAAATGGTCTCCCTTCGGTAAGCACCAGCGCGGCTTCCCATCAATATGGTTTGGGTTTGACTAACGCTGGCGGACAGGCCTGGCTCGACCAGCCCCAACCTATGCCTCAAGTCTCCCCCTACCTTGGACTCGGTGGAGGTGTCCTCGGTGCACCATCAATTAGATCGGACCAGCTCGGCTCTGAGCCCGATGAGGAGCTCATCCCTACCGCTATTGTCATCAAGAACATTCCGTTCGCTGTCAAGAAGGAGCAGCTGGTCCAGTTGATGACTGACATGGGTCTTCCTCTTCCCTACGCCTTCAACTACCACTTCGACAATGGTGTGTTCCGCGGATTGGCTTTTGCCAACTTCACTTCGCCCGATGAGACCGCTGCTGTTATTGATGCTATGAACCACTTTGAACTCCAGGGCAGAAAATTGAGAGTCGAGTACAAGAAGATGCTTCCTGCAGCCGAGCGCGAGAGAATTGAAAGAGAGAAGCGCGAGCGTCGCGGACAGCTTGAGGAGCAGCATCGTCCCATGGCAACTCAGACTCTGCAGACCCAGACTTCCATGTCCTCGCTGACAGGCCACATGCCTCCCGCCTCTCCTTCGCCCGTTTCGGCTGGTAACGTGGGACTTGCTGTCGATCTCAACAATCCCGACACCCTCAAGGTCTACTCGGATTTGCTAATTTTCAAGGAGGACAAGAGCAGAGATCTCTTCATCTTCCCCTCCAACTTGAGCCCTCCTCAGAGACGTGTCATCCACACCATTTCTCACCACATGGGTCTTGCTCACATCTCCAAGGGACAGGCTGACCAGCGTGCTGTTCACGTCTATAAAGAAGCTCCCCGTCAGAGACTCAGCCCTCCAATGCCTCAGATCCAGGCTATCCAGCAGGGCGAGACCCAGAGAAGAAGCCTCAACCGCGCCGCAACGACTGACTTTACCGATGTCCGCAACCAGGATGCTTTCTACAACCCCACTGGTATTCGTCACCAGCAGTCTGGCTATCTTTCCGGCTTCCAGGACACTCCCAACACTCTTGCCGCAGGTCCTAATCTCCGCGCCGCCAAGTCTTTTGCTGACTTGCGCTCTTACACTCCTTCTCCTGTGCCTTCCACCGCAAGTTTCCCTGCCACCCTTGGCAACAACGTCTCTCGCTTCGCCGAATACGCTCGCGAGAACGGCGGTACTCCTGCCATCACTCCCACCGGCACCGCTGCACCTATTGGCACCCGCGGAGACGAGAGCATGCTCGTCAACGGGCTCGGCAACATGAACATTGGTGACCCCGCCGGCTTTGCCAGCAGCCCTCGTGGTCTGCGTGGTATGATGTCCTGGGATCGCGAATCTAACCCTGGACCTATCGGTGGCCACCGCTCCTTCAGCACCAACAACACCGGCTATGATGAGCAGCCTCGTGATCGCAACCAAGGCGTGCCTTCTCGCCAGCCTCGTGGTCCCATGCCCGAGCGCGGCTCTGGCTTCCCTCGTCGCAATGGTCACATGGCTCGCGGCAGTGATGAACTGTCGCAACAGTCCGGTGTCGAGATCACTGTCGAGTAGATCACTCATTTTCTATGACACGTAACGGCAACTGTACAACCTCATGAGTATGAAGCTTGCAACTCGAACCGATTTTCAAGAACGACTAACAAGCTACCACGGCATGGGCAGACGAGATGACAGTGTCTCATGTCTTCTTCGGTCTCTCGGCTGCCTTGATGAAGTCAATGACGAATGACACCAACGACCGCTACGAAAGTAGACCCTTTTCAAAAGAACATATCCCACCATTATCGGCTTTCAGCATGGCTTAAAAGGACACCCACACAAGCCGGAAAGCAGCGCACTGATTTTTGTCGAAATTGCATCAAGTCTAGTCTTTCCTTTTTCCCCATCTGCTGCACTTCTGCTTTGTCAATTTTCAATCGTCTTTCGAGCACAAACGAGAAAAGGAGGAAATGAAACTGTTTGGAATCTCTCGAGAGATCGAAAGAAGATAGTATACGAATTCGAGATGGCAAACACTTTTTGTCTGAGTTTTCCATTTGTTTTTTTACCCGTTTCTTTTAATTTTTCCTATCTCTCATCTCTTCTTTCCTTTTCTGGGAATGGGACCGTGGATAGGAAAATAGTCTGGCACTAATCTTCCTACAACTGGATGTGTATTTTATTAGCAGGGACTGGTATGGTGGATTGACTTTTGCTCGCGACCAACCTAGGTAATATTCAGATGAAGTGTATTATTTTGATTTAATTGTTTTTATTGACACTCATGCATCCCTGGTGACCCTGTTCCACGCATTGATACCTTCTCAGGTCTAACATAGCAAGGAATGTTTTTGATGATCGTGAACATTGACATGTCTCCGAACAAAAGTGAACTATAATAGTGGTAGAGCACCTAATTGTGTTTGGGGTGCTTGTCTTACAAGATATTGTATGACAAGACATAGCCATCTGCGCAGCTGCTGTGAAGACCCTTGAGAAGTGTTGCCGTCAACAACGACCGACCGACAACTTCACAAACACACTTCCTATCACGCGGGTGATGAAGATACAGTTACTTGATCCCCGAACGACAATGCTCAGAGTAGCTGCTGTCATCAGAGCATCACTAAACGGAGGTATGTAGGTAGCCAAGCACCAATAAGAATTCAAGGGATAGTGGATGACGGCGTTGTGATGCTGACTTCGAACAAGTGGAACAAACGACGGACTGAACTCCTGTCAAGCTCTCCACTTGCATCACCCATGCCATCAACGGAATGACTGAAAAGAGATTAGGATGCTGATACCTCTTGATGTTGGCATTGAATGAGCCAGCTGTTAGAAATTTGTTGAGAAGCTTTCCAATGGTAGATGGAAGTGAAGCTGTCATGCAGGTGATAGAAACAATAAGCGGTAAACAATTGCATCAATATGACAGCTTGGTGACCAGTTGACAGACACACGCGGGGTCGCGAATTCCCCTTTGTTTGGTTTAAAGCATCAAGACATGGTCAGCAGCAGCTGCTTGATTGATCAACTCACTACCCACTGCACCTCCCTGGTTAAAAGGAAGAGCGGCACCACTTCCACTTCTCTCCATCCTCTTTCATCCCTTCTCTCTTCAGTCCCTATCCCTGCTATTGCACTGCTTTATTGTGCCAGCTTGACGTCTCATGCCTTTTTCATTACCAACCCTACTTGGCAACACACTCCGAGCAAACATATTCAGAGCTCAATTCTCAGCCAGATTCACTTGCACCACAATCAGATACGCAAACATGGCGACTTCTCACAAGACCACCATGGTCACGGCTTCTCCTGAACAATTCATGAAGACCTCCGGTTCGACCGACCCCGTCTGGGTCCATACCGAGCCTTACAGCAACCGTCCTCATTACCCTAGCCTCAACCAGGATCTCGAAACGGATGTCTGTGTCATCGGCAGTGGTATCGCAGGTATCTCAAGTGCCTACGAACTTGTCAAGAAGGGCGTTCAGGTTGTTATGATCGAAGCCCGTGATATCCTTTCTGGAGAAACTGGACGCACCTCTGGTCATTTGGCCAGCGATATTGACGATGGCTACACTGAGATCAAGTCCAAGCATGGTGATAAGGGTGCCGTCATGCACTTCGAGAGTCATGACTGGGCCATCAAGCGTGTTGGTGAAATCTCGAAAGAATTGGGCATTGAGTGCGAGTACCGTACCCTTCCTGGCTACAACGTCTCACAATACCCTCGCGGCGATAAGCACCACGAAGACGACGTCAAGATGTTGAAGGAAGAGGTCGCTTACTCCAAGACACTCGGCATGGATGCGGAGTGGAAAGAAGGCTACGCCATCAAGGGCTGGACTGGCCAGGTTGATCAACGTGACGCTGCCGTCTTTTATAACCAGGGTACTTTCCACCCGACCAAGTACCTTCTTGGCGTCCTGAAGTGGCTCTCACAACAACCTAACTTCAGCTGCTACACACGTACCAGAATGTTGCAGTGTCAGGAGAAGGGCATTGAGGTGATGGGCTTCGGATCAAAGGAGGTCAAGGTCTCCACCGAGGCGGGCAATACCATCAGCTGCAAAGACGTTGTCATGGCTACATGTGTGCCTCTTCAGAAGCTCAGTGTTGTCGCCGAGATGGAGTACCACCGAACCTACTGTATCGCCGTGCGCATCCCCAAGGGCTCGTACGAGGACGCTCTCATCTACGACACCGCCGAGGCCTACAAGTACATCAGATTCACCGAGTGCGATGAGAAAGACGACTACTTAGTGATCGGAGGCTGTGACCACAAAGTTGGTCAGCACGAAAACGAGAAGGAGAACTACGAGGAACTCGAGAGATGGACACGCGAACGCTTCACCCAGGTTGGAACCACCGATTACAAGTGGAGTGGTCAGATCTTCGAGCCCGTCGACGCTGTCGCTTTCATCGGTCTTGATCCTGGTACCAAGCACACATACATCGTTACCGGTGACAGTGGAAACGGATTGTAAGTCAAGCGATGTTCCCACAATCAACGTTTGAAATCTTGCTAATTGTGCCTCACTTCATAGGACCCACGGTGTCATGGCTGGTCGCATCATCGCAGATCATATCACTGGCCAGGAGAATGCATGGGCTTCCCTGTATGATCCCTCGCGCAAGGCCAGCATCGTCAAGTCGGCAAAGGAGATGGTCACACACGACCTCCAGATCAACAGCCAGTACAAGCGTATGTTGCAGTCAGACATCAATGATATCGAGGACTTGCTTCCCGGCACTGGGGGTGTGCTCAACTCGAAGACTAGCAAGCCGATTGCTGTATACAAGACCGAGAGCGGAGAAGTTCGCAAGATGTCGGCGCTCTGCCCTCACATGAAGGGAGTCGTCTGCTGGAATCACGCAGAGGCTAGCTTCGATTGTCCTGTGCATGCATCTCGCTTCTCCAGTGATGGTGTTTGTGTTATGGGTCCGGCTAAAGGAAATCTGAGCCCTGAGAACGAGGAGGCCAAGAGAGCTCTGCAGCAAGCAATTCAAGGTTGATCAGCAGTCAAAGGAGTATACTCATCAAGGTCAACAGGCGTTACAAGGTCGATGGAGCATGATGAAACGCGTTGATGTGCATGGCTGGAAGTTTCAGTAATTTGTATTCAATTAATGAATGTATTATACCTGAGTGAACAGTAAGGAGCACCCAACCTCGGGAGATCGAAAGTCCGCAGATGTTGGGCGCTTGGGCCACGTGCGATAAGATAAGCCCAAAAAATGGTTGCCCGTCGCATTGCAGAGAAGGATGCGCCACGAAGAACATCTCGCCATCTCAGTTCCTTTCTCACGTAACACAACACACACCACACCGTCAACATGGGAGTCCAAAAGAAGACACGCAAGTTCGCTCAAGTCAAGCGAGTCATCGGCCAACGCGATGCGCGCCTCAAGAAGAATCAAGTCACTGGCGACGACAAGACAAAAAAGCCATCAGATGAAGTAGTACGACAGATGTGAGTGGTTTCTATTCTCACATACATTCTCGACTGGGGTACTAACAGAGTTACAGTCCACAAGCACCTTCATCAATGTTCTTCCAACACAACACCGCCCTCCAACCACCCTACTCCGTCCTCGTCGACACAAACTTCCTCTCCCACACCGTGCACAACAAACTCGAACTCCTGCCTTCGCTCATGGACTGCCTCTACGCCACATGCCGCCCCATAATAACCTCCTGCGTAATGGCCGAATTGGAAAAACTAGGTCAAAAATACAGAATTGCGCTCAAGATTGCGCGCGACGAGCGATGGGAGAGACTAGAGTGTTCGCACAAGGGAACTTATGCGGACGACTGTATTGTGGATCGTGTGTTGAAACACAGAATTTATCTGGTTGCGACGAATGATAGAGATCTCAAGAGGAGGTTGAGGAAGATTCCCGGTGTGCCGATTATTAATGTGGCCAAGGGCAAGTATGTTATTGAGAGATTGCCTGATGCGCCGGAGAAGTAAAGAGGTGGAACATTGGTCGAAGAGAGACAAGAGGAGGACACTGTTGACAAGTGAGATGGGAAGAGTGGAATACGCATACTGGGAAAGAAAAGAACGATGTTCGCAGCTGCCGTTACTGTGCTGCTTGGAGTTGTGCTCGGGACTGGGGTTTTCATGGGATGATGCATTACTGGGAAAGGGCGTTTCTCTCGATTCAATTTCTGCCAATCAGAATAGGCTATACTGCATCGATTATCACTTGCAGACGAAGCATGGTAGATACAAGATCTTGTCATCACGCAAGATCAAATCAAAGGATTACATCCTTTCATGCCACTTTTGCGCCTTGTACTTACTGCAGTGACATGACATGCAGATCTCGGAAATGACCAGCAGTGAGATGCTATGCAGAAGAATCGCTTCCTGAAGCCAGTGAGACAAGATCGAGAACACAGCTGAAGAAAAGAGGACAGGAAGAGAGATGGAAGCGCAACAGAAATTGGAGCATATGTACACAGTACAACCAACTAGCAGTGGGATATCAGAACATGCAGGCAGAAATACAAAACAACGCCAGTGCGATATGAAATCTCTCAAACGACTCATTCCCACCTGAACAGGATGGCTGCATCGGAGACAAAATCAGTGTAGACGCATAACTTCTTGACAGCCTTTGTGATTGGCAAAGGCACATAACCACGCTCCCCCAAAACAAGAAAAACAAGAAAAAACACCAAACCAGGGCAGGTCGGCGACCAGAAGAAAGAAAAAAAGAGGTTGCCGACCTCGTCATTATGCCCCCCAATACCCAATGGTTCCTACCATAAACCCCACCCAATCGTCCATATCCATGGATCGAGATGCACGTATACTGGATTCAAGCATGAAACCGTTCATCTGCGTCGATGCGTTGTCGGACGTATGCAACCTTCAGTCGTGTGTGAAACGTGAGTACGCGTCGAGATAGTAAGAAACAAGTCGTGATAATTCGTGCAATGCCAAAGACATTCCAAGCTCTTGTATGCTTCGCGAAGTTAAGCAATATTCTCGGTCGTGCACTTAGCAAGTGTCGTCATCATTGGCTGACTCCCTCAGGTATCAGAGGATGTTGACCGACATGTCCCCGGTCATGAGACCGTACTTGGACATAGCTAGGTCGTCATCGACGAGACCCATCCCGATGCCGCTATCATCGAGGTCGGTTGCATCTAGACTCTGGTTCTGAATGGGCTGAGAAGGCACAGACTGGCGCGGGTGCGGCATTGCGAACTTCTGTTGTGGCTGAGATGAGAGCTGTTGCGGCTGAGACGATTGCATGGATTGACCTCCCATGTCGAACGATGCATTGTAAGTGTGCAAAGATTGCGTAGAAAGGGCACGCGTCACTTTTAGGCTTGAAGTCAGTCAGAGCTCCATGAAAGTGACAAGCGAGAACAAAACTTCAGGACTTACTTTGAGCACTAGCAGGCCGAGACTGCGGCTGCATCTTAAAATCGACCTCCATGCTGCTCATTCTGCTGTCGCTACCACTGCGCATGCTAGCAATGGAGTCTAAAGGCTTGACTTCAGGAGAGGCCTGGGCGACAGAGGCAGTGGGAGTTGCATGCACGGGGTTGTGCTCGAGGAAGCCACCCATAGCTGCCAACCACAAAGCCATCTCATCGACAAAGATCTTCATGACCCACCACGTCTGGTAGCTGGCACCTCCCATGATTGTGATGTCTCTCAGAGCTGCGGTTCCGACAGCACTGATGCAGTGTAGCAATAGCCTCGTGTTGGCTTGCGGGAAGCGTGAAGGGAGAGATGTGAGGAAAACAGACCATCTGTCGAGAACATTTTCGGTTGACACCTGTCCTGACTGGTCGGTAGACTGAGGTGGCGGTTGCTGGAAAGTAGGGAAGTTGGCCTGAGCGAAGCCGTATGCTTGGTTGTCATGGGCAAAGAGCGGGTTGTCGGGGAATGGAGGAGAACTCAGAGGCTCCAAGAGGCCTCTGATGTCGCAAGTCATGATCTTGTAGACCTCTTCGTAACCGCAGGCAGGAAGTTCAGCCTCCATGACACGCTTGGGATTAACCATAGTGACCCATTCACGCCACATCTGCTCACGGTTCTGGTCGACTGTGAGGAGATTCGCGGCGGCGTGAGCAGCAGCGTTAACGCGAATAAGACGATGAAGAAGGCTGGCGAATGTTGCAGCAGGCTTGAGCTTGGCCTGCAGAACGTGAGTGGGATGCGAGGCAAACGTCTTTGAAATGTGAGCGTGCAAGTTGGTCGAGATGTTGTTGAGGATATTGATGACAACAGGCGGCGCGGCTTGAAGGGTCAGGCGTGAGACGAAGCGAACCATCTTCTGGTACATCAGCGTATCACAGGCCTGAATCCATGGCGCAAGGTTGGGATGAGCCAGCAGCTTTTGTACAGGCACCGTCAATGTGCCATGGAAAGATGTGAAGAGGCGGAAGAACTGCTTCTCCTTACAGAAGCGAATGCAGTCGATCAAAGATGTGCAGTGAGTACGGTATAGAGCGGTGAGTGCTTCGGCCGTGTCGGGATCCGTCTTGACGGGGCAGAAAGGCAGGATATTAGGTAGCACAATGGTGTCGTTCTCTTGGAATGGCGCCTCCTCTTTGGCAGGGAAGCGCAAGTTCTGATCATACATAATGGAACAGTCGTTGTCTGCAACCATACCACGCGTATCCGGGTAGGCGAACAACCGCGCCGTTGACGGTGGACCACGAGGCTCGACCTGTGGCGATGGTTGCGACTCAGCCGAGCCGTCACTGGCTCCATCAAGGCCTTGGGATGGGAAGGCGGCAGCATCAGCGGGCAGGCGTGGCGCCTGGTTGAAGTCTAGATGAGGGTTGGTCGAGGCACTGCGGCGCATGTCTGAGGCTTCGGCCTGTAATGAGGTGGAGTTTGAGCGTTGAAGACTGAGCTGCGAGTCCGAGCTGTCGTCGACAAGGCACAAGTCGACATAGTGGTACTTGGACTCACCACGGACACCAAGTCGTCTAGTTTGGATGCCCGGGAAGATGACTCGCACCAGCTTACCAAAGGATGCTGGGTTGAGAGGCACCACACGTTCCGTACCGCAACGGGTAGCATAGTGTGAGTAGACACGGTTGCGTGGCACCGATGTTTTGGCTGCCTTGCACACCTTGCGCAGCCTGGAGTTGCGTTAGCAAGAGAAGGAATCATCAACATGATGAACTTACCAGAGCATAGCGAACAACTGTTTTGTCTTTTCCGCCTGAGGAGTGCGTTCTTTGGCGATGACTTCTTGAGCGACTTCAGGTAATGAGCGTGCCTCATTCTTGGCCAGCAACTCGCGTAATTCCTTGTCGTTGGTTGCGGTAGCGGATGAACCTTTGCGGCGGCGATCCTCTGGCTCATGGCCACTGAGTTGGGGGAAAGCAGCAAGGCCCATGGGAACGGCGTACTCGGCGGGCTGGAACATATACGAGCCATCTTGAGTCGCGAACTGCTGCGCTTGCGCGGTGAACTGGTCCATGGGGATGTGTTGTGATTGGAAGGTGCGCTGCATCATCTGGGCATCCATGTGCGGTGCTGAGCCTTGGGCGTAATGTAGCAGCATTGTCTCCGGGTTGTGGTGATTCATGTATTGTTGTTGATGTAGCATGTCGGGAGCGGGAGAGTGGGCGCTCTGAGTCGAGGCGCGCGACAGCGGACGATGTATCGAGTGGGTAGAGCGTGTTCGCTGCATGGTGGCTATGTCGATTGGTCTCTCGTGGTCATAATCCAGTGAGGTCGAGTTTGTTGATATTGATGTTGTTGACTTCCAAGTTATTTGTTTGTAATGATCCGGGAAGACACCGACAAGGCCACGCGTGTAGACGTCTAAACAAATCTCGAGGAGTGAGATTCTCTAGTGAGACGAGAGGCGGCGCGTCCAGGCTATGCGCTGGTTTGGATCCGAGTTGTCGAGGATCAAAGGCGAGTCGAGGATGCACGAGTAGCGATGCGGATCGTCAATGTTTGGCATGTGTTTACCAACAGCAACCGGGCGCCGAACAACTAAGCTGAAGTCACGTGAAATGCGCGATGACAATACGTCACACACCGACCAAATCGTCCTCTCAAAGCGAGCAGTGTTTTAGGTCGTTTGCACTGGGAGCGAGGAAATAATGAGCTTCAATCTCACGGAAATTGGCAGTTGCTGTATACAGCAACCTCCTGCAACGTTGTTTCTTAAACCGTTGTCGCTTCGTTGGCAGGGTGTGCGTGTGGCCGGCTTCAGCAGGAAGGCACAGACAGCCTGCAGGTTGCAGCCAAAGATTTGCCGGCCCGGGCAGGAAGGAGCGCTGACGTACGGGGTTTTTCGAGCTCTCGTCTCTCCTGGCCTCGAACCTTTCTCTCCCCTAAACCCATCAACCACCTCGCTTTTCTCGCTCCAATCTCATTTGCTTGCCGTTTGCATAGCCTTAATTCAGCCCGTTATCAAAAATGTCTTTCCAGGAACGCGCCCAGCAGCACATTTCGCAGCTCGACAAGGAGGTACGTCTTCCAGAGCTCCACGTGCCTGTTCGCTCGAATTGACCAAGCTATCTACAGCTGTCCAAGTACCCTGCCCTCAACAACTTTGAGCAGCAGAGCTCCGTCCCCAAGGTCTACGTTGTCCTCGGTCTCGGTGCCCTCTACTTCTTCCTCATCTTCTTCAACATCGCTGGCGAGTTCCTCGTCAACTTTGCTGGCTTCATCATCCCTGGTTACTACTCGCTCGAGGCTCTGTTCTCCCAGACCAAGGCCGATGACACCCACTGGTTGACCTACTGGGTCACTTACGCCTTCTTGACCGTTCTCGAGAGCGCCGTCAACGCCGTCTACTGGTTCCGTGCGTTATCCCGTCCGCTCCCCTGCAGCTTATTACCGTTTCGCTAACATTCTTCTAGCCTTCTACTACACCTTCAAGTTCATCCTTGTGCTCTGGATGTCCCTTCCCCAGACCGGGTAAGTTTTCTTGACTTTACATTGATGTACGCTCATGCTAATGTCATACAGCGGTGCCACCATTGTCTTCAACTCGCTCCTCCAGCCTCTCTTCGGCCGCTTCTTCAACCGTGGCCCTGTTGAGTCCGCCAAGACCCAGTAAATCGGTCGTCGCATCAATCATAACATGGTGGTGTGAGGTGACTTGTTTAAAGTCTGGCTTTCCTTGACTGGCTTCTTGCCTATCTCAAAGCAGCCTTGTCTTTATGGGAAACACGACTAATGCCCTCGAAAAATTGTTGGCGCATATGAAGGTGATTAAGAAAGATGTTGCAGTGTTGTATCGAGTCGAGCCTTTTCAGGCTGTTGGAGAGTACATGTGGAGGTTATAGGTATGCTGATGGTATTACAATGAAAGAGTTTGTGTACACCTCTCCATCGAGTTCCCTGATTACATTCGTGATTTCGTGCTGCATGTTTTGCGCTGCATGAAACATGCCTAGCAATAACTCATGATCTGCTGATCTCGCAGCTTTTGTTTATAGGCCTCCGCGCATCCAGGTCGATTGCATGTCATCCGCTCTGGCACGTGCCCAAGAATCTTTGTCTTCGATCACATCTCCGCTGCACTACATTTTCCGCAACCATCAGCTCCTGCATCATAGATCTTCAAGCTGAAGCCATCGAATTCTTGTGTCTACCAGCCGAGACTCGCAACCAGATATACCATCAGCGGAGCATGGCAAGAAGAATTGTCTACTCAAATCGTTCATTATCCTCAGATTCCACTCGCAATAAAAGAGCGCAACAACATCGCCTTCTACTGAACTGCTTCCGCACACGATGCCATCTGAGCTTGCAGGCTGGAAAGTGATGCAGAAGATTGTTTTTGGTGGTGCCAACAATCCTTGAAATCACTTTGCTAGAGTTAATGCAAGTTTCTAGTCTCGACACTTCACCAAAGTAGCTTTCCTGATCGCACAGGCTACCATATAAGTATCAATAATGAGAACTCTTGCTACTCCAACTTTCAGCAAAAGTCTAAGGTGATTTGCCCGCAATCTTGACTCATGAGCAATCACCATCTGACATTCTCTAGAACTTATTGCCGACTCGTCGGCCAGATTTATCAAAGTCAGCGTTTTTCACTTCGTCTTTATTGATTTTGAGCTCACAGCAGGATTGTTTCTCAGTATGGCAGCCCAGTCAATGGTCGGGTCACCCTCAAGGCGCACAACACCACCAGATCATTTCGAGTGGGAAGCAGCTACGATTGGAGTCAAGGCGTTGAGGCAGAAGACTATCGTCAAGGACAGACCTCACAAACCTATGTTCCTGTGTCTGCCTGGCGAACTGCGGAACGCAATTTACGAGCTTGTTTTGGAAGAAACGACCTGCGGTCTTATACTCAACCTCCACAAATTCCGCATACCGATACCAAAGCTAGCTCTGGTGTGCAAACAGATCTTCCGGGAAGTTTCAAGTGTCCAGTTCACGAATGATGACTCTGAATTCTATTGGCAAGGCCATGATTCTGGAGGAGACTTGGACTTCTCCGTCATTCAAACGCCCATGCTCTCGACAGACACTCGATGCTGGGCAGAAAGATGCGCCATGCTCGGTGCGCCTCTCCACTTCAAGCATCTTGTATTCCATGCACCTGCTTCCCATGGCACCGGACCTTCCACCACGCGTCGTACATGGTGCATCCATGTAGGGAATGGTATAGCTCGTGTTGAGTGTGCGAGCGCTCCTACAAAAAGAGAGTGCGCAAAGACCTTGGAGAACAACATGACAAAGGAATTGTCAGAGATCATGCATCAGCACAAAACAAATTCACTAGGCATTCCAGAGCTCGAGGCGTTCCGTCTCCTACTTGGCCGTTTCAATGTGCACGAACACTTCAAAGGCAGATCATTGCGTCCGCAAGCACTGATGTCCAACGACCCAGAGATGACCAGGTTGAAGGTCACATATCTCGGTTGCCATCTTGAAACTCATCCGTGGGAATACTACACCGAGGAAACCAAATCTGAAATTCATGGAACCTGAGCGAAGACAACCGACTGTATCGGCTGAGAGGTCTGGGCTAAATTACTCCCAAGTGAATGATCTTGGAACAGTACTGCAGTATCGAGAAACCTGTTCGATTCTCATGGGTCGACAAACTCGGAGAAAGTAGGCATGTAACAATAACAAGATGTGCAAAGAACTTCAGAATAGCCAGTCAAGACTTCCTATGCTAGAAACAGCTACAATAAGTAGCATGGGTCGACAGACTCATGCAGCAGTTAGTGACGCGTAGTGTAATTGAAATGGAGCAAGAAAGAATGGCGTCGAGACCGCATGGCCGGAATTGGCCTACGGTGACTCAACCAACTCATCAATCAACAACGATGATGATGTAGTAGAAAAGACTCGCCTGCTTCTCATCGAGTACATAAGACCTGGATTCCTCGAATTTGTAAAGATAGAAACCAATGAACAGCGAACCGAAAACATCGAGAATGACATCACCAAACATTCACGCCGCCGATTGCGACACAATTTCCGAAGGGCAGTCGCTACCTATCGACTCGCGACAAGAAGCTGTCGCAACAGACAGCGCGACTTCCTCAGCACGAGCAGATTCTCCCACTTCGGTCGCAACTGCCTCCTCTACAACCTCGACACCAAAGAAGAAGAAAAATCGTAGAGCGAAACAACAAACACCGCCTTCTCGTGTCGACACTCCTCTAGCGTCTGGCCTCACGGACGACGCACCAATGACCTCCCTCCCGCTCCTCATCTGCAGTCTGGGCAACCCAGGCGCCGCATACGCAAACACTCTTCACAGCGCCGGTCACAACGTTGTAGCTGCACTAGCAACACTCCTGCAAGCCGGCCAGTTCACAAAAGATCGCTCATACGGCAATGGCACCCTCACACGCTCCTACAACCCAGAGATGCCGTGGACGTTATGGCAATCGCCCACTTTCATGAATGAGAGCGGCAAAGGCGTCAGCGCTGCCTACCGCACTTGGGCGCGCGAGAACAATATGCAAGGAAGACTGGTCGTCGTGCATGATGAGTTGGAAAAGCCATTGGGCTCGGTGACGATAAGAGATAAAGAAGGGCTTTCTGCCAGGGGACACAATGGACTCAAGAGTTGTCTGGCAACTTTGAATGGTGTCAAGTTTGTGAGAATTGGCGTAGGAATTGGAAGGCCAGTCAGTAGAGAGCCCAACGATGTCGCGAGATATGTCTTGAAGAAGATGACGCCGGCTGAGAGACAAAAGATCGAGGGTGCGGCCGAGGATGTTCTGAACAAGTTGTTGGCCATCAAGGGATGAAGAGGTGACGACTTCTTGGTTACAAGCACACCCATCTGGTCAAGGAAGACAGAAACAACCACCTGAAGAGAAGCAAGAGGTCTATGGCTGGGCCATGACTCGGCTCTAAGGTCTATTGCATACTCTATCGGACACTCAAGTACAACAACTAGGACTTCGCTCCGGCGAGTACTTAGACGACCATGTCTCGACGAAGAACGGCTTCAGGGTCAGCTGTGCAGCATGGTCACAATTTGGTGATACGTCGACTTTTTTCAAAATGTCATTTGTGGTATGCAAGAGCTATGTTGGAGGCTCTCTTAAGACATTCTGGTTTCTGTCTTCGACAGCACCCTTTATTCAGGTGATCCTGGATTTTTCGAGGGCATAGCAGAGATGTGTTGTTCCTCGATATTTCTTTTTTTGTTCGATAGATAGCCATTACCGGATTAGAATTTTAGAACTGAACGACCTATATAATTGTCTGCACCAGCATCTGACCCGAGTAGCGACTGTCGTCCTTTTAAAGATGGCTCGGTGCAATGGACTTAGCTCTCGACAGACTTGAAGTCAAATTCCATCTCCCAAACACCGAAAAATGATAGACGCGCGCGCTTATGTATGAGTTTAAAAGGTTGGATATATGCTTAAATGATTTGAATCGATTCTCGTTTTGAATCCCAGGAGCATGGTTCCAAGTGGAAAGATTATTATTCATACTTTGGAACGTCAAAAGGGGAGAGAGGCGAAGCAAAAGATTAAAATAATGAGTTTCGGTACGTTCGTTGCCGGTGTGGTGGGCATACTTTCGGTGTTATAGGACCGAAAATATATCCTTTTTGGATTTGCACTTCGCTACAAACCGGTAGGGCAAGAGAGATCGAAACTTGACTCAGACAACACTATATAAGAGTTGGAGATCTGAGATGCGTAGGTTTGGACTCCGCTTGTTGCTGTTAAGCGTGTGGAGAGCGTGGAAGTTTGTCTGATATACCTGGACGTTGCTATATCAGTGCCTGAGGCATCTGTTTGTGGTACAGGAGACTCGATTTCCTACCTTCCCTTTTCGTCTGCACTATTGGCATTCTCTGGTCTGCTCGTCTTCTATCTTAAGGCTGTGGAAATGTTGTTGCAACCTGAATTTCTATAGGAAAGGATCGTTCATATTGAACGGGTTCTTCAAGCAAGATGGCATCAGCACAGCCTGGAACGCGAAACATTCGTCCTGCGGGATGTCTGACTTGCTCAAAGTCCTGAGGATGCGCTCGAGAGCATGAGCATAGAACACAGATCAAGCATAGGACGCTCTACTTTGCGATGTCATAGAGAATGTCATGAAGTCCGAGTCAAGCCTTTGGCCAATAACCCAGATCTCAATGTTTTCCAGAGATTGTAACAGGATCTTGTGGAGAAGACATGGAAAAGAACCAGAAAACTCGGACGAGCACGGAGCCTCAAAGCTGACTCGAACTTACACTCTTTGCACGTCGCCCGCTATGAACTGGGCTATCAATTTAATAAGCTCTGGACGCGGGAGAAATATCAACTGTTGGAGGGAGAGGGAGCTGAGACTCAAAGCCTGAGAATACCGACACGGGGTACTCTATGGAAAGCATGGTCGCTGCTGCCCCGTCGTTGCCGATCCATTGCCCCGTCGGACAGACGTGACAAACACTTCCTGAAGCCCAAGCATTGATGGGCAAAGTTGGCAAACGACACATGAGTCAGTCGTGGACTTCAGCTGCTGACCAGGCATACTACTATTTCATCACCTTCTGATACGAAACAGTTGTGTTGTATGAGCTTTCACTCAAGTCCTGGTCTACAACAATGACAGGGGTCGGCGTCTGACGGAGGACTTGAACATTGCCCGGTATTCTGATCGACACTTACATTGCTTGCGCTAGATTGAAAGTAAGTATGGGCTACTGCGTCTGCATTCTCAAGATACAGTACAAGAGATAGCTTGTTCACCGCCCTGCAAGATCTCAAGAGGACAGTGAGATCGCGCAGGCGACAAGATGCTATGTACGAGGAGGTCAGATCGATGCCCTGTACGCGTCATCATGGTGTATTTCTGCTTCCAAGTCACTAACGAGATGCAAGGGTTATGAGCATTGCAGAAACGAGAGCTATCATCTGCCTCTGATAAAGCTACCTTGGCCATAACAAGGTCGCACAAGCGATGTGCCTCTCTAGATTGATACGATTCTGCAGTCTATCGCCAAAACGTGGATCTTGCATGTGCATGAATATTTGAGCAAGGGAGATACCCTTGCACGGCATGGAAAAGAGGCCACCACGATCGTCTCGACGGTAGGTGACAGGTGGACTCTCTTGCTAGGGGATTCGTGTGGGAATTGGTATCCAAAGCACTTGGTTGAGGGCCGTCTTTGGGAGCGATGGGTGAGTCTCCAATCCCCTCAGCTGCTGCTGCCACTGAGCCCTGGACAACGCCCACGATTGCTTGCTGGCGCCACCACACACCAGATTGGGCAGCGTCGAAGCCATTGACGGCAGTACCGTGCAAGCTGTTGCGGCGCGACCAAGCTAACCTCAGTGACCTGCCAGCTAGTTGATGCAGCAGTTTCGAGGGCAGAGACGATGTCAACTTTGACGATACGAGAATCAAATAATCAGGGCCACAACGCCGTGCACTAATGGTCGAATGGCTGTGATCCCTGAACCAGAGTCTGGTACATGGCTACGAGAGCCAACGACATGACCCCGCCTACCTCGTAATTGCGCAACGAAATGAGGGAACGGTATCAGGTCCATGCGCGTTGGCGACTTGCCAGGCGGTATTTTGTTTTCCCCTGTACTTTTTGCGGCTCCATGGATGGACATAGGGCAAGCAACTGGTTGCGGTATATTCAGCAAATACGGGCGTATCAAACACTCGGCGGAGCATGTGCCTTGAGATGAGCAGACATCAAACTTCAACGATGATCATGATACCATCGTGTAGAGAAGTGATCTGCTCATGGATTCGTACGGTGAGCCTTCTACCAGTGGCGCAGCGCATTAAGCGCGAAGTTTCTCAAAGTGTTGAAACCCAAAATGAGCACAAGCTGCCGGGAGAGAGGCATCAGCACAAGCCCCATGACTTAGCAACGTCAAAAAGCAACCCTGAGCAAAAATGCTCTCTGCAGAGACTCAGAGTATGAGTTTTAGAAACTGTCAATATCAACTCACAAGGTCCTTGACGTTGTATCCCTTGTTCGGTGCGAGAAGACCGAAAGCTATCCGTGCTGAAGCGGCTGTTCCACGTGATATCGAAGTCAAACAGATAAACTAGTATTGTTTTGCGAAATGAATTGCTCGCAGCATAAATCTGGACACCGAGACAAGAAGAGTACATGAATCCCTGAAGGTGCCTTAGCCGCAGGTTCCCGACTCGGCGGGTCACATGAGTGTCGCAGGCGGTTAGCCTGACGTGGTCAAGCAAGCAAAAGAACACATCTTTCTGGGCTGTGAAGGATGGAATAGCGGCATACCATGAAACCTGGGCCAGGGAAGCGCGGTCCGAATAGATCGTGAGTCGTCAAGAACACAGGCAGGATCCAGATGACATCCCACAGGGACTCGTATACCGGAGCCGGTCGGTACCGTGATGCTCAACGGCGCTCGAACTGGGGAGACTTGGACGGAGATAGTACCTTCCGAAGGAAACAGAAGGTCAGACGGCGGTTGTCGAAGGACTTGTATGAGCTGAATCTCTTGTTATCCCCGCGGGCATACGTAAAGCGCCAAAGGGTGCATGAGATGTATCAGGTTCGGAAGGCTTCGCAATGTGGGTGTCTTGTTTCCTTGGATGCCCGGTTCCAAGTTTCTTTGAAGTTCACGCTGAGATTGCGCCAGCCAACGTTAGTATGTCTTTAGCAAAAGTCACTTTGCGAATATAGGCCTGTACGCGTAGCCATAACACGAAGCAAAACATTGCGGACACTATCATCAGGCAGCGTTGGGAGAGGCGTTGTGGGTTCTCGAGGACTTTCAGCGGCGAATGATGGAATTGTTCTACAGCAGACCACACGTTACGAGTGGAAATGCCAGAAGCGGTATGTTCAGAAAATATCTGGTGCATCGAACCGACCGAAAATCCCAGTCCTGAAACGGCAAGCCAGGCTCAAGGTCGTAGAGGTGAATGTTGCGCAACTCGATGACAAGGTTGACGGCGGCCGTTGGTCTGCGCCGGGATCGGGGAGGATTTCACCTTCGGCAGGCTGACCCTAATGACCATGCGCCATCAAGTTTTCACGTCAGATTTGGTTCAAGGGACGATGCACCTTGTAGGAGGAACCTAAACGTCTGCATTGTACAAAAGAGGGAGGTGTGAAAACCCCAAGGATTCATTAGTCAATGCCTGTTGATGATTAGTGAACAACAGGGGACCGTGTTGCTCCGGCCGAAATCGTCTGTCATTCCTTGAGTCCGGAGCCGACCAACCGACTAGATGTCTCGATCTATCATCAGTTCGGGTTTATCAGGTAGGAACCAGACATTTGAGATTCGAGTATCTGTCGGGATACGTGTACGAGCGTACTTCGTACATCACTGCGAAGCCTTGTACATGTACATGTTTCGAAAGTATTTGCGTTTCGGATCGGATCATGCTTAATGCTCCGTTTGCATGAGTTCTTCTCGGCGTAACGAAGAACATGACGTATGGCCAAGGGCCTTCGTACGACCGAGATTCATAACGGCCATTCCGGTGGTTGGTCTCAGCCCTTGTGAAGTTCGCTATGCAAACCGTTTGATGAGCATTGGACTTCGACCGGAACGAAATATGCTCTTAGTCATCGAATGGTATGTCATAGTACGTAGTTGCTCGAGCTCAGATGCATACAGGATGCAGCACTGGTATACCACGGCACTCTCCGCTCACACCTGTTTCCAGGTCCTGAGGTTCACCATCGCTGAACTCTAATGGCACATCCGGCGGGACTGCCACCTGACATCCGCGTTTCTCCTGTCGATCATTAACTTGACCCCACGAAGTGAATACAGATTGAATTGAGCTGGGGCGCACTGGAACCAAGTCAAGCGAATCGCTTGCTATGCGCACTCTTCGACTCGAACCAAAGTACTCGATCATGCAATGCGCACTGAGATCATGGAACGCATATCCTTCCAGAAAGCGCCAGCTGATTCAGCAATTCCCAAGGCAGCAATTGGTCTGTGAGCACCTCTTCCATCTCGTCATATTGACTTTCGACCATCACCGCTCGGGCGTCTTCTGGAAAAGATTGGATCCGCCGTACTGGTACGAACGTCTGTCCTGAGCGTTTGACTTTCCTCATCACTTGGCTTCCGTTATCATCAAATGTATGTCTTTCGTCCACTCCTTGTACCTATCTCGGTCTAAGGAATACTGTCATGCGTATACTCGATGCTGCTTCAGAAAGCAGTTTCATTCTCTGATGCATCTAGCCATGTCACATGTCTCCGAAGGAGTGGCGTAGCGCCGCTCCAAAAGCCTTGTCCGTTTTCGGACGAGCCGCTAGGATCAACCTCCCCGTGTAGTCGCACTAATTCGCTTGTCAATTCGCTGAAAATTCTGCAGACCATTTCATGGCCAAGTCAAGTGTACAGACGAATACCCTGCAGGCTACTGGCTGCTTGGTGACATCTTGTTCAACGAGAACAGATATTGAATGCTAAACTTCCGTTTAATTTAGAGTGCCCTGCTTAACCCAGATACTCAATTGACCAAACCATGGCTTATTTCCGGAGAGGTCTCCGTTCCAATCCTACCATTTGATCCTTGTGAGATAAGTCTATCTGCAAACTGCTGAAGTATATTTCTCTGTTCGAGCGCATCGTTCATCAGCGATTACTATTCACATCTTGACGCTAGCACTAATCATAGTCATCGTGCTCGGGTGCTCGGATATGTGATCACATTTGTGAACAAGACGTGTGTGCGTAAAACGCTATGTACGAGTACCGAGGTAGCCGGATTCGATGGAGGCTAGGACTGAACGCTGGGGTCGGCTCGTATGGCCACTTCCCACATGGCACGCAGCCGCTTCGCTTTAGTTCAACTTAGGGGCAGTTGTGTTGCTTAGGGCAGAATGTGTCGCATCCAATCAGACACCCCGGTTCAGATTGGTACGATTAGTGACCAGATTGACATCGAAAGTGTAGCTCTCGAGTACATTTCAAGGAACGCGTCGATTGCGAACCAGTATTGCTCAGACTGGTGGCTGTGTTCGAGCGCGCCGCGGAGTCACAAACGGCTGCCGAGTTGTTCATCCAGGTAGAGAACATCTCTGGTCGGATGGACCAACTCTGCCTAGCACGTACCAGCGGAGATGCTGCTTGATCGTCATTGAATATGGGTGGCTTGCCGTAGCGTTGACCCGAGCTGAGTCCACAACTCCATCAGTCACCTTCAGTCGCCGTTTCGTAGTTTCAGAACACGGACAACTGGACAGTGGACGTGTCGTATTGCTTTTGGGAAGCGCTGCACCGGATCACGACCATGCGAGTCGACATGTCAGGCTGGTAGCGCGAGATGATTCGTCGCAAGACATGCAGGTAGCCGAAGACCAACATGCTGTCAACGTCGCATTGCTCAAACATGCAACCGCTGGTGTGCATAACGAAGAGCAGAAGTGCTCGCTGGAGCGCACTGCGCAGTGTCTCGGGCTGGACCTTGACCGGGCGGCTGGGTCCCTGGGATTGTCTCTGCAGGTCATCATCATCATCAAGAATCTCTGCAATGATCGGATTCCCGCGCTACTGTGTGCCCTTACCTAGATAGGATGGGCATCCGCGAGACTAGGGAGATGCTCCGTCCAGTCAGCAAACGAGCGGCTTCACACCCCTTCTGGGGTCGCTCTGACAGACGTTTTTCATTCTCACAAGAACCGCCGATGCTAGCTCCGAACCACTCCCGCTCGACTGGCATAATTCTAATTCAATTAAAGACATCTGTGCCTGCTGTCAAATCGACCGTTTTTCTGGACTGTGTCTCTGACCTCTGTCCCTTGATTTGCAAGTCTCGCCGAGGCCAAGCACGTCCGATCGTCACCGGCTCTCGCGTCTTCCTTGAGCAGAAGCGTCGTTGCGCTGCTTTCCCCTCTTGCTAAAAAGCGGCCCATCCGTGCTGCTATCCAGTGTGAATTTTTATTAAACCTGCAGTTGCTCACCAGACTACTTTTACTCTTGTCACCCTCTTCCCCACCGAGAGTCAATCTTCACCCTCCCAAATCTTAACCCCTCAAAACTCTCAAAGTCTGTTAAAGCATTCCCGCCGCACGCCATTGTCCGGTCCAAACTCTGATCGTCTCGTCGGTGCCCAATTATTGGCTCACCCATCAATTCACGACTTTTTGATCACTGCATCCATCCTGATCTGTCCTCGGGCCGAACATACCCTGCCAGTGCGATCACGGCCTCAGTATTGTCCAAGCTGTGCTACGAAGCCAATCTTGCAACAGATTGTCCTGCTTGCCCGCCGACATCCCTCTAGGTAGGGTCTCATCTTCCATTCCAAAACAGGCTCATGAACACTTGTTAATTACCCAACACAGCTTTGCGCAATCAGTTTGCCAGCATCATCCATCTGATTCCGCGGAACCAGCCATCGCGCTCGAGCAGGACCGCTGATTGACAAACCGACCCCTCCCGACCTCGAGCCATAAGCAGTTGCTTGGCCGACCTGTGACATCTCAGATTTCTAACATCGAGCCATACCACTCGAAGCCTTGACCTGAAAACGGGTGAGTCAAATCGTGTCTCAACCCTTAGCATATCACTCGTTCAATGACTGACGCAAATCAGAATATCGAAAGGTCAGAGTCGCTTGCGCTTGCAGTACCAGCTCGCCGTGGGCAATTGTGGTTAACTTTACTTGCCGGTAAGTGGAAAGTCTATTCTAACGCGTTGCGCTTCTACGAAGCTAGCGCATATTCCCCAAAGCAATCCGTGCTCCCAGCCTGTCTCTTTCCCAATATGCTATCACCGTTCTCTTCCCCTCATTCATAGGCCATTCACACCATCACCACTCTATTCCCCTGCCTTACTTCAATCTCTGAAAGTATATCACCTGCCCTGATATCTGTGTTTCGCTGCTCTGTCAGGCCACCGAAGCATCCACTTACCTCCGCGTCCTTACGCAAATTCTCTCTGCCATTCATTCGTCATCCACTCATTCAACGATTTGATCTGTTTCCATCACGCGAATCGTTCGCTGACCTCCTGAAGGCAAGAAAGCAAAAAGGCCTCGAATCCAATTCTGGATTCACTTTCATCCTCAGCTTTATCTGCTCCAACCTTGTCAACGATAGTTGACCCTTATATCAACCTCAATCCTCAAGGTTACTGCCTTCATTGACCAGTATGAGTGGCAGTGGTTCTGGTTCTGGCCCGCTCCAGCCTACATGGCATGGGTTCATCCAGAACAGCATGGATGGACTTGTCCTCTTCGAGGCCTGTTTGAGCGGAAAGCTGCACCATGTTCCCCGTCGTCCACACGACCGTGAGCGTGCAAGCTTAATCAAGAGTGGAAGTGTTTTCATCTATGAAGAAAACGCGTCGGGCATCAAGCGATGGACTGACGGCGTCGCTTGGAGTCCTAGTCGCATCTTGGGAAACTTTTTGATCTACCGCGAACTTGAGAAGCCCTTCCCTCCTGGCGAGAAGAAGCGTGCGATGAAACGCAAACGATCTTCTCAAGAACCCGAAGGCCGCCGCGAATCTGAGGACAACGAAGTTTCTGAATACAACAGACTCCCTCCAACACCTCCGTCACCTGCGAACCCCTCAGACCCCAAGTCTGCCGCACCAGGTACAACTGACAGCGAGAAAGAGGTGGAGCGTCAGCTTATCGGCTCTCTTGTCGACAGTTACGGCTTCAGGCCCAATGGCCTTGTCAAGAAGACCATGAGCATCTCCTTGAACGGCGTTTCGCACCACCTGGTTTCTTACTACACTGTCGAAGATGTCAAGCAACGAAAGCTCCAACGACCCTTGACTGACTCGCGTCTCAATGGCATAGCGATTCGACCTGAGTTATACTTGAAGCAAAATTTCCGTGCACCTGTTGAGGAGCAGGACCAGTTTGCTGTCGACCACAGCGGCCACGCATATCCTCAATTAGGCTACTCGCATATGGTAGCACCTTCTGGCTACATGATGCGCCAAAGCTACGTCGCGCCTGGTTATCCACCCATGTACGGTGCCGCGCCAGTATCCACTGGAGCAGGCGTATACAATAGCTTGCCAGCTACAGCGCCAGCACCTTCTTGGCCACAATCATACAGCGCAGCGCCTTCGCAGCAAAGTTACAATGCTTACTACAGCCGCGCGGATGCATCAACTCCTCAGACATCAACTACCTCTTACACACCTATGCCACCAATGCAATCGCAATATCAGTCACCAATGAGAACACCTGCTCCGAGCTACGGCCCACCAAGCAGCATGACTACCTCATCTACTCCGGTGGCAACACAGTCGCAGTACCAACCAGCACAAACGGCCACAGCATCGCAATATCAGCCAACAAGCTATGGCGTTCAACCAAGCTCCCATCAGAGTGCTTCACCTCAGCAGCAGAGTATGAGGTCTCCCCCTGTGGGGCCACCGCCACAGTCGATGAACGCCTATTCTTCACGCTCCAACCTTCCAAACAATCTTCCTAGCATGTCAAGCTACAGACAATACACCAGCCAGAGCGGTGGATCACAAGGCGAAATGCCCAGCATTGGTATGGCTTCCGGATATGGCAACAGCCATTCACAACCCACCAGTGGAAGCTATGGTGCACCTAGCTATGGGCCTCCAAGCAGTCTCAGCGCGCCTCAAAGCTACAGGCACAGCAGCGACACGGCGCCCCCTGTTCAGAGCACGCAATACTATAATGACGGAAAGCCTGCTGTGAGCAATTATTCATGAGTAGACAAACGCCATCCTTTTTGAGGTGTTCATGTTAACGACATTCTTTTCTTCGATCTTGCGTTACAGCGAGAGTTCTTTGCTTCTTTGTTGTCTCTTTCTCACAGCGAAAGACAAATCTTCTAAAAGCGAGGACCGATCTCGGGTAGCTACGACAGTGTTGGGCATCAATTGTTTATTGTATTCGAATAAAGCAGCATTTGAAGTGTATGATCAACAACGGCAAACCATGATTTGAGCAAGACCGTGCATCATCAACATATCTAGGGTGACTTATCTATCTGATGCAGTGTGTGCTCTTGGTCGCCTTCAATTTTTGGGACTTCGTGATGAGCTCCAGGCGCACATAGCTTTAGACTTTATGTGGTGGAATGCTTCGTCCACGTCGTGAGGTTCATTCAGATCGCGAGCATGATCCACTGACTGATATGTGTGATCAGCAGCTACAGCTGGAATTCTTTGAAAATGTGTGCGTCGGCAGATATTGCTCTAACAAAGCAGTGACATTCCTTGCATAGCAGCCCTAGCAGTGATTTCTGGGATGTGCTCTCGAACGCCTCGGACTTTTGGATCTGCAGCGTCTTGAAAATGACGATCATCGGAGCGTTGGCGTTCTCATGTGATTCTCTTTTCCAAATTGGCGAACGGACCTTTTTGCAAGCGCGCCAACCGAACGACATGTCGCATCCAACTGCAGCAGTCAATAAGACATTGTTTACGAGCCATGGAAGGTGGTCAATGGCACGTCTCAGCATCTCGACCAGCTTGTCAGCTGTCAGCTCCGCCGCCATGACCAGCCGATCACTCCCTTTACTGTGCCGTAACCGCACCTACGCCGCGGTCACTAGACCATCGGTATCGACATCAGCATCGGGCTCCGCGCATCTTGCGCTCCGCTGGCCCATCCAGCAATACCGCTGCAGTCCGAAGTACCGCATTACCTTGAGTTCCGCAACAAGGTAAATTCGCAATGGATGATCGTAGACGATACGATCTAATAATGGCAACCATAGCTCATGCTCTACCTTGAAACCCAATCCACGCCGCTATGTCTCCACTGCGAAGAAAGGCAGTCTTGGGAATTCCGTAAGTCTTTCCAGTGCTTCCTTAAGTATCTCCGTTGAGATTGCCAAAGAATCGTTGTGTATTGAATGGCAGTACGGCTTCGAGCCTTGCATCTCGAAGTCGTGAAGTGCAATATTTGCATGCAACATTGGCTGACAGCTGGTTGAAGCACAAAGAAAATGAGGCGGCAGCATCTGGCACGCAGAGCATCAATGTCGCGGGCCAGGAAAGAAGCAGTATAGACGACAAACCGCGTTCCTTGTCACCACGCGAGCAAATCTACAATGTTCCAAATATTCTGACCGCGTCACGCCTGATCGCTGCGCCGTTTGTTGGATATTTGGTGTTGCACGAACAGCACAAATGGGCTCTTGCTCTTTTCGCATATGCAGGTATCACCGATCTGGTTGATGGTTGGATTGCACGCAAGTATAAGCTGCAAACTGTTGTCGGCAGTGTCATCGACCCTATGGCCGACAAGTTTCTGATGACCATTTTGACCGTCACTTTGTCTGTGAATGGGCTCTTGCCGGGTGAGTGATTTTACGTTGCATGAGACGCCCCCAACTAACCCGTGTTGCAGCATCTCTAGCAACCCTCATCCTGGGGCGCGATGTATCACTTGCAGTGGCTGCACTCTATTGGAGATATGCATCTCTGCCAGCGCCAAAGACTTTCAAGCGCTACTGGGACTTCTCATTGCCATCTGCTGAGGTGCACCCTACCACCATGAGCAAGTACAACACCTTCCTCCAGCTGCTTCTCATCGGCGCCACTCTGGCATATCCTGTCATCACAGCAGACAACCACCATTTGGGCATTATGCACGATATGGGCCTCGAAAAACTCAATCTTGCCCAATTCATGACATACTTCCAGATTCTGGTGGCTGCAACCACAGCATGGAGTGGACTCAGTTATGCCTTCCTCAAGGATGCAGTCAAGATTCTAGGCAAGGACGAGCAGCTGAAGCTTAAGCAGGGAAGGAGAGGTAGGGCCATCATCGGCGTCACTTTTGGCAGCGTCGTTGTTGCGGCTGCATACTTGGCTCTGACCAAGGATCTACCAAAGAAGAAGGAGGAAGGATCGATTGCGTGAAGTCGCACTGAATTGTTTGAGTGGGGGCATCACGTAACGTTAAGCATATCTGGCGTCAAAAACAGCTTTCTTTGTTCCATCCACCATGCTTCGAGTTCAGATCAAATGCAGCAGGAGGTCGACCCTTGGCGTGTGATGTTGGAGGGGCGCGACTTCCTGTCTTGTCACGTACATACTTACCAACCCGGGGTTCCGGCTCCGTCCATGCTCATTCTTTTTCAAACTGTTTCTTCGCTGTCTGTCGTAAGCCTTGAGCTTGGCTTTGTGTTTCCTCTTCGTTTAGCATCGGCTCCATCATCTACCATGGTTGCATATGCCCTCGGCCATCGCTTACTTACCGACAATCACCAGTATCGATCATACATAAACGAGCTTTCGCCTTTTCATCCAATCTCTCATCCCCTCACCACTCACAAGATGCATAGCATTGCTATCAGTGACGGCCAATCACACGACACTCTTACTCCACCATCCTCAAGGGACCGAAACCCGAGACTACACATTCAGACATCCCTCTACTTTCGCCGTTATCGCTTTGCATGCTTGCTCTTTCATGTTGTCCACTCGGCGCGGTCGTAAAATAGTAGACTTCCGTCATGCGTTTGGACTATTTGTCTTACATCGGCTACACTATACATATTCAAGTTATTGTACTTTGCTGGCAGCAATACATAATACTCAGAGATGTTGAGCACCAGATTCGCCAAGAATAAAGACCAAGTGCCGCCATATTTGCCCTACGAACGATACCATACCATGCCGCCAGGGTCACCCGCTCATCAACCGACTACGACGCAGACACTAGAGCGCTGGCCTCGACGAGTGCAATACACAATGGACATCTCACAACCACAGAAACCTGATTACAAACCATCGTCCTGTCATGATGCAGCATGGGAAGAATGGCCGCGGAGTTACTCGAACAGGCTCATGCACAATAAATTGGAGAGATGCATGATTTATAACAAAAAAAAAAAGCGGCCTCACCTATTAAACCAACATGCAATCATTCGCTACAGACATGCACTGCAGAAACGAGCTCCACCAACTCCATACCACTATCGGCATGCACATTGAATGAATGCATGGCGGTGAGTCGGAGCAAAGGAGAAGCAAAATGCATCATTTGCATCCCGAGCAACGCGAGCATGCTCCCCAATATAAACCACCATGCAGGCCCGGAAATGACTAAAACATATGCGGGAATACCGCGACATCCTCTCCTGCCGTCGGTGCGAAGGTAGCATTTCGTTTATGCAACATGCTCGGGCTCTTGCGTGCCCGGATGGCGCTTTTGTGTAACGCCATATTTCCTCTCCTGAGGAGAAAAAATCTGCCCCAGCAGAACAAAAATGACCACGTTGGAACACAGCACTAGTGGGCCTGGAGAGTCAAGAGAGGCGTTCACTCACTAGGCAAACCACTCCCTCGGGCTCGCTGTGGGTCTAATCTCTAGATCTACATAATTACCAGCCACCGAACTTCTAGTCTTGTACGGTTGTTGTAACATTCAGCCGTGAGAAGCGATGGAGTTCGGGATTGACATCAGCAATCGTTTCGCGATTTAGGATTGGCCATATTATCAATTCGTTGATCAACGGTAAAGGAGCATTCAAAAATTGTCTCACAGTCAAGAAGGAAAGTTGCAGCTTGGGAATAGTGATCGCTTCTTGGATATACATGAGGTTGGTTATAAGGCATGAAAAGAAATAAGAAAAAAGGAAGTATCAGCAGAATCCATGCTGGCCACGTCGCACTTTATCGTCGCTGCGCCCATAGAGGCATCTACTGAAATTCGAAGAACTTTTTATGCGACGTCGTGGTCTTCCTGCTCCATGGTGGCATCGGCAGCCTGCTGGGCGGCAGCAGCAGCGGCCTCAGCAGCTTGTGCCTCTGCCTTGACTCTCTCGGCCTCTCTGGCGACATCAGCAGCCTCGATGGCGGCCTCGCTGACAATGGCCTCCTCGACAGCCATCTTGCGTCTCCAGACACGAGCCCAGCGAGCACCCCACTGCTGCAGTAGAGTCTGCTCGGTATTGTCACCGTCGAAACGTTCGATCATGTCGTCTTGAGCTGCGTTAGCAACAGTCGAGACAGCCTCGATGATGGCGTTGAAGAGATCACGCATAGTCTGGCGTTCGCGAACCAGAGTCTCGTCCAGCAAGCTCTTCTGCTCTTCGGAGAGGTCGGATTCGGCACGAGCGCGTACAATCTGGCGCATGCGGTTGCTGACCTTGAACATGGTGGCCGAGATCATCTCGTAGATGTGAGTCTGTGCAAGGGCGCGGCCGTGCTGCAAGTGGTCGTGCAGCGCCCACTCGATAACGCTCATGGGTGTGATGATAGTGTAGTTGAGCAGCTTGTCGATAATGTTGACAGCAGTACCATGGTGGTCGGCCCAGTAATCAACGACCGATGTGATGATTTGACGACGTGCAAGTTCAGACTGAGGACCAATTGCGAGCAGACGTTCCTTGCAACGCTCGATACAGGACAAGACGTGAGACAGCGATTTGCTACCAACTGCGCAAATGCTGGTCATGTATGCATCAGTGCTAGGCACAAGGACGTCTTCAACACCGTGTTCGCTAGCCAGGGCCTGGATCTCATTGATGACAGCCTCAATCTCTTCCTCAGTAGCCTTCTTGCGGATTAAAGCATGAATGGCGTTGCCCTGTTGAGCGTAAGGGGTCTGCTCATTGAGGTACTTGAAGTCTGGAGTATCCTTCATCTTGCCCTCTGAGATGAGGGGAGCGTATGCTTCGGGAAGTGTCTCTCTGATACGCTTAGCGAAAGAAAGACGAATCTCCTTATCTAGCGAACCAACAATGAATGCCTTTCTGGGCTCGAGGTCGGAGCGCTCAATCTCATCAATCCATTCAGTCCACTTCCAGCGGAACTCGAAGTTGCTCAAGTGGTGGGCAAACCAGTCCATGTAGCGGTACTGAAGCTCGAGGTCCATAACATCGAGGCTGCGGAAGAGGAAACGAATGGCTCTGCCCAAACTGGGAGCGACGGCAGCAGGGGCAATCTTGCATGCCTCGGTGATGACGGAGTGATAGTAGACGAGCTTGTGCTCCGAAGTAGGAAGACGAAGAATTTGGGAGAAGACAGCATCGACGACCAGATCTTCGGGCTTCCAGGTTGAGCGTCCTTCGGGAATGTCCTTGAGCTTGTCGAATGCTGTGGCACGCTTGACAAAGGTGTTAGGGGCCCAGTAACAATCGACATCGATGAGGAACTTGGCAGCAGCGTTTCGGTTGAAGTCGAGGATGTTGATAGTATCTGTGACGGCGTCTCGCAGCAGCGATGCAGCAATGTTGGAAGTAGGAGGAACAGACTCTACGTCTTGGTCGGCGAAGAGCGAGAAGCATATCTCGGGGAAGAGGGCGTTGGGACCAGGGTTGACAGGGGAGGGAACCGAAAGCTGAGGGAACGAGTGCTTGTTAGGCACGGCCTTGTCGCCATTCTCAGCCTCAGCCGGCGCAGGGGTGGTCACACGGGTCAGGCGAGGGATACAGGCGAGCTTCCATCCGGCGGCGGCCTCGCTCTGAAGCTGGTTCTGCAATGCGCTAAGCACACTGGGGCATGACATGGGCTTCTGGTCGGCCTCGGCCGTGGGGTATGGGTCGACGAGGGATTCAAGAGCGTGCGGCGTAGAGGCAACAATGTCGGTCTTTTCCAGCAGCTCAGCTGCGCGCTGTTCCAGACCAGTGTTGGGTGCAGCCAGAACGTAGGGGATGGTGAGGAGGATGATCTTGACTAGCTCGAGGCCGACAGCATCGTCGGACGAGGCAGTCTGAAGGTCGACGGCGCGATCAAAAAGCTCGTTAAGGATACCGAAGACACCATCGTCGCTGAAGAGAGGCTGGAGGCAGGCCAGGAATCGTAGCAACAGCTTGACACTGCGCCATTCACCAGCATCGAGGTGACGCTGCAACAGAGTTGATGTGCGAGCCAGAACCTCGGCGGCAGCGTCGCTCTTGTCGTTGTTTGCGCACAAGACGGAAGCTGCGACAAAAGGAATCTTGAAAGGTTGCTCGAGCACCAGAGACAAGACCAGGTCGCAATACGTCTCCTTGACGTAGTTGTCGTGGTAGTTTTCGGTGACGAGCTTTGCGATTTCTGTAACCTCATCTTCGGGGTTCTTCATTGGGCTCTCGGCGACACTGAGCAATTGGCGACGGAGGCGTGTACCGGGAGGAGCATCTTCGTATCTTCTGCGCTGGGGTCTGCGATCATAACCACCCTCGTCGTCATCTGTAAACAAAGCAGGTCAGCTCGACGATGCGGGAAGGACTTTGTTTTGTGTGCGCGCGTACCTCTGTTGTAGCGCCTCTTGCGGTTGTTGTAACCACCGCCTCCGCGTCTGTCGTCGGCCATGTTGTCTGGATCGTACAGTCGGACGCGTTGATGGACTTGGTCGCTAGCAATGTAAATGTTGCTCTGAAATCTGGACTTCCCTCTTCGGCGCGGCCCTGTTGCTTGGAGGATCCGACGCGGAGCTTGCGGCCGCTTCTTGGCACAAGCTGAGATGCTCAATTGGGAAAGCACACTGACCTGTGCTGCAACTTCATCTTCCTGGCCCATCATAATTTCTTCTTCCATTTCGACATCTCTCATCTCCATGTCTTCGTTCGTCTCGAATGCTGCCAGTTCCTCATAGCCGACCTTCTTGCGGGCTATCATCAGCGCTCTCTCTCTTTCCGTCTGTCTGGCCATGGCTGACGATCTTGAAGGATGATACTCAGAAGTCTTCTTGTGCATTCAAGAGTACACAACTAGGCAAAGACTATCAAAGGCAGAAGATGGATGGAGAAGGTAAATGTCGAGCAAGCAATGAAATGCAAGAAAGAAGGCTAGCTCTGAAAGTTTGAGTACTAATGACCGTCGTTTGTCGTGAAGAGACTGTGATAGTGAGGCAGTCTCAGAAGAAGAGTCACCAAATGATTAAATGTGATCCAACCAAGAGTATCTATAGTAAGAGGGAGCTCTGTGAA